CCCTAATAACAGTCTATGTTAGAGAGGATTATCATCAACAGCATGAAACACTATGCGAACGGGGGAGGTATTACTTACCACGACCACCGCTACCCCCCCCCCCCATATCTACAGTGGCAATTAGGGTGATGCCACCCCCTGGGTGTTCTATGAATTCACACGAAACACCTGCGCCGCACAGCCAGCGAATGATTCATTGTTGCCAGCTCCTAGGTGTTCTTTTTTGATGAGGTGGAGAGATATCCACTGCCTGGTGGATCTCATCACCCACCCGAGATGTGCCGCGAACCAGGATTGCCCATCCCCGAGGATCACTTATGAATCCAAGGTGAATATCGGCCTCGGGGGAGCAGGCAAAAAAGTCTTCGGGACATTAGTATTTATGTTTTATTTCGACAGAATGGAGACATGATACGCACCGAACGTGCGGAGCAAGCCCGGGCCGGGAGATTGTTCTCGCCGGGAAGACCTGTACCCGCCTTGCGCATCTTGTTGATCGCCCCTTTTAAACAAACCAAGGGTCTTTTTCAGGCCCCAGGCACCATGATCGATGGTAGGCTTGACCCTGTGTCTTCTAGTTAGTTTTTCCTCTTTTGGCTTCTTTGTTTCTGGCGGGGTTCCACGTAATACGTACCGAACTATCGGAGTCCGGCCCCCAGCGGGCAATGTCCCCGAGGGCCAATTGTTAGGACGGATGATGGTATAGATTTTGTTGCTGCGCCCTGAAATGACCTTGGAGGATGAAGGACATTTGGGGCAGAGCAGGGCGATGGTTGTGATGTTTGGGGTTGAGAGGAGGGGTAAGATGACCCTGTGGCAGTTGAATGAACACCTTCCATCTTTCCCTGTAAGAATCTCTGCAGCGTCACCGATCACTCCCTTAATATTACCGGAGCGGGAATGTCCACCTGCCCGCGAGATCAAAAATAATGTTGAATTATATTCCACGGTTTCAAGCATAAAAGGCTTATAAAACACCAGAAAAGGGAGACACAATACAACTAACATCCATTTTTTACATTTTCGTTACAGCTCAGTGTGGTAGAAGTCTACTACATGTATGTACTAGAATACACTTTTTCTTAATTCGTTGCGGTCTGATTGGTCGACACCGACATGGGTTTTTAGTAAGCACGACACATCAAAGAACTGAACACTCGAGAGGAGGAGGACGGGGGCCGAAGGCCTCTCATAATTCTAGAGCGAGAATTAAACAGAGGAGGTGGAATGGGGGGCCGAAGGCCCCCATCGAAGGCCTTCCATAATTATTTGATACCCATAATCCAATAACTCGCGGTCGCGAGTTGGCATACCCCTAGTCTACATGTACATACATGTCCAATGCCGGAAAATGGGGTGTGATTAAAGTAGTAGTAGTCTCGTAGTGATGCGGCTTTTATGAGAATTAAGCTTGCTCATTCGGCTCGGGTTAATTCGGTATTCATATGAATACTATAGTTGCAAACAAAGGTTATTTCATGCAAATATGATATCCCAAAAGCACGGTATGCTCAAAAAAGCCGTACCAATACTGCTATCTAGCTCAGCCCAGCTGGTCACACAATTGTGTTCTGTGACCGCGCTAGTATCAGGGTATGGCACTAGGCTAGACCTACATGATATATGCTAGACTTACTATACATATGTACGCGTACCTACGTGTAGTCTCGTACTCATAAACCTCCTACATGTATATACATACATGTAGACTCATACCGCAAATCCTCGAAGGAATTGCCAAATTGTAGTTCTATCTTGAAGTTGATTTCAACCTCAATATACACATGTACAAGAGGAATCTTCAGAACACGTACTACTTGTATTAGTTCTCAATTCTATATCGGAGACCTGCTAGTTTCCAGACACCTACTATGCTTTTGGATACTCTGAGGTTTTAATGGTATACTAATGGCGTACTGGTACGGCTCCCCTAAACCCCACTTCCCTCTAAAAAGCAGGTTGTGACCAAAATTACCATTTTGAAGAACACCAATTCTCTACTATGTGTTAAAAAAAGTGCTTCTATAGAAATACATTCCTTTGAAAAGTCGGTGTCTTTGTTATTATGGTTTCACTACGTCACCTTTAAAACTGCAAAACTTGTACGGCTCTGATCACACCCAGGGTTCCCGTATTGTAGTGTCTATCACTTCTGATCCATCGATATTACACTCCCATATATAGAATATCTTTGCTTTCCAACGCTGCAATATCGAATTTTATGAGCTATATACATAACACAGGAGAGATAAGGCATCACAAAATATAACATTGCGGTGCGGGGATATCAGTCTCACTGTCAATGCTACCTATGAGGTAGGATGCGGGGGATTACCCGAGTGGATTGTTGTGGCTAAGGTGTCTAGGAACCGCACGCTCCGGTAAGAAAATTCAATGCACCACTAGAAATGAGAAGGATATCTGTCCCAATGGAGGCACTTATATTCGAGACGGAAAATATTCGCAAACCTTATATTTCACGAATCTTGACTTAGGCTGGAATATTGTCTATCGATAGGCTTATGCAAAAAGAATATTACAAGACAAAGGAAAGTCCTGTACGTGGGCGCGGACACGTCTAGACGATACGCGGTAACGCCTCTATTCTATTATAGATTAGGTGACCAAGTGCGGGTCATGCTCTACCTTGTGGGCTCAGGGTTAGGGTTCTCACTCCTTGGAGTGTTCGTTCTGGGCGACTAACTGTTGTGTCGGCACGCGTGGCCTGACAGCATGTACACCGAACATCCCTCATACATCGAGTGGACATAACGATGAACACGCGGTCACCCTCCCCCACAACTTCATTTTCAACAAAACGGTTTTCAAATATCACAAGAGTTTTACCACCGCACTAATTTCCTGACGATGCGGCTCTGGACCTTCTTATCAACCATTTTTTATTAGACACTGTATGTTCATCCGCAGACCTCCTCGATCACCTTTGGACAACTTATACACCAAAGCAGCTCAGGGGACTACAGCGGGGGTCATATCGTATACATTTTATCGCTCACCACATCAGGGAGGTGACTGATCAACTGAATTTCATCCATCCGGCTTTGCTAGAATCTCTTCCACTCTAGCTTTTGATATCTGCCCTTCCAGAACGCTCTCGTCTCATAGCCCTCGTTTCTGAAGGTACTATCTATATTCCTTTGGAACTTTTAAATTTTTCCGGGGGTTTGATTGCAAAGGGTATTTCCTTTCACGCTTACATTGACTAACATTCATTGCTTGTTAGCCGCTAAATATGGTGGGAATCACATAGCGGGTATCCCAAGTCTTCCGGTAACACGATGGTTTCTTGCGCTCTTTCTACCACTCATACATTTGTGGCCATAGCCGGAAGGCTCTATGCAGTTTATGAATGAAACAAAAAAGAAAACGCCGAATCCTCTTTCCGAGACTACTGGAGCTTCTCTCATAGTGCCCCCTACGGTCCAGTATATTAAATGCCACGATCTATGTTTCTCAAAACTCTCGAACCTGCAGAGTATGAACCGCCGTTTGGGCTAAGATCATATGATATCGGCTGCTAATCCTCCCTTCGTCATATCCAGGTTAATGCGGTAACCTTCCGCGCTCTTTGAAGGCTGACCCCGGCCCTCAGGCTCATGCACACTGTGGCATCTCTACCTTTGGTGAGGACACATACACTCTCTCCTCCGCAATCTTTTCGCTAATTCGTCAGATCATCCTAACGCCCGGCCCCCGACTGAAAAATGGGGTCATCATCATCGACTATTGTCTATACCGCCGATATGTCTTTTACATAAGTCTCGATCACCAATCTCGAAAAAAAAAAAAAGAAGAAAAATAGGAGGTTCACATTGACTCCGGGTGAGAGTACATGATGCGAGTGACGGCTCATGAAGCGAGTGACGGCTCATGAAGCGAGTTACCGAGTGTGAACCGAGTGATGGACGGTGAACCAAGTGAGAGGGTATGATGCGAGTGCAGATTTGTGACCCGAGTGAGAGGATATGAGGCGCGGGTCAGCGCAGCGCTTGGATGGGGGTTGTGGGTTAGTGGTTATTTGGATGCGGTATTGCAATTCGTGAGCGCACGGGTGGTATATATATGGAAGGGTCGGCGAGACTACAAGTGTTGAACGGAACATGATGTGTTTTAAGAAAACGGCTCTTTGTGTAAAATTAACCTAGGGAACTATCCTATAATAAAGAATGAGGAAAGGAAATTGAGTGAGATTTAGAATAGCGATTAAGTATGTTCATCCAGATCAAATGTTGAGGATGTCGCTGTAGCTTTTCCTTTCACGGTGCTGGTAGAGGAGATGGTAAAAGGGATTATATTAGGACTATGTGCTGGTAGAATATCATATATATATGTTTGTGTATTTATCACTTTGTACGAATCTTCTCCATCACAAATTATAAAGCAAATCGGGGATTCATAATCCTCTTTATTTGGAGTGAAAACTCATAATAAATTGCTACAGTAACGGCAATCTCCCCCCAGAAGTCACCCAAACACCCACCAAAGAATGGAACTGAAGACAGGACGAGTAAGGGATTAAGATACATTGCGCTCGATAAAGCTATGTGATGAGCCTATAGGTAATCCGAACAGACCACACTTTTATGGAACTATGACAGTTGAAATTGGAGGTCGGGCATAGGTACTGCTCTTGTATTTGACATTAAAAAAGTTTTGCGCCTTGAGCTCACATGCAGAAGGATCTAACCCCTGATATCTAAATATCATGAAGGCGAACCTTCTCGCCGTTTGGTCTCGGGAGAGGAATAACCCTCCGCGCGCGGCCCAATGATCGGTCAAAGAGTTTGACCTTGTGCGCTCCCCGAGTCTCCTACCATACAAGGGGCCATCCTGCGGAAGCCCAAAACACGCATCTCTTCTCGCTAACACAGGAAATCGAACCACTAGGGCGAAGAGGGAATGCGCACGCGCCACCATGGATAACGCCTCCGAATACCCCTTTCAAACCACTCTACTGCCATTCGGAGCAAAAACAGTATTTACTCGCATATTTCGGCGAAGAGTATGCGCTCTTCGATCACCAGGCGTTGCGTGCTGGTGGTGAGGGCTCGAGCGCAGTGGAGCTTCTCGCGATGAATGTTCGCGGTAGGTAGAGGGCGGTGAACTACTGCGAGTGTTAGCTTTCAATCCCAGTTTGACCAAAAATGGAAGCCGTTAACATTACCCTGTATGGAGTTAGAGATGTTTCCCCATTCTAAGATCTCCACGATCCACTGGGAGGTTGATCTCAATAAAGCGTTAGCATCAGTCGCTGGTGACCACGCTATGATAGATCATGTAATAGTCGGTCAAGAAGACATAATTAACATCACCGGAGCGATATATATATGTCGCCGACCTGTCATTAAGCGCTCTAGTTCTTCGCTGTCAGGATGGGTGTATCCCGAATGCCCATCTTCCATAATCTCGTCCAGGTAGGTGCGTGGGAAGTGTGTCGTTGGGCCCTTAATTGTTTGTCGTTGTGGTTCAGTTGTCTGCATGTTGTGGGGCATGCAACGTTGTTCGGCGTGCGGCTCTGCTCGCATTCCTAGTAACCCTAGCCCTGTGCACCAACAACCAAGTCTGTGCAACCCCATCGCCGTCGGCAACCATCGTCAGAGCAACCACCAGAATAGGAATCGGAAGCTCCATGCGAGCACCAGTCGAATCTTTACCTTTCAATCCATTAAAGACCCGGGGTCTATCTTAATTTTGTCGAACGTCGGGTATCGCCTTCGATCATCTCCTTCGTTTATCGTCAAAGAATGAAAACCAAGAAAAAATATTGCTAAGATACATGTGTATATACGTAGATGTAGGTGAGAAACCATCTTCGATAATTTATCTTTCACTCAATCCAAATGCGAAGGTCGCAGTGGTACCCACAGAAATGAAGTCTTGAATCCCTCCAACAGAACAGCACCCATGCATTCGGTACTTCGCCACAACCTGTGTGCAATAAACATAAGCGCTATGGTGTCGGTGTCAGAAGGGTCGTAAAAGCCCGGCTCGGCAGATCAGCTGCGAAGCAAAATCCTTGAATCACCTTGAGGAAGTTTGGCTCTTCATTATCGAGACCACCGATCATCAACCCTTTAAAGCTGGAGAGAACCTTCCTTGTCGGTCCGGGGGCTTATTGTTATGGTTTAAATATATCTTGCGAGGAGCGATAGGTAGGAGAACCTCTGACGTGACCCACGCCCACTGCAATAAATCACCCCACACAATGAGAGCCTCAACACAAAAGAACCGGCGTTGTTTTATTTTGTCAGAGCCACGTGTCCACCACCGACTAGTAAAGACCAACTTACCCATAGCGTTACACCAGAAAATGACCAATATGATTATTGAGGTAGAAGGAAAGACGGTGTCTTGCCCGAGATAATGGAGGGCGGAAAAAATTCCGTCCTCTCTTCGGCATCATGCGAGGTAATGCCGTGACATTATATTATATCGTAATCGTGGCAGTGGTGGCGGAAATGAAAGCAGTGTCCGCGCGCGAGAGCTGCTCTCATTGCAATCATTGCAATCGGAGGGTAACTGTCACTGAGAAGAGGCTACGAAGGGCATATTCCTTTGGAAAACCAACCTCGTAAGTCTTTCACCTAAGGTCAAAGCTACTACCCTGTGCCCCCTTCGCTTGATATTTTACTAAAAGAAAACTAATCAGAGCAGTAATGCTGCAAATATATATATATCTGACTAATATTAACCGTGATTGTAGTGCGACAGAAAGGAAAGAAAGGGAAAGAACATCAATCGGATGAATCGCCAGGAAGAAGAAGCATCTCAGGGAGTATCGTCGGCTGTAGACCTATGTACTACGCATATGGTGAAAAACGGCTTAGGGTGTTAAAAAAAAGACTGTTCACAACTAAATTAAGCCAGACCTTTCTTCTTGCCTTGTTCTCGTAGTAACCGCCAGTATCAAGGAATGCATATTTCCTTGTTTAATATGCGTTAAGCACTGCCATCGTGATAGTTAGGATATGATGTCAGGACAAAAGGCGACAGTGAAGGAGGTGATAGAATCCTGTGCTTGTGGCATTAAGTTCCAGCTGATGTCGGCCATGCACATTTGATTCTTATAGGCCCGACACATTAGAGTGCGGTAAATCACCCCCGGTAAGCGGCCTTTTCCACGAGTGTTTAAAAAGGTCATTAAATTCCGCATTTTGTTGGATTATGGACAACGCAGCCATTTAGGAGGTTCAGGTGTGTGTTTGCCATCTATATTACTGAGCAATCGATAGATGCTTCGTAATGGTACGTTCAGTAGGCATACGTACGTGTAATCTTAGATGCAATAGAACGGCGAAGAAAAAAAATAACTGTGCAGCAAAATTGATTAAAAATACGTGACCAGTTGTGACAGATGAGGATTAGGTAGAAATCACATGACCTACAATGGCCCCCATAGCTGCGGGCCTCAAAATCACTCTTGGCATTCTGACCTTAAAAACCCACTCTTTTCCCTACTCTCTTCCTAACTACTAACCCCACCCTCTCATCCTAAATCCTCTTTTCTTTCCACAATTCGTCATTTACACTCAAACTGAGACTTCCGCTCAATCGACTGGCATTTGGAAAGAATCGTGTAACTTCTACTATGGCAGAAGTGTGCTCACATCCATCTTCCCCAAACTCCGAAAAGCTTGATCTGGGTAGGTTAGGGCTCCTTGACGGTATGTGTAGTAGGATTTCTGACCTTTAAATTCAACCTAGGGGGAAAAAAAGACAAAAACAGGAACGCAACGCAGTATGCTCGCATTTTGTCGATCGAGAGTGGCCTGTGCAACAATGTTCATGTGGTCTTACATGGTTGGCAGAATGCGTAGTAGGCAAGCTTGACGGGCCTCTCTCCAATAGTTCCTGTCCCAAACGATACAGAAGGCGGTGAGAAAACAGTGGCGTGCTCATGTTCTGTTTCGGGTCAGGTTTGTGCCACATCAGTCTGGAGGACCCTGGAAATCCGAAACAGAATCTGCAGCAGGCTAGCTAATATTTCAATCCCAATATGAGTTATAGCAGCGTGCTCATCTTCTGTCCCAGCCAGCCGCATCGGTCGGTGACACTGTGCCGGCTAGCTTAGGACAGAATTTGTAGCAGGCGTGCCTAAACTCGGGATTTCCCAGTTCCTTGCCCCACCTGTAATACAAAAACAAATGCAAAGAAAATTACCGTGGTCCTTTTCTATCACGCTCGATGTTAGAGACTAGCTCTCTTGTGCGTCATCTTCGAAAGGCTGACAAAATTTGTAGCAGGTTGCATCCCTTCTCCTTGTTTCTTCTCTGAGTAAGTTATCTTTGATGCGTGATATGCCTTGAGCTAGATATGCTGCCGCGAGTTCTCATGTTCTATACGAGATCTTTATATTAGCTCCGTTTAGGATGGTGTGGGATGCTCCAAGTTTGGACTCCTGTGCTGTATATGTTGATCTCTATATATATATAGTTAATAAACTCTTAATAGAACTCACGCCCCTTCGTATAGACCACAATGCATTACAGGACTCTACGCCGTATCCGTCAAAGCCACTTAACGCATTCTCCTTCCTGCTGCTCATCTCTGGCCAAGCAAACCCCGATTCAAGCACCTCCACCGAGCTGCTTCATCCACAGATTGGTCAGTCGCATTACCCGCGCCGGAACAGCTCAGTTGTAAATCATGGGAAGCATCGAGGCGTAACTAATGATCACCTAAACGATATTCAAGTCTAGGCCGACTCACCGACCAGCGTCCCGGTTTCGAGACCTCCATCCAAACTCCCCAGTATCGTTCAGGACGGATCTCTACTCAAGATCTTTCAATCTGCAGGCCACATTTCAGTGTTATTAGGCGGAAGGGATTCTCTAGTTTATGTAGTGAGGGTCTAGCCCGTAAACAGAGCACTCAAGGTAAAGGAAGCTGAGGAGTAGTGTCCCTCGCTGTTGCGAAAGAGAGACAAACAATTTGTAAGTTTCCTTTTGTGGAGTTGGCAGCTGCTACGAGCCACATTACGCATTGAAAACATAGGATTGTGAACTTGAGCTGGTGCTGTAAAGCTGAATGCGTAGAGTTTCTGTCTAGTCTGTTAGAAGTTGCGTTTTACTTCTAACCATCTACGTATGCCTCCTGTACATCTACGCTTCACAGTTGTAGTAGTATACGCAGGCACCAGCCGGGCCTACGCAGGCGGTGGAGCTAGACACGAAGCATTCCGAAATAGGAAACAGTTACGCGTTCATGATAGCGACGCGGCCAGGGACTAGGTTACACAGACTTAGCGTCAACTTGCTGTTGCGTAGCATCGACTACCGGTGCTCACTTGTACTGTGAGCAAATATGCCCATCCTTCGGTACTATTAGCAACTCGGATTATAATACCGTAGACGAAAGCGTTCTTCTATGTCCTTTATGTTAGCCAGAGGAGAGAGGAAATGCCCCCTGGTGCTCTTGCTACGGGGACTTCATCGGCACGATACATGATGCTTCACCCCCGACCGCTGATGAAGTACCTTGTATCAGGAAATGAATACAATATCCCTGGTCTAATAATCGCTGGGATCCAATCATTTCTCTGAGGTATTCCTGAATGGTAGTAAAAGAAGACCTGGTTTAATCAACCTGCATGGCTAGAATTAAAATGAGCTTCCGTCGGTCTTATTCTGATATTTATCATTGTTAGAGAGGGACTCTTATCCCAGCTTTGATCTCTGATGATACAAGACATCCAGAATACTATGTATACTCGACAGTATTCTATTTGTGTTTACATTTCCCTTGCATACCTGTCAATCGTGGGCTATCACTCGAAGCGGACATATCCAGCTCTGATTCTTGTACAAGGGTAAGAGCGTCTGGTCTACGAGATAAGGCGAGCCTGGATCTTGTAAGAAATAGATAGACAAACTATTGAATGTCGATGTGCTCATAGCCCCTATTATGCATCAATCCCGGCCACGGGTTTACTTTGATCAATTCCGGGAGAAGAAATTACGAGGAACCTAGTGAGGAAATAAGATCATATCTCATGCCTCTAGGTAGGTATCATATCATTCACAAGTCTAACTCAAACAGGTTCTGGAATTGAGTATATATACGATCTAGAACTATTCTTGTCATGAATTATCACTCGCGCTTCCCGGTCGCGGCTTTATCACCTTGCGGAGGCAAGTGTCCAAATCCTGTGAATATGAGGTTTTATTGCACACACAAAGCCGGATTGTATCATGTTATCCGTCAAAATCGAAATTTCTTCTGTCATTGAGTTCGCTAGACTTCTTACTGGCCGTGCACGTGTATGATAATGGTTAATGAGGGGCAGCTGTGATGTTATGGTTTTATCTACTCTCATTTCCCAATTCCCTGTTTCTACATCGTTGTCTCAGACTGTGTAGATACTATAGTAATTTATTGCTGGTCTTCCGAGGTAAATATGCACATCAAGTATAACTCATAATATCTCGAGAGCGCTTGAAACTTGAAAGCATAATTATAAATAGAACTTATGTGCAATCAGTTTCACATTCATACCCAGGCACACTCTGTAATGGAACAGAATCCTGAGCTCGGTGGGGATTTCGGAAATGTATACTTCCATCGGTATCATTGAGGTGACATCGGCCTGCCCATCAAAACCGTGAATACCTCTGCAATTAATTTAGGGATTAATCGTAAAAACCCTATGAGAGTTAGATTGGAAATGAGCATGAATCAATTGACATGCATTCACATTTCTACTCCGCTTCAAGGGAAGGATTTCCACGATACTTGGCCTTGGTGCTATCGCGCCTTTGGTTACGCTAATAGTGCATGGCCTAGCGCCTGGATACTTGTGCTTCCTTGTGTGCATACCACTCTCTGCCACAAAGCCGCCTGGAATAAATTTTGTTAACCTCTATCCGATCTAGACAGATAGTGGCTTGATGAAAACACGCGTGTTTTGATATCCCACCCATTATCGTTGATTAACAGTGGTATCAACACTTTTATATAACGCACTTAGTTTGGAGGGGAACTAAAATGGCAAATACTGGAGCTAGCATTTTTGCTCTCGGCTTTTTCTTATCCACGAAGTGAGGTCGGAAATTAAACATGGCAGTCGATCGCTTTGGGTTTGACAACTTTTCGAGACCAGCAGCGGTGAGGAATAAAACTATCCCCTACACTAGGCCAGGCAGTGTTTCATCACCACAGCAAACTGGATTTCCTCGCGTAAGATCGATTCCGTATCACGGGTCCTCTGGACGTGGTGGGCTATCAGTGCAGCCTGATAATACCTGTAGTCCCTATGTCAGCGCAAAGAATTTAGTTAGGTGTGTTACTCACCGAGTCGAGGTTTTTGTAACAGGATGCGCCGCTGTCATTCTTTCAAGGTAATGTGCGAGCCTCATCCCGTTCTGTCCCTTTGTGCCCCATCTAGAGCAATCATATATTCCCACTCGCTGAAAAAAAAGAAAAAGAAGATTCTTCCACTGGTTGCATTCTTCAACCCATAAGCTGAGCAATATGTTCGGAGTCTCCCTCTGCGCTCTTATCCGATTGCATGACAGGGGATGTTTCGCCCTCATATAGAACACATCCGGTAACCATGTCATTGCGCCCTGCAGCTGGCCCATGGTCTTCCCTTCCGAGCGGATATCGGGGTACGCAGTCTTGTTGCCAGGTCAACCAGCTCGCGCTAATCCTTCTCCGCTAACACCATATGTATACGAAAACGACCTGTGGTGTTGCGTCTAATATAGAAGGCCACGCTTGACAATGCAAACTGAACGCTCTCCCTAACGAAATATGCAATTTCAACAATGTGAGTGGGTTTATCGCTGCTGTAAGATCCTTCGTTAGGGAGTGAAATAGATATGCGATGTAGGGGTGGGTCCTATTTCAGAGCCAACGTAGCAAGTATAGTTAGTATCGATCGATCTCTCGTATATAAATGGTACATATCATTGCGGTGGGATACGTACGTGATATATCCAACCCACAGGAATAAGTGGGGCTAGATATACGTTGGCATGAAATTCCTGACAGGCACTCGGCGCCGCTGATCTGTGCGTATCAGAACGATAGACGAATGATTTCCCCTCCCGGTCCATTCTCTGTCCGATTCTCCATGATATCGAATGTCCTGTCCGCTGTGAACGGCCGAGAATCTATCGCTGATCGGGAGTCTATAGTGGTATATGATGGATTCCTTTCCCATGGGATATGCCAGCTGCGCCTCATTTATCTCGACGAAAGAACTTTGCCCCTCGCCTGTTATAAAATCCGTATAATGTTGTAGAACATCCACCGAAAGATATAAAACTATCGACTCACTCGAGTTAGCACTTGGAAGAACGACGGTTGAATAGAACTTGCTTGAACGAACCTCTTTTATACCAATATGCAAGAAACGTTTGATTCCATGAGCTGCCAATCGTATCCAGAGGACTCCAGCTCCGAGGACTGGGGTGGACTCGCTTATCATTTGCCAGCTGTTATCAAAGATATATATCATCAGGAGGTGTGTAGGAAGAAGATGGATTAGTCGATGGTTCTGTAAAACTGTTAGTTGCCAATGTCCACGAAAAGAACAAGAAAAACACGTAGATACCTGCGTCCTTGAACTAAGTAAAGCCGAAAGTCTTATAGGTGGTTAGAGTCTATGAACTCAGATGAGGTTTGTTTCGCCTCCCAATATCTATCCGACAGCTGAGAGGAAGTTGTAGAGAAGAAAATTCCGCATTCTTGGTCAAGGGAGATCCACCGCTGAATCTGTGTGGTTCCAGGTCAGGTGCAGTAGCAGTGTAAAAAAGAGTTCCTGGAGCTTCAATAATTCCTGGTGGGGTCCGGGGATATGGTGATTGGCGATGTAGTAGTTAGGGTTAGGGCTCCTGAGCGCCGCAACCAACCTCACCCTACCAACGCGAAGTAGAAGACTCAAAGTGAGGATTTCATCGATGTGACTAGAACAAGAAGAGATACGACACGGATAGCGAATGAAATTACCCCCGGAGATAAAGAATATTTGCCATAGCACCGCTCTTTCTCCTCCTTTTATACGCCTGCCCCGCGCGCCTGCGGCCAAGCCAATGCGGCGATAGTAGTATAGTAGTAAAACCGGCCTCTAAAAATAACCATTCACTATGCTATATATAGCGAAATAAGGGATCGGCGAGCATGGTAATACTCTCTGTCTTAGTATCATTTTCGTACCCCTGCCGCAAGTTTTGGCGCCTGCGGGAAGCTTGGCATTGAAATAGCACTAGGAATTGAAAACACACATGGCGAGTATGGCCTAACGGTTAGCACTCGCCTCCGGACCGACACCGTGAGGTTGTATGTTGCCTTCGATTACAGAAGGTTCAGTGTTCAACCCAGGGGTGGTGATTGCAAAATCTTTTGATTTTTTTGTTTACAGCCCACTAGGTAGGGATTTTTACCTATTCTTTTCTGCTCTTGGTGCTATCTTCGTCTAAGCGACACTAAATGCGCTGGTGCGGGAAGAATCCTGAATCATAAGTACATGTAATTAAGATGAATAGTTTCTTGATTGTGTAATAGGTTTTATTTACTAATTTCTTAATGACTTTAACGAACAAGATATATCCTCTAGAACTGGCTGCTATCACACCGCCCGCAATGGTGTATATCCGAACAGATTTCCGAAAAACACACACTACTCTTATGACTATCCCCCTTTCTGACCGTCCTAACATATCAATCGTTCGTCTCGCCCGTCATTGCGAGTTCCCTCATCTCCGGATGAGAAAACCTCACTTCTTGCCGCCCATCTGCTCCGCATGCGCCTTCTTGAACTGCGTGAAAAGATCACCCAACTGCCCATCTGCCCCCGCACCACCTCTCAGTTGCGCCGGGAGAGAAAAATACCACGATAACAGTGAACCGAGGGGGGGTTCGGCTGCGGGACCATGTCTGGTGGAGGCGTGGGGCCCTCTAAACCGGGCTTGAGGGGGGCCGGGGTCTCAGTAGGTTGGGACATATCTGATAGATGATTGTAATTGTTGGTTGGCTACTGCAGTTACTGCGTTGTGAGGTAGTTCTTTCAGTTGAGTTGAGTTGTGTTGTGTTGCGAATTATAGTGTTCTCTGCTGTGTGTAGACATAATTTAGAAGGAGAACTAGGCGTATTGAAAAGGTCGGAATGATTTCAAGTATGATATAGTATCTTTCAAAATCATGTTTGAAAACTTTCTCGTAAAGCAATCTTGAAAAATAAAGGGGTGTTTCAGGCGCTATGATTCACAGGCACCGAATTCCCGAAATTTAGAAGGAATAGGAGCGCGGCAAGCTCCACAATCGCTACAGGGAGAAACATGACCAGATTGATATATTATGCCTTGATGAGTTATAAATTCTTTTTCTGACTTGAAAGATATCGGCTGCAGCTGGCGTAGAGTGGGATCCCGAGTTCCAGCAAAGGCGTGTAGCTGGTGGGTCTCCTACCAAGGTGTCAGTGGCCAGAAGCGAGGCGGTGGAGGTAAGGGTAGCGAGCGTGATATCTAACCATTTTATCAGACTCCACCACCACGTACATCACTAACAACTGGCAACCTAGACAGGTAAGGTAACTTCAAAACTACTCTGCGCTGTGCGTGAAACACCGTAAACTGTATGTTGGGGATTGACACCTGACGTCACATGAGACATCAACGCCAAGCCTGGGTTAGGTGAAAAGGAGGCCTCCGTATCCACATTACAAAAGAAATATCTACTCTTATGAACAAGACGTGCAACATTTGATTCTTTAGCTAACATTTACTTTAGCTACCTATATTCCCGTGTCTGAAAGGAAAAAAAATATTTGTAAGCGGAAATACAACCTCATCTTCTCTTACAAACGTCCTACAGATAGGCAAGTACAGGGCATATTATTCAACTATCTGGGGCGGATGGTACGAATTGCGGATGTGATCTGTAATGATAAGGATAGATAGAGATTGAGATCACAATGAATTGCAGACGGTAAAGTATGAAGGCCTTAGCTGCATGTACTTTAGGCTTCAGTTGAAGAGAAAATTATAATCCGTCAAAAAAAGAGTCCAACAAGTATAACGATAACGCCCACCTATATGTGGGCCGTTTAAATCCATGAGCTATTTCAATTCCCTTGTAATGACTAATATCATCCCCATAAAGGTGGTGGGGGGTGGTTTATGTATCCCGGTGAGCCCGGGGGCGATACAGGTTCAAAAATAATATCACCTGCACCATGCTCACGACCCTCACGGCCGCGAAGACCCTCTCTACACTCAGCCCGCTCATCGCCCTCAGCCCTCCCACCAGGTATATGAATCGCAGGCTCATCATCCTCCACATTGGCCCGCCCCTCCCTCTCAAGCCCCCTACGAGGCCTGTAAGTCCAATGCTCATCATCCTCCACATTACCCCCCTCCTCGCCATCATCAGCCGCCAGCTCATCCGGCTCCCTAATTGCCAACACAGCATCCCATACGCCCCTCATCCGCATCGTATTCATAAAATCCACCTCCATGAGCGAGATCCTGCGCTGCGCTGCCTCAATCTCGCTGAACAGGAACCGCGCCTCGCCCCTCAGGGACTCCATTTGATGCACGATGTGTAATATCTCGTGGTCGGTCCAGAGCCCGGGGTGCTCAGTCATGAGGATCATTGCGAGGTGGGCGCGCTGGAACTCGGTGGCGGAGAGATAGAAGGAGGTGCGAAGGTTCTCGAGGTGCTGGCGGAGCAGGGCCAGGGGGGCGCGGAGCACGGCGATGGGGAGATTGGCGCCACCGTTCATTGTGTGGCGTTGGTGGGGATTTTTGAGATTGAGTAGTTGGAGAATTGAGTTGGTTATTCCGGCTGTGAGTTTGAGATTGGTTTGTTCAGTGATAATTGATTTTCGTACTGTACTGATGGTGTTCTGTAACTTTGAGAAGATGGACTGATACAAGGAGATTTTCGAGCGCCATATGAGCATCGGGACTGTGTTCGACCTTTCTCTGGCTATGCGTACAAGAGGTGTACAGGATACCTCCTTATTTCTATTGTCCGGCCGCACGTCCGCACATTTTTGCGATCCCTCATACTATATCTAGATGCTCGGATATTTCCAGAGACGCTGGCTAGACTCCGCTCAGAGGGCTTGATAGCCGTGGCATAGAATCTCTCGTCCGCGATCCCCATATCACTCAGAGATTATTCAAATGATATTCCTTTTAGGTCGACCAGCTCGAAAAGAATACACGACGAAATATGCAGCATGGCCTCCGACAAGATTATAAGATAGTTACTACATATATCGCATGCGTCTAGGCACGTTATTCTCGGTTGACAATGGCTGGAGATACATTACCTCCTCAGAAGGATTATTCAACTCAGGGAAATCATCAAAAATAGCCAGCTGTCGGGAGAAATTAAATGCCAATCTTTCTCTGTAAGTCTTCTTTACTTCTTTCTTTGTAAGTCTTCTTTACTTCTTTGAAGGCTAAGTTCTCTTATGGAGCTTGGAATACAAAGTACATTTATTTTGTAGTACTATTCCAGCCAAATTTATGCATGACTGAGTTATGTATGCAGTTAAAAAAGGTATCGATGAGTTGAAATGTTAAAATGGGATAAAAATGATTATAAGGTGATCCATGAGGATAGTTTATCACATGTCGAAGGTAAATGGTGTTTCATGAACGATGACCGTTCTTTACGGCACTAGTTAGATGGTTCACCGTCTGAAAAAAATATTTTACTTTCCTTTTACGAATGGGAATTATCACGCCTCATATTCACTACAGCCCTTATTGATCAAGTATTTGCAAGAAAAGATTTGTTATTTGTAAGTTTAAATAATACAGTAAATGCAACCGTAAAAAAACGTAAAATCCCAGTCCAAACCGTTATCCATAGTTTTTCAATGAATGACCCAACCTTTATAGCAACCCAAATCTTCGCAACCGAGTAAAATCATCCACGTCCCTAGGAAGTTCAAGCAACTATCAACGAAACCCCCCTCCTAGAACCTGGTATAGTTCTAGCAAGCTAGCTGGCTAGTCACGAGTAAGACGTCTGCCACGAGTATAAGGCGGCGGAGCATCATAGGTTGATTGGGCATCCTCAGCTGGAGTGTATCTCGGCGGTGCCGCAGGCTGAGAGATAGCAGCAGCAGCACCGGAGGTGTAACTGGCGCTCATCGACGACGGACCAGGACCAGCACCACCACTGTGCAGCAAACTTGGCGAAGCCTGAACATTACCAGAAGATGAATACGATGCGTTACTCCCCTGCGAGGAGTTTGGCATAGTAGAATCGGTACCAGCACCGTTGCTGTGGTCTTGGTTCTGTGAGCTGTTGGATGCAGCAAGAACCCTCATGATTCCCAGCTGCTGCGCTGTAGGCATTCCATATGGCATTGTCGGCGGGTTATCAGCCTCCACCGGCTCGTCGTCTTCGAGACCTATGACCTCACCTGGAATATTGGCCATGAAGACGACAGCATTGGGGTTGATGAAAGGAGTTTCGTTCTCCGGAGAGGCTGTCGACCGGCCGCGGGCTTTGCGGACGCGCTTCTTCTGCGGTTTGGTGGTCTCGGTGTCCCCGAAGTAGACTTCTTCTTCGGCGAGCTCCGGGGGAGGGTTGGCAGGGCTTTTGGACTCGCGGAGGAGGGGTGTACGTGTGGGGCTGTTTGAGAATGAGGGGAACATGGGGTCGGAGATATCGAATGATTGACGGTGACGCTGCGGGATAGGCATGGTGATTTGTGGAAGGCGAATACTATTTGATGGAAAAGTTGTGAGTAGGGCTGTCGTCGACAGTGTGAGAAGATGGGCGGATGAGAGACAGGGATCTACGCACTAGGGACACTATTTTATAGCTTGGATGTTGTAGGATAAACTGGTGATGATGGAAAGTGTTTTGGCAGAGTCTGGTGATTGAATGAGAGAATGAAGCTGGAGAACGATGGATGTTGAAAGCCTGGAAATGTGAACTTGTGGGGAAAAGGTAGCCAGACTACAATGGTGAGAGAAATGGGTGTGCCTGAGTTTACCTATTCCTGCGTGTTTTTTATACAGGCTAATTTTGAACAGGTGCAAAAGATGAAATGGCGAGCTACGTCTGGTGCTATTTCAAGTTGTGCGAGCTACGTCACCGCAACTACCCTTTTCTATCCACGTCTCGCCTTTGTATTTCATGTTTTGCTCATACGTGTCTACTAACGTGACCTTTACTTTAGGTAGAGGTGGGAGGGTGCACGTGATATCTCTTCTGAAATCGCGGAAGCTAGGTTCGACATCATTGGTACTCAAAGAGGACAGCAATGTATCAACTAAACCCACCTTGAGTGGTAATCGATTTTTCTACTCGTCCGCAATGGAAAGGAACAGAACACGCTTACCTCCGCCCTCTATTGACCGTTCACAGTCAACTTTTACTTTATTCCTAATATGAACTTCACGTTTCTATCAGGCATCAAAACCAACCAAGTGTCGTACAGAAAGGTCCTGAGATCGAGAGACCACGCCCTGTAGATTCACAAATTGGTACCGAAAATCCATCATTCACCGGGATTTGTGCACTTGACGGACGTACTACAGACCTAGCTCTATTTCCAAAAGTGTGAGCACTTATGACACTAATCCAGTAGTTCACATCGTAGGTGATCCAAATATCTAAGTCAAGACCCTGAATCTTGGAGGGCCGTCGGAAGCCATCCCCCGGATATTTTTGAAGGTTTATATACGGGCGCTCAAATGTGATCCGTAGATTGCACCAAAGTGGGTACAGAGTTATTATGAGTCGTTTCTATATCAGATCTCTAATTTGTCTTCGGGGTTTCAAACTTAACACCGTCAGAATATCCACGGGATGGCTTCTATTCGCACTACATATATACAGTACGATGCCAGTCGTGAGCGTCAGGCGCGGCGTCGCAACGCCGCACGCGCAACCAGATTTCTACAACCTTTCACGACGGGTTGGTACACAAGATATTAAATGTCAAGTTGTTGTTATTTATCTACTATTTAAAAACTATACAAAAATTCAGCTCTCCAAAGGATCAATTGTGGTTGCTGTGCTGGTACCCGTGATGGTTTGGGGGGCGTTGCGACGCGCCTGACGCTCACGACTGGCATCGTACTATACATATAGATAGTACAGATCTGTAGGAACCTTGTAATTTCCCTAGAAGTGAAAGATTGCCGATACGTGTTACAACGACAACTGAACATGTGGTCTCATCATCATTTTGTAAATAGTATGTTCTTATTCCTCGACTAGTACTTCATAGCATTAGAATCGCATGGGGGCTTTTGTACCTAGACTAGTAATAAGTAATTGATATCGACAGATGTTGCCATTTTGAAAATTCACGCTTTTTAAAAAAGACATCAAAGCATCTCACAATTGACTACCTCATCTAAAAGAAGAGGCACATATGAAAGCAACTTTATTCAATTCCGACTTCATGTTTAAGAGAAGCCAAAACACGTACACCGTTCCACATGCCTTACCGCACCATACTGAATTCCTCCCCCAGAACCCTACCCCTCAGATCTGACAATGCGGCTCATCATCCTCCAATTCCGCCCCACAGCTATGGCACATCAACGGCATCTCCAAGCCCTCCTTGCCGGGAACAACCAATGTACCATCCTCCTTCTGCTCCACCGTGGCAATAAAGTCCCTCCAGTCCTTTGTCACGACGCGGCGGTGGCGTTGGCGCCTGAGCGTCGCTCCGGGCGCGAATAGAGGCGGCGTTTCAGTGCCTACGGGCGTGTCGTTGAAAGTTTCCTCGTCGGCCTTGGCTTCGGTGGACTTGGGGGTGCCATCGTAGTTCTCGTTGGCGGGGTATTCAGCCACTTCAGGGGAGTAGCTGGCCTCGTCGTCGAACATCCCGGGCCCGGTGGGGTCATCGATGGAGGTGATGGAGAGGGCGAGAAAGGCTTCAAGCTCATTGGGGTTTTCTTTGGCTTCGTCGGGAGCGCGGGCGGAGAGCTCAACAGGCTCGTCTTGAGAGGAGAATGACATGGCAGGTCTAAATAGGAGAGGAGAATAAGTTTAAATTGTTGAAAAATTTTACAAGGAGAGAACGACGTTGAACAGAGACTTTGGTTCGTGGTCACGGGTCCTGGGAGGAGAGGTGTTGTGGGTTGTGTGGGTTGGTTATTGTTGTGGTGGGTTCCTTTTATATTTGTCGGGCGCCGAGATCGACGTTCGTGCCCTTAACTTGCCCTTAACTTGCCCTTAGGTTCCCCTTACGTTGTCGGATTGTTTTGCCGGGGTGCTTTGGGACCCTGGGCGCTGCTGACCTTGGGGAATCGGTATTAGAACCGTTTATCATTTTAGCCAGCACTAAGACAAAACCAATTAACTTACGAACACTGTAGGCCTTTCAATAATGTCATCACAGCTTCAATTGAAATCCTTACCTAGGTAAAGAGATACTGAAATGATACAAATGTTGAAAAGATAACGGTAATCGGTCATCCACTCTCAGTAAACGGGTTCGATAGTGGGGAAAATGTGACACTGAGCTGGGTAGCCATGGTAGTTTACTAGATGAGATGATTTCAGTGAAAAGAAGAGAGAGAAAGTATATGAGTGGGTTCTGTCTTTACTCTACTTGACCGTGTTTTCAAAAGCCTTTTTTCATTTCTTTCTTTCCTTTAATTAATTCATTGCATGCGACCTGCTGGCTATGACAATTATTACACAAGGTGTAGCTAGCTGGTCTGAGGAACCTTTATAGAAACCTACTTTACCATTCCCTCTCTAACATAAGATCCATGAGATTTGTGACTTGCACACGAGCATACGCAATACCAGAATGAATGCTGGATTTGAGTTTTATGTTACACAAAAAAATCATCTTACAAGTCATATTCTAGCATAATTTCCCTTCACTCCGTTCAAGAAATTCCCATCGCTTCCCTCACACCATCCCAATCCACACCTCCAAATCAATTCGCATTCGAACCAATTCAACCTCCATCATGCGTTTCCGAATCCTGCTCCTGCTCCTAACCGCAGTATACTCTCTCTTAACCTACCGCTCCAGTGTTGTGGTCGCAGGCCCGATGAGAGCCCCGGCCGCCAATATCACCAATATTGCTGAAGCGATGGCCTACCATAGAGACGCATATTTCCTCTGTCTATGGCTCATGTCCGAGCACCATCATGACACAGACGATGGCTCGAAGGCATCCCCAACCTCCATCTACCACCCCCAGGTGACTGCTGCTATCTCGTCTATCCGTCTTCACCTCGCGAACACAAGGCTCAATCGCCCCCCCCTTCGAAATACTATCCACCCCGGCACTACTCCGACCGCGGTCAGCCCTAAGCAATGCACTCCACCAGTTGAGCATGAGCATCCTCCTGTAACTCTTAATCACTACTTTCCCGCACCTACGGAGTCCTATGCCGAGTCTATCAAATTTGATGAAGACACAACTGGAGAGACCGACAGGCCGCCGTTGTTTCCACACTTGGATATTATTACGGAGGAGGAGGAGGACGACATCATCCGGGCTGTCAGAGCCAAGAATGATCTTGAGACGAAACGATTCCTGACGCAGCTCTGGTTCTTTGTTGGTGGGGTGTTTGTCTGGTGGTGGGCGCTTCTCGGTTGGTAGAGTGGGGGTGTGATTTCGGTAGGGGGAGAATTGCTTTGATCGTGGAGGGGGGGATGAAGGACTTTAGTTAGATGGAATGTTGCTATTTGATGGAGCGGGGAAGTCGAGACTGATGTTGTATCCTCAGCTATTATTTACTTGGAGGTGTTGTGTAGCTGTTGAGTTGTTTGCAATGTGGTATGGCTATGTAGCTCTTGTTTCCTCTCGCCAGTTATGCTTGATTTCCGAAAATTCCATAATGCCAACTGTTGGGATCAAAGGCGATGTCGCGAAATATGTTTTGTTGGCAGGAAAGGGAGAACAGCGTAGCATTGAACACCTCATATATATACCGGCTGGCTATCGCAATCTTTGACATGATATGATATTTTCTTCAATGTTTGGTATTGCAATTCTATCTCCTCATCCCATTATTTTGAATCATGACAGTATGATGCAATAATATCTCGGCTTGCACAGGTCTTCCGGATCAATAATGCTCGCCCAGTGCCCGCCACAGGGAGTGTGCGAGACCATTTCTGATACTTTTGTCCCTCCAACCTACAAAAATAAAGTTGGTATTTCATTCTCCTCGTAACACAGAATTTCAACAAGCAACAGCGAAATCGACCGACTGTACCATAAATCAGACATCGCAATACCACCGATCGCAGCAAAGCGCAGTGTGGCCTTGGAACCATCTTTCATTCGCCACCTCTTACATGCTTCCCGCCTTCACATCTTGCTCCCATGCTACCCGCTTTCATGATCATGCCAGATATTACCCTCCAATACCACGTTGTATCTCGGTGCATCTCGAGAGGTGTCGTCAACCTCTTGGCAGCGTTAACAGGGATCACACTTCGCAATGAAGTGTGTGGTTACACTGCACGATATCGCATCACACAGCGTAAATATTATGTTAGCTACACTTCCGAAAGAAATACTAGGTTGTACCGCGTTGGGAAGTGATATATTTGAGGGCCTTGGCGTCACAGCGTATCACTCGCTTCTGCTCACGCTTGTCGTACAGCGGTGGGTATTAAGTCATCGGACGGCCTAGCCACAATTTTGCCTGCAAACGCGTATTTTGATGGCGTTCTGTCTGATCACTTATTACCCACCGCTGTATAGCGGGGGGAAGTTGATATTTGTAAGGTAGCCTGTGTTTTGCGGCTATTTTGCGCGACAAGGAGAAAATAGAAAATATGATCTCGATTACTTATTGTAATGCTCCGCGCTCAGTATGCTGCTTATTGTCGCCACGGTGTTCCGATATTTCGTTATTGAATCATCTGTGTTCAAAGTTAGCCTGGGTGTTTATAATATGCCGACAAAAGAAATAGCTAGGTTCCCCCCCCCCAAAAAAAAAATGGTAGGATTAAAGTACGTACCTCGCCCCACTCGCCAACTATCACTTATAAAAGGCTGATATCCGAACTGCATCTCCAGAACCTGCTTCCTTTCGCGAGCCAGCTTCTGTGACCTCACGGCATTAACCAATCCCGCCGTCTCAGGTTGAATGGCGCATATGCCCCGAGCCAAAAATATATTTCCCTCTCGAATGGAAGGGCGCGTGGTTAAATCTCGCGATTGATTTGTGACAATTCGAGGGTCATAAGGAGTCCCGTCCTTTTTGTGCGCGCAGTGAGTTTTTGAACTCGTCCGCCAGGATTTTTTAAGTGCGCCAGCGTTAATGGTAGAGCGTTAGTTCTAGGTCCCGTTGGTATCATTGTGTGAGTGCATAGCACAACAATCAAGGTGGGATTCGCATGAGGTGGATTTCTCATTTTGTAAGTTGGTGAACTTTTCTATTGCTATGTTAGTTTCTTTTATCTTATCGCCGACATAACGCCAAAGCCATGGACACGACACGAACTTACCAACCTTCCTTCTTGTCGCACCGCTGCCAACCTTCTGCGTACCTCGGGACATTCGTCGTGTATCATGTAGCGGGTACCTGTGTGCGGGTGGCTTCGCGCTTTTGCAGAAATGTACCGGTGGTCAGTTCCGGTTTTTGGTAGAGTGATCCAAGACCTGTTGGAAGATTAGGTTGTAAAATAGGGCGCAGAGAATGTACTGGTACATGCTTGGTGTAGTAGCTTAAGGGTTCAAGTGGAGTGTCGTGGGGAGCGGTTGTCGCACCGAAATTGCTGGCGGCTGCCGGTTTCTTTTTGCGGTCAACGAAGAGAAAACGAACTTTTACTAGCCACAACTTATCTCCGACCCGCCCCGCCCCTCCCCGCAGTAATCACACTCTGTGGTTCTTTTCCTCGATCTCGCTATCTCTGATCTACTCTTCTTGAAATATCTGAACTGCGTCCAAGGAAATCTCTCCTCCTCCAATAGCGACCTACACACAAATCTCATTCTTCACAGTTTCTCAAAAACAACCACAGAGGACAATACACCCTCCTCACTTCCAGTCCTACCTCTCACGCTCGAGTTACTCTGGCATCATTCACCAGCCATTTCTAAAATGCGACCAAGACCTACCACCAACCAGCCAAGGAGCGCTCCAGTGGCTCCACTTTACCCTGGTGTGAGCCCGCAGATGAACGCCGCCCTCGTCGACGACTCCCACACCGCGTACAGTCTTGCCTGCCGTATGGGTGCGCAGAGAAACAACGAACAAATTCGTGCCCTTCGCTTGGAGATGTTTACCTACGCGGCGTCAATCGGCCTTCAGGTTGTTCTTCCCTGGTCAGCTCTTAAAGACCACTACCCTGTGCTGCTCGAAGGCTATATGGACAATATTGCGACCCATTTTCATGCACGCTATGGTTGGGACCGAGAATTGTGTGAGGAGTTGCTGGGTAATATTTTTACTTCGCGTGAGTTAAGGAGGGCTGCGGGCTTCCCTACTGAAGAGGGATATGGTATGTGTCAATGATTGTGTGATCTTTTATTAAGAGTTGTGTGCTAATTAGTATTTTATCTAGACCAAATTATCAGCTCTAGACCAGGTTCCCAGACGGCAAGGGTTGTTGAACCGCCTGTCTGCTCAACGCCAGTGCCACCGCCATCCGTCTCTCCAGCCCCAGCCCTAGCGTCTCCAGCTATAGCGTGCCAAGGCGGGGACCATGCGCCAGCAGGTAGTGCCGGGGTGCCTAAAGCGGATAGTATGGATATCGACAGCCCACCTGTCAAGACCGGGCCGAGTGACGAAGCTCCAAATTCTGTCGATGGATCTCCGGTCCTATTCAAAAAGAACGTGCAAGACTTGAATTTCCTAGATCCCGCTTCCATCGCGGCCGCGGGAAGGCAGCTAGGCCTGGATGCTGAGCGCGAGCCATTCTCTCAGAAGCACGCTAACCTGCCCACGGACGGGGCCCGGGAACAACCCGCCGTCAAAGTCAGCGTTGGACCAATCAATGATCTCACCGCGCTGTTTCCAAAGCCGACCTACGTCCAACCACCGCCCATGCTTCCCCCTCTTAGGCCAAGGGCCACTACCGTGCTCAACTTCTACTTCCCTGATGCCGAGGGGGCATGCTTTGCCCTTACGCCTGATGACAACTACGACGTGTTCCTTGAACTCATACGGAATAGGACTGTGGGCTTGGTCTGGTCGCCGAATGAGAAGAGCTGGTATAAACTTAGCTGCAAAAACAACTATGATGGGATGTGGCTGATCGTCAGGCCAGGGAGCACTGATATCTTTTTGGATTGGGTGAAGATCTATCAAGATATTGTTCTCGAGGGGAACAGTTCCTATAAACTCAGGTGCTATAGCATTTGCAATTAGGAGAAATTGGAAATTCTGGTGTTCCTTTGGGGAATGCTTTCTGGTGGAATTAGGAGTTCTTTGCTCCTGTTTGGATAGATACCGCCGATTTTGGGTGCGGTCATTTCGGAATATCTGGTGTATGATCTTCTTAGGGTTGATCTGGCTAGTTCTTCTGTGCGCGCATTTGGGAAACTTTGGTCTTGTTAGGATACATTTTTCTACTCTTTGTTAGGGTCGTTCCGTAATACACTCATTCATATCCTGTTATTAACGTCACATATCTCAGATAAAGGGTGAAGAACGTATTTAATATAATCAAATAAAGTAATGTCTACACGACTTTGAAAGAACACATACACCATAGATTGAACTAGCAGACTTATGGCGACAAACAAACCAAAAATCGAAGTCTCACGAAGCAGCTTGATCAACAACAGGGAGATTGCGGGCGGGAAAGAAAAAAAAAACGAGAGAAAAGGAGGTTTCATCTGCCTTGCGTTTCATTCTCAGGCTCACATAACCTGATATACCCCATCTTAACACTCCCTCATACTCTGCTTACGATTCTACCGCCAATTCATCTTACCCATCGTAGATACAATCCCCTCACCATCCTTCGATTCCACCTCCTGTGAGATATCGTTGTCCTTCCAGATATCCATTCCAATGGTATCTTCCTCTTTCTTCTAGCCTCCTGACGCACAATTCAGACTAACTTTTCCATTGGTAGTCGATTGCGCGAGGTTATTACGAACTGGTGCGTCAGATGTGATTTCAGCGCACAGTCGGCGGGGAATGGGGACCCTGGAGCTGTTGAGAACTGTGTTAACGGCCCATTCGAGGATAGGGTTAAAGGTTTTTTGTTTTGTGCGGGAGAACTTGGTGCCGTTGCCCGGCATGTTCGTTTGCGGAGGACTCATGTTGTTGGTTTGGTTGACAATTGCAAATGAAGTTGTCCTATGCAATTATAAAAAAAACTTGAAGTCTAAGTTGTGAGAAGACAGTTCTGGAGTGTGATTTTGAAGTGATGGGAGGTAGAAATGACGAGTTCAAATGCATATAAAAAGAAGGGCCTGGTACCTGATGGATTCAATGAATTCGAAAGCTGAAATCTTACCTCGATACCTAGCTAGCTATGGGAGAACAAATGGGCTTGTGTTGAATACATAAGTAGTTTCCGCAAGGTAAATCGTTTCTGTTAATGTGATTTAAACATATTCCAGGATAGAATGACGTTCATACCGGATAATTCACTAATATTGACCCAAATCAAGAGTGGGCCTCATTAACATTTTTTTCTGCTCCTTTTTCTTCGAGCTCAATAAACTGCACCTACATTAAAAAATGGTAACGGCCTTGTTGAGCTTATGGGCTCTGTTCCGATGTTATTAATTCCGTTCTTCATTTTTCCACCATTCTAGTTGCCTTAAGATAACCCATTCCCATGGGGAGGTGAGTCATCCCACCTGAAAGATATTCTATCTCCACCTATAGTCCATGCACCTCCAAATCTAGTGTGATATCCTTAGGTGCGGTGTTGCAAGTTTTCTATTTTGAAGTTCATAATATCAGCATATCCAAAAGGCGCAGGCCAGAATACATTATCTGTGACGCTTCTTGGACGAAAGGGAATCCCTTGTGTACGTGAATTTGTACTAAATACAAATCAAGCAGCTTTCCATGACACAAACACCTTTCGAAAAGGGCCCCCTTCCAAAACCTCCATGTTAATAATATATGAAATCCCCATCCCAAACCCCAGGGCCCGCAGGAAAAAGTCTAATCCCATGCCCAGAGCGCAATCAGCCCTTACAATCAATTCATTCCCCTTGACACAGCTCGATCCTGGATGGTGGCGGAGGTTCTCCTCAATGTCCTCCGACGAGGTCTATCGTAGATCGAGGCCGGACGCTCTGGTGTGCCCCAGTACTCGTCGTAGAAGGGTGACTGAGGCCCGCCAGTGTCCTCGACGATCTTCTTGATCCTGTCGTGAGCCTTGTCGAGCGCTTGCATGGCCCAGATACGTTCCTGTAGAGCATCGATGAGCTCACGGGTAAGCTCAACTTCGCGGGTCTTGGCTTCGGTGATCTCAGCGACAAGGTTTACACGAGCCTGAGCATGCAGAATTTATTAGTTCGTATTTTCCTGTGAACATTGCTCTCTGAATGGATTGGGGATGTCAACTTACCGGAAAGTCGATGATGGTGCGTCCACAAACGCAAATCTCAACTGGCTTGTCCATTGTGCGGAGGTCGCCGTTTCCAACTGTTTTGAGGACAATCTCAGTAGGTTTCTCAGAGACCTTCTCGGTGGCATTTTGGACGGTGGAGTAGACAGGGGATGACATCTTGTCGTCTAGGGATTTCAACGGTGACATCGCAAGTGGTAGTATTGATAATTCGTGATGTTATTGATTGGTTTTAGGGAAGCTTGAAGAGGCTTGGTGATGAAGAATTATCTGAAGAACGGCGGGTGGTCGTTATCTTTGCGACGACAACAACAACTTGGCGGACAGGGTTTGAAAGAGGGAGTGAACAGGGCTGTTGTGACAACAACGTTTCAACTCAAACATTGCTATATATAAACATCTTCGTCTCCCTTTGTTTCATATATGATCATCAACCAATATAGTAAATCGCTCCGTTTATCCCTCTCCACAGATGAAGATGAGGAAGATAGATGTACATCCCGTTTTCGGAACTAATGCTATATTTTGACGTGCATCGTGGGATATGCTACCCACCGCATGCACGGTATCATAATTATGATCTTCCCCTGCAGCTGTGAGCCGCAAGTATATGGTACACCATGATAGAGGTATGTCAGATAGCTGCGGCCGAGCTTCAAGTAACCCTCACTAACGACTGAGATCGGTGTGCATGCATGAGAAGCGATGCCTAGGCCAGACCCCAGGAGGGACTCTACCCTACTCTCTGTGTAGTATGAAAGCACCTGAGATATTCGCCCTCTACTCGCGCACATCGCTTATACCAGAGAGTAGATCATTTCAGTTTTGGGCCTTGTGAGTTTACATATAGCTTCTGAGGACCGTATTTGCTCTTCACTTAATTAAAGGAGTTCTCTCCATCACAATTACTAGGGCATTCCTACCCAAAACCTTCATCCGGGAATAAAGAAACCTCTCCAGCAGCTGGCTATCAATTTCAACAGCAGATTTAGAATATAAACATATATATATATACGAGGAGGATTAAGGAGAGCTACCAGCTAACTCTTAATTGATATGAATATAGTCCTCTACAGCATTCCGGCCCTGATCATGCTGAGCGGAGGGCCTGCACCTTACGGCTCTGTACGTGGGTGACAGCATGGGTCATGGGAATCTATGAACCTTGGCGACGTGAGAGTCAAGAGGGTGGTGTGGACGGTACGAGGGAGGAGTGAGGAGACGCCTCATCTGTCCCTAATCGATTGTTTTTCCTTTTATCTTCGTTCATGTCTGATACCATTCTGCCTGCTGAACTTCCCTAGTCCAATTGCTAGCGTGATAAATAAGCGTAGTCTGTCTGGAGTTAATGGCGTTGTTTGAAAATTTGGCGCCCCGCTGTTTTCTTCCATGGCTGGCGGGGACGAAGATTGAGCTATCAAGGCTATCGCCGAATGGTGTTCCTTCACTGCCCTCTCAAGCTTCAATATTTCCGTCAAGGCATGAAGGGGGTGCTCTGGCTCTGGAGCAGATACAGAGAAGAAGCTATATGAACCTGAGGTTTCCCATGTGTATTGAGCTTTGGGGAGGCTAGTTGTGGCCGGAATGTACCTGAGACATTCCGATCTTGAATGGGGTTCGGTTTATCGCTAAATTGATGTGTCATCTTTTAGCATATTTAACCACATATTAATATGGCACCTAATTATGCTCATCCGGACGCAGTTGGCTATGTGGTTGCCAAACCCAGTTTGACACCCAGAAAGGAAAGCTCAATCTCAACCTCAACTTCCACCCGCACCTGCTCTGCTTTGAAAGCTGCCGTCCATCCTTCTCCCACATTTTCTTTCCTAACCACACACATCCTGTGACAACCTAAAAATTGGCATAACAGACAAAAAAAGAGCTGTTCAATTACAACCAAGATGGCACCCTATAAAAGAAAGAACAAGAAGACCCGCACCCCAAAAAGAAAGATCCCCACCCAGTCGAGTGCCAACAGGACCCTATCTGAGTACATCCTTAGTATAAGCGAAATTGGTGCTTTGCACAGCCTTTCTGATGCCGTGAAAATCTTCCATGGCTTTGATAAAATGGCGTTTGTTGTAGAAAATAGCCCTGACGTGGTTGAAAGTGAGTGCATTCGGTCAATCTAAACGCTGATGATAGTGCAATGGGGAGTCTGACGTTCGTGAGCTGTAGATGCGGAAACTCGCAAAGAAACTGCCAAAATAATTAGAAAACTCAAAATTGCTCGCGCAGGCAAGCCAACAATCAGGAGAAAGCGAGGTGGTCTTCACATCCAGGTTTTAGTGCTCAAAGCCCCTATTGTCGAGGCAGTCCCAACTACTCTCATTGCTCCAATCCTCGAGGAAGCGGAGCTTGAGTCCCCAACAGTCGAGGTGGATGAAACTGGTGACCCGGATGACGAAATATTGGACAGCATTTGTGGTAAGACCTGCGACTTTCAACTATAACATTGTGACCTAAGAGATGTGTTCTAACCACATAGGTGAATGCAGTCACTCGATTTGTCCGGCACGAGGTCAACAATGCTCAAGGATCTCGCATGTCTGCGGAAACTCCAAGTCGTAGGTGTGCCCCAATTATCCGTTCTTGAAGTATTATTAAATCGTAGTGATGGCAGCCGAATTTCAATGCGGCATCTGTTACGACTGGTTTGATACCGCCTATCAGAGGAGGGTCCACCAGTGGGATAAATACGGTATCCGACATGTCCGCTTCGAAGGGCAAGGCCAGATTCACTCCTGCGGCGGCAAGATTTAAAAATTACACTACCCAGACGAATCCCGAGGCCTCCAGGAACCGCTTTCATGCATGGTTACGATCTACTATCCCCTCTATTTTGCTGTTTCAGATTCAAAATATCTGTTTAGCTTTTATGTTCTGTATATACTTTTGTGGGGACATTGCGATCGTCTTTCACCTCTCAATTAAATTTTCTGTTTTCTATCTTCAGGGGCGTTTACACCTTTTGATACCCGTTACCTTCTTCCCTGTTTTCAGTTGGATGAGTATAGAGAGTCTTAATTCTCTTTACTTTTTTTCCAATCTTTTTTTCCAATTTTTTATTTTTGGTTTTTGTTGATACAAGGCTATATCTATAAGGTCTAGCGTTTAGAGGCTTGTTCCATCTTCGCCCATTTTCTACATTTGTGCTGGGAATTAGATCAGAGGCTCCATACTTTTTTTAATTTGTTTCATTAATTCTATACGCCTAGTTATATGTTATCATGCTGAATCTCGTTATTCCCTTTACTATTTAAATCTGGAAATTTTTCCATTTATTTTCCTGTAGGCAACTACTCTGATGTTGCGTGCTCGGCTAATGTCGGCTCTCCCCGGCCCCGCTCACCACCTCTAACGTCGTAACTTACTCACAACGACCGGATCCACCAAGCACAAAACACAAAAGCAATAGAGGATGGACACAACTCCCACTCTCGCAAACGCTGTCATGGCTATTCAGGGAACTAACAGCTTTCCCGATTATGAGCAGAGACTGATTGACGCCTTTCTCACGGCGGAAGAGAAATTTAAAATTCTCGATGATCACGGGGAGAACGAAGCTATTCCCAGCTCCCTGGACGCGGAACCAGGTCCCTTTGTTGCAGAAGATGAAGTTACTCCAGGCTCTATCGAACTAGAAGTAAAGGAAGGACCATGGCTTGCAAAGGTTGGGCCAGCTTCTTGCAGTTTCAAGGAGCAAGCAGAGGATACGGACGCTCATGTGGGCAGGATTGATTTGGTAGTTCAGAAAGATGCTCTCACAAGCAGTTCCAGCGCAGTGACACAGCTTGGACAAGCGCAACCTTCGGTCAATAGCGAAACACCGCACCCTTCGCAAGCTAATAATCATAAAGCTCCATTGATAATTGTCAGGTCGGTCAGAGACTACCAGAAGAGAGGGATTGAGGAACATGAGGTTGTTGAGGCTGCGAAGAGAGTAAGTCAAATTTTTTCCGGGCTTAGGACGGCGTTCTTGGGTAGTGTTGCTAAAGCGTTGGGTGCTGTAGATCAGAGTGAACGAACCTCCCATCCCTGCCTTAAGCTCCGCTGCTGCTTCGACGTGTGGGGTAATTCGTGAGTCCCTCTTCACCTAATTATGACCATTTACATCTAACTTACCAAAACATACAGTTCAACCTATCTACACGATGAACACCTTCCCGAGCAGACAAGTAAGGGAACATGAACGTATCTACCAGAGATTTAGGACGGTGGCCTCACTGGATCCCACCATTTCAACGGCAGGTGAAGCTGCCATTGACCACTGGGCGATGGAGCAGCTGCTGGCTTTGAGTGGTGGGATCATCCGGCACACCCCCAAGGTTAGGGAATATTGAAAGTATTTGATTAATCCCCTAGAGTCTCTCATTCACCCATGAGCTAATATAACGGTGATTCCTTATGCAGAAGCATAGCATAGCCACGCTTCAACCCATCTGTTATGTTGAGAATTCTTATGGCCCCTTTGAGTCTAGAAGGGCCGTTGAATTTAGATTTCTGGACAGAGTCCTAATAACAGATATGTCATTAGTTTTTGTCAAAGAATTCTTGGATTGATATGTACGTCTTGGAAAAAGATTTTTCAAATACAAAAGTATCTTCCATGATTAAGTGGATACTAGAACAGGGTGAAATGGATTTCGTTCGGAGCTGCTGAATCGTAATCATGGCTTGCTGTACTAGGGCTCAGTGGACCCAACTCTAACTGTACACCATATATATAGGGGTAATGCTTATAGGGATTTTTGCTAACCTTTGCATACACGTTGGGAAAACTTTTTCGGAAGTAGACAAAGTGCTACCTTGGCTTTGGTGTCGAGCCTAAGTACACTTTCAATGACAAGACGTTTTGCTTTGGCCGAGCGGTTGTAAGAAGCGTGAAGTTAGTCTATACAACGAGAAATAACAGGAGAAGAATAACTGGGGCGGTCAGCCGTGTGAGGCAGAGACCCGGACCTTAGTTGTAGCAAGCCTGGACACCCTCTGTGATTTCACTGCCTAGCTGGGAGAAGCCGTCTGGAAAAAAATAAAAAAGCGAATAAGAGACCAAACTGAGCTTGAGCGCGGCACAAGCTCACTCATGATGGGAACTAATATCACATCTTCCGTAATCTCAGTGCACTACACCAAGAAATACGCCCCTAGGGTAAAATTTCGAGATGGTACGTACTCTACCTGCTATATATATGGGGAGAAGAGGATATCCACCTACAGGGTCTTTTTAGCGACATTTGAGGATGAATTTCGAAATAATTGTAGATCCAGTTGGATGAACTAGCTGATCAAGATGGTATATCATCTAAGCACTCTATTAAAAAGATATCTTGATGTACAATGGAAGCTTTACAATCTGGGCCGCGGGGGAGGTTTCTAGCTGTGTTTATCTATTCTACCAATATGTTATGTAGGTAGTCGCATGGAAAGGATAGTTTACTGTTCTCCCTCGATGACCCGCAAAGGACTAGCCGGATATTCTGACAAGAAAACTCGCGAAGTCCAGGCTGAACCTTATTTACCTTCAATAGGGAAATAGTATAGAACACACTATAAATCTTATATTTCCGTTAAACTACTACCAAAGCGCGAAGAGCATGCCCCCCATACCTTATGTTTCCGGTAAATTATCGCAAAAGAGCAAACAAGCTCAACTTTATAATGCTGGGCCGATTTCAAGTACACTTCAACGTTGGGTAGGTGAAGGACTTGGCACTATGAAAACACTGATATGCAGGATGATCATCGAATGGAAAAGGGTTTTCGCACCGTCGGTAGTGATTGAGGATGATTGTTGGAGGTATATATTTACCCATGATTCTCCCGGGGTGTGCTTTTCGCGTTCTTTGTGACATAACTATACGCGTATGAATGTGGTGTAAGGAGGAGGGGACAGGATGCGGTGTGCCAAGCCAACAACCTTTATAATATCCCTCATCCTCACAACCTCTTCAAAATTTTGACTCCATAAAAAATCCAACTTTACGACCCCACGATCAGCACACATTTTTTTCAAAGATAATATGAATCATATATATATACTCGCGATAACGTTAGAGCTAAGATATAGAACATTCCCTTATAATATCCTGTCATTCGCGTACCCCGCTGATGTGTTTTGAATCCCGTGCCACTGGGCGGGTTTGTCGTTCAAAATTTTTAGGTTTATTCTACAAGTCATAGTTTCTGGGGGCGGACGGACTGAGGCAACTAACGAGACCGCCCTGCAGGCACCTGTTTACATTTCTCGCGTTTCAAGAGTTTCAATGTCGCAGAATATTTTTGTTTTATAATTTAAAGACAAGAACTAAGCTACATGATTTACTGGAGCATTATCCTTATTCTGACATGATTTCCTAATCACAGACTTAAAATCACGGACTTATTTCTCTTCCAGCATTCTGCTGGCCATGAATCTTCCATGGCGAGCCAGCCAATTCGCGTTACGCTTACGGCCACCGTTTCTTCTTCTGCGCTCGCTCCTCTGCTGGGAGGTTTCCTTCACTCTGAGACCGCGAGGGTTAGGCTTGCTGTAAAGTGAAGTATTAGCACCGTCAGACAGCGTGAGAGACATACATTCAACATACCTGACATGTTCGGAGTCATTCTCGGGCATCAGGGTTCTTTTGACCGTCATTGCGTCGATGTCTTCAAGCTTGCTGATATCGTTTGAAGTGCTAGTTGTCCTCACCGGAGAAGGGAGTCTAGTGATACTGTCATATGAAACTGTACGCGCAGTATAGACAATACGAGCTGGCGTGGGATCCCCGCCGGGCTGTGGAGTGCGTGCTCTTTCAGGAGTTGCTTTCCAGGGATAGCCATTGATAGGATATCCATAGACGTCCAAACCAGAAGCACCCATGTTCCAACAGTTGAAAACTGATGGCGGGTCAGCAACTCCGTTGTACATCACGTTACACCAGTCAGCATGACCGAGGGAAGTCATTGCACCATCCAGAGGCACGAGTGGTTCACCCAGAGTAAGTGTGGGAATATTCGAATGCCCATGCTCGGGGACAGCCTGGAGACTTGGTGCACGAGGGGCATTAAGAGCTTTGGGCTGAGGAGAACCGGCGACGATGCTGGCCCAGGTTCTGGTGCCATTGTTGGTTGGTCTAGTTAAAGAACGGGAGGTAAAAGGACCACCGAGACCTCTGAGGGAGGAAAGGTTGTTCGAAGCAGAGAGCATGTTGAATTGAATAGCCTGTGGTTTATCCTGCTTGAGAAAGAAAGAAAGGATTGAGTGAGCTTGGGAGCTGACTATTTATACCCCAGAATGCCCAGAAGAACCCTTCGAAATGGCTGCCACTTAAGAGATTGCACTTGCATGGTTAATAGCTTTAGCCATAGGGCAGGCTAGGCTGCCACTATTGGTACTGCACTTGCCTGTTCCGAGACAGGAAAGCTTGATTCTGGGCAACGGCTGGTGAATGGGTAGCAAAGAGGCGGCAGATATGACCTAATCGTATGGCACAATGGCTCAGATTGCGACCTAGAATGCTTTTAGACGAACCCCAAGCCCCCAACTCATAATATACCAGTTTAAATACAGAAAAGCTTTACAATTTGTCGCGTAGCATGACCTATCAGCATCTGTCAGGCACCATTCCCCACAGACTCCCACGGGGGGAGTGATAGTGTTTCACCTATGACCTAGGTTTTCTCTCTATTTACGCCTATATATATATATTGCTAGGTATCCAAAATGATCGCTGAAAGACCCCCCCAAATGCTGCGACCAGCCCGCACTACTCCTAACTTATGCCACTGCAGCGCTCAGTGTACATCCGAAACCCCAGGCCTGCAAGGGGGAAGCGGGAACCAAAGACCCACAACCGAGTTTGATAACCTTCGCAGCAGACGAACAGGCGCAAATGGGGGTAGGAAAATATACATACGGGAATGCAGAAGATGATATTTTGGCTTCCAGCGTTTACCAATGGTACAGAGAGAAGAGCGTGGCAAGGTATGCACGCTATCTACATGCAGAAGATTTGCGCAATCGAATATCTTTCGCGATTTTATAAATTTATTTCTTTATTCCTATTCAACCTTATCTCATAACCTCCCTGAAAAGCCGAATCTTAGAAATTAAAAACGGAGAGATTCAAAACTGACAGCGTGGGAACCACAAAATCTCTTACAACTTTTTTTCCTTTTCTCTCCTTCATTATATGCAACCCTATGATAGCTCAAGAACCAAATACAAAAATTGGAACTTCCACATGAACCATAACCGAGAAAACTATACGTGAAAGGAAACCTGAGATATAAACTGAAATCTACACAACCGTTGGTGTCATAAAATCTCAAATAAAACCCACCCCCCGAAATAATTCCAATCTCATGTTTATCATCTCTCTGGAGACGTAAACGTCCACACAGAAGAGTTGGTTTATGGCATAATCTGAAAAAGCCCGAGTGTGATCAATAACAAAAGAAAGACCAATGACCACTCGCGGTTGACTACTGCAGTCTTTGATACCTCGCAGTTCTTTGGTGTGTCCTCTCCGGTAACAATGTATTCGTTGATGGCGGCGTTCTCCGTTTCTGCCGCGATGTCTGGGGTGGCAGTTTGTGGTAATATATCGTTTTTTGCACCCGCCCCACCGGTGATGAATGCGGCAGAGCTGACACCCTCATCCGAAGATGTTTCCTCTACCTGGATGTAGACACGTTGTGTTAGGAGGTCATGAACACCTATACCTGAACAAAGTGATCGTGCATCAGCATCAGCCTTCCCAACCTTATCCTCCTTATTCTCATAAATAACCTCTCTCCGTTTTACCTCCGCAAGCATTGAACAGTTGTCAAGAAATTCCTCACGGTTCGAGAAGAAACCTTTAAGTCCAGAAACCGGTTCCTCGAGAATGACCGAGAGCTTCTTTTTTCTCGTCCTCATGATAGTGTTGTCCCAGCTGGTAAAGATATCGGCTCCAATCCCTACAGTGGTCAGGACTAATGCCCTTCGGCGTCCGGTAAAGTAACCATGGGCAGGGGTAATGACCTCGGCGATTTGAGGCCCCTTCACATCTGATAAATCACTCTTTGGGGTGATATGCCTAGTGTACCTGGTCACCTGCTCCATCCATGTGAATGTTTCGGTGGGTTGGGCTTCTTCTTCGTCGATGACATCGTCCGCCCAATAAAATGTTGACTTTGGGGTGATGTCTGGAGAAGAAACTGGCCCGAGGCTGGTACTGTCTGCCGACATATGGATATTCTTATCCTTTTCCTCGTCCTTTGGGTGTACCTCTTTGATGTCTTTCTCTACATCCAGATCAACTATCTCCAGAGGGAGCTGGGTGGATGACGACGACTCGGAAGGTATTTCAGCGCCAACGCTTGAGGACTGACTCTCCAAAAGACCACGTTCCAACAGCACCGGCAACTTAGAGTCCTGTACACGCTCTTCCATCTCGTGAATAAGTACATCGCTTTTTTGATCGGCATAGGTTACGATTGCTACGTGTTTGTTGTTGTTTAAAGATTCGTCACTGCTCGTGAGCACCGTCTCTTCAGCTAGAGCTGCACTGAATGTATCGTCCTCACAAATCTTGAGATGTGGGCTGTGAATAACGGTTGAGGGAGAGTTATCTTTTTCGACGGGCTTCGAACCACTCTCGGTGGTGTTTCTGCTGTGATCAGGTAAAATACTCGAAGATACAGCCGGAACTACATCATGCGCTTCAGGACGTGTTGTTTGCGGCATGTCTAGATTAAGAACACCGTTGCCCTGGGTGGCAGAGCGACCTCTGGGTCTTGGAGGTAGATCATCGGGCGGGGTGCTGTATACAATGACTGGAGATTTGTACATTGGGCGCGGGAGCTCAAAGTACTTGGTGGGATCGAACTGGAACTGTGGTTTCTTTTTTGGAATCACTAGTAAGGTGCTACTGTCATTCCACGAGTGCTTTGTCATGAAGTTAGGTTGTTTGTATGGAGGACCGGAATTCGTTCTAGGAACGAACTGGACAATTTCCTCCCATCGGAGTTTCGGCTTGACACTATTCATATTTGTGGGGAATAGAAAAAATATTGGATGAGGGTTGTTGGTCTAAAATACCGGTGGTGTGTTCAAGAAGTATGGCTGTTTAGTTAGTAATAAAGGTTGGTAGTGGAAAGACTAAGAGAGCTAGAAGCGAACATAGAATCGGTGTCCTGGTTATCCACTTGAGGTCATTGAAAGGCATTTTGCACCACACAAAGCGTTAACCACCACCTGATGTCACAACAATGTGGAATTACTCAACTATGCACCCACCCTTTCTAATGGTATCACTCAATTGAATTGTACTTGGTAATTGCATGGTGGAGCTAAATTCTTCCTCGAAATTAAGGTACAGAGCTTGTCCCACTTCGGCTGGCGCAAAAATATGATTTACCCGTTAACCGTCAGGCAGGATGCGTTATTCAACATTCCAAAGCTAGGACCAGTATGGCCCAGCTAGCTGCTCATGCGTAACTGAGAACCTCAAACGATCCCGCGCTGGAAGCCCTGGAAAATTCTTCTCAATCACCTGTATACCATCAGCGTACTACTTTCACCTCGATCGATACACAAGCACCCTGGACAAATAGCAAACCCCAACCAGACCGCCAGGTGATACGAACAAACCGACAATAGAATGTGCAAAACCATCTTTAACGCTTCTGATCATCTGATGTCGAGAATTCTGGACGGTGATTAAGGCCTTCTATCGGATTCGGCAACCTGAAGCTCATTGGCCGTATCAGAAAGCTGGCGAAATACAAGGACATCACATCCGTACAAACTAACGACTTGGGCTACAGTGGTATAGAGCCTACGCCGCCTACGGACACTTACGAGCTTATGATACATGTGTAATACAATGCTAATATATTCCCATATTGGCGTAATATTGGTCACTCCATAGGCCACCACCATCCAGCTCTGGCCAATCAGGGGACATGAGCACTACAAGGTGAATGTGAAGGCAAAAGGAACTACGTCCTTTCCACAAAGTAATGCTCGTGCTCCACCCATTTATTTACTTATCCTCTCATCCCTCAAGATCAGCTCCGACATTTTTCCTCAATCTTTGAGTGCCGACGTGGGTTAGGGTTATTTAAGGTGTTCCGCTGATGGAGGTAAAAATGGCACTTCCTCTGCGGCGTGGAGGAGGTTACCGCTCTGAGGGTTTGCCCTCAAGTCCTCCTGGTATCGAAAAGGGTCCACCACCGGCTTCAGAGAGCCTCTCAATCACAGATGAGCTGCTCTAATCGTACTCTAAGACGGCTGACGGCTCGATATGAATTTTCGAGTGCGAGGCTTTGAAGTAGAGTTATGAGGAGAGCGAGACAATTGTCCTTCGAAAGACGGAAAGCGCGTGCCATTCGCTTTCTTGTTACTTGACCTTGAGTATTATCCCCGTCTATTGTGTTTGATATCCGAAATAATCTGCGAGGACACGAACCAATAGGGCAAGCGTAATAGACAACCGGCACCGAGTGACGCATGGCTCGCGAAGTGCGCCCCGCGTGCTTTTTAAGCTTCGATGTTTGTGAAGTTTGAGCTATCCATCATCTAACCGGGGCGGTTCGCGTCGGAGGAGGCCTCTATGAGAGGATCTCGATATCAGGCAAAGGATCGACATCGCATAACAATGCGTGAGAATAGATCAGAGCACATCATATTTCCGCCCTTACAACCCTGGTCCTTTGCATGCCCTGTAGCTACCGGACGGTGACATTAGGCCATCTACGCCAGAGCAGCGCGGCTCCGAGGATCAATATCTACTGGTCTCAAAGAGCAAGTGCCAATAGCAATCGGGATGGTGAGTTGTCATTTATGGTACCCCCGGGCGTAGTTTTATCTAATTATCTCAATGTCTACTAGAAAAACTTTTGAACACCAAGCAGCGCTCTTCCGAGAGATAGAACTACGGGGCGCTATGGCATATTGCAAGAGTTGGCAAGAAATTTTCATATGACTGCATCCAGAACGGTCGTGGAGGTCTATTCCTCTGGATGTATACGGGGTCCAGGGGTACAGCCAAGCGAGGTTTAGTGCAGAATTCCGGTACGGGCAAGCTGTAGGCACATTTTGTCAATTGGCAACGAAATGGGCTCCACACACTCGGAATTCACGAAACAATATGATACGAAGCACAACTTATCCCATCCTCCGCGAAAGGAAGGATGAAACCTCTTCCTGGAGCTCGCTGTATACCGCAATACGGGCCCGACTTTCGCAACCGCACCCGAGTGATAATTCATGAAGATGACCCACCCCTGCTCTCCTCCAGGCGCAAAACATATCTGGCTACTACAGACTACGCTATCCTCGCGTTCAATATGTGAGTGAGCAGAGGCTGACACAGTGCTTGGTTATTTTATTTTCTGGGGTAATTAACTGCGATGAGCTTATCGGCTGTAGAGCCGTACTCTCGTTTTCAAAAATTAAATCCTCTCTCATCCGACGTGGGCGGTATCAAGTTATATAAATGAACGACAGCTGGAAAGAGATTATTATTTTGATCAGTAGGAAGAGACCTGGAGCGCATTGGCGCGGGTGATGTCTCTGCCGGGTGTGCGCTAACCCAATGGTACACGCAATATTTTGAGTGTGTAGCGGTATATCATCCGTGCGGGAGGGATGATTAGGGCAAGAAACGAAAGTGTGTTTATTTACCCCAGTATACCGATATATTCGGGAGTTATCCTCCAGTCCATACGATTCCCTGAAGGAAGTGATAAATTATCTGATCTGACTTTAGGACTGCCCAGAAAGCCCAGAAGGATCAGACTCTGAGCAACAAGTCAACATGGTCTAGGTTCAATCCTCCAGAGGCTTATTTTTCGGTAACTCTGCTAACGTTTATGATACTTCAGCAATTTATAGCGGTTATTTGCCACCTATTCAGGTCAAGGTATCCTGATAAAGCGGGTAAAGTCTATAGAGATATCCCTTCGCCTCAAAGGTTACCGGACATGACCGGTAAATTATCTTTGAGGATCGTACGCTAAGGCTCAGGGAGTCCGGCATCATGGGCGAGGGTGAATAATCCACCGGATATAAATTCCATATATCTTTAGCGGTGCGCCGTTTATCATCCATTTGATATATACTACAGTCCCATCGCGGTACCACATAACAGCTAAGTATATCACGATCAAATTTATATTGTGTGGCATATCGAGCGAATGCTTCAGTATAGGGAGCTTCGGAGATCTGTACCGAGAACACTGTAAAGAGATGTCACGGTCAGAACAGCTATGCGATGAATGGAGAGGGCAAGGTTTCGCGCGTTTTGGAACGATCATTCCAACATGAACAAATAGTACTATAACAAATTAACCCTATTAAAACATGTCAGAAGACAACAGACGGCGGCAGTGCCCGTTAGTGTATACGGAGGATGAGGTGATGAGGGAGAATAGACTCCATTTCTATCCTTAGATGTTTGAACTTTGTGAATCCAGAGATGTTAAATGTCACATAATGAGGGCTCGAGTGTAATAATTCAATTTTCACTTCATAAATTTATCTAATCATCGTAGTAAATAGCACAAATCCCAGACAAAATCGCTTGGCAGCAACGGCAGAGATTCGAGCAGAATACACATAGAGCGTTAGCTCATATATATTTAAAGCCACGAAGACCTATTACCCGCTGTTGCTACTTACACGCCCGTTTCTCCCTCCCTTCTCTTCTTGCTTTCCACAAACCCATATCCATCCCCATTCTTATCCCCCTCGTCCTTCACCACAACCATCACACCCCGTGATTCATTTCCTATTCTTATCAATAGTTTTATCCTTGTCACCAGCGGGCACCGGAGATTATTTATCTCCACCTAATTTTTATATAACTGGGGGCTCCGGTGCCTCTCTGGATGACTAACAAGGAGATATGGTCCGGTTTCAATCCTTCGCCTCTTGTGAACCTGGGTTGCAGGCTTGTCACCGAGACGCCTGATAAGTTTAACTCTCAGTTTATCACGCCTTCGTTTCTTACAGTACGTTTTCGATAGTGTCCTCACAGACAGAAGGCTGGAAGCATGTCTCGGGGGATGGTACTTCGGGGAAACCCGTCGAAGGAACATACAGGACAAGGGTAAGTTTCCCATACCTTTCAAAATACGTTTTTGTTCATCCTGAAACCTGTTGTCAAGATTTATTCTATTCTTTATTGTTTTTATCATCGCCTTTGCAGATGAGATTATACTCCTACTTACACTCTGGGGTTGTTCTCTAGGCCAAAAGTGTGATATCTGGCTCTGGCGGGGCTGTACCGACAATGTCGGTGAAGCCCATATATCTATATAGTAAGTATAGTTCTCGTTCAAAGATCATGGGACAACGCAACCGCGAGTTGCTACGGGGGCTTTCCCAGGACTTTTGACATGGAGTTATACAACCACAACTTTTGCTTCACTTCTGTGTTTTGATGACTACACATACATTCCTCTCATCCATACCACACCATGTTTTACCCATCCTGAAGTATTCATGATAATGTGAATTCTTTTCTGACATTTGATCTAGTCGAGGGCTGTCGAGGTTTACTTTGCCCAGAAAGGCAGGGGTGCTGGCCCTACCACATAACCCTGTTCGGGTTGGAGTCTCAGACCCGACACGTGGTCTCGGGAGGATTTTCGTATGTTCTCTCCACACGCAATACCTGACAGAGGAGGAATATACTCCTAAAGATAAAAACTAATACAATGAGTTGTAGTGACTCCCCCCGATGGTTGCCTTTGCCGGGCCGGCAACGCCACGCGTTCCAAAACCAACAATGTCCGGGCCTCGCATCGTTCGAATACTGCATGTTGCTGCTGCACTCGATCACCGGTTACAGCAGCCCCGGGAAACCAAACACCCGGGGAGAGCATCCTGCATGCACCTCTCCAGCCCCCAAAGCACCCAGGGAACATATGTGTGCCTAGAGCAGGAAGTACGCTGATCGCCCCGCCAACCAGCCGCGCAACACCACAAATCGCGGGCTTCCTGCCGATTGAGGCCACCCTCAACTCCTATGGGTACCAATAAGGCCAAGCAGCAGCAACTGACCTTGTGGTCCTGCTGAAGCGCTTGCAACTGGAAGAGTAAGCACTGGGCCTGTGTCCCAACTGCTTCCAACACGAGGTAACTGCTGCGGCCAGGTAATTTGCAAAGGATGGATGTGAATTATGGGGCCGGTAGATAGTAATATATTTGCAATTCCTTTCTTTTTCGCCCTTTGTCCTTTCGTCTTTGCTTGGTTCCTCGCGCTGCTCTTGTCAATATACACTGGATTGAAGAGAATTCTTGAAAACCACAACGCACTGTTTTATTTCTCTTTGAGGGGCTATTTATATAATTGTGGATGTGTATATATCGCTACAGGAATGTATTTGGGGTGGGTGTCAGAAATTAAACTCACTCAAGTAGTAATAAAATTAGAATTATTAACAGTAAAATCTCACTCTCATTATCTTATTCTTCCTGTTAATAGTATTTTAATAAACACCGTTTTTAGTATTCCAATATTCCAGGTCTTACGGAGCTGTACCATAACATTAATGTTTTATTGATCTTGTCCCCCCTCTCTTATTTGATCCATGTCCATCTATACCAATTAGTTGCCATCTACTTTGGCCATCGGATCTGTTACGCCCCAACCACGGACGTCCATGGCTGGTATGTACCAGCTGTAGACGTCCACGGTTGGGTCATACCAGTCATGAATAGTCTGATTTTCTGGTGGGTATACGCTAACTGAACCAGTCAAGGGCGTCGCTGGGCAGTACAAAGGAAACAGAATAAGTGTTCTATTAATTCTGCTTCTACCCACAAGGCCTCACAATAAAATGAAATTTGGGAATGCTACAGAAACTCTACTGATTTTGGGGGGCGGGGGTATTCGAGAATTGGGTTACACTGTGCAGCTATCGATAGAAATGTGAGATAGGGTTTAGGGAGAAGATTTTGTATCTTGCTAAAAAGAGCCACAAAACGTGAACGAATGGATTTTCGAGAAGGTAGACTTATGAGATCTACAGATTTTTCTGGTTGGTATTGTTACAGGAACTATGAAGCGCTGTCTTAAAAGGCTTAGGACCGTGAGGAATACGAGTGATGGGTTGTGATGCGAGGACGGTCGGGTAACGAAAGGACAAGCATAGAAAGGTATCGGGTAGTGTGGGGGCACGCGGTGTTACCACACTAGTATTATACTATTCTGACGGCACGCTTGCTATTGGGTGTCTCATCCGAAATAAAATAGGAAGCGAGGCTTACAGCTGCAGGCTGTTCTACTTAGGGAAGTAGGTCTGGGACAATAGTATGGTACAGCCCGAAGACTGGCAATTGCAAGGTTCATGGTTACGTGTCAGAATTAGAACGGAGGACGGAACTATGCGGGGGCGCTTTTCTATCTGGATTATCTTCGGGAGCATTATCTTATTCTATTATTGTTGTAATCAGTTAGTATTAGAAAGCGGGCCTTGGCATAGGTTCCAACATGTATAAATAGGGCAGGATTCTGCGAAGACTTGAGGCTATCATCAACCATCAAGTCAAGGGAATCCGGTTTACAATATTATCAGTTTAAACGCTACAGAACTATCGCTTAGCACTGGCCATTCCCCAAACAGGTATACTTAGCTCATACTATACAGGGACATATGGCTTCCCTATTCCACCCGGGGACGTCCATGACTGGTACATACCAGCGAGGGACGTCCCTGGATAAGGGCCGTCCCCCACTGGGCCGTAACAGATTTGAACGAAAAAATAAAGAATGAAAGTAATTAAGGTTGGTGCACAAATCTATCATGAAATGTCACCCGGTGTGTATAATAAACTGCATCGACCTACGCCAGCTGTTTATCCTGAGGCCGTAGTATTTCAAGGGTAGCACCGGATAAACAGCTGGAGTCTTACGCCCTTACCTCCAGAGGAATACATTCAAGGTACAGTAAGTCGGACAACCCTCTTCCTCAGTTGGCATAGCGTCTATCCAGTCTGTGTGGACAATAATACGCACCTGTGAGGCCCTCAATTATATATCGTAGTGCCTAAAAGCCATTACAGGTCGGAGTTGAACCCCAGACACTCCGACATATGTCAGATGTTTATACTACTACGCTAGGTAGTGTTAGCTGCTCGTTGCTCCGGGAAGTACATGTTAACATTGTAGGCTCGCTAAACCTTAATTTCTTCATTCGGCATAGATAAACCTTATCCCATTTCCGTCCCAACCCGCACCCGCCCTTATCGTCCAGTCCAAAGAAAATCCCTTCTTATCACGTTTACCTCCATATCGACTATAACATCCTCTTGCTCAACCTCGGAGGTCTTGGCATACCTATATGCGCCGATCTCGAGACTGTTGTTACAAAAAGTCTACGTAGATATCATGAGAGTTACGTAGACATTCCCATAGTTCTTCAGAGTTACGTAGACATTTCCAGAGTCTACGTGTTCTCTGTGACAGCCTGCGTATGCTGCTGCTCACTTCGTGCGTAGACCTGTAAGCCAGCCACCAGGCCTAGTAACAGCTTACGCACAACAGCTAAACCACGCAGCCGCCTTGTGAGCGCTAGGTCTTGTTAGTCAAACAATGCGTAGTATGCTTCGTAGCTTGTTGTGTGAATCAGGGCTAGCTTACTTCTAGTTCCTGATCAGGGAAGAGAGTGTCCTCATATAGGTGCTGTGAATCTCATCATTGCTCGGGAGTGCCATTTTGGCTGACCGTTTGCATTTTTATGATAATAAGGTGGCAGACGTTGACTTTGGTGTAATAACTCCGTCAAGGCCCACTGTTCCCGGTACGAACAGCGGGATCGGTTTGAAGTACTACGGCATCCTCGAGTGACTCGAATTTATTCTCTTCTCCGGCCTTCTGGTATATATATAGACCGAATCCCGACTATCATCCTCGGTCTCTCTAACGAATAATGATCATCGGCATCATATGGATGGTAAATCTTAAGTTCCGAAAGGTAGTGCCTACCAGGTCGGCGGTCGTCACTGACGTCACGCCGGAGATGGATCATGAACTATCACTCGCCAACAATCACTCCCCGTTGATTTAGGAAGATGCCATGAGTTGGGTAGACGAACCCCCGCATGATGAAAGTCACAACTGTCAAGTATTATGAGCCCCAAATCTCTCTAATCACCACGACAATCCCTGTTTTTGTTTTCAGGCTATGTCTCTGCCTGAGGGTGTGGACTCGATGCCAAGAGGCAAGGAAGGTAGGACATGGCCTGAATACTTCTCACAGGGGAGTAAATAGCTTTACTTGGATACACTCTTGACTCGTTGGCTCATAACATGGCATATCTCATCATATCTATGGTGGTGCATCGAGGTTCGGGTAGTTGTTATCCATCGAAGAATAACTCACATTGATCATTGGTGGTTGGGAAAGAAAATTCTTATTCGGTAAACCGCTTTTGTGTCTGCAACTTGTAGATAGCGTACTGTTCACTCGCCACAGGCTCCCCAACCATTGAAAAGTGCACTTGGCAGTTTGCGACTATACCTAACGCCCAACCATTCATCTCGGTTTAGACTCTTCCACCACAAATGACCACAGTGAACCCGCCCTATTTATTAACAAGGTCAATTATACTATATCACCACTCTTGTCTTTGCCGGTCAACTCACCTTGATTTCATGAAGCAATAAATGGCCCTCCCAATTATCACTGTCACTTCCCCAACCACCGAAACCCGATCCCACGGCGTGATTCACCACCCCTTCCCCAGATTTTATCACAATTCACGTAGTCACACCACCCCCACCACGATGGTTACCCGCGTTCAGGACCAGGTTTACGACCTCCCCAATTCCTCCGATCACTCCTACACTCCGTCTGATACTCTACCGTCCCTCACATACGGTGAAAGCACCCCCACCAGCGTCAGCTCCAGTGCTTCCAGCGTGCTCACAATCTTCTCCGGCACCACCACCGGGCGCCACGAGAACTACTCGAGCTTTTGCGGCCTCTGCAGAGACATCAGACGTCATCTCCTCTCCGGTAATATCCTCTCCGACGTCGACCTCGGCCACTGGGACGACCATGGGAGAACTACTGATGCGCACAAGAGGAAGTGGGCCGGAAAGCTCCGCGAGATCATTAATACCCGCTCCGCCAGACTTAAGGACTGCACTGTCATGATGAATGCTCTTGCCGGGCACTCGTTTGTCAGCATGGCGGACATGTTACAGGCGTTGAAGGAGCAGGAGGTCGGTGGTGCACAGTCGGCATTGCACATTGTGGATGCAGAGGAAGCCACTGAAGATATCTCAAAGGTCGACTGGGAAGGTATTGGCGTTGCCATGAGTGATAGGAGTAACCCTGTTGAAGAATCGTTCGGAAATATCCTAATTGGACATGACGTTTCCGCTGAGACCCGCACTGATGGAATTCTTGTTGTTATCACTCCGGAGGCGGGAGAGCCATTGAGTGAGCGTGAGCGGGCCAAGATGGAGAGGATGGAGGAGAAGAGTAGTATGGTTTTCTTTGGCGAGTTTGAAAGTGGTGAGGAATTGGAGTGGGCTATGGTTCCGGCCATCATGGACACCGACAGCATGGCGGCGACTGAGGACACCATCACGACCGACGGAACCATGGCAACTGGTGATACTGCGACAACTGAGACCACCGTCACGGCCGAGGAACTGGATGAAAAGAAGGTTTAAAAGGGATTATGCAGTGATGGAACCTATCGTGGGCGGGAAGCTCGAAGAAGTAAATCGGGAGAGCTTGACGGAAAGGCTTGGCTATGAGCACGGGTGTAATCCTTCTGGGATACTACATGTAGCTAGGCTACTCTCTGTGCTTTAAGAATCTCAATAAAATATGTCTCTCCTTACATACGCGTAGACCCTAATTTTATCTGTATGGTTTCGCACTTGATGCTGTTGTGCTTCTGTAGACCTTGTAGAATCGACGTATGAAAAATCAAACTGTATCGTGATATTACCTGTCAACCTATGTCAGGAATAGCGCTATTGAGAAGTTCTACTTGAAACAGGAAAAGCACACACTTGATGTTTATGGCTATGCTGAATCGAACTGTTCTTTCTTTTGGCTTGTAGAAAAATATATTCATAAACTGGCCACCTCGTTATCCAAATAATGAACGCCTTTCGATTTAAGCAGTATGTTATCTAGTTGTCAGGTGGCCAAGCAGGCTCAGTGTACCAGCAAAGGTTTATCCCTGTTCCGTATGCATGCTCAACGTCGGGGACTCCTCTTTGCCGCAGCTAGCTGACCCTGGTTGTATAATAAAAACCTCTGCATTTTCCCCACGTCCTATTCCACTAGTCAGTCTCTCCTCTACTTCCTATCCATCATATTTTTACCTTCACCTATCCTTATCCCCAAACTCAACCACTCAGCAGTGCGCAACTCATACCAATTTTCATATATGACCCTGTCGGCGAGTAGCACCCCCGCAGCCGTGCTACCTCTCCTGTCTCGCAATGGCGAGGCATCTGCTCATAACCTCTCATCCAAAAGCATCCAGAGCAGCCAATTGAGTAATTATATCAATCCCCAACCACGATTCGCATCGCATGTTGCTCATGCTAGTCTCATCGGTCCGCACAAGTAATATTCGATGGAGGATTCTCTGAATCTTACTGTGTGTTCATCGCTGAGGCGGTATGAGATTCATACTACTCCATCAGTGCAAATTTACTAATTCCTAATTAGCGCGGCAATAATTGGGCCACCATATAACAGCACTCTATCATCCGGTGGTCCGGCCCCGCGATGCTAGGGAAGAGAGCAGGTTCACACCTTCATAATCGTCTCATATGTGTTCCTGTTTAGGGCACTTAGTTTAGAAAGTTTGAACGACGTCCGCTGACATTAGACCGTTGTATTCTACACAAAGCGTAATGTCTACGTAACAAGGTTGACCTTAATAAACCATTGGGGCCTTGGGCCGGGTCCACCACCATGGAATCTCCTCTCGCGAGGATCATTATGAAATCCGGTGCCTCTAACTCTTTGCACCCCTCCTTAGGGGCTGGGTCCTGGAGAGCCATGGCCGGTTAGTTTTCTATTCCCCTTTCATACGGCTTCAACTCACAAATGCCTTGAAAATAGGAATAAGGTCTGCGGGGGTGCGGGCCTGCTCCTCCTTTACCTGCGCCTAATTTGCCCGAGGGGGTAGAACTTCTTCCGTTTTATGTGGAGCGTGCCCTTCTTCCGCCTCTGTAAGAAAGATCTGAGTTGTCTCCAAATCACGACAGTCGTGAGGCACAATCCTTTGCCTCTCTATCCGGTGGAGGGCAGTAGCCGGTTAGTGTTTCTTTTATCTCTCATCGTATTTCAATATCCTGAAGCATTGTGAGGGTAGGGAGAGGATCTCCCGAAGGACGAGCATCCCACTCCCCCGTGCGGGGGGTGGCGGGACTGAGGCCTGTCCTCCTTCAATTGATGTAGGAGAGACCCGCGTTGTCCTCCGCCTCCAACAACTGGAGATCTTCTGTGTCCTCTCTGGAAGGGCACTAACCCCAGAAGCTTGTGGCAGGAATGACGTTTACCACTTGGGAGGATTTTCCTCGCTATTATGCACGTAAGGGGTGCCGGGAGGACTACATGCCCAAGCACCACGGCATTGACCTTAGGATCGGGGTCGCGCCGATTTCCCCGCTTGGTAAGTATATTTCCTATAACAAATCACTAGGGTGTCTACTAACATGCCACAGTTGATCTCCCCAATCTCTTGCGAAGAGCGGCGAGGATCGTTTTGACATTGCACCATCCTTTGGTACACCCGGGAAAGGCCCGCACACCTTTACGACGGCGGCGATGGCTGCTCAACACAAATCCGGGAAGCAGCCCGGTGGCTGTTCCATTATTCCTACCTTGAGATTGGTGATGCCTTCGACACATCCGGTAACACGGCTTCCGCCTCGAACCACACTGTAAGAGCGACCCGCGTTGTCTCAAACACCTTGAATCCGGTTCCTTCATGCCGCCCAGGCTTGAACGGGATCGGAGGGGCGCCATTGGTATACACCCACACCATGGAACACTACTCCCACCCCACACCTACTCTCACCATGAGGGGCCAAAGTTATCCATACACTAGATCATGCCACTACTGCCGGCATGCGCAGGAGGCTAGCGGCGAAAGATCCGCAGACCTGGTACTGTGCCCGACTCTGCATACAGCTGTATGGGCTTTGTGGTCTGGTGTCTCTGTAAGAGAGACCTGGTTGTCTTATAATGATGATAACCAGGGGTGCCATTGATTGGTGGTTGGGTGCGGCGGTCTAGTGGTTTGGGCCATGTAACGGGGTGGGGTTGGGTGTTGCAGTTTTCTGTTCTTTTGTTTTTCTTTTGCTTATAATGTATTTTTAGTTTTTATAATTCATCAGCCTCCAGAACCATCGTCAGCCAGCTTCTCTGAGCACCGTAATCTAGTCTGGCCTCCGGCACAGAATCAAGTACTCATAGAGACGTTGCAAGAGATTTCCGTTATCCGTGTCCAGCTTAACCTGAAGCCTTGGATCAACTAGATCATGAAAGCCTCAGCGGAACCTTAGGTGTTTAGTATCTGGTACCAAAAAGAAATACCGACAAAAAAGTGTCGAGACTGAACGACGTAGGGTTAGGGTTGATGTCGTCTTGCATCATAACTATTTCTCACAGGGAAGATGTCTTTCCTCTACAGCCCAAAGCCCTCGACAAAAAAGAAAGATAAACACAGAACAGGGATCTGATGATGTTCGTTATCTTAAATCACTTCAATTAGGCGATACGCGTTTTAGAAAAAAATTACAAAAGAATATACAACCCGAACGTTGTACAAACCCCACCCCTGTGTTGAACGCTGCGCCTTCTGCAATCGAAGTCAACGTACAACCTATCCTCGGTGTGCTGCGAGTGATAACCGTTAGGCCACGCTCGCCATGTTTTTTGCTGGCCTGAACTAGTATATCGGTGCCAAGGTTACCGGGAATCCCAAGACATGTAGTTAGCTGATAAGATTAGATGCGCAGCTTATCGGATTTCACTGAGAAGAAAAGTAGCGAGAGTCCAACTATGTACAATAGCATGCGACCGTTCTTGTTTCCAAGTGTTTGAAATCGTCTATAGGGCTTTATTATGTTAAACGTTAGTTGAGGTAAGATGTGGAGATCCATAACGCTTCCGTCCAATTAATTGTTTTTGACCATTAGTACTCTACGTTGGCATTATCAAGTCTTTATATTGTATTAGGAATCACGCTTTGTTCCATATCATCCGAAGGAGTATACTATTAGAATAAATGATCTATGAGCCGAAAGGAAGGTTTTAAAAGAGTTAGACATTACTGAGTAAATACAGAACTCAATCAACTTTCGCCTCACCCGAAATCAACAAATTAACTAGACTAGAGCAAAGAACTCCCCCCGAAAGATTTCCATAACTTTTCCGCCTTCCGTCTCCATCCTCGCCTGATATCATATTGCTGTGCTCGAGTACATCACTTCAGTTACGAAGTGCCAGGAGCAGCGCGCTTCCCAGAAAGACCACTTTTCTTGGATCCACCGGAGGTTTTGCTGTCACTAGGAATGACGTTCTCCTTATTGCCGGACCCACTCCCTGATGCCCCAGCAGAAGTAATCCCCTCCTCCTTTTTGTTCACAACGGTACTGCAGCAGCATTTATACTCATCGGGAATCGGGTCCTCCTCTTCCTCCTCCTCCTTAATCAGCGGCATTCCCTGCTCCGCGCGAGCTTCCTTCGCAAACATCTTGACAAGCCTCATCTCGATTCTCTCCAGGTGGTAGAGACGGTACTCATGCTGGCCAATGGCACGGTTGAGTGTCATGATGCGCGAACGGACTTCGTAGAGGGTAGGGTCGAGGAAGCCGGGGGGCAGCAAGGAATCGCGCTTCTTGATGTATCTTTGGAGGGTGCGCATCTCGGCGTTGAGGGCATCACATTCATCGTCGAGACGCATGTGGTCGTGCATGATCTGCCCACAGAGATCTTGGATCTCGCGGTCTCTGCTGGACTTTGAGGAGGTGTTAGTGGGAAGGTTTGAGGAGTTTGGTGGGGATGATGGCTTACAAGGACGTGGGTCATGCTTGGCTGCATTCTGCTGATCCAGAGAGCTTTCTGTAGTATAGTTGAGCTGATGAGATTGAGAGATGGATGAGTGTTTAGATGGTTCTGTGGCTTTTGTTGTTGAGATATGTCAACGGATCGTTGCTGTTGCTTGAGCTGTTGGGTGATGAAGTAGGATGGTTGGTGTGGCTGTCAGATATCCGGTGGAAGTAGTAGCAGATGCTAAGTCCCGAGCCAAACGGTCAAAATATTCGGCACTCAGCAGCATTACTGAGCATAGCCAACAGTGTCCAACACAACCTCGGTATATTATCTGCACATGGGCTGGATGTCTTTCTTGAAATAGGGCGCTCGGCACGTTTCATAGTTCTGGAAGATTCTCATCATTTCATTATAGTATTTGTTATCGGCGTATGACTCACTTTCCTATTAGTCATTCTATTACTCACACGTCTATGACTCATTGTATCTCTTTTGTACTACCTTTCATTAGTATAAATACGGGGCATTCCCCCTTAGCTAGCACAATCAACACGATCAAACTTTACTTCTCCTACATACTTTCTCTAGGTTATGAGCCCGGAGACCACTCACGCTTATACACTCCTCACCATTTTAAAACAAAGTACACTTTCTCGTTTCACTTTCAATCATGTCTGAGAGGAGTATCAAAATTCCCGCACTCCCATGCAAGCTGGATGGTCAAGGCCATTACACTGGTGGAGGGACCTTGCTACCCGCATGCTGAAAGTTCACGATCTGTGGAACTTGGTCAATGGTTCGAGCAAGCGTCCCGTGTTGACAACCACCACAACTACTATACCTACCACGGCACCACAAACATCAGGAAGTGCAACTGAGGTTGAAGAAGACGAAGAAGAAACCTCCGACAATGCCGAAGAAATCAGCGACTGGGACAAAAAGGACAACCTTGCGGTTGTATTCCTCCAATCCAACATCGAATTCGAAGTTATTCTCACGCTCACACCGGCCGACACCGCTCACCATCTGTGGACTCAACTTGAGGACAGCTTCGATCGAAAAACCGTCGCCTCTCTCCACTCGCTCCTCGCTAATGTCGTCACACTACAGTACACACCCGACAAGGGTATCAAGGAACATCTAATCCAGTTTAACACTCTTTGGTCTTCCCTCCTCACTAGAACTAGTAACTCTACGGACAAGACCAAAGACCCACTCGGTTACCACCTTCACCAACTCGCATCTGTTTCAGAAGCGAAGGCATCCTTCCTACTCCTCTCACTCCGGCACGAATCCCTCGAATCAGTCGTTGACAACCTGCAAACCAAGCCCAACGTCACCTTCGATGACGTTTACGAAAAGCTGTTGGATCTGGACTCACGGCGCAACAACGACGGACAGGCGGCTGGAGAAGCCAACACAATCAGGCGAGGAAACCAAGGACACGGAAACAACAACAGAGTCAGAAGGCCACGTAACAACGAAACAGGAAATCGGGACGTCACATGCACCTGGTGCACCAAGAATGGAGAATATGCAAAAGGCCACACGCACAAAAATTGTCAGAAACTCAAAGCTTTCAGAGAAAAGGAGAAGTCCGCTGCATCTGGCAATCTCAACGTCGCGTCTGGTACTGAATTTCACACAAAACTTGACCTCTCTTGGATCCCCGATCTTTCTGGCCTTCCCGCACTCGAAGAAACCGATGTATTCACAATACCGGTTGACTTCGACCTTACCAACTTCTCAGATGACACCTCGGATATTACCATGGAAGACTACTTCGGCTTCATTGCAGGACCTTCCACCACCGATAACAATGCATGGATCTTCGACCCTGGTGCAACCAACCACATGACCGGAACGCTGGTTACGGACCCCACTCCCCATACTGGAACAGTTACTGTTGGAGGAGGTCGCAAACTCCAGATAACTGGAATCGGCAACGTTACCATCAACGGATCACATGGCCTGATCACTCTGCAGAACGTATTCTTGATCCCCGAATTAGGCAACACCAACCTGATGTCTTGTTCTTGCATCGCTAAAAAGGGATTCACCACAACTGGGACGGAAGACAGCTTTACCATCTACAAACCGAACAGCAAGGAAATCATCGGGATCGCTAACGCAAATAGTACTGGTCTTTACATTTTCGAAACCAAGGAACCCTGCGTACACCTCTCTGCCGCCACCAGCTTCTATGACTGGCACCAATGGCTCGGACATCTCCCCGCTTCCTCACTTTCACGGCTTCGCACCATGGTCGCCGACCCCAAGTCTCTCCCCACATCTGGTCACATGGAAACATGCAACACATGTGAACTCGCTAAATCAACCAAGTCTCACCTCGCTCCTCTCAACGAACCACAATCCAAACAACCACTGGAACTAATACACTCAGATCTGAGCGGCAAGTTCTCGACTCCTTCTCTGGGCGGTTTCAGTTACTATATAACATTCATCGACGATTACTCCAGGTACGCTCACCTCTACTTCCTCAAAAAGAAGTCAGATGCAGCAGCTGCAACAGAACGATACATCGCATACATGGAAAATCAATTGGACAAAACGGTTAAACGGTTTCGAAGCGACAACGGTGGCGAGTACATCTCCAATGACCTTCAACAATTTTTCGCCTCTAAAGGCATAAAGCATGAATTCACTGTACCTTACTCTCATGAGTCAAATGGAACAGCAGAACGCTTTAACAGGACTATAGCAACAATGGCACGATCCGCCTTGCTCGACCACAACCTCCCAAAAAATCTATGGGCAGAAGCGATCAACACCATGGTACACGTCAAAAATCGACTCCGGCACAAATCACTCCCGAATATGACACCATACAAAGCACTCACAGGCAAGAAACCCTTTATTGGGCACCTCCGATCCTTCGGTGAAACCATGTTCATACACATACCAGTCGAAGCACGACCAGCTGGAACAAAACTGGATGCTAGGGCTATAACGGGACAATTCTGCGGATACGGAGATTCTGAAAAAATCTGTCCCGTTTACATACCATCACAAAGGAAAGTAGTTCTCTCTCGTCATTTTAGGTTTAAAGGTACATCCGTAGGGCAAGAAATCGAAGTCAAAACAAAAACCGATACACCCCCTAAACCAAAACAAATCGAGATCAAACAAGAACCACCCTCACGTCCGTCAACACCAAAACAACATAGAACATACGACGACGACCCAAATGACGACCACATGATCAACCAACAGATAATGCGCGAAACCATGGAACATTTCTCCGACACTGACTCGGACGACCACGCAAGTATAGTGGGGCCGGCTATACGAGGCCCGCCACTGAACGTACCCCGCATGATGATAATGAAACAGATACTGATCAACCGAGACGTAACCCAGCACGGGAACGAAAGCCTCCGGTCAGATATGGACACAACATTCAACATGACACTACCCTAACAGAACCAACAAACTATCACCAAGCGATCAACAGTCCTGACTCCAAAAAATGGCAGAATGCTATGAAAGTTGAACTCGACTCACTCGCAAGGAATAACACATTGAATCTGGTCAACACACCGGATCACCGCAAACTGGTCGACTGCAAATGGGTATACAAAATCAAACTCGGGCCCGATGGCAACCCCATACGGTACAAAGTCCGACTAGTCACAAAAGGTTTCTCACAGGTCCCTGGTCAAGATTTCGATCAAACCTATGCCCCCGTCACCCGATACAAATCCATCAGACTATTCCTCGCTCGCTGTCTTCAAACCGGCGGCCAATGCGATCAGATGGACGTCACAAACGCATTTCTATACGGCGAACTCAAGGAAGAAATCTACATGAAATCTCCTCCAGGATACCCTACTCCTGGCAAAGCATGCAAACTAATTAAATGCATCTACGGACTCAAACAATCCCCAAGGGAATGTTATGCCCGCCTCTCAAAAGCGCTAATCAAAAAAGGATTCAGAAAAGCATACTTCGACCCTTGTGTCTTCATACACAAAACAGGGGAAGTTGTCATCGCAATATACGTGGACGATATCCTTATCTTCTACTGGTCCGTTGAACGCAAAAACCACTTCAGCCTCCTCCTCCACTCTGAATTCGAAATGACGGAAACTGTCACAGCCAACTGGGCACTCGGAATCCATTTGATCCACACTAAGACTGGCATAATCCTATCACAAGAAGCCTATCTCAAACGTGTACTCATCAAATACGGTTTTAATGAATCCAGACCTGTGGCAACACCTATAGACAATAACGTCCACCTCCAAAAAGGAACGGAAACTGAGAAAATCGATGATCCAACAATTTATCAGTCAATAATTGGTTCACTCATGTATGCATTAATCGGCACTAGACCCGACCTCGCCTACACCGTCACCATGCTCTCGCAATTTTCCTCCTGTCCTACTAAGGCGCACCTAGCCGCAGTCCACCGCGTCTTCCGTTATCTCAAGGGTACCTTCGATTGGTCACTCTTTCACGCTAAAACGCCACCAACTGCTCTCATAGGCTATAGTGATGCAAGCTATGCCTCTGATATCGATGATCGCCGCTCATTCACCGGGCACTGCTTTATGCTAGGGGAAGCTCTCATCTCCTGGCGCTCTTATAAGCAACGATCCGTCGCCACTTCTACAACTGAAGCGGAATACATGGCCCTCTCAGACACCAGTCGACAACTGATCTGGTTAAGGAATGCAATCCACGAGCTGGAACGAAAACTGAATCTCTCTTTCATCCTTCGACGCGACAACAATGGCTCTCTCTCTTTGGTCAAGAATCCTGTCTTTCATAAAAGATCTAAACATATTCACGTACATTTTCATTTTGTTCGGGAACGGTTTGAGGATGAATTATTTGAACTGGAGTATATTTCTACGAACGAGAACGTGGCGGATTTACTTACAAAGGGATTGGACAAAGGCAAACATGTTTTATTTTCTTCAACTATTCACTGTGGCTCACGAGGGGAAGTCTTGAAATAGGGCGCTCGGCACGTTTCATAGTTCTGGAAGATTCTCATCATTTCATTATAGTATTTGTCATCGGCGTATGACTCACTTTCCTATTAGTCATTTTATTACTCACACGTCTATGACTCATTGTATCTCCTTTGTACTACCTTTCATTAGTATAAATACGGGGCATTCCCCCTTAGCTAGCACAATCAACACGATCAAACTTTACTTCTCCTACATACTTTCTCTAGTCTTTATGTGTCATCGTGCTAACAATTTGAACGAATACTATGATTGGGTTTATTAACTTTTCTTGTGTTTTAGGACGGTGGGCTCGGTGTTAACGTGACCAGAGCCACAATCCCTTCGATTCCTACCATCTCTTTCTCAAAGGAAAAAGGAAAAGAAAAAAACGAAGATGTTGGATAGTCTCCGAAAGAGAGGCATTGACTTCTACCAATATATAGATACTAGTCCACCAAATTAAGAATCAACCCTCATTCATGCATGTTGCATGCATGTAGCGCTGACGGTGCAACCGAAAGTGAAGACCAGAAAAACGAAACACTGAAACGTCAAGTTTACTAAGACACCCCGAACCCACAAACCCAAAGCCGAAATGAATCCTCACTCCGCCGCCGTTAAAACATCACCAACCCGAGAGAAGGAAGAAACCGAGTAGTACTATCAGAACTCCCCACCCCCCCCCCCCCCCCGCGCTGTAACGGTGGTTCTCACTTTCTCTGTTGATGTGTTTTTTTCGCAGTTTCCATACTAACCACACGCTTCAAAATATTACCCCACCAAAGCCTTCTCTCATCGTAAGAGTTTACCCAACCAAAACCTTCTCTTCCCGTAAAGCGGCACCCAACCAAAGCTTTATTATGTCTGATTAGACCAGATGTGTATCCGCTCAAAATAATCAATCCTCTCCACTGCTTGGAGTAGGAATGATGGAGATTTCCCCTCCTGAGCGGGGCACGAGACTGTGTTCAAGCCAGCGTAATTGACATAGAAAGTCGTAAGGCCTTCGAGTAGTAGACCTGGACTCCAACCAACACTCGAGCTTCCAGACGTACTCGACCTGCAGCGGGACCTGTCAGTATGTGGGGAACCTCTATTTCCGATGAATTATCGATGCATTGATATAACTTACACGAGCAGTTCGATCGATCGCTTGGAATGCCTTGACTATTTTAAATAGCTCAAGCGTTTGCCCGCGCCATTTGCGAAACAACTCTGCCAACAAGGCTCAGACTCCCGCCTGGTAAAACCTTCTCCACATGTTCCGTTGCACAGATAGTTTTCCCCAGTAATCCTTAGCCATCCCAGCAACAGATCTGAGCTGTTCCATAGTTGTGTTTCAGTGTTGCCACAGCCTGCGATTAGAGGCAAAACCGAACGGAAGCCAAAGACTGGCGCATGGTGATTCCGGTGTGAAAGCAGGCTGTGAGATATTAGCAGGATAATCCGTATAGAAAAGTTCGAAAATTCCTTACAGGATGGAATTGAAATGCCGGATTCATAAGACATTTTCGCGATAACACTGTTGTGCATTGAACCTTTACAGGCTTGACAACACTTACTACACTTACCCGACCACAACCTCCGCATCATTTGTTAAGTTCTATGTGTTGCAGAATAGTGCCCCCGGAGGTGGTTGATCAAATACTTGCGGGAAAGGCTGTATTTCAGAATCCTAATGCCTAGGGTTTCGCCTGCCTAGTGTCCTAATTACTGAAGCACTCAGTATTCAGGAAGATTTGAATGGGCACCCTATCTGGGAAGGCAAAAAACTGACTTGGAGGAGGTACGGGTTATGCCTCTTTGTTTTCTTGACATGTTGTCGAGATGATAAAAAAAAGGTATACTTAATTTTGCTTTGTGTGCCCCCTGCTCGGTGGTCGTTAGCCGTTACCTAGGCATGCGGCTCTGCACAAAAACATTGGCGTGCCAACGAAAGCTGTCCGCACTATCAACAGAAATCAAACAGTAATCTGATAGTTACAATAAGCTATGCTCAAATAAGAGGAATTCACAATCTCATCACGATACCGGAAACACCTATTACCCCGCGGGGGCGGTCTTTGGGATAGGGTTAGGGTTGCTGTTCCACGACTTAGAGATTTCATTTACGATCCGAAACTTGTGCTCGCAAGGTAGTACACTACACTAAGAAGGTAGGAAGGGTACATTGAGAGCAGTATTTACTAGTTGTAGGTGAATACATATCCACACTTCAACCTATCGGGAGATTATTTCATGGAGAGTATATAGAGCTTCAGACACTTACAGCGGGAGTGGAGGTGTATTATTTGCGAAGGATATAGAGAAAGGGCTATCACGACTGTGCCATAATTTCGTAATTTTCTTTGAAATTCTCTACTCGAAAACGTAGGTGCTAAATGACGGTGAAATAGGTGCGAAGTATACACATTAACTGTAGAGAGTGGGAAATTACGAAACTTAGAGTTGTATATATATCCTCAGGTAGGGACAGATACGGTGGTCACCGGAACCGCGAAAAATAACATAATAGCAAATCAGATTAGGCTGCAAGTACATTTTTGTTTCTAGCCATCCTTCACCATAAACATCTGTCCAACCGTACGCCCTAATTTCCTACCTCATCCCCATCTTCACCAAAAACGTCATAAAATTCAGAAACCTCATCGCTCTCACACCCTGGCCACATCAAACCTTCAAGGAAGTGGTCAACGAGCCTTAGCTGGGAGCGATGAGCTTCGATAATCTGGCGAACAGAGACCAGAGCTTCGTGAATACTGAAATAGAGCTCAAGTAGCTCGTGCGAGGATAGTGCCATATGCTTAGTTAACGGATTACGGAAGTGGTCATAATTGTTAAAAAGCATTCTTTCAACACTTTCGAGCAGGTCTCTCAGGTTCATGGCAATGAGATCTGCGCCTTGCAACATATGAGCTGTGACCGATCTCAATTCGATTGGGCTCTTTGTGGGGCTTATTAGTATCACCTTTGGGGAAATAGCATTTTAACGAGTATCGTACGTACCCTGATATAAGGCATGTTGACGATAGTGGCCTTTATTGAACTTCCTCTTTTGCGTTCAATCTAGCTAGATGTGCACGTGTTAGCCGGGTCTGTAGAATAGTTACTTTAAGTGAATAGCTCACCTCTCTCTTCACGTTAATAATGAAAAGAATGAAGATGATGTAAAGCGAATGAAGGAAGGTTAGAGGCTGAGCTCGGGGGTATGTTGATGATTTGAGCAATATCAGTATGGGGTTGTGCAATGCCTAGCTTTTCTGAATGCAATAGTGAAAGAGCCGACTGCGTTGTTGATCCGGAGCAAAGTAGTTTTTCGGGGACGATTGAGACCCGTAAATTTATCTCTACTTATATGACACAAAAACTAGAGAACAGATTTCAGAGTCAGCTTCGCGAGAGACATGGAAGTCTGGAGTTAACACGTAAGTCGGATTCCAGGAGGGTTCTGTCCTGTACTATACGTTACTATACTGCGTACTGTCAACTGAATACCTTCCCTGATGGGACCAAGCCACGGTTTAATAAACACATTTGCACCAATGGATTCTGCTGCCCGCACCTGACGAGGAAACCCTAGTCCATTTACCGATCCTTTTATAGAAATCGTACACATTTCCATCATGATCAAGGAAGACGTACTAAGTGCCCGCTTTACCGCTGCAACTAATTAACTAAGTTCATTTTAGAAGTAGTGAAATTAATAGGGTGCTCTCGTTGTTTAGGGAGTGCGTAGTAGATTATTTTTATTTTCACATCAAACGCAAAGGAAATTGAGCCTGTCTTTTTCAATAGAAGTTGAATATGGCTACGTGTACATGAAAGCATAACCCCGGCAACGTGACTAGTGGATATGCTTTCCGCAATCTGTAGTTCCGGTTTGTGCTTGTTACGTATGTCTCTAGCTTGTTGGCAATTAGTAATAAATATTAACCAGGAAAGCTTTTTACCCCGCTAAACTGGCCACTCCGCTCAATCTTTTGCTGGTTTTCCCCTAACCCTCTCCAGTTTTCCATCCCTCAACGGGGAAAGTATCGACCCCACAAATGTTCACCACGCCCCGTCCATTGACGGAGGTCTTTAAATTCCCCATCTGTAAGGGAGACATCCGTTGTCTTTATCATCTTCCGTCACCTATAATGCGGACAACCGTTGTCTAAAGGCTCCTCTCGTGAAGTCTCAGGCCGCCGGCTTCAAGCGGTGGTGACCTCCTCGCCCTACCTGGGCCCCGTTAGCAGTATGTTGGGCACCTTCTGGTGGGTATTCATTATCTCTTTTTAAGGATCTTCTTCTCTACAGAGAAATAAACTAACCAGATACCAAAACAGTTATTACTCCTTTCACACCGCCTCTTCAATGGCATCCTCTTGCCCTCGCCGTGCCCCACGTATTCCCTTACAATGGTGTTAGGATAGTGTGTATTATTTCTCATGTAAGCCTGGCTCTGGTAGGTTTATGTGGTGGGTTTTGCGTGCTATCTTACTGTTGTTGTGGGGGCTTTCATGGGGCCCGGAGGGGGCAAGAGGATTCCAGCGAAGGTGACCTTCGCCAAATTGTGTGGAGGAGAGTAAAGATTTACAAGATAGGTGAGAATAACCATCCCATACTCTCTCTGCTTTATCAAATAAACCGCTCTGAACTATACTAATAAGACCTGCACCGCAGATGCGCCACTTACAGGCCACAACTCACTCGCTGTAGGAACTGAGTTCTACACTCGGTATTCGGTGGCCGGTGCTACACAGCACAAGGACGACCAAATCGTGACGGCATCGGCGGCCGTCCGATTAGTGACCGGGATCGGAAGCCCCCGCGAGTTTTAGCCAATGATCCGGGGCCTGCCGGTCGACCCGGTTCGAAAGCATCCGAGAGTTTTATCCTGCTCGCTGTCGGGCCCCGCGAATGGACGGCATCATTAATGATGTCGATATGACGTGCCTGGGGGTGGGTGGGCGATATCTAAGCTCACCAAGGAGGACGGAACACCAGGCTTCTCGGTGTCCTTACAGCGGTGCCGGCTGGGGCCCCACGTGTACAACCAAGCTCACCCAAGGAAGATGGAACACCGGTGTTCCAACACCATCATTGCCTACTGGGGCGGGCCGGTATAAAGACGCCAACCAAATCGGTGCCTTTGGCTACGTCGAGTGGTCCGGGGGAGAACGAGCCCAAGGTAGTTTAGAGTCCCACCTTTGCGGTTTCCATTTTGCTCTTTTGTGTGATAGAGATTAAACTAATACTGATCAGGTGACCTAGTCTGGGATCCATTCCCTCCGGGTCCGGGCCCGGTATAAACCCAGCGCCGCCAAGGAGGAAGTTGGGCCTGGGCGCTTCCCCATCGCCTCACCCAACGGCAGAAAACATGCCCTCAACACCCCAGGGTTCCTGGCGTTGGCGGTGCATCGCCAATCAGCCGGGCTCCTTCGCCGAACCCGTCGCGGATCCCAAGCCCACCGTCACAACATTTGGGTTTGTTAAGTGAGGTGATATTTAAAATACCGCCAGTGATACTCCTCCAGGACTCCTCCCGCCTGTACCAAAGCCGGTCCACCACCCACAGGCCGTGGTCAATGTCACCCGAGGCCCAATGGGGTATACACCGGTCCTGCCGTAAGTAAATTAATTAATTACCTCTCTTTTCAGCACCTGGCGACAAAACTAATTCCTAGCATAGTCCCCAATTAACAGTCTCTGGTTGGTGTGGGGGGGGAAAGGGTGGGTCGGTGTAGTAAAACGGGGGAAGAGTGTGGGGGCGACCCTCTTCTATTTCCTAATTTAAATTTTACATTTTTATACATTTTTTCTTTGTGTTCTGTGACACTGATTTCCTAAATCTTTATTCCTTGTTTCCTATTGCTGTTCCTCTCTTTATCACTTGGCGCCGGCCATCTGTCGCCCTATCCGAGGCCGAGGTGATATCGGTACAGATTCGTGCTGGAAAAAGGTTCCCAGACATATGGGCCAGGTGTCAATGATGGCTACAGCAGTGTTCCACTGTTCTGCTGGGTGTATGTCCTAACTGCTCCCTTTTCTCCGGGAGTCATCATCATGGATGAATATATCAATGATGGTCCCTGGGGGATGGGGGGGAGGCGTGTGGATTAAGGCGGGAAAGAAGGCTGCAATTATCTTTTGTAGAAATTCTATACCCAGCATTTCAATTGTTTGTTTATATCGAAAGCATAGAATTACTGTAATACATGCGACGTGACATTGTTCGCTACTTATTACCCACATGAGCAGCTACTGGTATCTTCCTCACATTTTTTGAGCCACCATTCCTCAACCTGCAAACATTTTGGGTTCTTTTGTAGGTATATAATCTAAGTCGGGCCCATACAAATGAGCCTATGTGATGAATATTTGCATGGAGGGTTAGGGCTTATGCTCAACTTGGCTTACCACGATCAGCGGCCCCTGGATGGCCAAGTGGGTAGGCTTCCAGGTGGCCGAGTTCTCCCGATGAACAAATTTCCCGGGGGTGGGCGAGGCCGCAGGTTCGAATCCTATAGGGGCGGTGATCCAGGGGATATTAATCGTGGGTTCTTTTCCTGGCTTGTCATGTGGGATGGTTTCTGCTCCTCGGGAGAGTTTTCCATGTACCCAGCGCCCAAATGGGGCATGCGGACTGGTGATGGAGTGCGGCTAGGTATGAGTGCTGGCGTTGAACCGGTTGGGGTATTCCACAGCCTGTTGAAAGTAGCGACTAGTAGGCATAAAGGGTGAAACCCTGTACTTTTACTGTAGATGGAGTGCTGAAGAGTTCATATCCCTTGACCTATTACCATGCGACAACTAGCGGCGGAGATCTGTTCGGCAGTATTAACGGGCATGCGTGCGCTGTCTATAGAGACCACCGGGGAGGAACCGGTGGTGTCTATCTCGCAGGTATGAGGTGCTTAAAAGGTCCCTTGGGTATATATTCCGGATTGATAATCACATATCACGGACCGCAACGGTATCGCTGTGACCATCCCACGGCACATACGTTCATTACCACTCCCAGCGTGCGATTGATTGCTACAATTCCACAAATGATACCCGGGTGTTGGTTATATATCGGTCTGAATGGCTGAATACCCTTTTTATAAGAGTGAAAACACGCCGCCAGAAGGCGAGATATAATCCCTGCCTAATAGTTACCAGTAGTCTACACCATAGGAACCATAGTTCACCCCCGTAATAACCCGCCGGCATATATTGGGATGGCAATTGAGAGAGTGTGCATGTTAATGAAGGACGACTAGGCTTTTCTCCCTACCCTTCTCAGCATCGAACACCTAGGTAATTTGGGCGGTATAATACCAGATGGCCTTTCTGTGCCGAGGGCAAAGTTCAAAATGATTCATTAATTACATTATCTTGATATCAGCCTCGAAATAACCTCGTGCGAAATAACCTCGTGCGAAATTACGCAGAATGGCCGGTGAATGAGCTACAACAAAAAGTTTTGAGTGATATTTTGGGACAAGGGACCTACACAAATCGGAGGTTATGGAGTGTCTATATCACCCATTCAGACTTTGGTCTCATAATCTCGAGTTGTGTGAGCTATAGCAAGCCTGAAAGCTAAATGATATTTGAATTGATATTTCCAACAGTACCTGCACGAGATTCCTTACTACTGATACACTAACGATTTGTTTTGTAATCCAACCGCTGATTCTGATTCTCCTAGAGGTTATACAGCTTCTGACGAACCCGAAAGTGTTGCTGAAATATGTCGAAAACTGTAAATTTTTTGGTGCGGTTTGGGTTGCTGTCCCATCATTTTTGAACAACTATACTATTGTGTGCCCACAAGGGGGGTTATCCATCTGTGGTTCGGGTTCTAGTTGTAATTTTCTTTTTTGTAAAGTACAATAGGAAACCTTACAAGAAAAAGTAATGGGTATGTTACATTCGTATCACACAAATAGAAATATAGCTACACCACCGCTACAGTACTGCATGAAGAAAAAACCAGATGGCATTTAATGTAGGTGCGCTATTGCAGATAGGGATAATAATATGTGTGAATGAAGAGAGGTAACACGTGTTTCAAACTTGATAAAACTGAAGAAACATGTCCCTTCGAAAGGTTGACTTTATTGAAAAATACGATAAAGAGTATAGAAATAAATAGAAACAAGGAATGTAACTCGGCGGAAGAAGCGTACCGATGCGACCTGTCATAAACAGAAGTTCAAAACATAAGACATAGAACAGGACATAATAGACGTTCGGAGTGAAAACTGCAGCGAAGAACCAAATACCAGAGAACAGGATGGTAAAAATAAAAGCGGACGAAAGAAGATAAGATAAGATGAAGCGTTTATAAAAAGAATGAGAATCGAGATAGGTTGGAAAATGAATATCACAAGAACAGGGAAGTCTCAATAATGATTTGCTTCCTTGAGAGTAAAACTCTCAGGAGTCAGAAGACGCCGAAAAGTTGAAAGAAACGTTAGACAATTGAAAGGACGAGAAAAGAAAAATCGTAACATTGAAAAACAGCATCTGGTGCATAGAAAACCACACAACATGTTCTTTCGCCAGCATGACATCGTGCTGCTAGCGGTGGAAATCCATCAGGAAGACCAAAAGACCAGACAACCGAAGAGCCACCCATGTCGGCAACTCATTTATCTTCATCGTTCTCCGTAGCCGAAGGGACCAGTGTCTCTTGCGAATCCTGCTTCATGGCCCTAACACGTGCCTTGACATACTCTTCGCCGTTCAATGTATCAATGCGGGCCTGGGCGCAGATTTTGCTATCTACGGAATGTCAGTTTATCGTATAACAATGGAGATGCTCTTCAGTCATGGAACATACCCCCGCAGCTTCGGTTGCGCCTCAAGGTACCGAGTGTGGTGTTGTAGGGGCAGGTTTTCCCTTTCTGCTTGAAAACATGGACATGGCGGCACGGAACCTTGGAATAGCTTAGGTGACCTGTCATTTTGTTAGATGAATGATGGTGAGATGGAAGTGGGAGGGGGGTTCATGGCGTACCGCATCCCCATTCGGTCGGTGTAAAATAGCACATCTTTGTAGCCTTGAGAGTTTTAAGGTGTGAGATACCAACGTGTTTGGAAGTGGTTTGTGTTGGTTGTTGTTTGATGGCGGAGTTGATGACTTTTGGATGAGAAGTGGTAAATGGAGGTTGGAGTGCAGTGGATGGTTTAAATAGTGCTAGAAAGATCAGGTGATCGCTGTTGCTCTCAGAATGCGGTTTAGGCCACGGTGACCTTACCTGGGTAAGGTAACCACTGCGCTGCTTGTTGTTGAACATTGTTGAAGGGGGCTGCTGGGCAGGGTGGGCCCAGTTGTGAAGGGACGAAGGCTCCAACAACATTCAAAGATGTACTCCAGCAGGAAAAACAGGTGCCGTCAACTGTTTAGCCGAACAAGGTAGGGCTATCCAGTCAAGGCATGTGTCCACCTAGAGCTAGGAGTCTTCAAAGAGCTAGGTGGAAATAAAAAAAAGGCTGTGTAGCGGAGAGCTAAAGTAGAGTATGTGATTGGTTTAGGTGTCGTATTGTACTGACAATGTGTGTATCTTGAGATAACAGAAGCGAAAACTAGGTAAGATGATGCCTGAAACTCTGACCCTACGTCAGTTCTCTTACTTGAAGAAGATAATGGTCCCGAGAGTCGATCGAGAATAGAAGTTCATTAAAATCTAAAATGTAAACATGCTTTATATACATTTCTTGCAGGGATAAACAGTAACAGAGCACCCCCTAAGCAATAGCCGGAGAGATCATTATTGATCTAAGGCAATGGGGCATGTATGCGGGAGTAAAAACCCTGCAGCGGAGCGAGTGACCTTCTCCAATGTGAGAACATATATCCCCCATTGAGACAACTTGGGAATATAATGTCATATGTTCAACGTCTCCCGCTCCTCGGACCACACTTCAACAGGTTATCTCTGCTATTAGTAGTAGATAATATGCATCATAGGTAAAAAAGGTAAACCTCAAATAAACTGAGGTGTCGTGGGTATAGCCTCCCACCCTCCAAGGTTTACGACCAGGGCTGATTGATGAACCCAGGTATTCCGTCTTTTTCAGCATTTCTTGCACGAATGGAGAGGTTGAGACCGAGAAATAGCATTCGAGGTTCTAGTTCCACAGGATATAGCCAGTGTTACATCTGGAGCCATGACATGGGTGAAAAGGTAAAAAAGAATCCCTGGGTAGCTCCCAAATGTTCCATACTTGTAGGAAGGCCGTGACGCCCGTAGTTTAAGGAATGATATCCATCTGGTGCATCTGTATCGCATGTAGTAAGTGCTTTGATTTCTGCTATTCAATATAGAGATTTCGAACTTCGTCTCGCTGCTGTAGTCAACTTATCAATTGAATTGTCGAACTTAAGAGATGCCTCAAGAAAATGTTTTTTGTATGCGGGAGTGTATGAGGTCGTTTAGCGCAGGTTCTTGCTTTTTCCAGGCACCAAAAGTGAACCCCTGACGCTTAGTGACTAGCGTGGCATGCGGCTCTGCGGAGACCTTGCGTCAACCAGGATAAGTTACAACACTGAGACATCTTGTCCGGAAACCAATTTTCCACCACATACCAGATTCGAAGTGTTTCAACCTTTCCGTCCACTCTCACCTTCTTGACGCCATAAGGAGAAGACAATGCGTGCCTTCTGAGGTGTCCTGCTCTATCGCACTATCCCAACTTGCTCAAGAACGTCTGCTGCACTTTGCGTGGAGTGGTTGAAAGAAAAAAACGGAAATTCAAGATAGAGTTCCTCCCATGAAGCAGAGGTATTAAGGTAAGATCACATCACCCCATTTATTTCACATAGGAAGGAGTTCTATCTCATACCAGGGAAAGGCTTCGACGAAACGTTTGCAAATTTAATCTACATAGACGCCGATCTCCTGCTTAACTTGAGGGATCAAAATTCAATGGGTGTCCATACTTCCCAAGAGTCAATTACGAGAGCTGTACTCACCCATCTTTTTTGGAAATCTCTAGGTCGGTCTTTACCTTTAAACCCCCCCAAACGAGAAGCAAAGAAATACCCCCCTCTAACCTCATTTTATAGTAGGAAATATATCCCGAAGAATACTTCACATTCTTTTCCTTCTCTCTTTCGACACTCCGGGGGAGCTCGACTACGAGTAACACCTACCTCCGCCGCTTGAGCGGAGGTAAACTACAGCAATATACTACGGTGCTTATGGCAATTGATATATTCTTTTCATATCTCTTCCTAGGGGTGGTGCTTTACGTTAGCGGAATATGAATAGCATTGGTCTTCTGGATAAGTGGGATTGATTAGAAAGGAAATTCGGATTTTGGGAAGGAGATCAGACAATATATCACTCGACGGTACTGGCTCTATCAAGGACAAATGGTAATTATTCCCGTACTCACCCTCCGCTCACATCCATTCCTTCTCAAAAAATCTGAAATTACATTGCTAACCTGATCTCTATTGACCTCTTTAGAGCACTGCACAGCGCAGAATAGGCACAGCTGGCTTGAGTTCTTCATGTTTACCTTTCTCTCGCCGGTTAGAGTATAACAGTCAAAGGATGATTACTCAACGTTCATCTCGTCCTTTACTTCGGAATCTCATGTAGCGCAAAATGGGCATTGGCAAATACTCGCGATAAATTATCTGGGCGAGGATAATACGTGTTGAGAGTGCTCTGTTCTTATGAATGCGTTCTCCGAATCTGGGTTCGTTAGCGCTATATATAGCGCTGGAATGATCGACGTGTGTGGCGCTGGGTGCTGGCCTCAACCGCCACGATTTGGAACAGGACAGATCAGCAATGTGGCAGCCCACGACAACCCAACACTCGGTCATGACAATCAGATAGCCGGATCAAAAGACTGATGGCAAAAGGAACTCATACCAGCAATCTTTCTGGCCCACGATGGACTTTCCGACGGTGTGTAATCAGGTGTCTTTCTCTCCTTCTTGCGACTAATGGGTGTGGCGTAGTTATGTCTTACCCGGCGAACAGGATAATGTACCACCCTCAACCTACATACATCCCATCAACAGAACAATGTCCAGCGCCCAAAATCAATAGACATACCACTCGTTGCCCTTGAACTCGGTATTACAAGATGCTCATGGGCGAGTAAAGCACCCTGAAACGCCCTGAGAAAATTCTGTGTGTGAGGGAACACTGGAATAAATGTTTAGGCAGAATACGAACGAGACTTGCAACGAGACCCAAGATTGTAGGGAACTGTTCATGGTGCACATTGTGGAAAATTGTTTTCTGTGGATTCTTTTGGTATTGGTGGATCCTCGAGAGTACACAGAACACCCGCTCGTTTGGTCCTAATATCTCCATATCTCGACAGCCCCATGGATTTTATTACCTGTGCGACCTCCGATTTTGGTCCCGGAAATCCATTACTAATTGCGAGAGTTTTTAGAGAAAGTTTGAACACCTCACAGCCATCGTTTTAGGGGATCCTTGTACGATCTAATGAATTTTTACAAGGAAAATACAGAACGCTTTGTTCCACTAATACTGATGTGATATGACGAGGACCGGTCGAGAGAACACGCAATGGCAGATTTGGGTACAAAAGGTCAAAGGATTCTAGAGATGGTACAATCAGTCGACTTCTCCAGCCAATCAATCGCCTTACCAGCGGCCTCTACTCCTGTATGCTCTATATTCCAAGCCCACCCATTCCTACTGGAACCACAATGATTTGGAGATTCCCATTCCAAACTAAATTGAGCCCAATGAACGTTGTTGGATAATCGAATGATAGATCTAACACTCATGGGAAATATCAGACTAGCTTTTACTCACGTTAGTATACCCTTAGTCTACCCCGGGAGAGGGGGAAATCGGTTATTTATCTCTGGAGGTAGCTGTTATTTGAACATTATTAAATTCAGAATTAAGATTCTCCGAACCAGGGCTTGTCCCCATTCCGCACCCAATTGCATGTCCAGAAAGCCGCCAGTATACTGACTACGCAGACGAAATATTCAGTATCTCGTCATACCCGAGACCTGATTGGAGACTTACGTAGTCCTTCGGTCGTTATAAAAAAATAAAACAACCAAACCCCCCATCCTCCCTCAACCACTCAAAGACATAACAGCTTGAGAACATCCGCTGCCATCATTCACCAAAATCTCAAATTCTATCTACACCTGTCTTTCCATCATCCACTGTACCAAGCCACTCCTTCCCATATATCTCACCACCACCACTACTCCACAATGTACCGCGAGCTCTTCCGCACCCTCGCCAACCTCCCCCACACCCTCCCACCAAACCCCTTCCTGCAGAAGAAAAAACCCGCCCCAGAAATATCCCCCCTCGCCTTTATCCCCTCCGAGCGTCTCCTCTCGCTCGTCTGCCGCGCCGAAGACCTCCCCGACCTCATCGCGTTCGAAGAAACCGTCCTCTGCATCTACGAAAAGGACCCCGCGCGGCGCGACCGCTGCTTCATCGCGAACCACCCCGACGTTACCCCCAGCCACGAAGACATCTGGCGGTTCACAGTTGAGTGTAATGTCTACATTGCTAGTATGCATTCCGCTGTACGGAAGCTGAAGGTGGAGTTGGATGCTGTGGTTAAAGAGTTAAGGACTACGTGGTTGGCGGAGAGGGAGGCGTGGAGGTGTAGGGCTTTGAAGGCTGTCGATGCGAGGGATGAGGATTGTCAAGAGGACTGGGAGGAGGACTTGTGGATTGGGAGGGTGCAGAGGATTGATGAGATGATGAAGATGCTCTATGATGAGAAGGATTAGGGAAGGGGCGGGCGGGCGTGAGGATATCTGTTGGCCTGAGGACATGGGTTGCATATTCCTTTTTTTTCTCTTTTTTTCCAAGACTTATCTTTTTACTTCCTTACTTGGTTCACGACAACTGTTTGCTATCTAGATGTCATTTTTATCCGGGGGAGGAAATAAGGCGGGCGAATATTTTTCGTAATGTCGTAACCTTACTTGCGGATGTTACCCCTAAACTATGTTTTTCGGAAAGACATTTGTTGCTGCTAGTTAATTTGACGATTGTGCTTGTGAATACTGTGCATTTTCTTGAGGTGATAGATGTATTGATTTTGACTTACTGAGTCCAGCCTGAAGTCCGACCCTTTAAACAGCGCAGGTTAATAGCGGCAGCTATAGTGGTATCAAAAGGACATTTCAGTTTCAGCTATACCTCCCGCTCCCTATATATATAACAAGTCAATATTACCAATTCACCTACTCCTGCAACCTCCAACAGCCCCAAGAAGTAGTAAATGCAATCCTCATAAGTATGATCCTTTCAATGAACGCCACCAACAAATATTTTATCAAGCAACGTAGGAGAAGTTGGACAAATCGTTATATGTCCCACTCATGATATGCAAACTCATTTATATACTTTAGTTCTCATGCCTTAACGGTACCTTCAATGTAAAATTCAATGAAGACAACCTTCACTACTACCAGATGATTTAGAATTTAAATACCGTAATGAACATATCTATAGTCTATCTGCTTTCTATTAGAAATGTTTCCTCTCTCGTTGTAATCATAATTTCATTACAAGAGAGTCCTCTCTATTTAGAAGAAGTATATAGGAGGGAACACTGCGCGAGAGAGATTGACTGCTGGTGTGTTTTTGAAAATTGAGCGACATTGTTGAAGACCCTACACAAATACGAAAGGTTTTAAACTTGAAAGAAAAGAAATACAGCTAACAATGCTAACGGTTCTGAAGGCCTCACAGCCAACACCGCGGAACAGCAAAATAAAGGTTGAGTAACATATCCTACAAGTCCCAAGAAAACCTATGGCACTCAGATACCCTTCTCGTATACTCAAACTAAGCCCACCTATGGCTATTATCCCCTCCATCCCCAAACCTCGCAACAACCGTAACAGCGCAGCACCCCACCCCTCTATTCCAACCCCCAGCACACGTCGGACACCAACACCTATGCCTCACCGTATACAACGGATCTGCAATCACCTTATACCCAAGCTTCCGCAGCTCTGCCAAAAGATATGTATTCTCCGGAAACCGACGAAGGTCCTCAACAAGCTCCTCACACCCCTCCGGGATCTCCCCGACAACACACAGCTTCCTCGGCTCAGACCACGGCTCCCCGTTGACGTCAAGCTTGATCCTCCTCCCGCGTTCCTCCGGTGCATAATAGTCGCTAAATGCCGCCTCAATGAGTGCATCGTCGAAATCCATGTCTGAATAGTCTAGGTGCTCGGTGAACCTCGTTCTGGAGACGCCCCTGCGGCGCCTGCTGGACTGGGAGCCGTCGGCGCTTGCACTACAGTACTGGGCGTAACCTCCATTGCCCCTACTGCTGCTACTGCTTGAAGTGGTGGCGGCGTAGCTGGGGTCGTTGCCCATGAGGTGGCTAAGCGGGATCTGGTTGGTTTCGACCCGGTGCTCGAAGTCACTGATGATGTTGTCGATCTGGATCTGGTTGGTTTCGATGCGGTGTTCGAAGTCGCTGATCTGTCGCTCGAGCTCCAGGAAGTGCTCGGCTTCGGTCTTTCGGGGCCTCCTGGTAACCTTGAATTGGACTGTGGGTTGTTAGTGTGGTTGAGGTGAGCGGAGCGCGCGTTAGGTATACCTCTCCTGGGCTTGTAGCGTTTAATGAGGATATGGCGGTGCATTGTGGGTGGGCTCTGAATATAGTTTAGGTAACGGTGGGGAGTGTAAGTGGCTGTGACGTTGTATCTTTCGAAGGTGGGACTATATTAATATAATGTAGGGAGTAGATGTGGAGAGGATGTGGAGGAAATATGGGATGTATGTGCGGGGGGTGTGGAGGGGATGGCGTGGTGTGGGGTATCTATAACCGTCGATTCTTTGTTGATTATTGTGGAGATAACGGACGGAGATTGGTGCCACGATACGTACTGAGGAATAAACAGGTAGTCTTCTGGGCTAGCAACACGTCCATGGATCTTTGCAACCCAATCTATACGTATTTGTCTTCCCTGCGGAAACAAACCTGATATCTCTCAATGCGCCTCTCCAATTGTTCGCAGGTTCTTCTAACTTTCAAAAGATTGCTAATATGGGAATCCGATCTTTGCATTCACCGAGTTGATAGGTTCTGGGGCGTAGTGCTCCTCCAGGCACCTAGATACCTACTCACTATTTCCACTCTCCGCATCTGTTTAGCTTCCGAGGCGATACTCCTGCCAACACCAACATGTCCACTGTTCAGAGATAACAACTGCATAGCACAGAGTACAATGAAGACATGACCTTACGTTGGTTACACGGCGGATCCCTTCAAGGCAGTCTGCGGCGCTCAAACAGCAACAGCAGGGATATATGAAGAACGAGTGATACCCTATGAAGAAGTAGTTCCACGAATGTGGAGCTCGATTGAACTCTGGTTCCTGGATGACCATAAGATTTCAAGTTCCCACGGCGGTCACAAAGCCTGGCGAGTGAACTGAAATCATGATTTCAAATATCCCGCTGGTATCTTGCCTTGTGGGGTACTCAGGCACTTGAAAGCTGTAAGAGGATCCTGGCGGAGCTTGGGCGGAATGTTCATGCTTCCTTCCTTCACAGGTTGAAATGGAAATGTCATATATAAAGCTTTTGCAGATTCACGAAATAATTTCCCCTCATCCACTCAGTATTACCACTTCATCTACAGAAACCAATCAATCAGATAATCAATCCACCAACTCGTCAATTCCGAAAGAATATCGCTCACTCAAAATTAAAACCCCCCGAACAACCAACAAAAGCCCTCCGTAATGTCCTCAATCATCTACCCCCAATTCGGCCGCCAACCCTGGAGCGACGGCGTCTACACCCTCCTCCTCCACCTACGCGGCACCGCCACCACCGCCGCCTCAGGCGGCTTCGATGACCCCACCTACTACACCCACTTCGACCTTCTCATGTCACGCCTCTCCCACCAACGCTACGGCGCCGTTCCCGCTCCTCCCGGATCTGCCTACCTCGCGGAAAGCCGCGACGAGACCGCCACTCGGGAGAAAGAAGAGACCGACCGCCACAGCCACCTCAGCGACGTAATGTGCTCAGCTGAGTACTACCACGACGACCAGCCGCACCCGTTCGATTTGGTGCGGTGCCAGATGTCGTTGCTGCGGCCGTGGCCGAGCGCGGAGACGTCGGGGCCGGTGGGGGATCTGCGGTGGCGGTTGGAGGTCATGGGGTGGTATGAGGACTGGCCGGTGATGAGCACGTCGCCGAAGGTGGGCGGAGTGGTGGTGAACAGGGTTACGACAGTGTCGCTGGCGGAGATGGCGGGTGCGGAGGGGCAGGCGGATCTGGGGAGGAGGGAGAGGGTTAGCCAGTTGTTCAGAGTGGGGAGGGCGGGTTAGAGTGACTTGAGGGAACAGAGGAGGGTGAAGAAGGATGGGAAGAAATTGTGAGTGGGAGTTTGGAGTGGAGAGGTAGGAGGAATATGTTGGACCTTGATCGAGTGGTATGGAGTGATAGATCGCGTTAGAATAGATGAGGTTAGGAATATTAGCAGCTTGCAATTGGCAGCTTAATAAATGGAACTGAAATTTATACAAGCTGGATAACTATGATTTCACACATTTCACAGAATTTAAGTATCTACCAGCCGTTTGTTCCTGCGCTGGGAGTTACATAGTGAAGGACACAATTATATGCGTTTTTTTTTCTTATTCATGGCCCGTCACTCGTTTCCACGGTTCGACGGGCCTACTCCGCACAGAACACCACCTGCAGATCCCCACACAAGAGGCAGATCTAAATCGCTGTGTTGATTGCTATTTAGTTTTTGTTAGATGCGGGTACCATGCTTGGCAGTTGTTTTCCCATTCAAATATGATATCTAGGCCGCGTTGACTGGGGGAGCAGAGGGAGTGGGCAGGTGCTAGTAGTGGAGCCTCTCCACGTGCATCAGGGTTTTTATCCACAAGCGCATTGTTGATTCATATTCCATGAAGATCGAACCAATAGTACATGCCCGATTCTTGTTGAGGTTTCAATTCCGTCGATCCCGTCTGTCATGGATGTACCAAGTACGTACCTCCGTATTATCCAATGATGGGTTGGAGGCCGCCCCACACCACGACATATTATAAATCTATAAATATATATTCCCTAACGTATTGACTCGGGGCATAATTATCATGAGAGAGGTATAAGTATAAGGCCATCCCCACCCCCCCTCACCCCTTGGAGCAGAACCCTCCTTTCTTTTCCGCCAGGTCAATGATTAGTAAGCACTCCTATACATCGTGGTCCACGTTCGTCCTAACGGATGATATTGTCCATCAGGCCCAAAATATTCCTAAAAGGAGAGTAATACTCACTCCCTTTACTATTTGTGGTACAGGAAATATCACTTCAGCTCAAACCACAATTCTGTAAGCGTGCATACATTTCCTTCTGTTTCTGTCTCCAAATTTAAACCGAAGTGATCAAAGCTAACATTTAGATTCCCAATCACAGTTTGTTGAGCAACAACAACCTTAACCCACATAGCGTGCTGCACCCGACTTCAGCTTATCAGTACTAAACGTTAACTCTATTACAGTGAAAAGCTTCGGTTTAGATAACTATCTTTTCCTTCTCGCCAAGCACTAAAGTCTCTGGTAAAGAAATTGACCTTCAGGAAGGTCCATACAGATGGAGGGTGTAAAAATATCTTTCAAGGTTGTAGGTTGTTAACTTCGTGGGTAGGGTTGGACATATATGATTGATGAATATGTATTCCACTTCCAATGACACGGTGTATCTCCCGAGATCAACTCCTTGCTATAGTATAGCTCCGCTGGAGAGAGCACATTGCCGTTTTCTATAAGGTGATATGGTTACGAATATCGGTTTGTGAATCAGTTAGCCAAAGTGCACCTGCGGCAGGCCCTACAATCATATACACATGGAGGTTAGATTTCTCACACGGGTATTCAGTTATGGGGGTTCGTTGATACTCTCGGGTGGGTTCGTGATCAGGTAGTGAGTTTTATAGCCTCCATTTTCAAGTGATCACCAACTTCTGTGGGATTCTCTCGGGGAGGTGTGCTCTGGGGGTGGGTCTTGGCAGCATTAATTCGATACCGGAGCGGAGTGGGGGTAGTTCCTAAAGTGCAATACCAAATCTCATGGCCAAGCGAACACCCAGGATACCTACGGCATGTGAGACATTGGGCCTGTATAAATACCCCATGACTTGAATGATCAATAGTGTTCCCTCTCCTCTCAACACTAGTCATCAATCTTAATAACAACCTTTTGCCTGAAACCTAGTCATGGCCAAAAAGATGACCAAGGTGGAGCACGCACTCTGGCGCAAGAACAGAACCCAAGAGCTCATCCAAAGCTCCCGTGACCTCCGTCCAGAGTTCCAGTCTTTCCTCAACCTCACCATCCACGACAAGTTCCCCTATAAGCGGATCCTCGGAGCCTGGGAAAACGTCAAGGAGATCATCGAAGACCACGGAATCCTCATTGAACGATTCGATCAAGCCCGCGAACACCACAACCGACCCACCAGGAGGGAGAATGCCAAAGACGATCACCTGGCCGAGATGTTGCACATGGCACTCCAGTGGCTCGCTGCCTTTGCTGACCGAGCAGAGAGACATATCGAAGAACTCTTCGACAGGCTTCACGCTCGTGCACCCCCTAGACATATGCATAAACTAGTCATGAAGTGCATTGGTCGCTCAGACTTTGAGGCCAACTGGAAACGCGCGTGGGTGATCTGGGATCGCGTCCGAATCAAGCGGGAGGAGAGGCAGCTAGGAGGTCCGGCGGGACGAGGTGTGAAGAGGAAGTGTAGAAGTGATTGGTGCGAGTCGGAACCTACCCGCATGGTCAGGTATGCCAAATGAAACCTACTCGCATTCTCAGTTGATCGGCGAAGATGCTTGGAATGGAAATGGAAGAGTGATATGAGCAGAGGAAAGGTGGGACGGATATTTTGAGGAGAGGCATAACTTTATATAAATAACTTTATAAGAATTTATATCTTTCGCTTACCTTGAGTCCCGGAACTTCTGTGACATGAATCTTTGAGGAAACAATGTGAATATATTCTGACACCAGCGCAAACACTACGGGCCGCTGAGTAGGCGTTTTCGTAAGGCACATCCGATTTAGGAACAGGCATCGTACAGCCGGTGGGTAACCGTACAGGACATACAGCGAGAGATAAGTATGCTATACTAGGTACTACGGTCCCCTGACAGGTCGGTATGCTATTGATCTAGATAACACCTGTTTCCAGGAACTTAGGACGTGGCAAAGACCGAGTGATTATCCGTGATGCGCCGCTGATCTGAAATGATGTAATCTTTTTTTCGGTTTATTGATTGCGCGCATGTAGCCCAACGGCTAGGGGATTATGATAATGTAATTGAGAAGACCAGATACAAGAAACGCAGAAACCCGCCATCAACCTCAAAAAGAATATTAAACAAAGCCGCCCCCAATGCGCATGACCCGCGTCAACGTAGAGGAATTTCAGACAATCCCCATCTTATATTGCGCAATTAGGTAAGGTATCTCGCCAAATTTCTGCGCGAAGCCCTAAGCTTGGCGATTCCCCAAAACTCAAAGCACCACTTTGGTAACACTTCGACCCTACCAATCACCACAGAAAATAACTGAACAGTCATGTTTGACATTTTCGGGTTACTGTTATCTTCCAGGCCAACTAATATCCCACCCCCAAGACTGGATTTCATCTCGGAACACAAGTTAGTGCCGTCTCCAAAATAATGACGATCAAATTGACTAACCCACGGTCAGCATGTCCACTCAGGCACCAAAAGGTTGGAGGAAGCCATTTTCATCCGATAGCAGCTTCTTCGTCAAACTTCCCAAAAAATACTACCATGAAGAAAACGACAGGCCCTACTTCAGCTGGGACGGCGATGGCCTTCGCATCCTCTCCGGCAAAATAACCTACGCTGAAGCGGAAGTCCAATCCTTCATGAAGCTCACCGCGCATGACGACCTCCCACATGGGCGAATCGTCGCAAGTTACGTCTATCTCAAAGCCCTCCAAATCTTTGTAGATTTCTACGGATTCATCATTGGCTGGGACGAAATCAACAGGTTCCGCACTCGGTATGAACAACGAGTAGACATCATTGTCCTGCAACGCCTAAAGGACCGAGCGCTGAAGGTTTCGGACACGTTCGAGGAATGCGTGCTACATATTGCAGATCTCATCAATATTCAGGCTCGGATGGCTCGACCAGTGTATTCGAACTACTGCCTCCTTGGGATCATAGCTGGGGTAAAGAATATGGAGAGCGCTTTACATACGCACCGCTGTCTCCGGTTCTGTGTACGCCAAGCCATTCGAATGTTTCGGGTGGTGGGGAGGGAAGGGGGAGTCACCGGGAGGACTGACAGTAAGGGTATAATTGAAATGGTTTACGAGGGGAAGGAAGATGCTATGGAGGAGATGGGAGACGAGGTCAAGCCAGTGAAACGTACCAAGAAGGTGAAGGGTGGAACAAAATCGAAAAGCAAGGGGCCGGAGAAAATCAAGGCGAAGGAGCGTCTCGAGGAATATAGGAAGATGGTCTTGAAAGGTGGAAGCGGTGGAAACGAGTAAAGAAGTTATGGATTCTATACCATGGTAAGCTCTCTGAACACTATAGCAGCATACGGTGAGAGTAACTAAAGGAGATATAGATTCCTGGTTTATAACTTTCAGTCACATAGAAGAATAGTTTTTCCCAGGCATAGCATCAAAAACAAGTCGTTGATACAGTGGATTGTGGAGTATCGAGTGAGAAGCCATGAGCATTCATAGTGGGAACGTATCGCCTAAGGAGAGCCCCGTATTGATAGGATACAATATGGAGTGGAGGTTAGATGATATCAAAAGTAATAGAGTTCTAAGAATATAAACATGGGAGCCCGAGCCTAGCTCTAAGCTCGAACATGTCGAGCCTTTGTCTCCACAACATAAGCCAGGTTGAGCCCTACCCCGAGCTCGTCTAGAGCTGGTTCGCGCCCATCACTATAGCAGCAGGCCCGACCGTTCGACTCCGCTTAAATATCTCCCACCCCAACGTGACCTAGGTAACCTCTCCCAAGCACAAACCCCAACACTCAGACAACCCCAACATCACCAAATAATGGAGCGAGTGTAAGAGACTAGACCTTATTCAAAGTGGTACCTTTTTATTAATCATAATTTCAGCACGTATGAAGATAGACTCAAATCGACTGGAGCTGGGAATCCAGTTCCTTCTTTGCTGAAAGAGGAGAAAGTCGAATCGTATAGCATCGTCGAATCTTCTGCTAGCCTAATGGATATCGACACTCCTACAGGCCTCAAAACACGGAACGACACCCCTGCGTACGCGGTCGTTGGCCCTACTGCCCTATCACCTACCGGCGCTTTCGGCTTTACTGATTACACTCCCGTCCGAACCCGGGATGGAGTCCGTGTCGTCAGGAATAGTGGGGCACCTAATATGTCTGCAGCTACTGTTACTATTCCGTTCATCCCCCGTAGCAGACATCCTATGTCCGATGCACCCCAGCCACTCGACCAATTACAGCCGCCGAATCCCAACATTACCGCGGCAACTCGTAGTCTGCTCGAACTCTTCAGCACCGACGAAAGACACTTCCAGACCGCTGTCATTGCCGGAACTGGACAGTCGGTCACAGCAGAGGCTGCGAGAGTGAGAGAAATGCTGCTCAGTGCGAGATCTAAGTCCGCAGCAATGAGATGTGAGTGTTTCGAGTGTGGGGGTGCATTGCTCCTTGAAGGCCCGTGTTTCTGGAAGCTAGACTCGTTGTAATGTGCGGGGATCTCCGAGGAAGAGGGTCTGTACAATTGTGTATAGGTTGTTTATATTATTGTGGCATATATTGTTACTGCTCAATTAGTACAGCTTATTTTCCCCTTCAACACTTTATAAGAATTGTCAATAAATCTTATGCTCTTCTAATTTTCATAAGATCTCACTCCCTTTCGCGTTTTGTATCTGTTTCTGGGGCCCACCATCCCTTACTATCAACTGATATTATTGTTTTGCTTCCGCTTCTAATCTCTAGGCTCGAAAACGCGAAGAGCTATAACTGACGAGCTCCAGGGCTTCAGCTAGAAAATGAGCGTTGAACGAAGAATAGAAATCACCGTTAATTTTCATTTGACATCACAGATGTCCAATCCCCGTTAACGACATCAATACCTCAGGGGAGCGCTGCATAGGGCGGAATTAAAGAATACTGGGCTTCTCAGAGTGTGATCTATTGCTGTTATTTCCGGAATATATAGCTTTGGCTCCCAGATTTCTGATACGTGAGATTGCTATTGTTGATAACAGAGTTACTCGGGAGTATTGCAAAAGACCCGCTGCCGGATGTATATAGGGAGGGGCTACCTAGAATGAGTTATTCGTTCCGAACACTTCTAGCAGCCGGATAATGAATAAAGAAACCTTTTTACGTGATCTAAACCTTTCATAGGTGTTCAATTCCAAAATTAAGAAAAAATGTTATCAGGTTAGGGTTAATTCCAATTGTGCTAAGTTTCTTAGTTTGACTGATACGCTCACATTGTCGTTCCTTATGTTTTGAGACCTCAAGCCCCCATCCACCATCGATTAGGCCTCACTATAAAGTCGAAAACTTACCCTAAAACTCTCATCTATGCACTTTATGAGGGTGGCGTTCGCCACTAAATATTCTCTGCCAAACTTACAATGTCAATCTTACAAACCTGTGACCAAGAACCGATATCCGGCCAATTGATTTCACATCAGGGCAGGTTAGTAGCTCTGCATCATGACATAGCATATAATAAGTCTGTAGGTACTCGATATTTCTCTCTCGGTTACTAATTCCATTTCTTCTAAATCAACGTTTATTCTCGCTCTCGTGAATAAGTCCTATCAACCATCGCGCATAGGTTTTTCTGTTCACATCACCAACATCACGAAATAGCTTCCCACCTCATCCTACGTACCACGATCGATGCACTCTCAAGCCTATTCCCCCATCTCGGTATCGGACCCACTAGTCCTTAACAATCCCGCAACTGTCTCCTCCCCCGCCGCGATCGCTTTGTTATAGCCGTCCTCCCTTCTCGCCAGCTCACTTCTCTCCTGATTCATTTCCGCAATCTGCAATATAAGCTCAGCACCGCCGGCCTCGATCGACTTTATACGACCAGACGCTGCATCAGTATTCAAACGGTCGACCGCACGGATATTCCTATCAAGTACACGTAAGCGTGCAGCTACATCCTTTTGCAGAGATTTTAGCATCATGATTTGGGTGTGGAAGAGGAAGACCATGGATGATTGGGTTAGTTGTGGGGATGGTGCCATCTTGTACTTGTAGATTGATAGTGGTACTTGCGAAGTTCTGTAAGTTATGTTGTGCTGAATGTGAGAATTGGATTTTAGGGCTCGGGCGTAGTTTATATACTGTATCCCATAGGAACTCGAACTAATTATCTAGGTTCAAGATTCAAGACTATGTATGTACAGCAGAAGACATATATCAACACGATAGCTCGTTATCCCATTGTTTTCAAATTCAACCCCCCCCCTGTTTCAAGTTTCGAAGGGTTAATGTCATGGGATATCACTCAGTCACTTGTGCGAGTGGCACTGGACGAGACAGCGTCTTTGACAAGTTCGGGATACTAGCACTCCTGTACGGTTAGGGCGATTAAGGAATGGACTGCTGGAGGAGTTTCAAATTTGCGAAGTAGGCCAATACAGGAACAGTCAGTGCAAGAGCCAGCGATTGAGGAAAAGTCAGATTAGTGATGGTAACAAACTCGATGTGAAGTTCGATTATCTAAAACACAATTAAAGTATTTGTATCATAAAGCCATCATTTGTCGTGACATAAGCCACAAAGAATTAAGGTTTGGTGCCATGTTTACCATGTACTTCCCGGACACACAGACAGCTACTACCTAGCTTAGTAGTATAAACATCTGACATATGTCGGAGTGTCTGGGGTTCAACCCCGACCTGTAATGGGTATTAGGCACTGGGATATATAACTGAGGGCCTCACAGGTGCCTCATATTGTTCACACAGACTGGATAGACGCCATGCCAACTGAGGAGGAGGGTTGTCCGACTTACTGTACCATAAATTTATTCCTCTGGAGGTAAGGGCGTAAGACTCTAGCTGTTTATCTGGTGCTACCTTTGAAATAATAGGGCCTAAGGATAAACAGCTGGCGTAAGTCGATGCAGATTTTTTGCACAAACCGAGTGATATATCAAGATAAACCTACCACACAATGTCTTTTGGCGCCAGTAGCCTGATCAGCCCCCGAGGCTGCGCTGGGCACATACGGTTCTAAACAAAACAGGAGCTCTATCAGTTTCTGTGTTCACACCCAACTGAAAATGGTACCCGCGGGGGTGATATAATCATATGGCCTACCCCATTCACAGACAGGTAGTGACATAGAGATAGGTAGTCTATAAATGGATGTCGCTGTGGGGGGTGGGCCCGCTGTATTATTTAGTTTCTTTCAAATATAATTCAACCCTCTCAATCTAGGCTGCTGTGGGTATCAAGAAATGTTATTTAAACGACCACATCCTCTGTTCCTCCGGCATACTTCAATGCGCCAATGAATTGCACGGTTGCACGGTGAGGAACGATTTCCGTTGCAGGTTATCCCTCTGGAACTCTCCCCTGTCATCTCGGTCAACATTAACTACACCAATAAGGCTCTGGGTTTCTGTCGGGACTCTCTGTGTACGTCTCATTGGATGCTGGTATTGAGATATGAAGGTCTCTGGGGCTCCATCCTCAGCGTATCAATCTAGTGATATTGAACCCAATTGCTGTGAGGTTTCTCAGGAATTTGTCACGTGTCTGTATTACAATATGGGAAGGATTTACTTGAAGAAAATATCTGGTGTTTGATGCTCCTTTTATTCATTTTATCACCCGCTAAGAACCAGTACGTCATGTCCTACACTGCTAATCTGAACCCATTCTATGCTAATGCCTTTGAAATATCTTTCAACCTTCCCTTAAATCTCTCTCAAACCGGCGGTAGTGACCTTCATACCTAACCTAGTGACCTATCCTTCAAGCACTTCTCCTCGAGCGCCTGCAGCCGTTTCATACGACGTTCCATAGCATCCTTAAGAGTACCATTCTTTGTCTCTTCCTTTCCAAACTGCGGATGGAGGAAGCCTCTCGTATTTGCGGCCCTAAGTCCTCTCACCTCCAACCTGTAGAGGAAGGCCAGGCACTTTGTAGCACCAACTACGCATTCCTTGAGAGATTGGTTTCGCTTATTATAACCAGTGTTCATTATCGCGGTGATATACCTCCTCTGCTCATCCATATCTGACTCCTTGCCGTCACAGGCTTTGGTGATCAAAAGGCAAGTGTCCATGAGAAAGCGAACGTTTACCATGGTAGGTTCAAAATCTGTCGAGCCCGAGCAGGGGATTCGCCAAGGAGTAGTATTGAGAGTGCCCTTTGGCGCTCCGCGTGGCATCATGAATGCTATGCGCCCTCTCGCACTTTTGAGAGCGTGTTCGACATCTTTCATCATCTTGTAGAAGATATTTTCTTCCTCGTAAACCTTCCCCCATCTATTCACACACGCCTCCTGGGGTAGCACTCTCTCCTCTGGCGCAACGGCAACTGCGCTGATATAGGCCCGGCGATTGGGCCCAATGAAGTGCCCATACCTGCTCTGGTGGTTTTTCGCGAGATTTCTCATGACAAACTCTAGATGATGCGCCTGGATGGAGAGTAGGTTCAGACTGGCTCGACTGATTACTTCCACGGCGGACTGCTGTAGGGAAGGCATTGCTTGGAGACTTGTTGAGATCGATCGAGTATTGAAACTATGGTAATATAACAATAGGGTATTGAGTCTGGTGGTTCAAGTTCTGGTGTGTTGAGTGATGTTGTGAGGTACTTGGCGGTCTGTCCTATATTTATATCTCATGTATTCAAGATTCAGATTTTCAAGATTGGAGGCTGGGAGTGGGAGGCTCTCTTGAAATACTAGCGTCCTGCTTTAGTAGGCGAGTAGTTAGTTCCATTGAATGTAAATCCTTTCAGGTTCAGCTTACGCCCACTCATTCATCTTTTTTTGATATTGTTATACCGTCATGCTTTAGAATAGAGAACGGGCCAGACAGACCAAGCTAAATTTAGCCATGGCCAGCAACTACCCCAACCAATCAACACAGCGCTATTTGTTTGTGTCATTTTATCCCACTGCACGACTCATTTCCTAGCTGGCATGGTGTGAAATCTCACTTTCTATGCAAATCACGTGCGCTGCCAACCTACAGTTGATCGAAGAAATAGGACCTACTCCCCACAACAAGCGTAGTCTTGATAGGAGATAGTATCAGATTATTCGGATTACCACACCGTGATGTGCTGATTGCTCCTCGTGAATACTCAAACGGCCTTGATATGGCCTGGTTCGAAGGTTCCCGTTTTCCTACCCGCGCAAGTACGGAAGGAATATGACCTAAGACCACATTCAGTAGATACAGAGTACAGTATGCCGTAACTAAAGTGCCGTAGCTTTCGGAGGGCTCTGTAAGGTGTTTGTTTAACGCGAAGGAACAAATTCTTTCAACATCGGTACCTTGAAAGCGTTGTTATCTCGGATATGGGGTTCGCCCCTGCCATTCTGAAAGATCCATGGGTCGTTTATAAAGTGTAAACCATACTGCCCGTCGGGATGGCACCCGCCCACTGGGCTTTGGAGACACGAACCTTCACAGGGAGACGTAGTTCATGGATGGCGGCTTTCCATCGCCTAGAGCCGGAGAGAATACCATATGCACGGTTAGCTTTAGCTATACGCTGGTAATGATTTGATACCTGTAAAACGTATCACCACTCTACGAACTTTGTGTTATCACAGGGTTGTAGAATTCGAGTGATAGTAATATGACGCGAGTGATCCTTGATGACGCGCAGCTGGAAATAGATCACTTCAATGTGCGGGGAAATTGCAGTGAGTGCTATACATTATAGGCATAGGTCGGTTCTCGCTTCATCTCCAGAGCCCCAGAGAATGTTGAGATAGCCGTATATCTTAGTTGTTGCGGCAGAAAACAGAAAGTATTTACCGCACCCCCGTGAAAGGACAAACCAATCATTTTCTTTGTTGGTGAGGTGCGCAACGGGTAATGTGGGTGCGTTCAGGACAGAACCTCCACAAGCCAAAGATTCCGGAGACCCGATGGACCCCCAAGGCGCTCTGCTGGATATCGCGGTCTATATCAGGTAATGCGGCTGTCTCGGTGATCCCGAGTCAGAGAGCGAGGAGAGCGAGCTGCACAACCCATTCAAATTCTGCGAACTTATCACCGCGAGGTCTTCCGTAGAGTATTCATGTAAGGATAGAAATAAACTCAGTATATCTATCTCAAGAGGAAGACCGTTGGAACCCCCATTGTCGTGTTGGCATTTCTTTAGTGACTAGACGACCGGTTCTCACTGTATATTGAAGCTCAATCAACTATTTTGTGGACAGACCAGCCGGCGATCATTGCTGGGTGATAGGTGAGCATTCAGTGGGCCCCATTACCCTCTCCCCCATAGGTATCACGCTCCGGATAAAATTCGAAGGAACATAGGATGGGTGGTCTTCTAGTTACCGATTGTTTTATTCAATTAGTCTAATTTCACACCACTTTACTCGGAATAAGAACCTACCTGCTGACCAGAACCAGAGGTCTCCATAGGACGCCCGCCTCCCAGTGCGCCTCGTACAGGAATACTTGATCGGCGGGAAATATGGCACTGTCGCTCCTTTCTGTGGTGAAGGAAAACCCTACGCGGAGAGAGTGCGGGCTAATCAATGAAGTCTCAGGCAAGGATCAAGTTGAGTCTGGTCGCAAAATATCCCACCATTACCTCTTTGCCAGCCACATTTTCGGGGGTGCCAAGTGCGCTGATTTAGTGCCTTTTCCGAAAACGGTGCATGTTTTGTTACAGAAATACTTGGAGAAGAAAAGGATCGGTCGGCGTACATCTTACTGCAAGCCGTAGAGGCTGTCAACTAGATGGAAATGCAGAGAAGTTTGTTTCCCTACTCCAGGCGGCGATCAGATACAAGTGTCTCGTTTCTTCTACTATTTTCACTTGTGACAACAAACTCAGATCTCCCACGCCGTGCCACTAAGCGCTCCGAAGCAAGCTCGCGTTGAAGAAAATTTTCGTCATGATTAATTTCACTGATGTCTTCAGCCGCCTAGATTTATTGAACTTCACTTTCATAGCAAAAAAGAACAAAAGGTACTGCAGATATGGCCGGACCCATATCTACTACCCCCACCCCTGGATCGAACCACGGACCTTCTATTGACGTTCAAAGGCCGGGCACAACCACTCGGTGTTCCGAGAGGCGAGTGTTAGCCATTAGACCACACTCGCCGATGTGTCTTATGGGCCAGGTGTGGTATTTGATGCTGGGGTTGTACAAGGTGACTAACCGGTTTTGGCGAGCTAGTGCTTCGGGGGTCTTGGCATGGCAGCATTCACACCACCTTGTTCTCGCCGCGGATATTTCAGAAATTGATGTGCTGGAAGTGTTCCCCAACAGAAAGCGTTAAGAATTACTCGAGCTGCCGACACCCCCAAAATTTTGATAACCTACATGCAATAACCCTTATCACCGAGACAAGATAGACCATTCAATATCGCATAATCTTTTAACTGAGATACCTATGGTAATTAACTAGCCGCCGGGACGACCCTTACGAAGTATATGTATATAACCTGGGAAGCATTTAACCACGGCGTCTATACTTGAAAAAGTGAAATTCATTATTGAGGGGGGTTACATGAACAAAAACACAATCTTATCTGACCACCGACCCCCAGGTGGACAGAACAAGACGCGAGGGGGTGCAGACCTCTGCGGCAGTTGACAAAGACCCGGAAGCAACATGAGGAATGTCTAGACCAATGTAGGGGATAATGTGTATGCGTTTTACCTATGACCATAGTTAACCTAGACTAAGGCTGATATTATCCTTCGCAGGTTCTTTCTGGGCATTATACTTGCTATTATCGACTGACTCTTTATTTCCGTCAACCTTTTATGAAAACAGGATTCAGGTCAACAACCTTGGATACGTTCTTCGACAACCGGTATACTCATCCGAGCACTTACGCGTATCTCCACCGCCGCAAAACTATTATCGGGAGTCTGGGGACTATTGCGAAGCACAGATATCGGGCCCCTTCCCCAACCAACCTACTAGTAGTTTGAATAGATACCAGAATCTAATATGCTACAAGTAGGGGTGCCACCTCGCGACCGCCAGTTGTTGGATTATGAGTATCATGATTAAGGAAATATACAATGTATATGTAGAGGGAACTCCTTCCACCCCCCCCCCCCCCCTTTGCTTTCCCAATCCCCAATCCATCCTTTCCACATGCCCCCAACTCCCCCTCCCGCTCCAGCTCTCCCAGCTCCAGCTCTCCCCACTCAAGCTCTCCGCGCTCCACCTCTCCTCGCTCCCCTACCCCCTCCAGCTCCCGCTCCAGCTCCAGCTCCCCCTCCCTTCCAGCTCCTCCTCCCACAAACCGTCCACCTCGTCCAGCACCTTCTACTCCCAGCCAGATCTTATCATATCACGATTTAATTATATAGAGCTTTTTAATTCAATTATACAAAGATAAAGACTCAACGGTGCACTCTTATGCTCAAGTATTCTTAGTTCCATGCTTAGATATTCGCGATCCCATGCTCAAATATTGATATGTCGTGCTTACCAAACACCCATGTCGGTGTCGACCAATCAGACTGCAACAATCTACGAAGAATCGTTAATCCAGTACATAATAGAAGTACATAATAGAAGATTATGTAGCTCAATACACCGAACCTTACTCGAACAAGGCACACTAGAGGCATTAAGACCTAAAAAGGTGGGGATCACAAAGTTTGTAATAGTAGTAGATTGCGAAAGGTATTTGACGAATATAGATCAAATATCTAGCTCACGGGAACTTCTAGCCGCCAGGTGATAGGGCGGTAAAGATTATGAGGCCACGATTTAGGGGGCGGATCATGTAAATGGAGGAGGAGATGAGGAGGAGAAGCGGTCTTAGTGTATGCCTCGGCGGGGAAAAGGACAAAAGGAAGGATGTTGAGAACCTCACGACCGAGAGATTTGAGAACTGGGAGAGTCGCATCTGTATAGTGGGACCAGTGATATGCAGCGTGAATGTATCATAAAACATATAAAGATATGATGGCTCACAAATTACAGCGAGGGTTAACTCCGGTCTTACAGGAATAGCATAACTCAGTCGCCTAAGGGTGGCCGGTGATGGGGTTTTAATATGTTCTACCTCTTTCCCGGGTGCTCAATAACTACATATCCATCCGGCGTCGATCCAGCGGGCATCCCGTTCAGTGGACACCTCGGGTATACCGGATATCTGCGGGATAGGCATTATACTCGGCAGACGTTTTACAGCGTAATAGAACTGAGTACAGTGTATTTGTACAGTTTTCGCTGGGACTAAGGTATTCCTCATGAGAAATCGCTGTCATGTATCTGTGGATACTTTTACTTCCCTCTTGGAGAGTAACATGAGAAGTGATCAGGAAGCCATAACAAAGTTTCACATATTATCACGACCACCTGCCCTTCTATTCGCATACTGGGTTGTAATCCCTCGTGGGATTTCTGTCGTCGACGGCGTGGTGATTTTATCGAAGCAGTTGAGCTGTGCAGCATCAGGCTAGGAGCGCTACCAAAGCTGCCTAAGTAATGTAATATCCAATATCTAAACACTTCTTGTAGCAACCCAAGGAGGTTTGATTAGAATATCAGCTACTGGCATCAGCACTAACACTTATCCTCCGCCGGCTGAAATAGAGAAATGTCTTACCTCTACCGCAGACACACCAAAATCCCAGTGTACTGTCCTCTGCTGGTTGCACGCTATACACCCTCCGACATTTCTAATGCTGTACCTAACTATCAGCGGACTATAGCCTCTATTCCCTCCCAAGCTCTCTTCCGAGACTTGGTGATAAATTAGTCCCCAGTAACAGTTATCACCCACGTGGAGCAGTAAACGAATGTGTAGTAGATATGGATAGGTGAGTTAATTATTTCTATCCCTGTTTCTAGGTAAGAAAGATTGCAGAGCGATAACATTCCCCCCGCCTTGTATGCTAACCTCCACCCCTCTTCTCATAATCTGCGAAAGTAGGAACCCGCTGGGAACAACATTTCAGGCACATTGCGGGAGTGAGAAGCTCAGGTGGCCATGTCCGGTCCTCTCGGTAGATCGCTCTATACACGTGCCTGCTGTACATTGAGCCCGCTTTTTTATCAGCCCATCGGAGGTGAGCCGCGAGCAGTGCTATGGAATCGAGTCATCTATACTTCAGCCAAGATTCAAGACTGCAGTTGTGGTCACCGACCTTGATTCCGGCTGAACAGACGCGACAGACCAGCATTGCTGATGGAGTAAGGCTACAATGGTTTCCGCCGATGCTAGCAGGAACAAGAAGTTGCCCTCCCGGAGATGGTTGTGTACTTCTACAGTGCTCCTCAAAATTAGGTACCATTAGTTGCACGAAGGGAAGGGAAAATAGCTCTCTCTGATAAACCTACTGAATAGTACACCGTATAGTGAAGAAATCGTGTTGCATATATTCGTTCATCCAGCACAAATCTGAGTAGATATCCACATCGACTTCGATGTGAGGGCCGAATCCTCCTCACCATGCTCCGAGTAACCGCGTCGCCGACCAGCCAGCGGCAGGGCGCATGCCCCCTACAGAACTGGCATAAACCGCGGCGGGCATCTCATCTTTTAGTCCATAAACTCCCATCAAGATCGATGAAAACCCGCCTGCAAAAACACACCGCAAGCCTTGCACTGGCAGGAGACCCGCCTATTCGGCGTGAGCTTCTCACCCATTACGCATGGATAACGAGGCTCATCGAATGAAGACCTATATTTGTAGCAGCCCTTGGTAGTCACAGCATCCCTTACCCATCTGGCTCCGGTGACTCCTCGCAGCTTGAATTCCTAGCAGTAGGCAAATGCTTCTGTCCTGAACGGAGGTATTACAGCAATTTCTCCCTCTCGAAGAGTCTGCATATACTTAGCTTGGCGAAACTGTTCAGGTTTTGTTGGTTGATCAAGTGTTGCTGCAGCGGCGCAGCGTGTTTGACGTCAATGACCACCGCCCACGGGGTGCATGGAACCCTAACCCTGCAGAGGATGAAAATGATTTGCCGACCATAACAAACCGGGAGTTATTTTCAGCCGCAGTACCTAAAATCTCTTGCCAGAGCACCCGCAAAACAATTTGCGCAAAGGCTATTAGGAATAGAAAATACTTGAAGCGTTGAGAAGGCAAGGCTCGACCTATCACCTGCATTCAAGTTTAACTATGAAGGTCTATAAATGACCGCGAATAGGTTTTCTTCCGTGTTCGGTCATAGAACGATGAAAATGGGGCATCCCGTCCGCTCTGCCATACCCAAGCATCGTATCGCCTAGTTAGTACTGCAGTGGGTGACCATGTGGGAATCCTGGGTACCGAACTCTTTTGTCATGTTTTCTTTTTCCTTCTTTTTTTTCACAGGCAGGGGTGAGTTGCTTGGCGACGGGTGCGAGCTTAGTCTGCTAATCGCATCAGACCTCAGACTTTTTATGACACCCAAACTTTATATACGAACGACGATAATAAATTCTGTTTCCGTTTTCGATATTATCATTTTGTATCAAGAGAGATAATAGGTTCCGGCGGGTCATTCCCACATGCTCTAGTCACATCATCTAATCGATATCGGGACAGAGGGGATATCATCCCGCCTTGAGGTGGAGTCAACTGTTCTTCGTTTCGAACCCGCGACGAAGATGGAAGAGCATTTTCCCGAACGTCGGACCAGAGATAAATTATAAACTACCAAGAAAGGTGATCCTCTGTTGGGCACAGGGCTGATAGAGTCCTGTGTGTTCTTCGGGGGTGGTGTCGTTGGGAAGAGTGAACTATGGATCAAACAATGCTCCACTACGATGTGACAAGTATGGACAAGATTTATTATTTGCTACACCCTTTATCACCTGGACTGAATTGGACTAATCCACCGGTTCGAGCAAAGGGTTTTCAGCTATCTGATCTTGAAACATCACTCGATATATTTGAAGCTGAACATTGAACTTTTCCCAACGTTACGAGAGGGCCAATGGGAGCAATGGCCGTTTCGTGCTTCACTCCACCAAACGATTTCATCATTCGTGCCCTTATTTTGCGTGTGTCTGTGGCGGTTGGACACTGGCATCACTGTGGTCGGTGATGCAGGACTATCTTTGAAGGTCGATGGTGTAGAGTGGGGTGGGTGACTGGGAGAATATGACTCTGTAAATATACACATGGGTGCATTTACCTTGTCGATCTATTATATCTGGTGCCGCTGATAGCTCTCGTATCGATCCTCGGAGCGCCCCAGCTGGGGGTTACTCTCGCGGGTGACAAAAGCGGTGAAAAAGGAGGATTTTATTTTCCTTCAAACATGTCTTGCTTCTATCCTATGGGAGTATAAACCTCTCCAGTCTCTTGTGCTCTTTGCACTACGCTGGAGCTATCTGCTGCAGTGAAACACTTGTCGGATTTTAACTACCTAATATCACTGGATTTCCCGAAGCGTTGACGATTCAGGTTTTTCGAAATTCAGGAGGAATCGCAGCGTGGTAGTCGGTGTCTGTAGACCTTAAAGTAAATGTGTGTGGTATTTACCGGTGCTCATCCCAGAACAACTGTAATTTCCATCGCCTGTTATTTTACAGTTGGGAGTACAGGTAGGCCGATATATTATGGTGAAGGAGATATAACTCGTCTTCCCTCTATATAAGGCTGCTAGAAGCTGGCGCTGCGCCCGGAGGTTGACATATAACTATAATCAGGTAGTGTCATTAAAGTTGCCTTCGGTGGTGCGAACCAGCAGTAAGACCTTAGTAACCTGACGAAGCTAACCCTCCCCCGTCCTAAATACTGGACCTCATTCGATCCATCTCTGGATAGCTAGCCGCATAGTCTATTTCGCATCAAGAAAAACAGGAAAACTTGAGCTGCTGATATGATCCGCCTAAGGGATTACTTCCCATCAGCGGTAAATATTCAGTGATTAAGTTCACCGCTCATCGTCGTCGGAAGGGGACCATTTGGCTCAACACCTGCGGTACTCCCGATAAGAGGTTTCGAAAAACCGTTATTCTCGATAATCCACTATCCCCGTATTAGTATATACTTGGTCCGGGCCAGGACGAATCGGCGTATCAAACTTCAAGGATTCGCGCAGATGCAGACTCTTTTGCCCAGGAATTGAGGCTTAGCAAAGCGGGGATACTGGTTTCTCCGGAAACCAGCGTTTGATTAAGGTGGGTTGAAGGACAGATCGGCTAGAAAATCAATATTGGTAAAGGAATCTCTCAAGAGAGAAAATAGTTTAAAACTGCTGTACAGTACGATGCCAGTCGTGAGCGTCAGGCGCGGCGTCGCAACGCCCCCCAAACCATCACGGGTACCAGCACAGCAACCACAATTGATCCTTTGGAGAGCTGAATTTTTCTATAGTTGTTAAATAGTAGATAAATAAGAATAATTTGACATTTAATATCTTGTGTACCAACCCGTCGTGAAAAGGTTGTGAAAATCTGGTTGCGCGTGCGGCGTTGCGACGCCGCGCCTGACGCTCACGACTGGCATCGTACTGTACATAGCGGTGATACTATTTTCAAAGTTCTTCCATTAGCTTATTACAGTTGGAGTGAGGTCGAAGATATCCGCAGGCGAAAAACCTACGCCGAAGGCCGAGCACTTGCGAAGGGCTGCAGGAGAGAGGGAGGAAGAAATTATGGTTATATGGATGGATGAGCGGCCAGGAAGAGCATGCCAAGTTCAAAGGTAATTGTCGCCAAGACATGTTGCACAGGGCCCGAGTCTTACCTCAGTCTATATAAATACATGCAGTTCCCGGTACTAGTACAATATTTCAGTCAAGTGATATCGTGAGGGAATAGTTGATTCTTTATATATTATCACTCCCACTTCTAATTCATGGAGGACGACTTGGTAATAAGAATCAAAGCCCTTTCGATCATAGATTACTCAAAATTAGTGTCTCTTCCGATAATCAAACTCCGCCGAGTTTCACCTGATCATTATAGTTCTGAAAATCATCCTCAACGCCTCCGCCGGCGAGGGTATCAGAGGTATCTATGCACTGTGCAGTTTGCTCGCAAAACCTCATCAAACCATTTCCGAGGTGATTATGGGGGTTCATAAATAGATGTAGCTCTTTACATGTATCGATAAAACCTTTTGTAGTTACATTTCAGTATTTCTTCACGTATGAGGAGGACCCCCACGTCTCGACAATCCCTGTATTATAACCCTGTTCGTATAAGTTAGAGTGGATGATCTCCATCGCGCAGCCCCCATAAGCGTATTCGGAGCCGCATGATCTAGTTTGAAACTCGGTGATGTCTTGTTTCCTCCTGAAGTTCTCTGAACTTTCCTCTCTTCCTTTTTGTCACCAACCATCACTCGCACCTCCGGATTATCAACTTGAGAGGACGACCTGTTTCGTCAAGAGGGGGTGCTTGGAGTGGCAGCCCAGACCTGCATCGAAATATATTCTTCTCAAATTATCTCATTTCTTTCCATCGTTGTGGTGTTTCACTCGTTCCATCCTGGCTTCAAGCCACGTGTGCGCGTTCATCACAAACTATCACGCAGGTAGCCAGGACACAGTTGCCACAATGTCGGGCAACGACCTCATCCCAACACTAACCCGCGCATCCTCAACCTCTCGCTACTACTGGCGCCAACTCAACCAACCAAGAATGGACGGTCCTTATCCAGTGATGCCAGCGGCGAACTCATCACAAGAGTCTTCCCGCTCAGGCAATCGAAGCCCATCGTCTGCTCGCTCGCGAAAATCACCCACCTCGAAGCAATCATTGTCTACGACACTGCCAGGCTCGGACTTGACGGAATCGCTGGATTCTGGTTCCTTGAGACGACCGCAGAATCGAGGGCCGAGAGACCGGTCTGTGAGTGAGGGTGTGGTGGTGTGTCCGTTTCTGGCCCTTGCCTGCAGAGTTTAGTCTAATAGGGAATAGTACTCGAGTAGAGGTAGAGGTTTTGGTCCCGGGAGACAAAACACATTCGGGGACCATGCCCACTCACTAAACCAAATGCCCCCTACCCAACACGTAAGTTTCATAGTCCTTCCAAAGTTTATAGAAATCAAGTCTGATGAGCTCGCTCTAGCCTGGAAGCCTAATCCACCCGCACTCATCATCTGCTTACTACAGCAAGGCTCAAGGCCAAAGGAACAGAACTCGCTCCGGGGAGCGTGCAGATGCGGCAAATGCCACGTACCCACCACGTCACGTATATTTGTCTACACAATCCTTCGTACTTTCTCTTATCTACTAATAACTCCCTACCAGATTCAACATTCCAATCCATCTCCTATTTCCGGGAGATATGGCAATCAATCTTGGACCCACCGGCCAGGGGGTGGTTCATCAGGCCCCGTGAGAGGGGGACGATCTGCGAATCGTTTTCGGGATGTAAGTAACCTGGTTCATAGCTACAATGGTCATAATTATACTAAGAGGTTTCTTCAGCCTCATATGCGCAATGCCCATCATCCTTATCCTTATGATGAAAATATGCATGGATATCGGGGTGAGCTAGACAGATGGCCTGATCGTATCAATGCTCCTCACACTATGCGTCCATTAGATAATGTACGTACATCAACTTGCTCTTCCACTATTATTAGGTTGCTAAATGTGCGTTAGACTGAGAGCTACCATTCCTCCGGCTCTTCCTCACACTACGACAAACATTCGGCGAGTAGGGGTAGAAGACCCCAATCCGAGGACCGAACCCCCAGGAGAGCCCAGGGCTATCGGACCGCTTCTGGCACAAGGTACCGGAGAGATACTGAAAGCTCAGACGAACATATTCGGGGTGGCTACACTACAACAAACAAAGTGAATAGCGGTCCTCGATATACCAACGCGAAGAATACGCGTGACCCGTGTTTCTCAGATAAAGTTGATACAAACGCTTCTAATAGTATGGGGGACCATGGTGCTCGCTATGGGAACAGGGGATCGTATGGCCGTCCAAGGTCTTCAAGTTGTGTAAAGACTAATCCAGTCGAGTCTGCAAGCAAACAAAATGCGTTCTCTCAGCAGGTAGGGCTGGAGGTTAGTCTTTTACTAACTTAATCATCCTGACAAATCAACTGACTCTACTCTAGCCCAGAAAATATCCTTCTTCGAGTATCTTCGCCCCTCCACGGTCCAGGGTATCACCGATCCCATCAAACGCACCATCAGATGTTGATTCCGCGGAGTACGAATACTCTGGTGAATCTTACTCCGAAAGTGAAGAATTAAATGAGTTCCCTCGCGCGGGAAATCTCACGCCAAGCCAAGAAAGCTACTATCTTCCTTCCGAAGCGTCCATGGATGCCATAACAGCATACGTAGGTGTTCAGCATCCCTACCATTCATGTAAGCGCATCGTATCAAGCTGACAATAAAGCAGGAGGAATATCGTCCGAGACAACTTCCGGTAGGTAATAGGAGAAGGGGGCGAAAGAATTCACGGGTCCCTACATCTAATCCTATGTACTCTTATCAGGATGCGCATGTAAGACAATCATCTCTAAATTGGCCTTCGTTAACTAATCCTTCTATATAGAATCATGTTGCACAAAGAGCTGAGATCGTTCGGACTCGTCGCTCAAGAAGCTTGGACTCCGATGAAGAACAATCATTAGTAAGTCACCGAGCTTTTGCTTTTCATGGTTTATTATCCCTACTAAGGACCTACCAGCGAGCGAGCCTTTCGCAGATTGGTTCAATGGAAGGTCAGCCGCCGGAACTAGTAGAGCAAGGTGACTATGGTCTGGATGGAGAGTACGCAAGGAATGCGTCTATGCATGGTACAGAACTCCCCAGGGACGAACTCCAGGCGGTACAACACCCCTATCGCAGGTACAGAGTCCTTGATAGATCGCTGGGTCCCGGAATGGGAAAGGAATCTAGAGTAGTTATTCCCCATCAGGAAGATTCAAACTAGTGTACAGCCTGTACCTAATTAAACTTAGTTCATTCGATCCCCCATTAGCGAAATGTCATTGCAGATTTCGCATGAAGCATGGTCGATTATTGAACTCTCTGTGGTCCATCAGGACAAAGCGGGCGAGTTTGTGACGGCCCCTTCCATGAGTGATGAAGCAGAAAATGTAGATAATCTTCATCCATTTTTCGTTTCTCCTGGATTAACGGGTGGTAGGTTTTGGATTGGTATGGGGATAAGCACTTGAGCAGCAATGTATATCGGGGTTCCACCCAATCTGAAGCCCCTGGTTTACAGGATATAGTACGTGTTGAAGAGTCATGAGAGCACGGATGTCCGCAGACTTACGCTTAGTTAGGACTATCGTGACCGGGGGCATAGAGCTGTTTCCGCACCGTGCTTTGGAACACTTCATTACGATGTACGGGACCTTCCACCTTCCCTCCTTTATACCATTACCCTACTGACAACGACACACTTAGGAGACTGCCTATGCTGAGGGAGGAACTTTCGACATGGACAACACTTCAATTGCTTCATCACTAGGACAGGATTCCGTCGAGGTCTTTCCCTCCTATCTTCTCACATCGAGAAAATTAACCGATTTTTTCTTCAACTATCACCCAGAAGTATGTAGGAGCCTAGTATCTTTCCAGATAACCCCCCAGCTAACAATGCACCAGACCCTCAACTACAGGCCTGGGATGGGCTTAGATCAGAACGACACATATTGCGAACAAATAGTGGGAGGAAACAGGAGTGATGTTGCGGAAGGTTATGCCAAGCCCCAAGAGCATGAGGTACCAATTCATAAACCCCCGCTTAGTGACCAAACCTTTAACACTCCCACAGCTCCACGACAACAACGACCCTTTCACGACCACCCTACTGAGAGAGAAAGGAAAGTCCCTCACAGAAATCACTCTAGTATTAACCCAAGACTCCCACTTTATTTCTTTCTTTGCCACGTTGCCAAAGTGTGAAACTAAAATAAGCCAGAACCTTCGTGCAAAGTCTGCTCATCGACGGATTGCGAGCGAAGGCGACAGCTCGCCTTACTTTATCGGGCAAGAGCCGAAACCTTACATCCAGTTCACTATCACACCTGTACGTATTCATATCATAAACACTCAGTGGTCTGAGACTCATGATGAAGCAGCAACCATTTAAACGCCCAAACGGCAAGCAAGGATACAAGATAACGGGTGTATTTGAGAGTTTTGAGGTTCGTTTTCTTCTCCGATAACCTTAATAAAAGTAAACTTTGACTGACAAGTGAGACAGGACAAAAGCCCCTCCAAGGTTCCACGCCCTCTAGTAATCAGGAAGGTATCCCTGCTACCTGCACCACCGCCGCCAGCTGCACACTATACAATGAGTGAATACGTCTCATATTCCATGCGTGTATGGATCTCTCCATCCCTTCCACTATATATCCAATTTACTAATAGTCCTTACGACAGAGAGCCCATACTCCGAGGAAGTATTGCTCAATTCAAAGCAGTTACCAAGACGAAGTAGTAACAATCCTGTACTATATGCGGTTCAATTGTACTAACTGCCTTCCAGTATCTATCCTCAGCTACTCCCGAAGGAAGTTCCTCTTCTGCCCGCCACCGTGGACTTTCCGGAGGTGCAGACAGCTATTACATGGAGTATGATTCTTTCGTTTCTAGTCCTACGACACCAACTCCTATAAGAGGTAGAATGTCTATTGCCCCTAGTGCACCGGCAGGGGATAGCGCTACAACTCAATACTCAGGAGAGCCAGCGATCAGTAACCTTTCACCACACGATACCGAGGAATCCCTTTCTCCGGATTTCGCGTGGGTGGTTGCCCGCCCCGCACTTACAACGGCACAACAAGAACTAGAAGTGGAACTTCGTGCAACAGCAGCAAGAAAGGAAAACGAAAAGGAGGAATTCTCTGTCGCCGCAAAAGAAAAAGCGGCCAGGCTTACTGCGGCAGCTACAAAGGCGGCCACAAAGGCACCGCCAAAGCATAGGTTGATTGATATCAGAAAGTCGCCCAGGAAGCGGCCTATCGAGGAAGCTGAGAAAAAGAAGCAAGGAACTAGTCCTTCGCCCAAGATATTTAAAGCAACTATCTTAGAAAAAGTTGCTGTCTTGGAAAAAGCTGACATGGATGATCGATGCCCGATCATGGGAACCTACACGGTCCGGGGAATTGAGCCCAACAAGGGACCGACTGTACTCTATAGCGCGCTACCTGCGGAAAAAGCAGGCTACTTAATGATTCCAGATATCAAGGAGTACTGCGAGAGCAGCGACTCAGACCAAGACGAAACCTCCCCCGACGCTGATACAAGCTTCGGTCACTACGCCGTGCGCAACCGCAAAAGCTACAACTTGCCGTTCGCTTCTCCCAACGCGAGTCTACCAAACCGGAAACCGCCCGGTGCATTCGGTGAAATCACATTCTCTCCTATAGGAAAGAGAAATGCGAGCGAAGGTGCGGGTGGAAGTCATACTGCGCGAAGCCCGCCAACCGCTCCGAGAAATGGTTGCTTCCAGCCACCAGCACTGTACCCAGAGGGTGCAAGCCTCAACGCCGATCAGCGCGCCCGCCAATATGAGTATCTTGAGCGCGAACGTATTCGTCAGGCTACCTATAGGAGGAATCCTGCGGTTTTTGGAGATGTCAAGGCTGTTGAAGATCAGAGGAAGGCAGTTATGGCGAGGCAGAAGGGCATGGCGCAGTGTAGGGTTTGCGCGAGGTGGAGAGAACCGGGTACTAGGTGCTGCGACGTGAAGGTTAGGCGTGAGTAAATCGGTGCGGAAGCTGTGGTTCGGGATTAGGGGTTCGGTTCGCCAATTATTGGAGGGTTTAAGAGCTAGGAGTGTGCATTGTCTCGGCATCACTACGAAGCCTGTAGCAGTATTAGCATTCTTTGAGGCTATTATCTTATCCTTAAGCCGGGAGTATCATGTCGAGGGGAAAGATCCATCTCTTTCTTGTTATTGCTTGTACTTTTCTTACTATTCCCCGACACCTGTATGCTTTAAAATAAACGAGTTTTGCCAGATTATTAGCCTATCCCCCCTTACACCTTTCCTTCTTCCGCGAAAAACAACAGGTGAGAAAATGCTGGCTTCTCTATTTGCTGTCTAAACGTTTCTTAGTCAACCATAACCCCTAAAAATCCCTATATATAACCACAACGACCAACTACGGATAAAGCGATCATTCTTCAAGAACTTCGGTGATGCGTAGAGAATCGAGGAAAAAAGAGCTCCTCCTAGTAGTTTCTCGCGACAAGATCCCTGGTGTTGTTTTTATCAACTCGAACCTCTTGACACGCTTCGGTACGCACGGATCAACAGTTTGCTAGTTCTGTATTGGTGGCTTTTTGGGTTGGTGTGGTGTGTGTCGATGTGGATGAGGCTCGGCGCAGGGGTGATGTCGATGAGGCTCAACTGCAGCGACGCTAACTCCATTAGTGGCAGCAGAGACTAGAGCGGGCGCGAATTTGACAAACTTGAAAAATTGCAGGAAATGATCATTGAATAACTGAGTAAGAGTTATACTTTTATTTGAAATCTAAACTCTCTGTGGTGGTTCTCACTGAATAACCTGGGTGTAATGATACTCGAAACACCTGATCAGGGTTTAATTTTATGAATATATCCAAAGGTACTAAATACGATCGAGTGAGCATTGTCTTTCTTGATGGTCTTAAACCACCTGAAGATATCTTCATAGAGAGGTCATAAAGTGCCACTAGAAAGGTTTCGCGCACCGCTCAGAATCGTGGAGTATCACTCGAGCTCTGGCGTTTTATGCCACAACCTTACAAGTACCAGCACCCTTTAGACTTGTACCAAACTAATTTTAACTGAATGTATCCTGTGATTAAGAGTTCGGTTCGTGCCGAAATCTCTTCCTAGTTGATGCTTATTGCCCCGCGGTGAAGAGGGCCGGCGGTGAGAGGAATTCCCAGTTAAAGAGAGAAAACGGATATAAATGATGACAGGGATGAAGAAGGGGCGCCAGAAGTCATTCAGCAGGAGAAAACGCTCTCGTAGTGGTGCGGTTGTCAGTTTAATTGGGTGCTGCTCTTGGGGGGGTATGTCGACCACTTCGATTCGTTATTCACCTCTCACTGCTCGGCCTTACATCAGCAGCTTTCATCGTTATCGAGCGTGACGATACCTTGCACGTCCTAGATTCTCAAAGACTGCTTCAGTTGATGATCAAGTGAATATATATCTATCAGGATAGTGAGTAGACGCGGAAAATATGCCAGTTGAGATACTTGCTGGCTCCTGACATATGCCTGTGCGAGAGTGATCATCATGAAGCTGGATATTAAAGCTTGCATCTGGAACGCCAAAGACGAATGGATTTACTAGAAAGACGATATGCCACAGAGTTGTGAATCAAGCAAATACAATCAACGTTGAAAACACCAATCCGGGTACTTATTCGGGAAATCACAGCACAAAGACCTCCGAGGGTTTTCTAAAATACGAAATCTGAGCAAAGTTGGGAACACAGTCGTAGAGAAACCATGATAGGCGTAAAACGGGTTGTGAACAATAAAAATGCATTAAATCCAGTAGCCCCCACTTATGGAAAGCGTGTTCAGTAACATGATAGATTCCCGTGTAGAGAGAGCCGCTTAGGCTTGGCAAAGGATACCCATACATGACCACTACATGAAACCTGACATTAAACCTCCATTCCAACAGGTATCCTTATGTATTTAGATGTAGCTATTCCATTACCGACAGCTAAGACGCAACCAAACACGCCATGACCACCTCGACAGCAAGGCTCACCAAAAACGACATCATTGACGTCACGAAGATTCCTTGGAGCAAGGTCTGAGCTAAGGGATTTTGAAACATATGGCGTGTATTAGATCACATTTGTGAGTCTTCACTCTTCATGTATGCAGAAGCTCTGTTAAGGATACGAATATATAGAGGACATAAAGTGCGTTGTTGCAAGCAGAGAGTGCCTAAACACAGCGCTCGTGGCGTTTAGAAATAGACTGCGGCCCACTACATTATTCTCAACCTTCACTGCTACCTTCCCGACTCTCGGAGGTGAGTTTCCGAATCGGGATATATCGTCAGCTCGGGGCATGGGGGACTGAAGGAGACATTGGCACGAGTCGGGGTGGGAGGCATGCATCGATTGATTCGATATCTAATGTGGTGTTTTCTAACCTTCTTTACAAAGGCTCCAATGGGCCGTGAGTTGAGACGGGCGGCCCGCGCTGTTGCTTGACGGGCCAGGCCGGGCCATAGGTTTTGTTCGATGGGCCGGGCCAGGTGGAGGTCAATATTTGGCCCGGGCTAAATAGGTAAGCCCGGGCCGTCGGGTTTCCATACAATTTGGGTTATTGAAAGGAGAATTCGAAGACATCTCTAAATATCTTACCATAAACCTCAAAGAGCGCTGTAGCATATTCCATATATTCTATTTGCAGCCAACACACACAGTATATTAAACAGAGGTGGACGAGTTACCATGGACAAACACCCAGTTCTCCCCACGAACACCTCTTTTCATGGAAGACCGGGCTATTTAGTTTGCGCCAGGCCGACGCTGTTTTTCAGTCCGGGCTGGCCCATTGAAGCCCTTGCCTCTTTCCCTATAGAAGAAACCTTATACCATTATTCTCATAAGGATGCCCTAGTGTTGGTACCCCGAGGACGCATTCAGATCGTAAAAGTGTAATAGTTGAGTCTAGGGTTGTTTGATCTGTACGGGGATCATCGCGATAAAAACGGAATTTGATGATAAGTGCGGCATAAAAATTGGCAGTATAATTAAAAAAATCTAAGAAATAAAGCAGATGAAAGAGCCCCTGTCAAGAAACTACGCTACCAAGCTGTATCGACTTGATATAGTGGAGGAAAGTACTCTTCCATGTCAGGATTTGAAATCTCCATTACGCCCCGCACCATTATCCTAAGAGCGATTGGAAAGGGCTGGAATAAACCGATACGCTATAGAAGGGACAGATAGAAAAACCTACCTTCTCAGATGTTGCAACATCCAGTTCCAACCCTTTCAGATCACTACTGAGACCTTCGAAACACCCCAAGATGAATGAGCCCACAAAGATGATACACCAACCCATACTTGCACTTAAGGAGTTGACCCACAGCTTCACTTCCAAGAAAGCAGGCATTAGCTGGCGCACTCCGAGCATCCAAAAGCTGATGACACACTGCGCAGCGCTTAGGTAGCCAAATTATTGTGCAGTGTTGATGGCGTGAATTAGCAGGGTCGCTTCGGGGTTCCGGATGGGCGTTGGGGTGAATGTAATCAGGTCCACGAGTAGTTCTAACACTTAGTGCATCACTGTGGAGGTGCGGCTTATCAAGGAACTGGAAAGCCGCTTCTGTTGCGATATGATCCGCATACAGTTCGGCGTCTGGTGCGGCGGGGGACTTCGGAATAGTGGCGGAAGGTTCCCTTATTGAGGCCTGCTTAGCGGTACTCCGTTGCTGATGCTCAATGTATTCGCTCCGGAGATGGAAATTCAGTGTTCCCCACATTTTATGACACAGGCGCCAGATATGGCTCCGTCGAATCCGGTGTAGGTCTGAGTGAACTCCTATGACCTGTCGTTGCATGGACAGTCCAGGTGGTGGCGGAGGAAAGAGACGATGATGATATTGTCCATGGTGAGTTCTCCAGGAAGAACCTTGGAGGGAAGGAGAAACATCTCCATGAAGCGTCTGTGAAGTTGAATGAGTCGTCCTTACTAGAATGCTTTCCTGACTCTGAGGGATGAGGTAGATCACTGCGTAATGTATGAGCGCACTGTCAAAGGTTGTGGCCGGGCGTTTGTGGTTTAGAGTTGAACGTAATGTGAGGAGGTGCTATCGCCGAGAAAAACCGCAGGAGTACGAGTGAAGGCACAAGACCCAACACACCGGGCGAAAGTATGATAAATATGGGAGCTCCATTGGTTTACGGAATTATACATGAGAAACTGAGTTTCCGGTTTGGTAGGGAGGCCCTCTATGTTGGTTCACTCCGTCATATATCTTCTAGCAATACATGTGCACTTGTCCTGGACCAAACTCGGCCAGGTTCCTTTTTTGTTTCCTATTTGATCAATTGAACTCTGCCGGATTATCGTGAGTGATGACAAGACTACACTCAATTTCTGGTTCGAGGCGATTGTGCATCTCCGCGGGTTCTCCAGTTATCGCAATACAGATTAGTCGAATCCGCGGAAGATATCAGGAGAGTTCGGACAACAAATAGTAAACACGTATTCTCCAAGCTGAAGCATTTGAAAAGACGTCCAGGATCTTTTGATATCTAGTTTGAAACCAAGGAAGAGGTACAGGAACGATAGAAAGTTAAGAATGTAAAAGGATATTTGAACAGATCGTTTCCCCGTCCCTCCACAGCAGTAGGCACGAAACCCATGGCTACCTGGAAACAAATCACCAGGCTGACCAAGAGCCATCCGTTATCCCGGTTTATGCCCGCAGTTAGCAACCGCTTGGACTAACAGGAACCTCAAAACCTGTAGAGAAGTCGAACAAAGCCTCCCATCACGACCTATTCTGGAATTACCTGCCCACAACAAACGCTCCCACCTCCAACCACCAAGAAACACGTCCGACAAAGCCCCACCAAGTACCTCATATGCGGCAACGCATTAATCGACCTCAGAACCATCTCGTCCTGTGGATCACAGTTGTCGTAGAGTACCAGCATCAGGACAAACAAGTTGGAATGCTCCGGGTAGATCGCATTGAGAATAAACAGATCACGCCGAATCTGCGGGAGGGGTAGGTAGCCATTGGGTAGCATCTGGAATTGGAATCTCGGGGCAGGCTGATAGCCGGGGGAGTAGAAGTCGAGGTGCTCGTAGTCAGTGGGGAGTGGACCACGGATGGCGCGGATGGCAAGCATGCGGGCTTGGAGGAATTCGTCGATTTGGGCTTCGACGGCGGAGTCGTCCGGGATGTCTGGCATTGGTGGAGGAGAGGAGCGGTAGACCTCTGTGTAGACCGAGCTGCTACTGCTGCTGTCGCTGGTGATGCGGTCTACGTTATCGCTTGCTATGTAGGTGACAGAGCTGTCGGAGTAAAGATCATCTGGCTCGGGGGCTTGTCCAATGGAGTGCTCTGTACCCTCGACTTTGATTTTGTCATGATCTTCAACGGTGACTTGATATGACGGAGGATTGTTGCCAACGGCCAGACGGAAAGATGTAGTTTGGGGGATATCTCTGTTGATGTTCAATGACCCCTCGGTTGTAGAGGAGGAACTCATGCCGGGCGTGCTTTGATCCTGAGGAGTAGACATTCTGACTTCTTTGGTCATCTGTGAGTAGACAGTGGGAAAAGAGTATGAAGAGGGAGGGGGATCATAAGACTACCTATTTTTGGGTTCCAGATAGGGTTAGAAGGGTGAAGTTGGTTTAGAGTTCAAATTTGACAGTACGGGACTGTGGAGGGTATGGGATCTTCCACTCGGAAACCTAGTTACAACTGCTGTGAAGTTGAGTAAGAGAAGTGAATCAACGCCTTTTGATCTTTGGAAACTCAAAAGCTCATCAAGGATAAGGTCCCCTCTTGCGTTCTTGCTCGCTGGTGCTCGTTGTACTGTTCTTAGAGGTCTTAGAGCACTAGAAAGATGAAGAGGAAAATGGAATGTGTGGGGGCTGGTTGTGTCAGGCAGTGCCGTTGGTGTTTGTGAGCTGGTTGAGGTGCACTAGTAGCGACTGGTTCCATTGCAATGTCTTTCAGCGGAAGCCGCGGGATACATGTGTTTATATTTTTCCCTACCAACCTATAATTCTTTTTCGGGGACATGTATCAAGAATGAGATTGATACGCTCGCTGTCTCTTCCGCTACCCTTTCTCTAGGACATAGAGTGAACTCAAAGGTTTTCTGGGCCCCCCGAACTTTGAGAACCACATGTGTATACGGACCTAATGGTAGCTGTGAGCAGCTCAGATAGACAATAAAACTAGGAGATGACGAAATCTGTGAAGCGAATTCCTTGAGAAAATAAAGATTCACGACGTAGGCTGATACCGAGCGGATAATTGCAGGAGTGCTGTTCTTGGTTCAAGTCGTTGCCAAGGCGCGCTTATACAGTTGTTGTCATCCTAGTGGCCAAAATAAGAAAATGTGACAAAAGAGTTCGGTACCCAGGATTCCCACATGGTCACCCACTGCAGTACTAACTAGGCGATACGATGCTTGGGTATGGCAGAGCGGACGGGATGCCCCATTTTCATCGTTCTATGACCGAACACATCAGGATATATATGTGTTAGCCCTATATACCACTAAGCTATACCTCTGATGTAACGAACATATAATAACCCTAACCCACCATACCAGCCATGGTAGCATCTTCTTTCTTGTGACTCCCACCCCGCTTTCTGGCTTAGGACGTGAAAGCGAGTGAATCTATACATAGATGTAAGTACTTATATGATCCTTCGGAACCCTTTCATTTTACGATCAGTGGTGTGAGATCGCGTTCTATGTCCACTGTTTTCCAAAATTTCAACGACTAGGCTGTTAAGGTCACATTACTGCATGTACGAAATGTTCGTACCGTCCTGCGTTTTGCACGACCGATAAGTTCAATAACTGACTTAAATGTATTTTCTTGAGATACAATCTCTTATTCATGATTTGCTCAGTATATAGATCAGGGCTCCCGTATTGGGCCCCGCCCCGCCACACTCGCAATATTTAACCTACTCTAATTCACTATCGCTTTCGTAGCAATCAGTCCTCTTTCTCCCAAACCATCTTTCCTTAGCAGCGACTTAACGGTCGACCTCGGGATCGATAGATAGGTCTCCGAAGCCGCCAGACCCTCTCACAACCCTCATACTCCGCAAACCACTCGATCGCCCCTCGCCACAGCTCCTCGTCGAAGATTTCTTTGCAATAGGTATACGACTCTACTCCAATTCTATATCCGTTGAGATAGGTGATAGAGTGAGGGTGGAACTGTGTCCAGGCGCGAATCGTTTCAAATAGAGCAGTCGTTATCTCACTGAGGTCGTTGTCAGCTTGTAACATCAGATAACCTTCAGCTTTCATCCGCTCATGAGCCTTTCCCACGTCTAGTGTATTATCATAGCTTGTTCTTGCGCCAATGCTCGCTACTTTGCCGAATTCCTTACATAGGCTACTAGCTTTCTTGGTGTATGAGAGGGCCGCACTGAAGTATTCCATATTTGTTAGTTGGATTTCGAAGTGCTGTTTCTGGGGATGCGGAATTGAGATGTGTTTAGTATCCGCAGTAGATAGAGCTGACTGTTTTTATCGGACGCCCCGTGGGGAAACAGATCATCAATTTATCCGCAGATTATGCAGGACCTCCGATAGAATGGCTGATATTAGTAGGCTAGATGATACGAGAAAAGTATAGAAAATTTTTACTTGACGATCATCATATTACCAACTGCCATAACCGCCTTCATAGGAAGATCAATGATCAATTGGCAAATTCACCTTGATAGAAATGGACACGACTGGCGCGTACCGAGGTTCGAGAGGCAACCCGATGTAGCCGACTTTTACAACACATAGTCTGCAAGACTGTATCAACAGATCGGTGTGCTTCTAGCGTCCCGAACCTGGGGTATCAAAAAATAGGTTTTAGATTTTGTTGCACGGGAGATCACAGCCACGTGGGAAATCTTAGCGAGTAGTTTTCTGTGTTGTTTCTGTGGACGAATAGTCATCCCACCCAAGTTCAAGTTCCTTAACACACTCCGATACAAATCCATGATAGCCGGATTGTGTTGGTATCCGTAGTTGTATTAAGTTGCTACATGGTGATATGGTGTGGTAGGATGTCGAGGCTCAACCAATGAATGACCGGTCGGCTTGGCCATCTCGACTGACATGTCATGTGCCAAGAATTTCCAACAGTAACAGTTCCTTTTTTCCTTTCTCTACTACCATGAGTATTCTACCGTTCCAACCAAACGTTTTTATAGAAAAATACTTTTCCGGATTACATTCAATGTTCGCCGCACTTTCTCCATGCTCCGGGAATAATCTAGCGCTACTTTTACAACGATAGCTTCTGGGTGTCTAGAAGAACCTACAAACGATGCTATAGTTTCTCTAAGGATAGCAAGGCGCACCTTCGAAGATTAGAAACTTTTGAGGATGCTATGACGGAGTTCAGTTTCTCCCTACACGAACGATTCCGGAGGTGTCCCCTTGCTCGTGCGCAAGTCTGGTTATTGAAGTCTGCTGCTAATTATGAAAACCTACGTCCAAGGTGAGATCTATCTCTTCCGTACTTATTGAACACTGGCTTTGCTTCACGGCATGAGAGCAGGGACGTCAATTGGCCATGGGTTGAGACGGGCGGTCCGGGATATTCTTTGACGGGCCGGGCCGGGCCATAGGTTTTATTTGATGGGCCGGGCCGGGTGGGGGTCAATATTTGGCGCGGCCTAAATAGGCAGGCCCGGGCTTCAAGGTGTTCATACAATATCAGCGGTTCGAAAGAGTGTTCACCGACATACATACATTTTTTACCATAAGAGGAGGCGAAAACTGTAGTATATTCGAGCTTATCTACTTTCAGCCTACCAACACAATACATCAAGCAGATGTAAACTAGTTCGCATAGACGAACACCCAGTTCTTCCTGACGATCACCACTATTCATGGAAGCCCGCGCTGTATATTTTAGCCAGGGCCTGGCCCCGGCTATTTAGCTTGAGCCAGGCCGTGGTTCTGATATCATGGGCCGGGCCAGGCCAACCTTATTTTTCAGCCCGGGCTGGCCCATTGGCGCCTTTGCATGAGATGTCATGACACCACACCAGAAGAAGCGCCCACCCACCCCACCCAATCGAGGAATAATCGTCTCATATTTGAGATGAACCACCCCCTACCGGGAGAAAGGATAACTAACTTCAACCCGCTTTCCTTAATCATTCGTCTACTGTATAGTCGTCCTACCAAGAAAGATCCCACTGTTTCAACATCAATAGTATGGTTGTAGATTTGAGATAAATACTATTGCTGGGAAGTGTTGATTGTACAGAAAGATGGGTAAGAACCCCGCTCTTCCTTTGTCAGCGTACCAGTAGACTAGATCTAACTTTTGAATTGCCAATCTCTTACCTCGGAGGTAACACAAGCACATGAGAACCGCAACACGCCGAGGTCAATAGCTGGGGGAAGCTATATCAAACGCGATATCATCACCAAAGCGCTATCTAGACGGTGGTCTATGGCGTGGTAACTGTCCAGGGGCCTGGCCTTGGGGTGGGGAGGGCTCGGTCATGAAGGTCCGCCAGTGAGGCGACGTTGCCGCAGCGGCAATGCTGAGGTTTCCTCTTTGGATAGCAGTCTCTCAAAATTTAATAAAGCCTTTCGATCTAGGCATTTGTGTTGCATTCAATCCACGCGTCAGGCATGGTATTGAGAAACCTCTTGGTTGTGGATTTTGTGAGCGAATGCGGCTCTGCCCAGGGCTTGGCATCATCGAGTGCTACCTCATGAGACGGAAGCTGCCGTGCGCCACGGGCGAATTGAGATACCTTGGCAGAACGCCAACGAAAAATAACTCATCTTTTTCAGTGCAGAGGAAACACAAGTGCTGTCCTCGATACATCCCTTCCTCCATCTTCAGTTCATGCCACTTGTCCGAGATCCGGAATGCCTGCGACAGTTCTAGTCATCGGATGCCGGCATATTGTTCGGTATGCAATTAAATTGCAATGGTATCGGATATCCCGGAGGCTATTTTGCAAGTCCTCCTAATCAACTATATTCCGAAAATGGAAGATATTGGTGGCGCTGTAAAGCCTACAAGTTTGGAAGCATCCAGCGACGGGGGAGCCAGGACAATTTCGAACGAATTTCTGACAGCTACAAATTTTAGCTGTGGGGGCGCTTTCTCCTCTTCCTGTATTGGACAACACAAATCGCCGATCTCTCTGAGGCCGGCCATTCAGGACTCTTATTTCAACGGGTGGAGCTGGATTGTGGACGCAGGCTCATTTGGTACTTGAAAGGACGCACCATTTGATATGCATAGACCCGCTGGTGAGTGCGTCCAGCATCCATCCACCTCCGAAGGACAGGATAGAATTCCATCTCGTTACCAGCGTCCGGTACTATTTAAAGCCGCTGAACCACCTCCAGAGACCGAAACCCAACCACTGGTATCCAACTACAAACCAGAGGCTCATACCTGAAACCGCAGTTTCATACACAAATCAGAGTTTCAAACCCAATCTTACATCACAAAAGCAAAATGTCTCCCAAATCTAGAATCCATTCATTGAACAACAAAATAGAGGCCCTTGGGACCAAACTAGCTCGGTATACAAACCGCCTAGACATACTCGAGGATACCCTAGTCATGGGCAGAGAGCGTGCCTGGCCATATGAAGTCGTCCCTGGCATAGACAGGGAGAAGAAACAGAGGGATATTGCGACTCTCAAGGACAAGATTTCCCGCGTGGAGAGCGATATTGAAAGATTGGAGGGTGAAGTTGTCGCAATTCGACAAGGGGCATCAGGGTCCGCAGGGCCCTCAGGGCGACTTTGTCGTTGATGGGGTGGAGAGAGGTAAGACCGAGGCGGGGACGGAATTACTAACTATTGCAGCAGGGAAATGAGTTTACTAGGTGGATGATTAATCTTGTCCGGCGATAGAGAACGTTGTAACGAGGAACAAGAGTTCAAGAGTGGGTCATTTGACACTTTCAGGTACGCATCAGATAACCGAAAAAGAAAAAAAAAAGAATGCTCTATAACGCATCGAGCCATCACCTTCAGCATCAGTACACACGAATAGAATTTCAAGCCTCTTTTCACCCGTCAGCTTTATAACAGATCGAACTCACCATAGTCTTCTTTCACCATCACATACCTTGAACATAACAATTAGGAATGTCTACAGCAAATAAGATTCGGTCGCTGCAGAGAAAGGTAACTGCTCTGTGGGCAAAATAAAAGCAGTATGAAGACCGCCTTGAGGTGCTCGACGGAATTCACCATGTGACTTCTACATCATTCTGGTCTTACGCAACTGGCTCTGCTAACGCGGAGAGAGAGAGGACAAGCCTGAGGGGCAAGATGAGTGATGTTATGAGCGATATATCAAGCTGTGAAAACGAGATCAGGTCAATTCGGGAGGGAGCTGGGAGTGGCGTTTGGCATAGTGAGGTTTGAACTGGAAGCGTAAGAGTCTTTTACTTAATGGATGGGTTCGATATGTCCCTCATGTGTGGCGTATGAGGTCCGATTGAGTAGCGTTTTAATGGGTTTGCGAATTAATGATAATACATCTGGCATTTAAGCCGCAAAAAACGCAGGGTTCAAATGGATAATGTGATCAATCCTTGAGGCCTACTTGAGGGACAAATGAGAAAAGAAGAGATATCAGTGCAGCCCCACCGAGCCCACCGCCAAAATTGTCCCGTTCTATGGAACTGAGTCGGGCCATGAAGACAGGCTTAAAAGAGAGAGGGAGTATGTGGTTTTGAAGGAGAAATTTGAGAAATTTCGGCGCGACATAATGAGCTGTAAGGATGAACATTGCGGGGACTAGAGAGGAAGATTCAAGGAGTTAGGAGATAGCGTATGAGGCAGGAGGGCGGCGAAGCTACTCACATCGGCTCAAGGGTTTAGTGGGTAAGTGTGAGTTATAAGGTGCGAGTGAGCTTAGAATATATGCTTCTTGCGAATCAATAAAAATAAACTCTGGTGTTGTGATTGCATGAATACTGTTCAATTGGCAGTGGGATCAGTACGTGAAGCCTGGTTCTCCAGATAACGATATTTCTGCCAAATAAACGATCAGCTGGAACATAGCTCAAATCACATGGCTACCAATTAACGGAAGAAGTACCACATTTCTAAACCTCCTCAAGGAAGGTGAACAATAGAACGGACGTCCTGTTCCCACACACCTCCTACATAAAAGCACAAAACCCGTCTCCCTCCATACTCCCCACCAGCACAGACCTACCACATAACTCCCACCCAACCCAAAATGTCACCCTCTAGCAGAATCCGCAGTATCCAGAAAAAGATGACCGCCTTCGAGGCCAAACACAAGGCTTATGAGGACCGCTTTGAGGCGCTAAACACGTCGATGGCTGGTCGTGAGCGGAGTAGATCGGATAGGGAGAAAGCTATAGGGCTGAAGGAAAAGATGAACATGGTCAGGAATGAGATTACTGGTTGTGAGCATGCGATTATGGCGATTAGGGAAGAGATTGCCAGGATTATATGGAGTTGAGTAGATGGTTATGTGTGAGAGGAGGAAATGTCTGATGGTTTGGCGGAAGAGTTTGGTGGTTTCGGGCAGTGACAGGGGAGGTAGGCTAGAATCTTGACGTTAATGATAATAAATTTGGTTTTGGAGGTTGCACAATCATACCTTGCGCTTCGCAATCTGTACGTACCTCAAATATGTTCGATAATGAACCCGGGGGTCGCGAGTAAGACCCTCACCACCGTCTCTCTGCACCCGCATGTAGAATAGAATGAAAGTCCTATTCCCACACATCACCTATATAAAAGCACGGAGGCCACCCTCCTCCACACACCACACTGCCACCATCCAGGAAACTCCTAATTCACCCAACCCAAAATGTCTCCCTCCAGCAAAATCCGTAACATCGAGAAGAAGATAATGGCCCTCAAGGCGAGGCACAAAGATTATGAGGGCCGCTTTGAGGCGCTCAACGCATCGACTGCCGGTCGTGAAAAGAGTGCATCAAATAGGGAGAAAGCTGTAGGCCTGAAGGAAAAGATGAAATCTGTCAAATATGAGATTCTAGGGTGTGAGTATGAGATTAAGACAGTCAGGGAGGGGGTGGGGGTGGAGTTTTGGGTTGGCTGCGTGGCTGTGAGACGGGGGGAGAGACGCCGGAGGATCTGGCGGATCGGCTGGGGTATCTCGGGTGTTGAGTTGAAGGTTAGGTGGTAGAATCTTGATGTTAATGATAATAAATTTGGTTTTTTGGGGTTCACAAACATACCTTGAACTTCGTAATCTGATCAAAACACGAGAATAGTTTCTCCAGAGCTATACTATCGAAAGAAAGAGCACCTACGACTATCAAGCACAACATCAGTAGTAGGTGGGTGGTATATCTCAAATAACCTCGATACCGGGCGCGTGGTCGACGACTAAGCCTCCACCAGACAACCCACCCCAAATACCACAACAATCAATAGAATGAAATCCATACCCGACTATAACCATCAGCCATTTAACCCTCACAATCCCCCAATAGCGCTGAAGAACCACCACTTACACCAGACCTCACAAGCACCCGTGTCCCCAGGACAATTAACGCGAGAAATCCAAAAAGAGATAGCCACCCGCAAGAAGAAACACAACAAGTATGAGCGCCAGTGCGAGGCACTCGAGGCATGCGTCGCCGCAGGCGCTGATAGGACCCTGTAGACAGCGAGATACTGCGCTTGAGGAAGAAGATGGACAATGCCAAAAGCGATATCGTGTGCTATGAGCAGGGGATTGTGGAGATTAAAGAGAAGGTAAAGGGGGTATCTTCTTTGGTTGATTTTATGGCTAGGAGGCGGGTGAAAATACTCGTGGGGATTGGGTAGAGCGGTTTGGTGGTCCTCGGTTGTGAGAGGAGGACAGTGGGGAGGTATGGGATAGTGTTCTGACGATCTTTTGGAGGTTAATGTAATAAAATTGGTGGTCGGGTTGCATGAACATACCTTGAACTTCACTATGTGTGATTAATTAGGGAAGGGAACATTTCCAGGTCCACGCGAGAGAGAGAGATTCTGACTGCCAAAAGCCAAGACCAGTATCCGAGTGATAGACCCCAAAACAGCTTGAATATCGATCCCAGAGGTGCCACGAGAATCCCCAACACCACCCACACCAGTGCCAGCATGCCCAGATAGAATTTGAATCCTTTTCCTGGATCCTAATGTTCCCGTCAGCCATACCTATATAACAGCCACTCCCCCCCAATAGTCTTTTAACAACCACCACTCCCCAAAATTCACAACCAACCATGTCTCCCGGAAAAGACATCCGCGCTTTACAGAGGAGAATAGCCACTCTCGAGTCCAAGCTGCAGAAGTATGAGGGTCAGGTTGAGGCACTGGACGCTTCCGCTGCCTCCGGCAGTGACAGAGGAAAGGTGGATAGGGAGAAGCTGGGGCTGAGGGAGAAGATGTGTAATATTCAATATGACATAAATAGCTATGAGCATCAGATAACGGCGATTAAGGAGGCGCTTATGAGGAGTATGTGGCATTAACTTACGACTGGCAGTGGGGGGGGGGGGGGGCGAGGTAGGGCTTTTGGCTTGGATGAATGGGATGGGGATGGGGATGGCATGGTATGAGATGGGAGTAAGTAGTCTGCTGATGTTTTTGAGAGTGAAAGATAATAAAGTTGGTGTTGTGGGATGATTGGTGTATTTTGAACTGGACAGCGAGCTTGATACGTGAAGGTTACATCGCATCCGGACACGTGTGAGGAAGAGAACTTGCAATTGTTCAATGAATTATGAATAGTAAAGTGATGCGTTTTATGGCAACATTGAAGGCTCGGGTGTGCTGGCCATACACCAAAGTCTTTACATTCTAGATATCCACCAGAAACACTACCTTTTGATAAGAATAGAACGCCCCGATTGATTCGTCATTAATAAATGTATTCTCCAATATGTCGTGTGTGGAGTTTATACCAAAGGCGATATGCATGCTGATGCCCCTGTCTTAGCTTAAAGCTCACGATCATTCTTCTAAAAATTCCCCAATGTCTCCCGGAGCTATTATCATCAGAAACTGGGTTGGCAGCGAATATAGGTTTCCTTTAGACTACCTTTCTCCTTCTGCAGACTGCATATATAACCGCCGCCCCTATTGCTTCTGCGACGCCATAATGCAGAATGATTCCCAGCCTGTCCTCTCCCTCTCCCGTCGATCCTGAATTCTCAGTGCCACTGGTCCCGAAATGATCCCACCACCCGGCCATGTCCTGCCTCCCCGCCCCCACTTGAAACAACGTTTCCTCAATTTCAGGTTTCGGAATGCGAGTTGTTATCGTCGCAACGCCGAGGCACCTGTTGAAAGCCTCGGCGGGCTATATTACATGTCAGCATTTCCATTTCAAACCACCTGTCGTCATCATCATCAAACTAATACTATCCGACTTCATCAACACCATCACCATCACCATCACCGTACCCATCTCCGCATCCATCAATTCCGAATCCCCACCTCCTACACCCCCCCATCACCGCCGCTCAAGTATCTCTAGCTCCCGAACACCTCAAACACCTTCCCCCACCGCCCCCTCCCTGCCCTCTCCTCAACCCACACCAACACAAATGCACCACTTCCTCGCACTCCCCCTCCTCCACCTCCAATCCCGCCGCCTGCGCCGGCGCCTCAAAAGGCTACAGCGAAAGCTCTCCCGGCTCGATGAGAAGATCAGCGAATACAGCAGCCACCCGAGCAACGACGAGCCGAACGTAGTGATGGGCATCGCGATGTATGAGAGCAGAGCAGAGTTAGAATGGAGGATCAACGATGCGCGGGAGGACCTGAATATTGTGCGCAGTCGCATTATGACAGTGGAGAGTGAGAGGGTGCGGAAGAGGGACGGTAGGTGGCTGGCGAGATGAGGCAGTACGGGGGGTGGAGACGGAGGGTGCGGGCTGCGATTGTGTCATGAGTGGTCACTCGGGTTGGGTGGTGGGCTGAGGCAGTCGGTGGTTGGGAAGTAGAGGGAGGGGAAAGAGGAATTGTGTAAGGGAGACGAGAATGTCTGAGTAGTGGTCCGTAATTACTCTTTCGTAGTTGAGCAGGGAGTCCAGCTTGGAAAAAGACCCACATTTCCTCCCCATTCTATGGTGCCGTCAAAAGACGCTACGCAATATCCGCTCTAGCGTGTAAAACCGGCCGTATTTATAGCCCGCTCGTCCACCAGCCAAACAAACACTGTTACAGAACATCACTTGTTAAATCCAAAGCCAGAGCAAGCACATCACCACCAATTCCACACAATAACAAACATGAACAACCCAAACCAGCCCGCGCCCGACCAACGGAAACTCCACTTCCGCCACTACGACCGCACAAAATTCACCATCATGCACCTCACGCTCGTCATCTACAACACCCTACTGACCATGGTGACCAACACCGACATCCACGACACCGCCCTCGACAGCAACCGCTTCGAGCTCCTCCACGCACTCATGCAAACCCTCAACACCGAGCACGAGTCCTACAACCAGCAGCGAATCCAGCTCTGGACGCTCTACGGGATGTCCTCCATCAGGAAGTACCGCCGCAGGGAGACGGTGGCCCGCGTGGTGTGGGACGCGCAGGTGGCAAAGAAGCAGGCGGAGATTATGGCGGCGTCGGCGCAGTTGGCGGCTAGTGGGGGGGTTGTGCTAGCGCTAGGGCTAGGGGTGGCGGGGGGGTGGAGGGGGTTTAGGTTGAAGTTCTGGAGGGCGCCGCGGTGTGGGGGGTAGGGGTGGAGGGTGGAGCGTGGAGGGTGGGGAATTGTGGTCTTTACGAGTATGCTTTGTTACTTGTGGCTGTTGGTTGTGTTTACAGTAGTCATGTGGAAACCAGCTCGTAGAGGAATAAATGTCAAAGTTCTTCAGGCGGTGTTTAATGTTTTCGTGATTGTGGAGGTGATGTGTGGTGGCTGAAACCAAAGCCATAATCAAGCCCCGCCCGCCACTTCCCGATAAACCTTCCTGCAACGTGTCCACACACACACACGCACAGGCACACACACTCAGCCACACGCAGCAACACCTACCTGCTACCGAGTGCCACGCATCACCACCAACGTTGGGCACGGGCCATTCCACTACCAGCCTCACACAGACTCAGATTGTGGTACGAACGCTCGAGCCCTGTTTAATAGAGCTGAAAATAATAGTTTCGATATGTTTTATCATTTTTAGGCACGAGCTCAGACCGTTGTCTTTGTTACGGTATCCGAGTTTACCATCATCAACACATTGTTTACGTCCACAAAAAAAAAAAAAAAACAAGTTTAATCAAGCCCGAGCTTCTCCAATACCAGCCCGAGCTCGCAGCAGTGACTACTCTCCATGAGACGAGATATCTTGAAGTCCCCTCCCGAGAGCATTTCGAGAATCGTGGCCTCTCGATACAAGGATACGGTCGGGACCGAAAATCTTCGGGCATGCTGTTTCGTGACTGCCGGTTGCTACCGCTATCTAGCGGGGCCCCGTTACCGTACCTGCTCACCCGGGCCGGGCGGTGTTCTCGATATAAGGATACGGTCGGGACCGAAAAGCTTGGAAAGGATATTTCGGGACTGCCGATTGCTATCACCCCGTTACCGTACCTGTTCAGCCGTGCCGGCCGGTGCTCTCTATGAAACGAGAGGTCTCGGCGCCTTGTCTTGAGCAGCCTGACGCCAAGTATTAGTATTCCTGGCCCCGAGGCCGGTTTGCAATGCCAGGATATACTCTACTTGCAGCACGGGTGTTGTGGAGAGAATGGTATACTTCTCCCTTGTCTCGAAGCGTGTCGTGGAAAATATGAATTGTGTTAACGTGTTCGACTGTCTAGATATACGTGTGCGAGGCCTCTCTCGTGAGTGAGCATTTAATGGATGCTTCCATCCTAGAATGGTCTTCAGCATCCTCATCCATCGCGCGAAAAAGAGCCAATAGAAGCATTCCCGCAGCTGCTATATATTCATTACTCATTCCCGTAGCTGCTATATATTCATTACTCATTCCCGCAGCTGCTATATATTCATTACTCATCTCCTCCGCAATACTCCCACTCCTCCACATTCTATTCTGCTGCGTGCCGCTATTCTACTTCATTGACACACCGCTCGCTGTGCAAACCTCCTCATCATCCCCGCACCGAGTCTTGTACCATCCGGCTCATCTCACAGCTACAAAGATCACCCACGTATCCTCTGTCTCCACAATGTTCAACCCAACTATGACCGCTGAGGAGTTCAAGCAGACCATGGACACTGCCCGCGAGGGTGTCCAGCAGCTGGCTGTGGAGAAGGAAATGGTTAGCCTGGAACCGCACCATGATGAGCTCACGCCAGAGTACGTTAACGCACACATGGCGCTGTTCAAACGGCTCATTAAGATCGTTGATAATGTGCTTTCTGTCGTGGAGGACACAGATGATGTGATGGAGGGAGTGAAAGAAAATAAAGAGGGTTGTGCTGAGTCTGATAACGAGATCGATCCAGGTAATTCAGTAACCATGAGATGATCGAAAGTTGTTGAATACATTGCTAATCTCCATTTACGCAGACTTGGACCACTCAGACAACCTGGGGAGTTTGCAACACAAGGATGAAAACACAAAGCTATGGGGGTCAAGCTGTAATACGATATAATGCGGCCGCATTGGTTTGATGGAAGCGAATCTTCCGGTGGACTTTAGGTTTTCTTGACACTTGGCAGACGAGAGACATGCACGATTTGTAGTGCGTGTATGTAGATCCTTGTGGTGTGTTGTATTATGTCAGCAACAATTTAATAAATCTTTGGACAAATTCATCTGTTGGCGTGATCACTGGGATACGGTGGGCGTTTGTGTAGATTTGTCTATGGTCAGAACCGTGAGGATAGATGTTAGCAGGATTATCAACGTGAGAAGATGTATTTGTGTAAGCCCCAGATCAGGAAATACTCGCATTCAGTTCTCCAACCGTTTCTCAGGCCGGGATTTGTATTTGATACGTGAAATCTTCTCCACCCTGTTCTTATATATTCTCATCTCAGTCACCGAGGAAGTCGGCCTCAAGCCAAGAGGCGTCTCCCAAATTATATTCAGACAACAAAGGTCCAGAAACACCCCCCCCCCGCCACTTGTAATTATGTTCCACTGCTCTCACCGGGATTCTAATGACGGATCCGACAACTGCAACCGCCAACTATCTGAAAATGTCTCATCGAATAGTATTCAGAACAACTGGCGTTCTCATGAGAGGTGTTCACGATTCTATGATTCATTGTGGAATAGTGGGGCGTATCTTGCTGGGTTGGGTTTATAGAAGAACAGGGTTAGGGTTCTTGGTGTGATGTGGATGCGTAGCATTTCTATCCGGATAGCCAAGGAACTCCATAAGATAGTTCTTGAAAGAGTAGATATACTTGATTCACCGCACAGAGCCAGTATACACGCTTACAGAAAGGTTGTGGTGTAGTCTCCTACGCCGCCTAGCACTCTCTTTATATTGCACCGTCGTTCTTCCGTCGCTATGTATATCCCCGCAATGTGCCTATTATGTAGGAGTAGTAAACTATACACACACCTCATCGTTTTGAATCTCTTCATATGTATCGAACAAAATCTGAATATATCCCAGGTTGTACACATCACCCTCGGTACCCCCCGCTCCCCCCTTTCCGGAATATGGAAAGTCCACTACCCACCCGCCCTATCACCGCCAGCAACTCGCCGCCGCCGAATAGGAAATGATCCGCATCAAGAAAGACATAGGAGGAAGAACTGATCCCGACGCCTACACAGAGAGCTAGAGGGAGGCCGTTGGCGAGCATCTCACCACCGCCAAGGAGGCGGAAAGGCGAGGCCCGGGTTATGATAACAGCTTGGCACTGGAACCTCCGCCGAGGGGATGTCGGTGGGAGTGTGAGCGGGTTGCGAAGCGCGTGGAGAAGATGAGGTGGGCGCCGTTTAGGACGCGGAAGGAGGAGGGACGGCGGGCGTGATGGAGAGCTTTGGGGGCGGACAACGGCGGGGCTGTGCTATGGCATCTGATTAAGGAGTAGAAGTACTGTACCGACTGGTTTTGTAGTGGCTCGGGATTCAGTGGGGCATTAGTGATTGTGAGGTTTATAAATATCGTTCTTCCCGGTTGCAATACTCAAAAACAACCATAGCAGTCCTCACCTTATCCCGCTGTGGTACACCATACCCAACTCACAGAACCACCACCAAACCGAACAATGCCCAACGTCCCACCCACCGGATACACGCAGTGCACCGTCCCACTACTCACCATGCAGCAGGTCGCGCACCTAACCCAGGGGCGTACGTGGAAGGCAAAAAAGAGCTCATCGACGAGTGCTTAAGGTGGATGGTAATGATCAATGTGTGGTGACCGATAAGAGAGGCAGGAAGGAGCGCTGTCTGATGCTTTATGAGTTGCCGTGTGAGCGGTGGGAGAGGCGCATGAATAGGTTGACAAATGTACGATTTAGCCTGCTGTAGTACTGGTATGTTGGGGAAGGTTAAGGGCCATGACTTGCTGTAGAGTAGAAGGGGATTCTGGGGGTTGGGACATCCTACACTGTGTGTAGAAAGGGAAATGGATGACGTATGGACAAGGTCTAATGGCATTGGAGGGATGTAATGTACTGTAAATCTACATGTGGTGTTCCGTAGTTGCATAGTCCTAAATAGAATTCCACTCATCTGCCGTTACACAACCATCTTTATAAACACCCTCCATCTCAACACCGCAGCCCAGAAGACAAAGGATTCCTCAGCATCCCCTACCACATACACTCCTCTAAAGAAAGCCTACCCCACCCCAACCCAACACAAAAACAAAAACCCAAATGTCCGATACCCCACCCCCCCATACACACGCTTTGCCGCCACCCCCATATCCCCACAGGACCTCGCCGCCGCCGAATCCGAGCTCCACCGCATCAACAAAGAACTCGAAAGTACCGCCGACCCGGAGGCATACGTCGAGAGCAAGAAGGAGGTGATTGACCAGTGCCTGAGCGTCGCCTGCCACCATGAACACGCTGCGATTATCAGGCGGCGAGGCCGGGAGGAGGTTCTTCCAACGCGGTACGAGTGGATGTGCAAGTACCTGCAGCAGCGCAAGGATCGGATGCAGGAGAAGATAAGAAGGGGTGTGAATGGGGTTGTGACGGGGGATTTGCTTCGGTATGTGTATTATGCGCGTTGATAAGTAGTTAAATCTAATTTGGATGTACGTTTTCTGTATTTTCTGATTCGCCGCGAATAATATGTTTTTCTTTTGGGCAGACATGATATATCTCAATCCATGCAGATTGCCTCCGGTACATGTTTGGCCACACTCCTAGATACTGTTCACGACGGTGAGACTTCAAAGGTGCAAATGGAAGATGGGAAACGAGGCCCACCGGTAATATTTTTGGATGGAATACCAGGTGGATGAATGGGCGCTTGTAGAGAGCTCTGGATATCAGACTTCTTTCGGTTGTTCTATTACTTGGGGCAATCCCCAAATGCCATTGAAAGGATGGTAGCATTCACAGCAGGTCTGATCTTGCACTTTCAAAGTATCGAAACCCTACATCGCCTCATAGATACCTTCTGCTTTACCAACACCACCTCAAATACAGAACAACAAGTATCATAAATCATTCCAAAATCAATACTCATTTCCCATCTCTCCCCCGCACAATCCACAATGTCCACCCCCCCCCAGCCCCCACCACCAACCCCCGACCAACTCGCCGCCGCAAGATACTCCCTCCTGCAGCACCAACACGCCATGTCCTACTGCGCCAATCCTGACTCCTACTCGGCCAGCAACGCCGCCAGCATCGACCAATCCCTCACCGTCATCTCCCACGAATCCGGCCCCGCTCCTCCGGCTGAACTACAAATGGTACTAGAGCCCAGGCCGACACGCTGCGAATGACTAGACCAGCGCTTCCAGAGACGGCTGGAAGACCTCCGGCAGAGGGTGAGAAATATAGGCCACGATGATGTGCCGTATCTCTTTCTTGTGGGACTCCCGCCGAAGGATGGGAGCTGTAGGGGGTTGCTACGGTAGGTGGTTGTTTCGGTGGGTGTGTGATGCTATTTACATAGTTGTTTGAATGTTAGTGAGACCTCCTGGTGGTTGATGCTATTGAAGTGGTATTGCGTACTGTAGCGGGTTCAATATTATGTCTGTCGTTTCATTAATATATACTGTCCACCTGAACAAGCTCACTCTCAAATCTCAAATTCAAACATGCTCTTCATCGTAATCTCACAACGCAACCAGAGGGCCTTTCCCACAGGCAGCGCTTGCTCGGCACACACTCACAGTATTGGGCGGTTTCTTTATTATACCGGTCACCACGTCGACTACGAGTTTGTTTCTATCAGTCAGTTCATACCAGCCATATCCTATCCCATTTGTCATACTATTACCCATGCACTTACCACTCTCATCACATTTCTCTACTACATTTCTTTGTATAAATATGTTGCCATTCCCCCTTAGCTAGCACAACCAACAACAAGCTCAGTTACTTCACTCCTCTACATACATTTCCTCCACCCGCGGAATAAAACCCACTCCACAAGCACTTAACCACAACAACATACATCCAAATCCACAGTGTCAACCCCGCCCCAACCCCTTTCGAAGCCGCCGAACAACAGCTCTCCCAGCTCAAACGCGAAATTGCCGCTGGCCCCGACCCCGCCGCCCACGCCGCGCGCAACCAAGCACTCATCGACTCCTGCCCCGCCGTCATCCAAAACAGCCCAACACTCACCCCGACCGAGGACGACGAAGTCATCGAGGAATACAATGAGCGAACATTGCCCGGCGCCTATTCCGGGGCCAAGACCAAGTCGCGCCACTTGCGGAGGAGGGTCAAGGAGATGATGTTCATGGATGGAATGATGTTGACGGCGCAGGCTATTCCGCCGTTGAAGGTGGATGGGAAGTTTCAATATATGTAAATAGCTGTGTACGGCCTATTTGAAGAGACGGTTTGTATTACAGATGAAAACCGCCGTGGACAGCTGTGCCATTGGTTGTAATTGAGGAGATTTCCACCGTCTAGATAATAAATACCTTAGGATTAAAGCTCACTGCTTTCCGGATGATCAGAAGGATTAGGACAAAGGTGGCAAGTGGGAGAAAGGTGGTGTGCAACTAGAGGTCAACTTAGTTAGATTCGTAATCATTAATTCCCTAGTGAACCACGTCTACCTATGCGTTTAAAATCTTCCCCAGCACACAGTCTTTCAGCTTCGGTTAGCATAGTGGTATATGCCTCCGGTTTAGGAAACTTATGACGACAGCGGATACCGGGTTCGAATCCCGCTTAGTAATTCCACCATCAAACTGAACACCCATTATTTTTTTTTCTTTTGGGACTGTTCGATTATTAGGACGCAGGAGAGTTCTCTGACCCAAACATCGACGCCGGGTTAGTCTCGTACCAAGTTCCTAGTGGGATAATCATCAATACAAACCTCTTGAATGCCCACCCCAGCCAATCAATGAGCCCTTTCCGGATCAGTTACACTAAGTTACGGCCAGGCTTTGTTCCTTGCTAACCTACCGCTCATTGGATCAGCGGATTGAGGGTGTCCTGACTGAACTATGATATTCCGGTCTGTCTATGTCACACCTGCCGGATGAACCCGTTCCCTCACCAAGCTTTGTACATTACCAGCTTTGCGCGTGAGTTTAATACCTAGTACTAGTACTACACTATATTTGTTTGTTTTACTTTGTAAGTACTCGATACATGTCGTCTCATGGCATTGAAGGAATATCACATACCGAAGATCCAATTGTGGAGTTTTCAACTCACTTCCATACTCCATAGTCCTCTCGCCACGTAGATAAATATGCTCCAACTGAACAAGTATATCTCCACAACTCTAACTTCATCTGAATCAACACAATCTTGCCCCAAAGCAAGACAGCTTTTACCATAACCCACACAGCTTCTGTTCCAACCTATATCGACTTCTATAAGCCTAGAATATATCAGCAATTCTTACACAATGTCCAGCTCCCCACCCCCTTACACTGACCCTGCCCGGCCCGCCCCCCCCTACACCACCTCCGCCGAAGACAAACTCGCCGCGGACCGCGAACTCACCGGGATAAAAGCCGAGATGGAGGCCAGCCCCGACCCCGCCGCCTACCAGGAGAAGTATAAAGCGCACATCGACGCCTGTCTACTACGGCGATGATGTCATCATCATCACAGACGAGGAGGGTGTCGAGTGGGAGGAGGAAGAGTATATCCGCCGGACACCACGGGAGTGGATGTGTGAACAGTACAAGAAGCGCGTGGCGAGTATTAAGCGCAAGATTGAGAATGGGAAGAAGATGGATGGGCAGTGGCTGGTTATCTCGTTCATCCCGAGGCCGGGGTATAAATGGGGCCCTTGAGCGCAGCGGAGCGGAGGTTCGATGCGTGTATTTTGTGAAATCTTGAAAGTGGGTGGAGGTAACGCTGGATCTGTGTATCCCGAAATCTTGAGATTTGTAATACTTGGATATCTTGAAGACCTTGAAAGGGTTTCATGTACCGTTGGGCTAGCTCTGCAGATATCAATGCCATTCAATTTCACCTAACGCTGCTACCAGATCCCTAAGGATAACACCCCCCCCCCCCCAAACCCATCCGCTCCGTCAATCCCAACTACCCAGTCATGATAGGCCGCACAGCTCTCTTGAAACTTCAAAAGCTCACAACCCCATACCCAGCCCTTTTATACACCATGGCCACTACGCCAACCCTCACCCCTCTCCAGCAGCTCGAGGAGGCCGAAATGGATGTCTTCAACAGTCTACGCTTCCTGCACAACAATCCTTTCGCAGACGCATACGCGGACAAGCACCAGGAGCTTGTTGACAAGTGTCTAAAGATCATTCATGAGTCTCCCATTGAAGAGCTTGAGTATCCGCTGGAGGTGGTGAATTGGGAGAATGAGCAACTGCGGAGGAGGATGGCGGCATTGGGAACGAGCGTGAGAAGGAAGGTGAAGAGGTTGAGACGGAAGTAACTATGCGCAGTCAGAGAGTGACGCAACGGGAGGGCAACATTGCAGAGGAGGCTACGAGGACTGTGGTAGTTTAAGGTTTCAGGATATGACGAATGTCCGGTGCTGTAAGTCTAGTATGAGGGGAATGTTAGCTTATTAACATAGTTAATCCATTTGAATAAAATAAAAACCAAGATTTCTGACACTTCCTCACCACCCAGACCTATACGCGTTAGACTACTCAGCGCTGTTACTAACCTGAATAGGGACGTCGATGGGCCGTGGGTTGAGATGGGCCGCCCGGGCTATTTTTGGGCGGGCCAGGCCGGGCCCTAGATTCTATTTGATGGGCCGGGCCGGGCGGAGGCTAATATTTAGCTTGGACTAAATAGGCAGGCCTGGGCTTCAAGGTGTCCATACAATCTTAGTAGTTGTTCCTTGATCTATAGCTACTTTCTACTAGAAGAGGCAAGGTAAACATCAGATATTTTCTACCACAAGAGGAAGGTTAAATTGTGTTACTTCGATCTATCTACGATAATCTCAAGAATATATATTTGCATTGTGACGAACACCTCCATTTGAGGGAGCCTGGGCCATAAAAATTTAGCCCAGGCCTAGCACGGGCTATTTAGCTTGGGCCAGGCCACGATTTGGATGGCATGGGCTAAGCCAGCCCGGTCTAGCCCATTGGCGTCCTTGTACCTGAACGGAGAGGTATGACGTGTTTCTTATTCAAAGTAGAATCGACGGTAAATTCAGAGACTGAAACTGACTCCGGGGGCACATTTAACATTCTACTGTGGTTCACCCCGTTAGAACCGTTGCAAGTAGCTTGAAACTCAAATCTGGTGCTACCCTGCGCCTTTATAAGTCCCTACGCGCACCCCCTCTACTCCTCGCAATCATCACCACCACAAATATACCCCACAAGCCTCATTTCCGATCAACAAAGAGAACAACACGAATCGCAAATTACGGATAACCCCTGCAAAAAAGAAAACATGTCAAGCTCAACCTCCAGCACCACCTCGACCCCCGAGCACCTCGCCAATCTCACCCGGGCGGAGCTCGAAAAGCGCCATGACGACCTCATGACTGGCCACAACCGCCTGCTCAAAGCTATTCAGGACGACTACCCCGAGTTCCAGCGCCATGTCCACGAGAACCTCCCGATCCGCCCCATGACAAAGACGAGGAGTCGGTTGTTGGCGCAGAGCAAGGCGGTAATGAGTGAGCTGCTAAGGGTGCAGACCGAGATAGAGAGGAGAGCGAGGCCAAACAGGCGTATGGCGTGATTGGATGCTGAGTATTGAATGTTCGGTGCTGGCTGGTTCCTCGGATTATCTGATCCATTTTAGTGGCGGCGGCCTCTGAGTTATGTGAGATTTCATTTTTAGCTGGAGAAAGGCTGTATTAGTGTCAGGTTATGTGGAGGCAGGCTAAGATGGATCGTATACCTTTTGTTTTTTACTTGCAATATATCAAATCTTTGCTACTGACTGACATAAAATTCAAGTGACGAATAATATGACATCTTAATACGTACAAAACTGTCTTGGAATAGACCCACATTGGAACGATACGCCATACTGAAATCACTATGTCGAGAGACACTCATTGACTCCCGCGTGAGCTGGTTACCGCGAAACCGGCCGTAGAATAAGTGGTTAAGGAGAAGTGATTATTGGCGTATTGGGAGGAGTGACTGGACCTTACGTGAGTGTAATTATCCGAGTTGGATGAAAGAGGTGAAGTAGAGGTGAGGTTGAGGGAACTTGTGGATGTCTTCTGTCTCACCTCGTTTGATTGGTTGTATTTTATGCAATGACTCAAAGTCCAACGATTTTAATCGGGAGGGGGGTCCAATAGATTTATGGGGATCTTACGGGATTCACAGAAGTTGTAAGCTAAGGCCCCGCCGGCAGAAACAAAGCTTGATTTGCTATGTATGATGATAGGATGATAATGCATGGAGAGGACAGGACGAGAATGTAGACAACAAAGGCTGCATGTAGATGTTCTAACACGGTTGCTTTTGGTCACCTAGCTTGACCGGAGGTCCCCACGTAGCTCCACAACCGCCTTGCCTACGCCAGAATGTCCATTCACCCTCGGCGTATATCACGCACTTGGTATTTGATATCATTACAGGCGTGGTCTCCATGGCTCATACCTTCTCCACCTCAGCCCTAGTTTATATGTACTTCGTCTTTATCCCAATTAAGGAACTTGGCACCCCGCTACTCTCACTTTATAGCTGGACATGAACCCCGAAAGGACTCCTAACCACCCCCGCAACCCAGGGAGTCACAAAATAGTGGCCCATGGGGGGGATCGCGGCCAGTTGGACGACGCCAACTAGAGATCTCACCGTATAGACGAGACACTGGGTTAACTAAGGCAAATAGGTGTGGATATATCAGGTTTATATGTGTGGATCTAGCTAGAAAGCTGCTTGTGGAACGGGAGAGAGCGCGGCTAGGGCTCCCACAGTAGTAAGGAAAACCGATGGGAGAGTTATCTTTTCCTATAACCTATAACAATCATGATTGAAAATTAGAGAAATGACTCTTGAAGGAATATGTAGTAGAGGCAAGATTTCTAGTACTTTAGCAGTTATATGGTTCAAACCGGCTCAACTGAACCGTTTAAACTTTAAGCAAGTAGTTGGTACAGTTCCTCTGGCCCTTGATAGCATGTTTTAACAGTTTAGAGGTCTACACAACCAGTTATGCCGACGATTTAAACGGTTTATACACCTCATGTTCATAAGTTCGAACACCCCAGTTCTTGAGCTCAAACACGCTGTTCAAGAACATAAACACCTATTTTGATGACTGTTAGCACGATGAGCATGCCAAGATATAAAACCGCGGTTTCAGCGCTTAAGCCGGTTGAAACTGTCAAGATATATAGTCTGTACAGTTGGTACAGATTAGGCTCCTTCATTTAGTGGTCAGTTTGGTTTGGTCGCGTTTTAAAAGCAGTTTCTACTATTGGGAACCTTGAGTAGATGAATTGAAATTTATTTATTCGACAATGGTGACAGATATCGAACTTGATAATCTCTCACACCTTTTGAGTGCTTTCAAAAGTGCATAATCCAATCTGCTGGCTTTGTGAGTCGGGTATCATACATATTTAATCCTCCATTAATATTAGGTTAGCGCCTTGGAATGTGATTAGGCCGAACAAAAGAACAAACCATATGACCTTAATCACTCTCTATTAAGCGGTGTACCTCCTCTTGACTGATAGGATACCGAACTCAATTGCCCAAGCATTTACTTCCCTATTAAAGGCATTGCCAATCACTTCGTTTTCTAGATGGTCTGTTCCACCAAGCTAATAAATATTATGGTATATCGTTTCCACGCATCCACAAGTAGTTACCTTAAATAACTATCCATACCGGTAGCTCTCGAGCCTCCAATCCTTAAACCAGGTGCCCCACTTACCCTCTACTTGGGAGCAGCTCACTCTAATACTTGAAAAAATGCCAGTTCTTATCGTGTCCACTACCGAATCTGCCAATCTCGAGTATCTCACAACCGCGCAGCTCCACGAAACACAGGACACGTTCAAATGTCTTTACCGCACACTCACTGAAGGCTCGCCCAAGGTCCCTCGACACAACGCCCTAGACTACGAGCGTCAATATAAGATCTGGTGGGACTCCCAACTCGCCAATGCAGAAAAGGCAATGCAAAGCAGGAAGGTCGATGAGTTATCTGACTTGATCCAGTATCTGCGTGAAAAAAGGCAAGAGTTATATAAGACTGAGCGCAAACGCGAAATCGCGCGAGAAAAGAAAAGAGTCGAGGACCACGGTGGGAAGGAAAAGAGAATTGTGGTGACTCCGATGTATATGAGTGTTACTATGACGGGTATTGATAAACATACTGCTGGACGTCACTCACGGCTGCGCTTGTTTCCGCCTCATAGATAGTGTTCTGTTTATTGGTAAAAGACAATTTACTAAGCTTAGTTTAATGAAATCTCGTACCTCTTAAGACTTGGTTTCAATCTTAATCCTTCTCTGTGACCGATTCCTTCACCATTGTATGGGAAAGAATTACTCTCTGTCTAATCGCCTCGTATGGCTCTGGTGCATGTTCCCTCGTTTAGTAGTCTCTTGGTTTACTTCCCATATCGATGTTGCAGATACAAGGGCAGGAACCCCGAAAGGAATCTCATACTTGGCAACTGATAAGCTTTAACAGGGCGCACCGGCTGTTATCGGCACACGCATGGTTTAAATGGTCGAGGGGTATGCAGTCAGCCTAACAGAGCCACCATGTCGACCGCGGGGTCGGGCGTTCGACACACCTCGGCGCAGTGGAGAGCGGTAATGTGTCTGGAACCGTATGGACCGCGCATCATGCCATTTTTTGTATTTTGTTTCTTTCATCTTTCATCTTTTTTTCTAAAGCGTCTGTCTACATTTGCCCCGAATCAGATGTCCGATTGGGATTCATCCATTTGGTTAATAGACATGGCATTAGTCCTATCGCCTTCTCAAATTCTTTGATTGTATTAACGGCGCTAGCAAGCAAACTAAATATCATTGGGACTGGTTCGAGAAAAGACTACATTGAGAATTGGTATGACTCCTTTCTGATGAACATGAACCCACAGATCTGACGTTACCATCAACGCTAGTCTGGTGCCTAGCCTGTGTTTGCTCAGATCCAGCGCACAACGCAGTGCGACAACAAAACAGTCTGGGAGCTAGACTACATCAACGCGTATATTGGTCACTGCCCAGCTTTAGATTCACCACTAAACTATGAGGGAAATACGATCATTCGATACCATACTTAGTGTCCATACCGGATGTTTTAAAAGGACCCACCATAAACCTCAGCATGCCCATCTAAAGAGTTCCGAAAACAAGGTAACAATATACTACGAAATCCTTGGAATCGAGAAATCTCATCACAACTGCGCTCATGAAAACTCATACGTTAATTTCGACTGGCTAACGGTCGCGCAACTCGATGACATCGTCTTATCACTCGGTGCGCTGCTGGATGATCTCCTCGCCCACCAACCACCTCAAGGCCACAGCGAAGCCGCCCAAGCGAGGTACCGTAAGTGGACAAGGCAGTATCGAGACATCCTGGACCAAATTGCCGTAGCAGGTAATGTAAGGTCGACGGCTCAGCGCTGGCAAAAGGCCCGGCATGGTTTGGCTAAGGCGGACGTGAGGAAGGCAAGTGATAAGGAATAGAGAAGGTTCAATGCGCAGGGCAGGATCAAACTGGTGTTGCAAAGAATCTTGTTGGATGGGAGCCTGAGGGTGATCTTTATCGAGGGGTTTGACAGGGACCTTAAGAAGGCGAAGCTCTGGGAAGGCGGTTCGAGTCTGTGTGATCTGAAATACCCTTAGGAGCGTTTATAAGAAGTGATTAAGGTGTTCGATAGCGAGAACTCGCCGCTGTTCTGATCCGTTGACCAAGACGTACATTTGGCCAAGTGTGCGCCCTATCGAGCAAGATGATGGACGGGGCGACCAAATGGCCAAATGGCCGTCTTGATGGATTGTTGGCCCAGTGATGAAGTGGTAATTCCAGACATATGCTTTACGATGTATAATATTACCTTCTACCTAATGGGTCAATATGTTCAGATAGAGAGAAACCTATCATAATTCCACTGATAATTCCGCCAGAACTCGGCCAACGCGGGGGTGGAATAATGATAGCTTTTGCCGTAATTCAACACTCCGAAGACAATGATTCATCGTATAATTTCGGCTCTTTCCTGAGAATGTGTAGACGCTGGCACCACTATACAGCGGAATGAGAACTATTCCTGGTGGGCCAGCTTTTTCATGACAGCTTAAGGGATACGAGCTGATAGAGTTCGGAACCTCTGTGTCTGTCTGTGTACTTGATGACTGGAGTAAAGCCATTACGCGAGCTTGTTTAATAGAGCGACCTATTCATCATAGAATGGGCCTTTTGAAAGGCTCGCCCTATCCATCAATCTTGATGGGTTGTGTGCGCACTTGGCCAAATCGACGTCTTGGTCAACGGATCAGAATACCGCTTTGTCAACTTACTGCTGGGTATGTAGTTGTGTTTTTTTTCCTTTTGATAAACCTGTTAACTGTATATTCTTGAATAATGAACGAAGCTTCGATAATAACTTCCTTCCCTGTCCCACGTCCTGAGTGCATTTATCTTTTTTGTGCGGTCTGTGAGATCCTGTGAGTGATGATTGCCGGCTATCGCCTAGTAAGAGTTAATGTTAAAAGGCGGTCCCCCTAACCAACTCTACTGCAAAGTCAAGTCTAGACAGGTACAAACCCAGCAGAGTTATAGTACGGCCCTACTTCACCCTAGCGGATGCTAGTCCCAGTTAACCACAAAACGTATATGCAAAAATGACCATATTGCCATTGTTTCCGAATAAGCTTCATTTCAACACATTCTAATATTAGTATATGGGAGACCAACGTCTCATTGAGAAAGATTCGGAAGAATTTAAGCTGTCAAGTTGTACATACTATCCACAAAGGATACAGGTGTTGTCGTTATGAGGGGGTATGCGGTACATACTATCAATCGTCCCCGACGCCCTGGCCTTATAAAGGAAATTCTCCAAGTGCCTTCAATCCTTCATCCTTTCACGCAATACCAAAACTCAACCCCAAACCCTAAATCCCAAAGACCCCAGTTAACACACAATAAAGAAACGCACAAATCAAGATGGCCAGCGGAAGCATGAACCTCAAATTTCTATCGACAAGGCGCCTTGTGGAGGTGGAGAGCCTATGCGACTATGTGATACGATCACTTGAGAATCGTCACTTCGGTCAGCCCCCCCCTTCTTCGAACCAAGAGGCCGCCAACAATCTTTTAAAGAGTAAGGAGAGCGACTCAATGATTGAGCATAATCTGGAAGCAGTGAGGAGTTTACATACACTTGTTGGAAATATGTTGGATACGCCAAAGAAGCGCCCATGGCTCCAAACGCCGGAGGAGGAAGAGGAAGAGTATCGAGTGGAAGCATCTATGATCTCTGACAAGCCATTCATGATGAGGACTGTCCTGGGGGATACGTTGAGGTTATGTATTCTTCAGGGGGATTGTACGGAAGATGGAAAGCTGTTATGGGCAAGCACTGATCAGGACGTAAAAGGATGATATGGATGATCGATTCCAAGCGGAGAAGATTGGTATTTGCTATGTCGCTAGGTCAGAGAGAAGGTCTTTACATTGTATTTGACACCCAAAGTTTGGAGGATAGCCTCTATAATTTGTTTCAGAGTAACCTTGTTGAATATTCACAAACCTATAGCCAGACCACAATATAACATCCAGACTCTACCATGGTACAAAATGCATCAGTAAATGCATCATAAATGCATCAGTGAAAGTCGTCAGTCAATTTATCAAGCCTTTTTCCTAAAACGTATGGATAATGCATCAATTAATGCATCAACTAATGCATCATTAATGCATCACAGTCTCGTTTTGCCAAGAGTTTGGGAAATACTTATATTAGGAAAATAGAAATGCAAACAGTGCCGGATTTCTGAATCACGGGCTGAAATGCATCAGTAAAGGCATCAGTAAAGGCATCAGTAAATGCATCAGTAAAGGCATCGGTAAAGGCATCGGTAAAGGCATCGGTAAAGAGATTGGTAAATGCATCATACTGAAGAACACTCCTGACAGTGCCCCGATGCAAAACAAATGAATGTGGAGGGATTGAACCTGAATCATTCCGATTATGATCTAGGTTCAAGTTAGACTCGGAGCTTACCACCTGTACCATCATATCTTTTCAATATATAGCACTTACTAGTACAACCAATACGTATAAGCTGACTCAATAGGTATATGTAGCCGAAGTGGAGATCCAAAAATATCTAAGTCAATAATCAGTAGACACAAGAAATACCAAGAACAGTAGTATTCGCGGACTGACGATTTTCCCTACTACACTTTTACCTACTGCCGACGATTTTACCTACACTTTTCCCTACTGTCGACGATTTTACCTACACCTTTCCCTACTAAGTACATACTATCGACGATTTTACCAGCACCTTTCCCTACTAAGTGCATACTGTCGACGATTTTACCTACACCTTTCCCCACTGTCGACGATTTTCCCTGCACCATTACCTAGTACCTACAACTTTCCCTACTGATTGACAATGTTCACCAGGAAAGTCGTAGGTAAAGTGTAGGTAAAATCGTCGACAATAGGCCAGGAAAGGTGATGGTAAAATCGTCGACAGTAGGGAAAGGTGTAGGTAAAATCGTCGACAGTATACACTTAGTAGGGATAGGTGCTGGTAAAATCGTCGATAGTATGTACTTAGTAGGGAAAGGTGTAGGTGAAATCGTCAGCAAATGTGTAGCCTGATGCATTTATTGAGGCCTCGACAAGCTTATGCATCAACTGATGCATTTGCAAGCCGCTTTCGTATGGGAAATGCATGAATTGATGCATTTCCTGCCGTGGTAGAGAGACACACCTCTCCCCACATATTCTCGCTGGAGCAGGAGTTAGTGCAATAGCCCTTCTATAGACCCTCCTTACCTACCTAGTGACAATATCTATTAGTAAATAGTAGTAACATCATTGCCATCGCTGTGCTGTAAGGGCGCATGGATTCAATCAATTAAATAACAAAAAGGGAGAGAGAAAAAAACTCATTGCGCCAAGGTCGAGTGATAGATTACGACAATCACGAGTGATAATTCATGATCAAGTCCATCAACGACAATCCTTACTAAAGCTCAAGTACCAGGCGCGGTCAAACAGATTAAAGCAATCAAGCATTGAGTAAGCCTGATTCTTAAACTAAATAATTATGATTGGATTCATGTCCAGGCAATGGTGGGTATGTTTCCTTCAACACCCGGGGAACGCCAAGGCTGGTGCGCGTTGTATCAAGATAGGTTCCCAACAGTAAGAGCGTTAGGTGGTGTGATAACGGTAGTATGTTGTAGTAAGCCGATATACAGTTGACTTTCCATTGGAACCGCAAATAGTGCTGATTCGTCTTGTGTGTCAATCGCGGGAATACCCCCGATCTCCCCCGGTCGAGAGGGATCCTATGTATATACTTCTTCAGGCAATGTATCGCCTTGAAAGGGACATGTCGCCGTTGAGCGGTCAAACAACTCAAGGGCGCCGGTATGTGATAGAATAACTAAGCCTCCCCTGATCCATCGACTTATAACCCTTCAGGGCGGGCCTTCTCTGTCCCGAATTCAACAACCCTCAACAAAACAAACACAACATCACAACCACACGAAGCAATCCCAAACCGTACAAAATGTCAGGACACATGCTAGCAAACTGGTCATCCGACGACCTTCGAGACATGGAGGCCCGCTGCCGTGCGGAGGTTCGAGAAACAGCACGAGCCCTGATGGCAATGTATCCAGCTCTCCTATTGGATGCGCGGTACAGAACCCCAAATATACGTCTGAGGGTGGAAGACGAGACATTATGGCTCAGGAACAGGAGCGCCAATGCGCGTATACTAGCTATTCGCGCGGAGCTTTCGGGTCGGAGTGACAGGCGTTATTAGAAGTTTTTATTTTATTTTTTTTTAGCTATTTGATGGTTTAGTTAGGCCAGCTCTCAGAATTAAACGCGGATTAGAAACAAACCACCGATTATACCTACCTCTGTGAATCTTGGAAACGGTGACCTTCCCTTTTCCTTGCATTGATTCGCCTGAGGAAAAGGATTGCACGAGTTCAACAGCCCCACTCGTTTCCGGGGACCCTCCTAGCCATCCCTCATGCCCTCCATACCGCATACATAATCCAAAGACACCGCCACCACCGGGAGACCAAACCTCCTACTTCAAGTCAGTGTTTGAGATAGCAGAGAACCCATTGGAAAACATAAAAAAGAACCCCGTGATCAATTTAGATTATCGCAGCTCATGGATATTAAAGAATTTAAAACCGCTACTACTAGTCACTCGTATAGGTGTTGATCCCGATAGGGTGTTGTAATTGGTTGAACGTTGCAAGTGAGGTCGTTGCCGCCAAGAAACCTAATCCCCTGTCAATCCCAAAAAGGCGACAAAAGAGTTCGGTACCCAGGATTCCCACATGGTCACCCACTGCAGTACTAACTAGGCGATACGATGCTTGGGTATGGCAGAGCGGACGGGATGCCCCATTTTCATCGTTCTATGACCGAACACGTTTGGAAGCATCGCAGCAGGATACTTATCCGAGCGTTTTGTATTGGTCGCACCTGCACTGTAGAGACATACCTCATCCGAACTTTCACCATCCCATATCATTTGATCGCCCCTTCTTGAGCTGGGAGTGGCTTAGACCGTACCAGTAAATAACTCTCATTCACCATTGGTCTTGACCATATCACACGGTATAGCGCCCGCCCACACCCCCCGTGTCATTTCCCAACTAACTGGAATGGTCAGGTTTTGAGATCTCAAGGGTCTGAGTTCTAGCCAAATTTCGGGCGAAATATGTTTCTCTAAGCCCATTTAGGACTTCAACGTCTATCTAGTACAATATAGAGAAATTAAGATACGTACCACCGGGTCTGTTACAATATTGTACAGACCTCGGGAGTGAGGTTTCCTAGTACCAGTAGACAACCCCGGTATATTAGAGCATGGATGTACTATATTGGAATGTACTGGCTCCCAACCCGGGATGGACTAAGATATAGACGGTACGAAGCGCGGAATAACAGATACCTCAAGAAAGCAATAAACTCACGATTTAGGTTCTAGAGACTTTCGGTGTAAACCTGTTACTTTTCCCCTCTCTCCCAGTGTGTGTGATATCAACCTTCTCTTCCATTCACCCGATATCTCGTCCACCTCCTATTTCTATGACCCGGAGAGAGATCAATAGTAGGAAGAACACCCACAGAGAGCACCTCCTCCCAAGGTACTAAATACTATCCATCCGTGTTCCATTCATATTCCAGATAGTATTCTGCCCCTACCCCTCCCCGCCTATAAATCGCTAACGAACAACCAAACTCCAAGACCTCCGTAACACACACACACACCCCACACCACCAACAATGAAAGCCAAAGGCGAACTAACCGACCTCGAACTCCACGCCTACGAATCCCGCCACACCGAACTCCTCGCCGAGTCCCAACGCCTCATCGCAAAGCTCTACCAGCTACACCCCACGCGCAAGGACCCCTACAACCGTCACGAAGCCATCACGCCCGAGCCGACCGCCGAGCTACGGAAGCAGATCGAGGACGTGATGCACGAGGAGTGGCAGACGCGGTGGGATTCGACGACGCTGGAGACGTTTATTGATCGTGAGTATAAGTTGAGGAATAGGACGGTGGGGAAGGTGGTTAGGGATTGGCTAAGCTAGACAGTGACTGGTGCTTTGTGGATATTGTGATGTAGATTAGCTGGGAGTACTGGGTCGAGGGGCTGGTGTGTTAGGGAGAACAGTAGATTTAGAATGACAGACTTAATAGATGAGATGCGTGATAGGGATATAGCATACTGTTGCTTAACGTAGTAAGAAATAATGACATAAATATTTTCATGACCTCCGCCCAATGGGCTTGGGAACGATGATAGATCTAGATGTGAATACATCAAATACGTACTAACCGGAACTTTCTAGTATATGAAGTATCCAGATATTACTATTTGCCCCAAAAACCATAATAATGGGCATACATCCGTACCATGTTCACTTCAAGTAGGCTTCGGAAGATATTGAAGTATGTAGTATAAAGAGCGTTGTCAAGATATGCACCTATTTAGGCACCTATCCTGGTGTGGCTTCCAACCATGTTGAGACAATCAGGTTGAACACCATCTCGATCAAGCAGCTCGAAGGACAAAAGAGAGAAAAGAAAGCCGAGTGATAAGTCATGATGCACTTCTAATATGTTACTTGTTACGTTCGATCTAAGAAGCATTATTCGGCCCCCCATAGTAACAACAGAGCAGGTTTACTTTGAATTACACATAAGCCGTCACGATTACACGTCCTAAGACCACACGAGCCGATGCTAGCCCTGAACGTGAACGAACCACCAGAATCTCAAAGACAAATTTCATTTCATTTCAATCCAGTAAACAGCCCCCTCAGGGCGACTTTCATTCCAGTCACTGACCAAATACCATTTTGCCCGTCACCTCAAACTGCCATGCTCTACCCACTCTGTCCTCCCCACTCTCAACACACCTCCATCTCATCCTCATCCTCATCCTCCCCAACAGACTCCCCGTGCCCAGCCTGCTGCCCAACACCCTCATCCTCCCCAGCCTCGCGCTTCACTGTAGCAAGCCTTCCCTGCGGAATACCTCTCCGCGGCAAGTCGATGAGCGCCTGAAAGTCATTTTCTAACTCGTCATATCTCTGAGCATAGCAGGCTTCAGCACCAGTGAGGGCACGGCCATCATTGTCCTCGTACGTGGCGGTGGTAGGTCCGGGGGTGAGTTCTTGGTCTTCGTGAGCATTGGCGGATGGGGAGTAGTAGTGACGGTGCGAGGAGAGACGGAGTCGTCAAGCCCGGCGGAGGCGGAGGCGGGTGGACCTGAGGTGCTGGCTTCGATGGCGAAGGGGTTGACGGGGTTGATATTTCCTCCGGTCTTTTCTGTCATGATCAGGAGGTGAGAAGAAAGCTTGGTTTTTTCTTGAGCTGGATTAATTTCCGACTCTGTTTCTGAGTTGCGCTCATTGTTTTCTTCGGTAGATCGGTCGCTAACCGCGGCCGGGAAATTCTCGTTGGTGATGGTGGTCTGTGTACCTGCCCCATCCTCAATGTCTTGAGTTTTCTTGAGGTGTAGGTCGCCGCGGGGACCGTAGGCCATGTTCGACGCCACCGTGCCGCGGACAGGGGACCTCGCATCCGGAAACGATCGGACATGTCCTCTCTGAGGGCACAGATACGAGGTAACTGCAGGTGGATGGCGGGCCTCATCTCTCGGCATCCCACCCGGGGAGACTACGTTCACATCATGATGTCTGACGGGGCCCTGCGAGTACAGGTGCGGATCACGCGACAAAGACCTATAGCCCCCGCCATGTAGCTGCCCAGGTGTGGCCGCTCGAAACAATGAGGTATCAGTGGCCCTCCAGCCATCGAGATGGGCTTCGAAAGTCGCATTCTGGAAAACACGCTGTCGAATTGCAAGATCCAGCGATCTCGGCGGCCCAACGAACAGGCGGGGTTCCAGCATGCCCTCGTTGTAGAGCATGTAGGGCGGCAGTAACATTGGCGGGAGCGGTTTTAGTTCAGGTTTCCCAGAGGCAGAATCGCTAGGACGGGAGCCGGGGGGATATCTAGGGGCGGGGGTGGTTGTGCTGCGAGTGGATTGAGCCCTGGTCTCGCGGGTAGAGGAGCTGACACCGGAGGGGGGAGAAGCGGAGGAGCTGGAGATGCGAGGGCTTTGGGGGGAGAGGATTGTGGGCGGGGATGTTTCCGCCTCGACACGACGGGTACGACGTTGAGACATCTGGTTCGCTGTTATCGACGAGGTTAGTGTTTGCGAAAGCTTTGTGGTGGATGATGATCACCTGTGTTGGAATGTAGATGGCCCCGCTGTATACGAAGGTGAGCAGGAAGATTGACTGAGCTTGTGGTGTGTGGTGTAGGGTTAGATATGAAGGTTGCTCGTTGATCCAGGCCTAAAGCTGGGCGGGTAACCTCCGCGTAGAGAAGTGTGCGGGAGTGAGAACGGCACGAACAGGCGCTGGTCAACAACGTTACAACATCCCCTTGTAAACTGTATCCGTCTTTTTTTTTTAGATTCTTTACCCGCCTGGGCTTCATAGCTCACAAAATATGAGCGGGAACCAGGGTCGATTTCCGCTCTTAACATACATGTCCAATAAATCTCCATCACAAGGAGATACTGGCTCGCTATCTTACTTTGTCGCCAAGAGCAATTTGTTTCTCGCGTTCTATCATCCCATCAGTGAATCGTAGAAGGCGAGGAGCAGAACAGGTTCTGGTTATGAGTGCGTGAGAAAAAACAGCTTGCTCAGTGCTCAGACTGGTGAGCTGGCAATGACCGGTCGCTGTAGCTTAGCCTTTCGCACTCAAGTGACTAACATATTGGGTAGGTCTGGGATGCCGCTGGGAGCTTTTCGACAGATTTACGTTGCACATTTTCTATAGTACTGTATGATAACTAAATAATTTAGAAGATGTTATAAATCTGAGATTCATGATGAATGGTGGTTATCATTGACCCTCTTGGCGAGCAGGGATTTAGCAGAGCCTCATCTGTCTTCGCTGATCACACCGTAGATAAGATAAGATCTCTCTTATTGGCAGCACAAGACCTCAACGTCGTCTTCATGTAAAACAAAAAGGGAAAATGGTCGAGATTGCTTTAGAACACGGGAAAATCCAACAATACTTTGTGCTTATAAACGGATGACGGTCCTTGCCTCTATGGAGCATGCCTTTTCTTGCTACACGGATCTTCCCTGGGGTATTCGATCTTGGGGGGATATATCAGAACACCTTTTACTGATCACAATATTCACGTTTAAAAAGACCAGAAGGTGAGGCTCTACGCAAGAAATATAGAATTAAAAGATTTTATATTTAAAAATAAAACAAAATAAGCGAAAGACAGAAAGAACCACCAGGCCACCACCCCATTTTTGCGAAAACCTCCTCAGAGGTTGACACCAGCCCCAAATACCCGGCCGAATGTTCGAGGGACCACACGAGCACCTAAGCAACCGGTTCACAGGGCTGTCCCCTCCTGCACCGGACCTACAATGTAGGATTTCTGGCCTCTCCAGCAACCCACCGTATAGTTGCCTTAGTGCATGGGTCGAGGTAACGCATGAGTATCCAGGCACTGACGAGGAGAGGGCACGCTCAGCCTTAGAAGTGGCAGGAGCGGCAGGGACCGTCTTTGGTATGCATTAGAAAAGGAGGAACCCAAGCCCACGGATGAGCGACATTGCGGATTGTCGCACATACCGTTGTCCCCGTGATTGTCACTCTGGGTTCCGGGGGCCCACCGTTGAAAGAATAATTCTTTCCACGGAGGGCAGGCACCGATGATACGGTGCCTTACACTCCGGCCCTATGAAAGGGAACGGATGCCGCCCGCAAAGAACAAGAGAGGTTTGCAGATGACACCGCCCCCTGCTCAGATTGTGCCACTATTAGCATTTTGGATAATGCCATGAAGAAGGGAAACATACATACCTATAGGGTTCTGGTGCCGGATCGACTATGGAATTCCCGGCAGAGCGCCCCTATGAAAGGGAACAGATGCCGTACACCCACCCGATAGAAAGGATCGGATGCCGTACATCCGCACACCCGACCCATGAAAGAGAACGGATGCCGCCCACGACAGTCTTGATGAGTCTTTAGACTGTATCTAAATTGAGCCAGTCCTTCACCAGTTAGTAATGTACGTTATAAAACGGGTTCGGGGAAAGCAGACATACCAATTGTCAAACCTCCCAACAGCCTTGCTTGTCCAATTGGACTCAAGGCCTGGTGATCATGATCACGGAGGCCAGGCCCACCAGATTTTATGGGCCTTCATGACCTTTGTCAGGGCACAAGGAGGACGACTAAACATTACTATTGGTAATAAGTTTAGGATCTAGGGGAGGGCTCATCGAGGAATAGTACATACCAAAGCCTTTCAGCTACCGACCAAGAATATGTCTGAGTAACAAAAGTCAGGATCAAAATCTACGGCCCAATGCACGCGCAGTACAAACCTGGGCCACCACCCACAGCCACCCCTATCACTGAAAGGAACTGTCAGTAAAATATAAAAAAAAGATATTGTGATGAAGGGGAGTTACCCCCACTACTCCAAACATCCGCATAAACTCCCCTAATATTCGAAATCAATATTGTGCATGTTGAAAATGGAATCGATACGATTCACATACCGGGCCTTCTCCTCACCGGCAACAAACAATTTGTGGGTCAGAATCCCCACACCAACAGCCACTTTGCGGCCTCCTACCACCACCGGCCGCAGATCGTTGAAGATCTTGATGCCTCCCGCCCTGGTAAGGCTGAGAGCCCACCCCAACGATTTCTCTGATTTCAAAGGGAATATGTTAGTGAACAAAGCAAACAACAGAGAACTCCGATAATTTTACTTACCAATGAGGTATCTGATTTTCCGAAAAATTCAAAAAAGGAAAACAAAACTCCCCTTATGGAGAAGGGTAGTGGACACAACAGTGTCTCGGGTTGTGCTTGCACCCCCCTGCAGGACCCTATGAGAGGGTAGAGCAATTGCCAGGGATCGGTGCTAAATCGAGATAATTACCAGTCATTAGCAAATGAAGAATAACGCAACTTCGGCAACCCATAGAACAATAAAAAAACAACAAGAAATGAAGATACACGATTGCAACACCAATAAAGAACGGGAAAAAAAATAAGAAAGAATAATTGAGGAGAGATAATACTTTACCTTAAATTTCCAAAGACACCCGGAGGATACGGCGGATCGTATCTTCCTTGATCCCCACCCCCCACTTAATTCCAATCGGGGAAGATGCACCCAGGCCCCATATCACCCACCCCACGAGGGCAAGGACCAATGATGGAGGCATCGGCAACGGTCGATGCTCCCCCACCTCCCGAATGAGGCGGTGTTTGTTGACCAGAACGATTCCGAGTGAGCGGCCGGGCCCCGCCAACCGTATCTTTAGATACTTGGTTGTTGACCACCCGCACGATGCTGGTGGGGACCCCGCTGAGACTCCCTGTTGGAGGCTGGTTTGTTGGCCAGAACGGTTCGGAGGAGGGATGAGGGGGGGGGGGGGCCTCTATGGAAGAGGAGCATTTGTTCCGAGAGTGAGGAGGAGGAGGAGGAGGAGGAGAGGGAGGATAGGAGAAGAGAGTAAAGTAATACCCTCGGGAGGAGAAAGGAGAGAAGTAAAGAGAGGAGAGGGAGGAGGTTAAAGAGGGGAAAGGAGAGAAGAACAAGAGTCGAATGGGGAGATGGTATAAAATTAAGGAGGAGGAGAAGGAGAAGGAGGAGGAGGAGGAGGAGGAGAAGGGTGGGCAGGTAAAGGAGGAGGGAGTGAGAAGAAGCAACACCAGCAAATTGGTGGAAGGAGGAGGAGAGGGATCGGTTAATTGTCGAGGATGATGCGAATCCTCTGACAATGGGACGGCGGGAAAAGAGGAAATTCATCATAGAGGATGATCAGATACCTCCCTTGATGAGACAGAGGGATGAGTATCGCGAGTCCTGCATTGATGAAGATGTAAGCTGGAACAAATGCTCCTGAACGCTTCTCTTTGATGATGATGAAAGTGGGGAGGAGGGAAGGAGGGAAGGGGAAGCAGGTCTAGGGGGAGGGAGAACACATCCGGTGAAGGTCCTTCCCCACAAGCTCAATCAGGGGTACCAAGAGGTCTTACACTAGGGCGGGCTCGGGAAGTACAAGCAGATATGGAATACATCAACGCAGACGGCCCCTGGAGGGGATTAAAGTAATGCGGAGGACCTCGACCTACTGATGCCATTATGGACATGCCTATATCGCCCCTTTATAACCTATCTTACAATTCCCACTGACCCTGATACAATCACCTTTCTGTACAGACCTTATCCATTCCCTCCATTCAACTCTTTCAACCTATTTGCCATAGTATAACTTGAAATATGACCCAGACACAAAGCTCCCAGCACACCCATATTCGTCAGCCACCCCCGAGCCGCACCTGCGTAACTGAGTGCATTGCAACTCAAGCAACATTCGTACGTCAGAGGGAGGTAAAATGTGACCGCAGGCACATATTTATGATCTGCGATGCAGCATTAGCACGGTGGCTCGGGTCGAACCGAGCTTGGCAGAGACATGGGTGTCTCCTAAAAGTACGACAGGATTTGATCTTATTTTAATAACTCTAACATAAATTAAAAATACTCTACTATTCTACTCTTTTCTAAGCAATGTTATTGGAGTTGTAGGGGTGTTCTCGCGGGGCCTCCACTGCTGATGGGCCCTGGCGGTTATATGGAAATGATCGTACTGCATGAATTCTTGACACAACGTAGTCGATCCTATTATCGATGTGAACCTATTTTAGAAGACCGTGGGAGAGCCTAATGGGTCTTCCCATCATTTTCAAACAGAAAATAAAGATAGCTTCTGCGTTCTCGTCCTACTTTCAACCAAGCTGAACTCTCCTCGCGCGGCGGTGCCAAGACGAGTGACCGGCTGTGACGCAGAGTTGCTCATCCTCTTCGATGAGCGCTTTTCCATCGCTCCCCTGATTCACTCCTCATTTCCCCCTCACGACGCTGACAGCTGTATAATAACTGATATAAGGAGATTTTAGCCAAATAGTAATAAACTCCAATGATTCTGCAATCGGCTGAATGATTATCGCAGCGCTCCCCCGAGCGTGGCTTTGCGGGTTAAGAGAGGGCGGAGAAGGGGGTGATGTTAGGAGAGGCATAGATATCGAACGGTCTTACAAATCTACTTGTCCGGTAAGGAGGAGAACAAGGTCTAATAAAAGGAGTCATTTCGCGCATAAGTGTGGTTGCCGAGGAGAGGGGAAGGGTCGGCGTTTGGTATACGGGAACGTGGTGGAACCAGAATAAGGTTCAAAATAAAGCCTCATAGTTTTCATTCACTTCCTGCCCTCCCTGCTGGTCGGCGCGCGGCGGTGCGGGTTCGGGGGATGACTACCCGCGGGAGACACGTAGCGTACTGCATTGTAAGCTGGGGAACAGAATCTATCAGGCTCGAGAAGGTGCGGGATCCGGTAGCTCACATAAAGGCGCACGTTGCCGTCGGGTGAATGGTGATGTAGCCAGGGAGGCCCCAGATCAGCGGTGGTCTTCACCTTCTGTCTCTCTCGGCCATCCACCTCTGATCCTTTTTGGCTTCCGCAACGCGCAAGTAAGGTAAGTTTCTTGCGCTACAGTGACCTTCAATGTGAAAGCTGATGGGGTGCTCGGCACAGAAGCAGTCTTTCATCCACGTCGTGGAGCATACACTACATTACACTCCACCCTGTTCCACTCCCCTGAGTCTCAACAACAAACCACACCTCATCAAAGTTAGTAAATAGCTATCCCACACTCCATCCAGCCCCCCAGTATTTCTCGCTAAGAAACCATAGGACCATCAAGATGTCGAACTACATCGGACCCGACGCCTATGCCGCTCTCCGCGACTACCTTCACCATGCCAAAGAAATCAGCGACGACCTTGGCAGGCTCCGTGCCGAGATCTTACACTTCGTTGCCCTAAAGCTCGAGATCTTCGAGAAATATCCAGAGCTGCTCCCGCGCAACAGACGCTCGCTACAGCGCGAGTGGGTGAAGCGTGGCGGCTACCTGTATAATGTGGCGAAGATGTACATAGCCGTCTCGGAGCGGCTCGGGGTGCTCAGGAGAAGAGAGGGCAGGATGCTTAGAGCTAGGTTGCAGTGTATCCAGTTGGAGAGGAACATGAGGAGGGAGATAACCATGGAAGCGGAGGCGGCGGAGGAGATGAGGTTGGAGAGGATGGAGATGGCGAGGAACGAGTGGAAGTGGACCCAGCATGGAAAGAACGAGAAGAAGGGGGAGAATCAGGAGGGGAACAAGAAGGAGGGGGAGAACTAGAATACGCATAGGAACATTAAGGGAGATGAGAAGCTGGAGCCTAGAGAGGTGATTGGAAGAAGGGAAATTGGGTGATATTGCTAAGTTCTGGAATAAATCTGCTTTTTCTTAAAAGTGTCGTAATTTCTAAAGATGTATGTCTAGTAGATGGAGGACCCTACCAGAGATATGCAGATCAGACTGCTGTGCTGTGTTCCCGGCAAAGTACCTTGAAGATATTACATGCCTTACCGCTCTCTTAGACAACCACTTTGTAACAACCACCTACCATATACATGTACTTATAGGGACCGTACACTACACATCGTAATTTTGAAGAGAACCCCTCTATCTCAAGCCCTTCCCTCACAAAAGCTAGGCCTACTGCCCTAAATCATCCAAATAATATGCGACATGACACTTCGATCCCAGCAGCTACATATAAAAAGCATCAAGAGGCGCACGCAGCAATACTGTGAACGAAATGAAGCTCCATGAGCTCGCCTCTTGTGGAAATCGAAGCTCTACCAACGACCGCGGGGTGTCCTAGTGGTAGGAGGTTACAATGATACACACCGCTCAATGGCCAGAGAGAATAGGCCTGGGGACCATGTGGGCATTCCTCACCTCTTCAAAATTAGGTTTCTCCAGCTCTGTAGGTTTGCCACCCAATGTACCGCAAGGGACAGGTTGATATGTGCTAGCTCACCCCCCAAAGATTGCTTACCCACGAATCTGTCTAGTAGGGGAGCTTCATGGGTAAACGAGTGTACCTGCGAAGCTTCAACCCTGCACCCTTTTCCTCATGGGTGGACTATATGCGTAGATACTCCGCTGCAGTCCGTTTCCAAAGGTTTAGTAGCTGTTGTTTAATCTACTACTAGTAAGGAAGATTTAGTAACGAGGGTGAGACTGTTCGAAAACGGACCCACCATCCGCCAGATTTCTCATCAATGATGAGCCCGTTCTCATGGGCTCATGAGAATGTCGGACCAACCATATTAATCAAGTCCGGTATCGCATAGATGCCACCATAAAAACTTCAATGGCCAGAATAACAGGCAGGTCAAGCTTTAGAACCAATCAAAACTGTAGGAAAAGGGTTGATACCACTGTCTCGAGACATCTCGGGACGTTTGCCTCAATCCTCGAGACCCAAAATCCCATGGGTTTCCGGGAAGGCTCAGCCTCATCCCCATCATCAGGAATATTGCGCTGAGGTAGGTGACATAAGCCCGTCAACATCAAGGTTTACCGCCCCGCTCACAATCCACCTCCAGCACACAAAACCAGCAATCACTACCGAGTAGCGTAGTGGTATAAACATCTGACATATTTCGGAGTGTCTGGAGTTCAACTCCGACCTGTAATGGATTTTAGGCACTACGATATATAATTGAGGGCCTCGCAGGTGCGTCATATTGTCCATACAGAATGGATAGACGCCTTACCACAGAGGAAGAGGGTTGTCCGACTTACTGTACCATGAATTTATTCCTCTGGAGGTAAGGGCGTAAGACTCCAGCTGTTTATCCTGTGCTACCCTTGGAATATCTTTCAAAGGCCTAAGGATAAACAGCTGGCGTAAGTCGATGCAGTTTTTTTGGAAAAATATGAAAATGCGAATATACTACTCTTTATCATTTTCTTCGAACCCATAAAAAGGCCCTAACTACTGTACTCACTTGTCCTTGTTTCTGTTTGGTGTCCGTTTTTCTTGCTGGTTGGGAATCTGAGACCCTAACCCTAACCGCTGATACCCGTGGTTCTTCACCAACTCTGGGTCAAATTTCGGATGGCAAGGAAAATATGGATGGAGGGAGGTAGTACTGATATTCAAGAAAGATGTAGTTTAAGTATATGAGCTTATTTCTTTGGGAGTGGATTCGTAGCCTAGAACGGATGGCCCACTCTACCACCGTAGAAAATGCATCAGGGCAAATGATCAGTAAATGCATCGAGTCGAGTCCGGAAAATGCATCGGTAATGCATCGATAATGGATCCCCAGTCCCAGGTAATGCATCAACTATGACCCGACCAGCAAAATGGGTGTATCCGGAATTGAATCAGGTAATCTATCAAGTAATGTATCGGCAAAGCCGTAGCCACTGTAGCACCCGGGAATATTAATGTATCAGGCAATGGACCAGGAAATGTATCGCGGGTGCGGTTGCCACTGAACGACTTTCTAGACGACTTTCCAACCGCTCTCCACTATATAGACCTCGTGCTGATGGGCGGGATCGAACTCCTACGGTTCTTAATACCCAACCCAGAGGTTACCATGTGCGCCATAATATTTATACAAAGGATAATATTCATGTACTACTGAAGTATAGGCATCTAGTGACGACTTTCCCTAAACATTTCCTGCGGGAAATCCGTCTGCAAAATCGTCTAGAAAATCGTTCAATCACAACTGCACCCGAGATACATTTCCTGATCCATTGCCTGATATATTTTATTCCCGGGTGCTAGATTAAACAACGACTTTCCCGATACCTTTCCTGATACATTACCTGACACATTTACTTTGCCAGCTACCACAGCCGGCACCAGACGATTTTCCCTACAATTTTAATGACAACTTTAGCCGCAATTTCGTCAGTAGAATCGTTGGACCGGCGATTAAACAGAGGCCTCGACGTGTAAGGCATCAATCGGTATATTTAACTGACGATTTATCTATGGGTAATGCATCAAATGGTGCATTTTTCGTGGTGGTAGAGCCATTAACCCTCAATATGATCAGGAGATACGAACATACGCTTGTACTGGTGCTCGGAGGCCGTTGATGTAATATGAACAAGAAGCAAGAACAAAAATCTGGTTTATGATTCTCATGATAGGGGTTCTTGCCATTCTCCTTTAGTTGTTTTATGGACGGTGGGAGAGCGGTATTCTAGTTATACATATCATAAAGGAGAATCATTCCACTAAAACAGGGGGTTAGTAGGGGGTATGACTGCGGGGCACAACTTGGCTAGTTCTAGTACTATCCAACGAGTGGAATGCCCAAAGCGGTAGACTTTGAAGGTTATCGGATTTCATCCATCACACGTTTTACCGGCGATCTGCACCTGCTTTACCTCCGCGTCTGGCCTCCACAATCGAGCTGGCTCCATGAGCATACTATTATGCTACACCATGCACCATCCTCTTTATAACACCTTGTACCTCGCAAAAAGTGCCATCATAGTATTCACATCATCCCCATTTCACAACCTCCCGCTCTGGTAGTAATGTTCTACTTCACACTCGACGGCCACGTCGAAAGGCCTGACGTCTCTCCGCCACCTGAAAACCTCCAACCTCCGGTTCCCATGCGGTTTGATGCACGTCCTCGAATTCCAACAACAATCACCGCAGAGCTTCAACAATGGCTAGTGCTTACCACTACACCGACAGTCCCGTACACACCTCCAGCGAACCTTAGATCTCGCGCTCATAACTCCTCCGCGGTGGTCACAAATGCGGGTACAGAGTGGCTAGTTCTCACTGCGAAGGCCGTTCTCCCTCCCACCAGCGCCGCACCCTCCACCTCCGAGCAGTCAAAAGCGACACCATCAGGAGAAGCCCTGGCAATGTTGGAGGATAGGATTCTAGAACCATTCGTCCCGCACCGTCAGAGGTCGTTCTCCAGCCTGTTAGCAACTGTAGTAGACGGTGATAAAGGGGAATATCAAAGCCTCGGTACCCTCCACCTCCGAGCGGCAAAAACAATTGCCGTCAGGAGAGGTAACCGCAATGCTGGAAGATAAGATTCTAGAACAGTTTGTTCCTCACCGTCAGAGGTCCTTCTCTAGCCTGTTAACAATTGTGGTGGGGGGTGATAAAGGGAAGAATATGGCGGGCGTGTTTTCGTGTGGGAAATGCTATGATATGGTTGGTGCCGGGGGTGTGTGCTTTGCTTTTCTCGAGAGGGCATTGCTGTCGCTTCATTGACACCTTAGTCGGATATGCCATGGGGGCGTTATCGTGGTACGGCATCTGTTTGGTGGTTTGCCGGATTGATCTTTTAGTTTTTAGTTAGCAGTAATGAGGCATTGATTCGACTAGCTGCAATCCAATTGACATATAAACTGTTGAAACGCTAATCTTTCCACGACGTGACTCGGTCTTTTGAAAATCCTTTTCTAGCTGGTTCAGCTTGAGGTTCCATATGTCATGAGCGCCATTTCATCCTACGCTTTCCATTTAGCTTTTCTACCAATTTAGAGCGTAATACTACCGACTACTACATTTTTCTTTTGTTCTGCCTAACCTCAGTCCAAACAGCTCAACAAACACAGCAAGCTCAGGATTCTATGTTCATCACCCTTCTCCCACTCCCGGCGTCATCGACATAGTAAAGCTCAGCTGCACGTACCTGAATAAATACGCCTCATTTACGCATCGTCCAAATAATTGTCTCAACATCCGACACCGGAAATATCCTCGTATTGCTTTCAGCTTATTTAATATAATCCCACTCATACCTTAGCACGCAAAATGTCCAACCTCCCGTTTCCCCGTACGCGCCCACCCTCGGCACTGGCTCCAATTGAAGAACACCCAGGCCAATCCCTCGACTTCGCAATCCACGACCTCCGGACCGATATCCTCACGCGCCTCGACCTGTTACGCCCTCAGCTCGAAGCCATCGAAGAGAAATACAACGAAATCTTCGAGAGAAGTGCCGACCTCCGGGCGTACGTCTTCCAGCCTGCGAAAATGTTCGGGCGTCTCCAGATCATCCTGCGACGGAAGGTTATTGTGGAGCCGGAGGAGTGGAGAACGGTGTTGATCCTGAGGGCGAATGTGACAAATATGTTGGAGGAGCTGAGGAATGCGAAAGAACTCCTGAGGACCGAGATTGACCACTTATTGTGGTCTTTGCCGAGGCAGGCGGATGTGGAGGGGCCGGGATATTTGAAGCCGTTAAGTGTGGCGGTGGTGTCTCTTGGTGCGGAATCAAACATATCTGTGTTAACCCTGGACCCGTTGGCGAGCACCGGAGGGGGGTGGATTTAACACACCTCCCGATTGTTTAGAAATAATACCTAGTAATTTTCGTGTTATGAAAATTCTTTGCTCTCCCCCGGAATATGGTCTTGGGGTCTCGGATTATGAATATTGATAGAGGAAGGGCAAGATGAAGTGCAATGCATGCATCCCGAGGCCTCCAATAAGAGGCCCTTGCCCAATGATGCGGTGCAGCTGTTCTAGTAGGTTTCGGCCATAAGATCCCACTCGGGAAATGGTCTTGTCAATCCTCAAGACGGTGATAACTGATACAAACCTACCAAGCGCTATGCCCGCCCATTGAAACTTAGAATCTAGCTAAGTTAACCGGTTTGGTAAGCAGAATAATATTTGTACCTTATTCTAAGTTTAGGCGCGCTCGGGGTCGTTTAGTCGGCTTGACAATTCCTTGACCATTGTTCTCCCAGGCTAGGTAAGAGTTATTAGTTCGATGCTGTCTCGATGATAGTGAAAACAACCACCAACCTTGAGGTAAGAGACCTGAGGATTTTTTGACGGTCCTAACAGAGCTTCTATATTTGTCTTTGCGTCACAATCTCATGACAGACATATACTGTGGCCCACTATGTGGTAAGGTTTAGGGTGCTAAGAATCCTCCTAGCCATTCAATAATCTATTGGCCTATCTTGAAAGTTAAAAGACGAAGTATACCCAGGAGATATTCGAGGTACTCTGTGTGTAACTTGAACCCTAAGGCCGATATAAAAAGCGATATAAGAACTACTGTCATCCCCATCATCATCAGTATCCCATCTCCAACCAAGCAAACAAGACTCCGAATCCGCCATTAAATACTAATAGTCTAGATTATCAATATTACGCCCTATACAATAACGATGGTAGATATATCTTCCAACGATTCAGAACCCACCTTTGACAACCATATGGGACGTATTCAGCGTCTCAGGAGTAAGATGGAAGACCTCCGGTCAACACGCAAGCTTTGCGAGGAGGACTGTGTCATGTGGGACCGTATGGTATACAATCCTGAGGGGTTCCGTGAGACTATAAAGGGTATGATCAAGAAAACTATCATCTTGGATGAAGCCGAGTGGGAGAGATGTACCCGTCAGAAGGCAGGATTGACAGCGAGAATTAAGGAAATCAATGAGAGGTTGGTGTTGCTGCAGGGGAAGATGGATCGATTGTTATTAGGATTGATGCGTAGAAAGCCCGCAGCCGGTGGAGAGAGCAGCAATCTGGCCGAATAGTTAGGACTTACTGATATGCATCTAGACATGGAGTGCAGGGGGACGAGGAACGCTAGACTAGATTAACTCAGCTCAATAGACTGGGACTTACCGAATTACCAGACTTGACCTCGTTCAAATATGAGACATGCGCCTTCAGACCTCCGAAACGCCTATTCAGTTCTGCTATCCCGCAACTCATTTTGTACGTTTTTCAAGCTTCTAACGTTTTAGACAATTGTCTCACAGACCCGAGCTTTCAAGACCTTAGCTCTCATTTGATAAACACCTGTTCCTTTCTTACTCCTCTGACAACCTTGGGATTTCCCGTGGAAAGATGTTATACTAGCATCATCGCGTTTGCTATTGTTCGGATTAAAATATCTGCGGATCGTCTTTATGTTGGCCTTTGTCCTATATTTATATGCTGCAACCCTATGCATGTGGGTACACCTCTCCGTTTACTTGTGTTTTGATACGAGAAGAAAATTAAAGACCCTGCCCTCCTTTTCTTAGCTACCTTTTTGTTAAACTTTCAACTTTTGAATTATCTATTTTCACAATACTGAACCTACTACTATGGCAGACCTTACTTTACTATGATGTGGTCGATAGCGTACTGAAAGGTCCAGCAAATTCAATTTTCATTTCTGGATCATAAGATTCGTTCCGGTCGATCATATATTAGCAACAAAGAGATCACTCCTCAGGTTCAACTTAGTGAGCTCTGTCCGAATATACAAAACGGAAGTGCGGAGAGAATAGTCAGTGTCACCAAAATAAAAGATAGAAGACTGCTGTCATTATTACTCTAAGGGTTTTGACTGAGGGTAGAAACCAATGCCAAGACCAAACACAGAATGTTACGGCCATAGAATGTTACCGCCTTAAATACCGACTTATTTCACCGAGCATTATTTTTATATCTTTCCCTTAGTCTCTATTCGTTGTCTCCAAGGTATCAACTCACAAGGAAAAGATGGATACAAAACATCACAGCACTGATGGCAATACCAGTAAGTCCATCCAAGAACCATAACTTACTTTTCCAAATTCTAATAAAGAGCAGCTCGAAATGGTCTGAGCGGGACCCCAGTGAACAGGCCACGGACACGCCGGACTCCACAGCACACGCGGCATGCAAGTTTCTCATCTCGCGGTAAATTCTCGATGGACCTCAGTGCTCGACTGTCACGAATTAGCATCAAGCACGACAGACCCAACGCACTTGACGGAATACCGCGTATGGGGCACCGTCTATCGCAGAGATCAAGCAGGAACAAAAAAGCCGCTTACGGCGTTGATGCAAACGAATTTACCTCCGCCCTCCGTGCTAAGTTGGAGAAAGTGCAAGAAGAGCAAAATGTGTTGGTGGAGGATGATCCAGCGCAAAGCAGGATTCTTCGTTCTCGTCTCGTCAAGTTGGTAAAGGTTCGCGAAGATCAAAGGTTACTCGAGGAGAGTGATTCCATGGCACCTGCTCTGTCCAGTTCGCATCCGGTTGTCAAAGGTAGCCTCAGTGCTCAACCAAGTTGGTTACCTCTTCTGAGAATATTAATTCCTATACTAATGATAATTGGATAGGCAAAATGCTCAAAGATCATAAGCAGGATGATATTGACGCTGCCAAAAAGGCGCAAGCCAGCAACGATAACAACAACGAGCCAGAAGAGTTTAACAGCATCGTTGTCCGACATAAAAGAGAGACAACTCTCAGCAGTGCAAATAAAGCGAAGAAGGAAGATCCTACTCCCACCCGCCACAAGCACACCACCGGATCCCTGTCCCACACTGCGGAGAAACAGCTTACGATCCAACCGGCCGGCGATAAAGATGGGGGAACCTCCAAAGAAAACGTGAGAGTGACCCGGGCCGCTGGAAAAAAACAAATACACGCTACTGTAGGAAAGACCCGCGCCACTATGATAAAACAAACCCACGCCGCTGGAATAAATCAAACAACCCGCGCGTCTACGATGAAGCAAACCCGCGCTGTTGCAACAAAACGACCCACCCTCGCTACTACGGTAGAGCAAACCCGCGCCGCTGCAACGGAACAAAGCGGTGCTGTTCCCACAGAAGCCACCGCCGAAACGGAAATGGAGAGTATCGCCAACTTTACTTGCAAATGTGGATCCGACTACATCCTCCTCGCCAGATTCCTCAAGCATCAGAAGACGTGCACGATGGGTATGAAGAAGCTTCATTAAGATGTGACGATCCGCCAGGTGCTCCTGGGGTGTGAAGAGTTTTGTTTCACTTTGTATGTCGCTCTTTACCCTACCTTAGCTAGTGTTGCGCTTGGTTTACGTTTTCGTTCCTTTTTCGGTCATGTTCATCATTCCCGTTCGGTTTTACAATGCCTTTTTATATCCCAGCTCACTTTATTCTCAACTTTCCTTTACAATCCCCCGATAGAAAAATGGCCATCTGAGTAGATGAGAGAAGATGAGAGGGAGAATCTATTGTATCATGTCTTCGTGTATCCTACTTTATCATGCTATATGCATATTCAATTGGTTCATCTACAATAAAACTGTCTCTACTTATAGTTATCGCAGTGCTTTGTTAACGCCTTTCATATAGCCACCCTCGTAGTCTAGCATGAGAGGAAAACAAACATTACAGCATCAAAGATGGTAAAAGAGGTTGGTCTACATGTAGGTTCCGGTCAATTCTTGTCGCATAATACAGTTCATTATTTACATCACCCCGGGAGAGACCATGGTCGAAATTCTCGTGAGCCAGGGGAGCTTCATCTCTTCGACGGTGTATCAAGAACATCACAGTTTGATATCCTCAATTTTAATTCTATTTCATCACTTTCAAAGCTCGGATCTCGGAAGTGGATAGGTCTCGGCTTTATATTGTCATGTATGTCACTCGGAGATTTCCGGAAACTGGATAGAAACATTCACTACTTCAGATGAGAAGCAAAAACTCGGAATGTATTCTCACCGGGTAGTCTAAACAGGATCCGGCGATAATCAGCAGCATGGATCACGTAAGCACAGGTTTTCGGTGGTCTTTCAACGCTGCATTACACAGCTTACGCTTTGATACAAAAAAACGCCGATCTTGAAATTTACGAATCATAGAGTGTCACACGAATCTATATCGACATCCTCCTCCACACTCTCAATTAATGTTAAAAAGCAGATGGAAGCCCCCGCTAAAGGATATGTGGCTGCCAAGCCTCTCATATAAAAAATGCACCCCGTAGTATAAAATAGAGAATAGAGCCGTACATCATAGTAGGTTGAGTCCCGAAAAGATGACAAGGCTTGTAGAGAATATTCGTTTTGGTTCAAAAGATACGCTAGTCGACGTCCGATTAACCCTCAATATTCTGCCACCTCCGTAAATACATGTAGCCCTCAGAAGACTGAAGATAAAACAAAAGATGAACATGGATTCTCTCATCGGGGAAGCATATTACTAACGCCATGAATTAATGCTCAAAGCTGTAGTCACAGCTACCCGCTTTTGCGTGCGGGTACTACTTTCAAAACATACTTCGGGATCGGGTTAGACTGCCAAGCCATTGAGGCTCAACCTTCGGACCTTATGTGATGATAAGTTAAGAATATTGGTTCCTGATCTTACACAGGATGGAGTTGCGTGAGTAAAAAGGCCACTTGTTCTATGTAAGTTGATATTAGGTAGTGGACATTAGCGTATTCTGGCCTAGTCCCTTATATTAGCTTTCATTTCTAGTTGCGGCGTCTGACCTCCGCGGACTAAAGATCAACCGCGTTCTGCTGATATGTTTTTTCGGGCTCCTTAGATCTATGTTTGGAGTGTAGTGATTTTACGGGAATTCCTTCTTTCTCAATTGAAAATGCCGAGGTGATGCATGTAAGCAAGAAATATGTTCCTGCGAGAAAGGCAACCAATACGGGATGTATTCACACCTCCGGGTTGGCAACTCCCGTTACGCCTCGAGAGGAATATCAAGGGGAATCACCCCTTCCTCGCGCACGAAGAACAAACCGTATTTGGGAGCGAATTGACAGGAGAGAGAACGGTTCTGGAAGTGAAACTGCCGAAATCTAGGTCCAAAAAAGGTCAAGTGGGTCACCTCCAGCGTACCCAGTAGAGCCTGAATCAACTCCGTAGGACTCTACACCAGTCCCGGAGTAAACCAGGAACTGAAGCAAATGCAGCCATCGGCAAATTACAATGCCCCACAACATTTCTCCAATATGCAGGTACGTCGGATTTCAACAGGGATCAAGTTCAACTTGCTCTCCCTAAAGGATATCTCCCTAGCTTGGTATAATAGAATGCTTGGTTGCTCCGTTGCCCTGGTGATGGACCCTACGGAACACCAGCTTGTCCCTATAGAGCTATGTAAACAATCCCCTCGCCGGAGGACAAGGTCCAGAGTAATTGATGTCTGAACAAGATCGTAATCAAGACTGCTCAAAGTATTTAACCTCCTACTCATTCCAGTATGCAGCATCCACTATGTCCGGCAGTGGTACACCTTTTGACCTAGTATGAGGCATTTCTCATCTCACGAAAATAGCATACATTTTCTACCTCCAGCTACCAGAAGCCCCCTCTAGTGCCAGTAAACAGATGGCAGAGCCCACCCTACATTCAATGACCCTCCATAACTCCAAGTCTCTTCCACTACTCCTCTCTCCCCATCAGACGAGTTGGCAGTTGACTACTTCACAGTATCATCATGGAGGAGATCGACTTTACTCCCAACGCCAGAGTCAGATACCTGGGTGAAACCCGTGGCATGTGCCCAGAGCAGCACTCTGCTCTGGAGTTTGTCGCCGAAACGATTGTGCAGGTTGCCCGAGAAGCTGGTTGGTGAACATCAGATAAAGACATGAATAAAACACCAGATTATTGACAGTGGTTTAGCGAATGGTGGCATACCCTATCTGGAAGGTCCATTCGCGGCGAGATCATTCGTCAACAGATATCGCCTTCAAGCTGGCATGGATCGTATTACAGGTATATTGCAATTATGATTCACCTCTCTACTTCGTGTGCTAATGATATGCAGGCCATATCACTGACAATTCGTCGGTCAACTCGATGCCAAAGAAATATTTGGCAAACGGGGTCTCCGCCGGTGAGCAGGGCCAAGGCTCTAGAAATGAGGCCTCATCTCATCAACGTACCAGTAGAGGGTCCAGAACTCATAGCTCGGATGATCAAAGCGGTGAGCTTCACCTCTAATTTCCTTTCTCAAGAATACTCAAAGAGTGCTAACCTCAATCTGCCAGCATCCGACCACCCTAGGGGTGAAGGAATGAGAATCCGCGGGATAGCCAACGAATTTTCATTTGGCCATGAGAGAGACGTGAACTCGTTCTCCACCAAGCCAGGGTGTTCCTCGCCAACTCTCAGTAGCTATGAAGAAGAACCTAGATGGGAAGGTGAGTAATTATACTAACTCAAAGATATGATTATAGTGGTTACTGACCTCCAACCTAGAGTCTTATATCGCTCATCATTCCTCTCCCCCGATGAGGCAGCTCCAGGTTCCGGAAACATACATGAGCGACGAGCGCCCCGTCAATAGGAAGGGAAAGAAGGACCGCCTTTCCCATGGTAGCAAGCGTGTTGCTGTTATTCCGCATTGTTGCAGGTGCTTGGAAGAATTTCCCGATAAGGACACGATGCACAGGCATGTCCGTAATGGGGTCTGTCGACAAGCAGAGTATAACAGGAATCGTCGTTACTAGACTACGCAGCTGTGGATAAACGGTACGGCTCATCAAATTTGGTCAAGTTCGTTTGGTCGTTTTGTCTTTCATGTTATTCCGCTGCTGTACTTAGTCGTGTTTGGTGTAACGAGCGAAGGTGCTCTAAATAAAATCGTACACAAAGAATGTCCGAGATGCAGAAGGAAAAGAAGAGAAGCCCGGTGAGTTGACGTTGTATGTGCGATGAATCAGATGCCACGTAAGCAGCTATTATTCTACCAGCCCGCATGAATCTCTAGCAAGTTCCGTTCTAGATGCAATTACGTATGCCGCGGTCCCGAGCTCAAAGCTGTCTCGCTTGTCGGAAATTCAGTCTAAGGAGGACCCAGGCTCTTTCATTTGTGCACATGCTCTACGATTAAAGTACGATCACAGTGTTTTTCCTCTCCTCTTGACAATGTCTGTGCTCGCAGGGCGAAATAAAATCTACACAGCTCTGCGATAAAGTGAATTTTAAACAACTCTATCCCTCCCCCGCTAGATGCTAACATAGGCAGGAGAAATCGGTACAATGCTTTAATCACAAATTTCTTTATCTATATTCGATTGAACACCCAAAAAATTTAAAAGATTATACAATTCTCAAGGGCCGACTCTATTCCTCTTGTAATCCTGCGCGTCAGCTGTACTCTGGGAAAATAATGATCGCACGGTAGCATTAGAGCAGATCCTTTACTAATGACCGATTAATCTAGTTTTACTTTTACCTTCCGGATTCACCATGCTATGCTGCGCATTCGCCCGCAAAGCCGTACCTCATGGATCATCACTCGTTCTTGGTGTTCGGGACTGGAGCTTTGAAGGTACGTGTTCACTACGTGGTATCTCAAGTATCCAATAATGACACTGTAAGAGTTATAATAGCAAGTGGGGAAATTAGCTATCACCATACACCAGCCAGGGGACCCTCCGTCCTTTTGACCTCGACTTCGCTGTAACTGTACTCGTATTTCTTATCCTGCCTTCACGGCCCAAGGTACATCAAAATGGTTTCTCCTACTAGTCATGTTCTTCCTGAGCTCTACCCGCCTGAGGCTTCCGAGACTGCAGTCACCAATGACGCTCCACCAAAAACTCCATCCACTTCCCCGACTCTGGGTGTCCTCCCAGTACTCTACCCGGCTGAATCGTCGGGCACTGGAGTCACCGGGAACGCCGCACCAGAGGCTCCTCTCACTGTCAGAGAGTCTCTTCTTCCCGAGTTTTTGGAACCCCAGCCATATCACTCATATCCGGAATATGCTCCTTCCAAGTATTGGGGGGCTATTCCACGTGAGCATCCAGAGCTCCGGCCATACCTTGCACATGAACCCTCCACCAACGAAGAGGGGCTTCTTCCGGAGTATCCGAAACCCCAGCCACACCCGAGAAATGCTCACTCTACCCTCGGGGAGGCTAATAATGCCCCACCAGAGGCTCCCTCCACCGACGGAGAGGCTCCTCTGCCCGAGTTCCTGGAACCACAGGAGTATCACTCATATCCTGAATATGCTCCTTCCAAGTACTGGGAGGCTATTCCGCGCGAGCATCTAGAACTCCGGCCATATCTTGCACATGCATCCTCCACCGAAGAAGAGGCTCTTCTGCCGGAGCATCTGAAACCCCAGCCATATCCGAAATGTGCTTCCGCCACCACCGGGGAGGCTAGCAATGCCCCACCAGAGGCTTGTTCCACTCACAGAGAGGCTATCATGCCAGAGGACCTGGACCGTCAGCCAGACCCTGAACATGTTGCATCATCAAGCAATCTATATTTGCTGAACACTCCCACTAGCACTATCAACAAAGCTGGTGAAGAGCAACCGGCGCCAGAGCCCTTTGTAAAGAGGGGCGCACCCAGTCGTTTGCACCTAGTGGGTGAGAAAACGGTGCTAAGGTGCCCAGTTGCTTGCGGGAGGATATTTAGGGATGACACCGCGGAGGGGGCAAGGAATAAGTTGATCAGCCATACGAGTTACTTCTATAACCAGGTTAAGATACATGAGAGGGATGGGGTCCCGATTATAGATAGTATGATGAGGCATGCGGAGGCGCATTTGGAGCAGTTGAAGTGGGCCAGTGAGTATATTTCATATCTGTAATGCGGGGCGAGAATGTGGGTTTGGAGGGGTTGCTAACGGTGTACTGCAGGAGCGGGAGAGGGTGCCGGGGAGGTTTAAGAATACGGCGAGGAGGGTGGTGTATGGATAGATTGTATTGGTAGGGGTGCGGGTGTATGCAGGTGCATGACTCCGCAATGAGGGGTTTGTTCTAAGTCTTAGTAACTTGGCGGTCAGAACAGTGTTCGACTGAGCACCCAGGGTCAGGAGGTTTCTTCTGAGCACGAGATGCTCATAACTATAGAAATGGGATCCTGAGAATAGCTCACCGGATCCAAATATTTGTACTTGTATTTATGTGTATTCACCCAACGGCCAAGAGGTTGAGCATTTCATAGCTATTACAATAATGAAATCCCACCACCAGCAGTAATCTGTGCAGCGGGTGACGAGCCCTCAAGCATTTGAGTTTATCAATTCCATATATTTCTTCACGCTTCGGTCCTATCATTTTAATTTTTTCACAGTCATGGTAGAGATATGGGGAGTATAATAACAGTAATTGGGGCATGCGCTATTGTTGTGCTTGCGTGTTAACACGCTGTACTATCGACACGGGCGGGACGTATTCTTCGGAGGAGAAATGCAAATTACACGTAGATGTGGTTAGAGGGGGGCCTCCAACCTCCATCCTTTCATTTCCCAGGTCCACCAATGCCCAGAATCCATTGTCTCTTTCCTCCAACAGTCTGACCTCCAGCCTTCCCACATTCCCAAAACAGGTGTGCCATCTCGCCAACATCTGAAGTTTCAGCTTGAACCCTTCGCGTGATAGTTGAAACCTCGATACACCAGCAGCCTTTCCGGACTTTCTATCTCTGTTGACGAAAAACAGGTTCCCATAACAAAACACACTCACCAACGCCACCATGTCAAGCAACTCTGCCACCCGCCCCGTCTTCCCCGAGTTCAACCTGCCCCCCACCGGACACCCCCCAGGCACCCGCGACACCGCAACGCAAACCACACCCACCGAATCAACGAGCCCGACTGCCAACAAAGAGGACTCCCCACTCCAGCCTCAACAAAGAGAACCGTACTCTAACGCAGAGCTGTACAACGGCACCCTCGCTCCCAACAGGCCTAGCACAGCTACAGCCGCCGGGAGTGAGACCTGGCCTCCTCCGCCTGAGTTAGCGGAGCTAGACGAGCTCCTCTGCCCGGTCCCGCGCTGCACGGAGACCTTCATGCGCGGCGATAGCAAGGCTTTGATGGATCACCTGCGCGGTTACTGGGCGCGTGTGGAGGAGGTGCGCAGGCGCGGGGTGCGGCCGGGTGTGTTTGAGGAGGCGCATGCGGTGGCGTATTATCTGGAGAGCAGTCTTGACGGTATGTGTTGTCTTGGTTGGATCTTGAGCTGCGGTTTGCTGAGTTGAGTTTGGTTGGGTTGGGTTGAGGGCTAACGTGTGGTGCGGCAGAGGAGCGACAGGACGGTGGAGTGCGGCGGCGGGAGGATGGGGAGGAGAAGCGGCGGGGTAGGGAGGCTTGGGCGGGGGAGGTGGACGGTGGCGATGAGCGAGGGGAGGGTGGAGATAAGGGAGGGGAGGTGCAGTCGTGAGGTGGAGTGAGAGATGCTGAGAGATGTTTATTACGACTACAGCGCTGGAGAGGTATCAGGGATGAGGGAGTGGTGTGCTAGTTTGTTGCGCTCTTCCCGTCAGTAGTTGACATAAGACGCCTATGATTCGATACAATTGTTCATTTTAATGAGAGAGTACTCGCGCGTTCATCGCGCGCCCCGCCAAAATCATTGACCACGGACCACGAGGGCAACGAAATTGATCACGAAGACAGCCAAAATTACCACAACAAAAATTTGAATAACAAAATAAGTAAATATATGAATAGTAAATTGAATAGTTTTAACCTGGGGATAAATTCTTCCCTTTCTGCCTCTCACATTCTCTTGATCTGCTATTGATCTCCTCAATGAGATGGTTTGTCTTCTCCATAGGAATAGCATTCCATTCCACTATCCAGGCTCTCTTTGCCGCCTCTTTGGTAAAAGGAAATGGTCTTCTATCTGATATCTTCTTTCTAATCATATTCCAAGCAATCTCGATAGGGTTGAAGTCAGGTGAGGCTATTCAGTGTTAGTGCAGTGATTCTTGGATTTGATATCAAGAGCGCGGGCTTACAAGCTGGCCAATCTATTTTCTTAATACCCATTTTCTTATAATACTCTTGAACATGATGGTGACAATAGGCGCCGGCTCCATCCTCTATTAATATAATTTCGCCTCTTTCTCCTATTGCTTCTGACTCGTTCATTTTCATATAAAAAGGGTGAAGAATTGGTTTGATGATTTTTTCTGTATAGCGGAAACAATGAATTCCTCCCTTTTAATTTTTTACCCTAGTGAGCTGCTTTTTATGGTTTGCTGGGTTTGGAGGACGGCCTCGAGGGCGTTGGCCTTTAGGGAGAGTTTTCCGCCTTTCTGCCTCTGCCTTTCTAAACTGACTAGCTGCCTTCTCAACTGATGCGGGCTGAAATGACAGGATAGTAGCTGCCGCCTCCTTCTCTGCTTCAGCTCCTTTTTCCCATATGAAATATGGACAGTCCTTGCATGCCACATTATATATGATCGCTCCCCAAAACATGATTTGGACCTGTGCAGGCCTTTCCCGATCAACACATTCATCATCCCATTTCTCATTGCCATTTCTGATAACACGTTCGGGGCCATAATGTGCCCCTACTATCAGGTACATCTCATCTGTCCATATCCACCCATCCCAGGATCCTGCGATAGGCTTATTTTTGAGTTTGACAGCGAAATTGTATCGGGCTTCGATATTTTTGACACTTAGGTTTGGCTTCCGACATGGAATGTGTTGACGATAACCTGCCTCCATCAATATTTTGATAAATCAGGAAGTAGAAATCTTGAAGGGGCATTCACGAGCCAGATGGGTGAATGGTTTCCGCCGTTGTGATCCGTCGCGTGTCGCGAGTTGAACCATGGCCTGTCGTTGTTCTGAGTTGAACTTTTGAGGGCGACCGCGATTAGTAACAGGGTTTAGGTTTGGGTCAGGGGTTGGATCGTGGTTTTCTTTGTTCTCTTGGGCATTTTGGATCGCATGTTTATAGATGTCGCTAGCAGTTTGAATTGGTACTCCGATTATTCTTGCGATTTCGTGATATTTATGCCCCGCTGTCTTCAGTGCGATGACAGCACCTCTCTTGCCAAGATCTGTGTGAGGATGTCCCTCTCTTGACCGCTTAGCCCGCCTACGAGCACGGGGCTTAACCTCTGCCTTTGATTTCCCCCCAGCCATTTATTCGGGCTGGTCTCGGCGTTGTTGGTTGCGTGCGTGGTCAAAAGTTCACAAGTTTTGGCGGGGCGCGATGGTTGTCATCCAGCTTTTCCGACCATTTAATGAACGCGCGAGTATATGGTATTAGTCAAAGTGTAATTGCGTTAGGGTTAGGTTTTCTCTAGAATATGAATCTCGCCCTTGCCTGAGTTTACATATATTACATAGAAAGTAGCGAGAGTTGTATAAAGGCAGAGCATTATCGCACAATTCTTGTAGATTCGATGATGTTATCAGGAATAATTTCCATTACGTTATATGTTTTGCAAAGAATATTGCAAAAGAATATACAACTCGGATGTTGTACAAATCCCACCCCTTCTACAATCGAAGTCAACGTACAACCTATCCTCGGTGTGCTGCGAGTGTGTGTTTCGGGCCGGAAGTTGTATACTACTCCCGGGGTTACCACGAATGCCAAGACCCCCGCCCACCCGCCGACACCACCGCTACCCAAAACACTGCGTTTCTTTTCTTTTGTACATTTTCTTCTGCTTGTGGATTGTACTTCTTTGAGGGATTCGTTTGCTTTTCTTTTCTTTTCTTTTCTTTCCTTTTCTTGCTCGGGGTTAGGTTTCTTTACGCCATAGTGTAAACTGCACGTGGCCATTCTGTACCTAGAATCAGAAATGAAATGACTTCACACACAGACACACACACCACGAATGCCAAGACTAGCTGATAAGATTAGATGCACAGCTTATCGGATCTCACTTAAAAATTTGCATCCCACCCGTGGGGGAATAAATATCGCACACAACAATAAAAACTCTTCCTATCTTTTTGAACTGAGAAAAACGACTTTCTTCCTCGCATCCCCGTATACCCACCATATCGCCTACAACTATCAAACCAAAGCCCTTACAACATTTTAATTCTTACCTTTGTCCCCATGCCCATGGCCTTACCGACCTTTTGCGCCTACATCTCAGCCCCTTCGGAGGGTGGGGTTCCTTTGGCATTTGTGACAAATAAGATGTTATCGTTTCCGTTCTCTAAGACGACAAAGGGACTTCAGCCCCACGAAAGATGCGTTCAATTTTAGAGTTACAATCATGGCGCGTTCGGTGACTTCCTGATACTTCTTGTCCTCGCTGCCGCTATGGATTATGAACAATATCATCGTAGGGTGGGGTTCCTTTGTTGATGGAGAGGAAGGAGAAGTTTTATTTCCCGTCCCCAAAAACGACAAAGCGGCTTCAGCCTCACAAAACGATGCGCTCAATGTTAAAGCTACAATCATCTCGCCTTTAGTGACGTTTTGGTACTCTCATCTCGGCTTTGGTTATAAATGCAATCTTCGCAGGGTGGGGTCCCTTTGTGTCTTTTGACTGGGTGGAGTTCGAATTGGCTAGTCGAGTGATGCAAAAGAACTTCAGCTACACGAACGGTGAAATCTACATTCCCAATAACCAGATAAGTGTTTTTTGACCACCATATGGGGTTATCTGTGGGGCTAGAAAGCGAGAACGCCGCGACATTTCCAATCGATAGGGCTCTTTTTTCTCTAGCCCCAATTTAAATGGCTCAAGATGACTTGATCCTGTGAGCAGAGGCCTTCATCCCCACGACTTATACTATACTGGATCTGATCCGGTAATTAAGCTGGATGATCGCAGTCTGTAAATTCTGGCCACAGTTTCGTATCCGAGTATGGTCATCCAGAGGTTGGGCTTCTGCCGTACTGCTTCCTTGGGGGATAGCGGTTTTCTCGCATTCATCAGACAAAAGGAGTTTTGCCTCATGAATAGGTAACTCTCCGCCACCGTCCCCAGTCTTGAACGGTAACGTTCTCCAACTTACTCATAGAGTTGAGCCCGCGGACAAAGTTTATCCTGAGGTTTGGGCGCTTTTGTCGGCTTTGAAAGGGGCTCTGGGTTGGTAGTAGACTCATATATAACGACAATGGAACTTCAGTGTTATGGATTGTCACCTTTTTCGACTAGAAATCTGAACGAACTTCATCTATCTAGTAATTATTAGTGACGTCTTGTCCCTCCATATAATGTGGATTAGGAATGCTTGGAGGGCGGACCCCGCCCGCCGTACCATATACCTGTCAAGCCGTGTCCTACAGAGCTTGTCTGTATTGGGGATCTACTTCGATCTATCCATCATATCTCTGGCAATTGTCAAAAACCCAACGTAAGAAAATTACTATTGAAGGGCACCTTCCGATCTAGTTCTGTTTCCTGAAATCCTACGGTCTCTCTCATGAACAATGTGCTGCAAGGTGATAGATATCCTAGCGCAGCATTCAGTATCTAGGCTGCCTTTCTGCCCAGTACTCTCGAACACGGTTTGGTGTCCGGAACCTATAGTCTTTGGGGTGCATATGATGGCCGTACTATTAATCTCTATCTTATAAAATGGCATCGCCTCCTTCCCGGCGTAGACCCCAATTATCTATTTTCCACTTTTCAGGAAGTCGAGTCGGATCTTACCACTATACCAATTCGGAGGTCCGGTATCTCGACCTGTTCCCTAACAGGCGGTCATTATACCATCTGCTGAGAGAACCAAGTCACATTGTCTTTTATCAGGCTTCTCGAACTCCGAACCACCTGTCTATATTTATTTCAATTTCTACATGTACATACTACGAAACTGCTCTTCCATCGCTATCACCCAGAATACCCGTGTTAACCTCTCCTACTCAAGATTCCCCCACTACCCATTGACTATAAGTTATTTGTTTATCCGTTTCTCTCCCCGTGAAAACTCATTACTAGCTCCGAGTCTTCCAGGCTATATCTAGGATCCGATGTTCGGGCCCGAGTTTGTGTTGAGTCAAATCGGACCACGCTTCAACCACCAGCAGAACATAAGGACATACACACACGTATCATGTCATATGTTCCGTGGTAAATGCAATGTGTGCTCTCAACACGCTGCGAACTATCTAGATGAATCATTTTTCATGATACCTAACACACCATATCAGCAATATTTGCCGTTATGTACTCCTGTGCATTGCGTTGATATCGGATGATCTCATCTCTCCCGCTTATTCCCTTCTGTGTGTAAACGCGAGAACATGCTAATTGCAGCCAGACCAGGGCAACGGTGAGACAAGCCAAGCTCCGAGAGCATAAGCGATGGTATCGGCCAAGACAGCGGCTACCGCCGGAACGCTTTCAAAATATACCCGTGACGCTTGGCCAACGCTGACCAGGGGAGCCCTGAGGACTTCTCCTCGATTTAGCTTCATCTGTCGCGAACCGTACTCTAATTGCGTCAGAACCCTATTCGAAATATTAAATGGGGGTGTGAACGTTTATGACAATGGGATCTCACAATTCCTGGAACTGCCTCGATCAATTTAGACCATAGTAGATTAACTGTGCTGAGAGATCCCGTACAACAACAGCAGCTAGGATTAGTGGCACCAGGAACTGAACATAATTCATATCTTGCTTTTCTACCATTTCACAATTCAAAAATCAAAACATAGATTCAAAGATAATCTCCCGTGCCACATATTTGTGTATCCTAGATATCCTTTGAATAACGTATCCGAACTTGAGTATATGCCGGCCCCGCCTTACTGGAGTAGCAGTATCAAGGACAAGTTCGAGATCTCCCAAACCGATTGGCTTCCCAAGACGGAATTTGCCGCCACGCGGTTCTTGGCGGGCTGGGAGTTCTTGGCGCACTAGCAGAGACGAATTCCCCAGCTAATAACATTTTCGATGAAAAATATCATTTTTCTCGAAACAGTTCGGGGAGGCTCCTAACAGGTTCTTTGCCATTTACGAAGAGTATGGGTGGTGTAGTGCGCGCTTATAAGAACTTTGGTATGGTGTGTGACAGTTTTTATAGATCCTGATGGAGTGTCCGTGACTCTGGGATGATCGATATGGACACACCTGTGTGGACCAGTAAATAGAAGAAAATTTAATCCTGATACACAAACAGCGCTGAGACCCGGTGCAGCCATATCAAGTCATAGGGACCTGTATGACAGAATGGCCAAGGCGCTAAAAATCTAATTCTTCCTACTTATCTGTTAGTATTGTTCATTCTAACGATAGGAAACATATTCTTTTCAACAGTCAACATCAGTAATCAAATACAAGGGAGATGGTGGTGACTGTGTTGCGGCAGTGAAACTTACTTTCTAATCGGTTCTCTAAGTATCACTATCTTCCGGCTCAGATACTACAGCACACAGTAGGGTGATCGGCCTTTGCCCACACCCTCTAGTTTCCTTCTGTAGACATTTTATCCAAGGCCATAGTTTCGTACAAACCCGCCCGTATCCCATGACTACACGTGTTTTAATCTTCCTACCCCATCCTGCAACTCTCTGTGTTCTGATGTTCATTTCCTCCAACTCCTTGCCCAATCCTTTTGCTTTCGATTTTGCCAATAACAGATGACCCTAATCAATTGCCAGTTGGCTGAAATGGCGAGCTCTAATGCGTGCTCTCGGGTTATCCTGCGGATAATAGAGATTGCCTTAACTTTGGGGGCCATTGTCCTTATTTGTGGTAGGCGAGTAGGTCGTTGTGCTTATGAGTAAGTGCTCAGTACGGCCGACGAACAAAGTTTCCTGTCTAAAGTTCATCCATCACCTTTGAACATTTATCAAAAAATCATTGTGGCTGAGGAAACCCGGAACGAAATATAAACGTCTCCCTTCCCTATGCACCCCAACGCACGCGATCACACATTTCAACGGGGTGCTGAGAGACCGGCAGCATTTTCTACCCCTTCCCACCAGCAGCCTGGGCAATAAAAAAGCGATTCACACTTTTTCTTTTGTCATATCTGCTGTTGATTTTTTTCCCCCTTCTTTCTTGGCGTGTCCCAAGGTTGGGTTCGTTGCTTATGTCAGGTGGATGGGTAAAGGCGCAATTAGGGTTAGGGCTTGGCGAAAACTCGACAGACGTTCCTTGCAGAATAATGTTTTTGATATCCACAACTATTCTCACGGCGAGCACATTCGCTCAATCCAGGATGTCCTCCTTGTTATTTAAACTTCGTTACTGGGCTCGCCGCCGTTCGATAACCCACAATGATCAATTTCTTCCTGATCGGAATAACGCCGTGTGACGAATAGTTGAATGATATATTGAGCCCGTATAGCTGGCGGTATGTGTTCAAATGATAGATCAAAGCTCCTCTCTGACAGTCACTGACGAAGCCGACACAAATTATCGTTTGCGGATGTCTAAACGTCGTACAGCGTTGAGCTACCCGTACTCTAGCGACTAAACACGCCATAGCATTAGCAATCTGGAAAAGATTAAACCCAACTCGTAGGACAAGACCGATAATACATTTATACAAGCCAGAGTATTCGTTGGCATGTGCATCTGTAGAGGAAAGAAACCAGCGCTGCTGTGCGATTGCGAAGTCTGCAGTGAATCATTTTCTTATTTCGCCGGTTCACGCTGAGCCTTTTATTTCAGTCCCAGGTTACTTCACTTGAAATTCAGACATGAGGAGGCGTCTTCTTGAGTAGAGTTCTAAAGGTTCTTTAGCCTTTGCAAAGCCAGTCTTCTCAACATTCTCGTTTAGGTTTGAAAGAAGTTCAACGAAGACCAGAGTCGAATAGAGATCTATGGCACCTCACGAATTTTAGCGATCTAACATGACATATAACGAATACTATTAAGTGTTTGTTAAGAGGATGGGAAGCTTTAAACGCACCTTCGAAGGACATACCTACAGCACGTGCACGTATGTCCCTCTAAACTGATAGCCATTCTCCTCCTTCCCGTAAATAACCTCCTAGTCTTTCAATCTCACGCCCTCGCCTACTCCTCTCCTGCCACTTTACTCTTAGATCCAACTTTCCCTGCATCTCAATACAAGATAGAAAGCCCCGAGTTTCATCCGCTGAGAATCAATTTAGCAAATGTGCACCAAACCCTTGGAGGTACAATTTAGGTCCTACCTTCGTTCTACCGGCACAGCGAACCTATCACGAAGCTCTCCAAGCTCAACAGAGCCTCCATATCTCGCATCCTGGACCTGAATCCCTTCCAAAACGGTCGTCCATCTTCACTATGGCATTCAGTTCGTCCGTTCACGAACACTGAGCGGCTATCAAGCAGTATTGAACGCTTTCATGTGTGGGATTCAAATCCCGTATGCTGATTGCCGCTATGTCTTGTGCTGTTTATTTTATTGGTCCAATGTCATAATTTCTTGCTGTAAATGGATTAGCAACCAATTACTTCTTTCCAGACAGGGAAAAACATACCCAACACTTAATATGCGTCCTTGAAGAGCATCCGAGATGTAATTGCGCTCTTCTATATCTCATCCTTAGATTGGGAATGCTTTCAGGCAGCGATTTGTCGGTCCGGCGCGAGGTGTTGGGGGCGGTCTGGTAATTGCTTTTTTACCCAACTGTTCGTGGCTTGTCGTTGTGTGTTACATGAGGCTCTGCGGCACCCAGGGTTACCCGGGATGCGAATAGTACACACTCTTGACCCTGGAGGTAAGGTGCAGAGATTTTTCTAGTGGTACCCTCATTAATCTAAAAAATAATGAAATTTACCGAAAGAAAAAAGAAAGAAAAAATGAAGTAAATAAGTAAGGAGAAAACCAGAACAAACACCAAACGCGCGCAGTAGAGAAGAATGACGTTTCCATTTTTCTTTGGCCCAACGGCACTGTAGACTACTATGGTATACAGCTTGAAGTTACAAAGAAAGAAAAAATATTTTTTATTCCGACACTATCATCCCCATTCCATCCCTCCCCTGCCCAAGAACACAGACCCAAGCCCGCACAAAACCCAGCAGAAAAGTGACCTCGACGAAGATGATCAAGCAGTGTTTCCCATATCCCCATGATTGCACCAAACCCCCATCTCACGGGGAACCCCGCATTCCGGGCATCTGACCACATCCCAGAACTCAGGATAAGTCAGGTAGAGGCGCTCCCTCTCCTCGTAGCTGGTCCAGAGTAGGCCATGGAGGAGTCTTCCAACCATCCCACCACTACCCAACCAGCACTTTGGGCTCTCATCCCAGATAGATGCAGGGTAGACTGCTACCATCTCCTCGGGAGTCACCGCCGGAGCGCCGTACTCCGCGAGACGGTAGAAGGTAGCGGCATCGTTGAGGGCACGAACGGTGTCGTTGTCGTAGGCACACTTGTAGTCGGCGAAGGGGTTAGGCGTCTCGACCTGTGGGGGCGGAGTCAACATGAGGATGTGAAGACGAGCGTGGGCCCAGCGGTGGACCATGTTGGTCGCTTCGACGGCACGCTCGAGAGAGGTGCGGAGGGTGAACGTCTTGGGGCGGAAGTAGAGGGTTGGGTGATACCCAGCAAAGACAACATGGGGGGGTGCGCGATCGTTCGTCATGGTTGATAGTGATCGTAGAGAGATGGAAGAGTCTGAGTAGGCAGTTGGGGCATCGATTTCTACATAAGTATAGGCTCCCTCCTGTGCGGGCTCGGCGTTGTAAGCGGCAACCAGCCTGCTCCTGTTGCATGTGAGAATGTTTATTCCCCCATCTGGGAACATGCAAAATGTGAGAGTTACCTAGCATTCTGTGCATCAAGAGGATCGTCGTCATCTGAATCTTCGCTCTCGTCGGTATATTCGTTTTCATCAACGACTTCGCTGTCTTGTGGGTGATCCATGTTTTCGGTTGGCTCAATACTGTTTGGTTAGCAAAGCCGTTTTTGAAGTTTTACGATAGCTTATACCAGAGGCTTACCTTGCAACGCGAGAGTGAAAAGATCCAGAACCGCTGGCAACGCTCCAATCGGAACTATTCACAGGGGAGAAGCTAAGATATGTTAGACTGTTTTTTGATCGGTTATAAACGTACTCACCTCTCGTCACGAGAAAGAGAAGACTCAGTAGCGCCGGCGACGCTCCAATCAGTGCTATTAACAGAGGAGAGACTAAGATATGTTAGACTGTTTTTTGATCAGCTAGAAAAAGTACTCACGTCTCGTCACGAGAAAGGACAGACTCAGTAGCACTGGCGACGCTCCAATCAGCACTGTTTACGGGCGATAAGCTATAATATGTTAGTCGCATGTATGATCGGTGAAAACAAGCACTCACGTCTCATCTCGGGAGTGGACAGTGTCCGCAGCGCTGGCCTTGTCGCTCCAATCCTCACTATCTAGAGATGATAAACTAGAAAATATTAGAAACAGTGATCGCCATAGACTCTGACTTCAACTAACCTGGAAACACTCGACATTTTCTGTATTGGAAAGATATGCTCCGTCAAAAACTTTAACCAGATTAGTTTGACTAGCGGAAGACGCAGGGTATGATGGGACATACCTAGCAAAATATTTACTGTATTATTTCCTCCTGAATTAAAGATTATTGTTTGTGAGTGCAGAAAGTCTACGGTGTGGGGAGATCAGGGTATAAATAGCACATTTTCCAAGGTTTCGTGACTGGGTAAAAATCGAAAGACAAGACTCCCTATTCCGTTTAGCACTTGAATTGGAGTTAGCACGATATGACCCGCATATTGTCGCAGAAAATTTCTGCGATTAGTCGTAAAATTCCGCTCAAAATGGAAGCTTTCTTGGCCGTTGATAACATCGCGAGTAGGACTTTGGACATGATAACATTAGGCCTGGCAACGCCTTATAAGGTCTGGGATAAAACCACGTAATGAGATTGCAATTACGTTTGACTATGGTATTTTGGAATTCTGCCAGCTCCTCAAGAAGAAACAATTCGACAGGTTTAGAGATGGAATGAGTCAATTCGAGTAAACACAGGCGGTTTTCTACCACATCGAGTGATCTCATGAGCACTTCGAATCTCACCCTTACTTCTATTTGCCAAAATATCCGCCATATATACTTCTTCTTACACAAGACATCTCAGTCCGTCCTCATCTCGTCCTCATCTTTGTTAGTTCAAAAGGTGTTACAGACATACAGGCCTTCCTTCACCACGCAGTGAAGCGTTTACACCTAGATATCACCACGTAGATGTACCCCATCTCCCCCAGCGACAGAGACGATATCAATACACTCTCGGTTCATACATCTTACACTCTGGCCGAATCTTAGAAACGGAAAGCTGCTTGTGGTTTCAATGAGTAGCCATCGATGGCTTATCCGCAAAGTCGCAATCCTCCTCCGGCATCCATTAGAACTCCCTCTATACTTGTCCATCATGCTGCCTTGACCTTATATATATTTAGATAAGCTTTACCGTCCGCAGTGGAGTTGAAGAGCGCGATAAAGGATGAATTTTATTCTACTCCACATCACATCCTCCGATCTTCATCTCTGCGCACTCGAGCGTCTCTCTGCCATGTCCGCTGGTATTGGGAGCCAAGGAGGTCTGCTGGCATGTTCAACAGGTTTATCTACACATCTGCAGCGAAAAGACACCCGAATGGATCACTAGAACACGCAATAATACATGAAATCGAGGTCTCGTCCCAACTATCACCACCGCGCGAACTGAAACTGTTTAAAGACGACCCCACTTTTAACCTGCGCAGAACTCTTTCCTTTCCTTAGACCATGACTTCCAAAGTCTCCACTCATATGCTAGGCAGCATTTACTTCTCTACTCCCATCACTCCCCCGAAGTGCCTAGTAAACACCGACACTGTATTCATTGCCCTGAATTTCCCTACACCGCCGATCCCGGAGAAGAAAGTACACTCTACTCCACTCTTCTTTTGTGTAGATATTCTTTATTTTCCACCCTCTCTTATACAAACGGGAGAGGGCGTCTCGCACTAGAACGGAACAGAGTCACGTCTATTCCACTCGGAATAGGTAACCGGGCGGAGATGAACTACCATAAGTGCTTGAGATAGTTAACGTATGACTGTGCCACATGATATTTCGGAAAGCCCCGTATCCAGAGCCCAAAGATATCTATATGACTCCCATGCCGTGCGGTTTCTAAATGCTAGAATTTATACAAAAGAACCAAGAGATCCCGCCAACAGGCGTTTTCTTTCTTTTTTTTTTCTCCCCAGGGGGGGAGGGGGGGGGTTTCGGACAAGTGATCGTCATAAATATCTCCATCAATAACACTTATGTAGACTTATCGAGCTTTGTTCCCACAATGATATCACTGAACTATACTGCGCTGTGGTTTCAGGGAAGAAAGGGCGGGATTCAACCCTTCGGGGGTAAAGTACATGTAGGTTTTACTGACTGCTGATCCACCCTGGCAACATCTTGGAGTTGACATGCATGTATGCAACGATCACCGTACATTTCCCTTTTCCATAATCACTTGTAATGCAACAAATTAAATAATAATAAAAAAGCTATAACAACCGTATCTTGTAAAACATAACAGTGGGACGCAAGTAAAACTAATTTCCCCCGGGAACAGATTTCTGCCCGTTTCTCCACTTTGTGCGGCCGCCGAAAGGTATATGGGGTGGGGTGGAGGATGCATTCCGAGTGTGTTTTGTCTTTGGTGATCCGCCGCGTGGGTGTAGGACGGGCGGGCATACCAGCGCGCGTTCTCTATTTAGGTGTCTTTCGGATTCGGGGGAGAGTGGATATTTGGATACTGGATTGTCGGAGGAGGGCGGGTGCTCGGGGGACAGGTGTGCCCGAGTATGTTGACACTGATAATTAGTGGGTGAGTAGTTCAGTAGCGATTTTTCCAGGTGAGTAGATAAAGATAGGGAGACAAGCCATGACCCTTTGACTACATGTACTGGACATAGCTGACAGTGTAGTCCCTGATGAGTCCTGGCGGTGGGGATAAGTGGAAAAGAAGACTGAGGGGGTGAGCAAAACACAAAAGGAAAACTTACCAAGATATTCTGACTCGACGTGGACAAAACTGTTCCTGTGTCGATTTAAACACACGTTCTAGCTTCGCCAGTGGGTGATCCAACGATCGTTCTGAGTTTAGGAGTAGTATATTGACCAACATCGACCAAAAAACGATTTGTTGGACACATAAACGATTTATCGGATGACTAAACCACGCTAAACTAGATTATGTACACAAAAACCACCAAACCTACTCTAACCCACCACAACCCTTATACACGAAAGAACGCTGCAACCCTAGCTTCGCCCCCGCCGTTCAACAAAATTCAAAAGGGGAAACATTTTGAATGATCTGCTCCTTGCTTCACAATGAAGCAAGCAAATGAAGAACAAGCTTGGGGGACATAGGCCAAATGGATCCTTGTCGTCGGCCTGCTGTGCCTGTGTACCGACACAGCCTGCGTCAGAGGGTGTTCCAATATGCCTGGACACCGAGGAGCTTTTGTTCAGGGGAAAAAGCTCCTGAAAGAAAAACTGGACCAAGCCCCGCAGGCGTAAGGCCTATGGGAGTGACTGAGGAGCGGAAAGGAGGGGAGGAGGAGCGGGTTTATAAAGAAATGGGGGAGGATGCCCAGATATTGGCGGAAAGTATGTTTCGCCGCTCGGGTTGTGGGATTTGGCCGCTCGGGGTCGAGGGGTAGACCGGGTGCTGAGTAAGGGGAAGGTATTTACAGATATGCTGTGTATCGCCTGGTACTGGGAGGCAGGGGTTGCTTATGTGTGGTGATCAGGCTCACTCCTTCCGTGTGTATTCTCGGAGATAAGTACGTATGGTTTATTTAGAGGGGTAAGCTGGCCCCTTCAATTATGACGTGTCTCGAATGGAATTCCTTCTTTATTCGGATCCCCTCTATGTACATGTGGTTTACCATCAAGGAGGATCCCTTAGATTTGCAGGTAACCACCGGAAAAACAAGACTCGAGATGGACATATTCGTATAATGCGGAGCGAGCAATACCAGCCTAGCATTATCAACCCCCCATTCGCTTCACAGCAATCCTCCCGTCAATGACAGGTCACGGCTGCTGATGCACAACTACTGTCTTGGTTGCTCGACCAGCGCCAAACGTCTTCGGCGATGGACATTCATAACCCAAACCCCGCCGCACTGGCCGGAGCCAGCGACTGTTTATGCAGTGAGTCTATCCAAACAGGATAGACCGTGCATGAAGAGTGTAATCTTAGTTACACTAATCGATCTATATTAACGGTGATACCCGCGCTTCAAAGAGTACTTCATGTCACGCAGGTATATTTTACGCGGAAGGTACTGCTGCCACTCGAGCTCCCGCATCCGCACCGTGCTCTCCGGTGGTTGGCTTGATGGATAATCCAGACTATGTGTGAAAGCTAACAGCGGAAGAGTCGCAGGCTACATATAAGCAGCTGTTGATCGCTGCGGTATCGGTGGAGAACCTTCAGAAGACAAATCGCTCTTACAAGACCTCCGAGCTTATAAACCGCCTCGGCCCTTACATTCTTGAGTCCGCCCTTTTGCACACCGGCGAATATCAAAGCACGGTATGCGGCAATACTAGATACGCTTCTCTTCGCCATGTTGAGGCTCCCTACGTAGTACTTGGGTAGATAGTTGTATGAGTATGTCCTGCAGCGCGCGGCTGCCATCATCACGTTGTCTACGCACAGACTGGGTAGACGGCGTCATGCATTGTGTCATCGATACTGTCGGTGACGGTAGAAAGAAAATTAAACATGTCGCCGAGAAATGCGCATGGGCTTGCAGTGATTCACCCGCAAGCTACCGACAGCAGCGCAAAGATCTCTAATATTAATTACCGACTGAAGACGCAGCCGATCATCCATTACGCTGCGGTTATCGGCTCGCCGCCGTCCTCAGTTCCGCGAGTTGAGTTGCTGTTATGTATCTGCGCCGCGCGCCTTTCAGTGACCTAGAACGTGAGAAGAAGAGGGTGAGGAAAAGAGGCGAGGAGTATAACACTCGAACATTCCCTCCCTACCCTCTCCAAGAGCGTCAGCAGTAACTGTAGAAATCTGATAGAGCGACGAAGATCTAGTTGCCGCTGATTCTCTTTCTAACCCCTTTTTCCTCTCCAGATGTTGCGCTGCGCAGCATGCTACTCCAAAACCCGCCGCGACGCTCGAGTGGTAGACACCTCCGGGAAGAGCGATGCCATACGCAAATAGTAGAGAGAATGCAGAACCGCCGGCGAGAAGTAGAAGCTGCTGGTCTCGAGAAATGTAAATCTTCGAAGGTTCAGTCATGTCGAGTTGTGGAGCAGGAGAGAGGTGTTGTTGACCGGACGCTCCTTCGTGCGCTAGGCAGCGATGGGGCAGGCAACAGTTGGTTGCCTGCGCGCATTCAGCCTCAGCGTCCTGGTATGACTAAGCAAGGCTGCGAAAAAAACGAGGCTGCGCAAAGCAGTGCAGATGCCTACCGACTGATGGATGAGCGCTCAGAATAGGTCCCTTTACATTTCCTTTTTCGCTTAGAGTTTCTCCCCGGAAGTAGGTGGGGGTTTTACTTCGACTGCTAAGGGAGGTTCATTGCTCCTCGCGGAAGAGGATCGGGGTAGCGAGCAACCAGAAACCGACCAAAGCTACATGTATTGGTCCCCTATAGTCACCAGAACCAGAATCAATCCATGACAATCTCGAAACTGCCTATACTCTTAGATATCTGTGCGCGAGAGCAGAATAATCACCGTGGTGGTTTCTACAGTCACTGTACGGTCGCGACTCATACATGATCACTCGGTTTCGGCACCTCCGGGGTGTGCGCGAGGCCACGGAACAACCACTCCAATCACGATGGAGGTTAACGGGGCCCTAGGATATCACAAGCTATATGATCTATACTATAGTATCTTGTTTATCGCAGAGCTTGTACACTGTTTTCTTATACCATCTTTGCTTGGCCCATATGGACACAGCCTGATTACAAGTGCCACTAGCTATAAGAAATTGTCTGACACATCCGACTCACCATTTTATCTCCGCTACCTCGTAATTGTGGCTTCGGGCATGCAGCGGAGGAGCGGCTCGAGTGGAGGTACCAGAAATACAAATTCTTTTAGATAAATACTGTGCAGCGACACATCTCAACGTGTTCGGTCATAGAACGATGAAAATGGGGCATCCCGTCCGCTCTGCCATACCCAAGCATCGTATCGCCTAGTTAGTACTGCAGTGGGTGACCATGTGGGAATCCTGGGTACCGAACTCTTTTTAATATTTTTTTTACCCAGTTTGGTTAAGTTTACTTACGACATTACCAGACCTTAAGTTTTTATGGTTGAAGAATTAAGTTCGCATTCAGATGGGAAGGAAACGGTTTACAATAATAAGAATGGTTGATTGAACTTGGAGTATTGCCTTGTTTGGGCAGCAGCCACATGTGGCTAGTGGCGTGGCGGAGTGCACATCAGCTTCCCCCCAGCACCAACCAAATCAGGAAAACAAAACACCACAAAATTGTAGGGAGATACAGCGCAAGAAGGGGGATACGAGAATGGCATCCGTTAGGTCAATGACCTATATCGCTCGTGTGACACGATATGAGATAATCCTAAGTGCGAATTCGCGTCGCTGATACCCTTCGCCGAAGGTCAATTTTTGTTAGTTTTCTTTCGGGGGTGAAGTTGAAGTGAGTTTTTAATTGGCAAAATCCGTGAAGCAAGTACAGAAATCGATGAAAGAGGGCACTGTTGGCTATATACATCTTTGGAGGATGTGGATGAATAAGTAGTCGTTCGACTGCCGCGGGTTGATATTCAGGCGGTGAGCCATGAAATTAAACCGATACCAACCAACCAACTAACCTCATTCATGAATAAGAAAGACTATTGCTGATGGCATATATCGGGGTGTTACAATTCTTCCATCTGATACACAGGTCAGAGCTGTGGAGGGAACATGGCAAGATGCCCACGCGGCGGCACTACCGGGGGTGGGAAGGCAAGCGTGGGTTATGATATATACATGTATGCTCTGTCTCTCTCTCCTTATCGTTGATAAAAGTACAATAAGTGAGTTACTCCCGTTGATTATGGTCAATCGTTGCTATGTTTGTATGTTGCTTGGTGTTAACAATTCTATTATTAAACGTATTAGTGTAAAGCTGGAGGTTGTTCTATATCTGCTACGTGTACTATTAAACTAGAGGAAATGTGGCCTCTATATTTGTAGCTATAAAGTGAGAGCTTTCGGCTCTCTGTCCTTCGTCTTCTTCATCAGTTATACAATATATTCTTCGCTCTTCCGCCACACCACCCACGAAGCACCCCCGAAAACAACTCCAACCTCATCGATCCCATCTCATGGCAAGGGGAGTAAACACAACTGGATCATCGTCAAATGCATATACATCTTTCGACCCAGTCATCCACCTTGCGCGCGGGGAGAGAACAGCATGCGGGAGGTTTGTGTTCGATGCAAAACCACATTCACTGCATGCATCAGACGCCACATTGTTGGCAACCCGCAATTGATGAAGAAAAAACTCGGCGGATGACAAGGCAAATCATCGATCCGGGTAAGGCTCGGGGGTCGGATGGGCAGATGACTGTTTAGGAATGAGAACTTGAACCTCTTGGACAGCCTCTGTGGCCGTCAAGGCTTTGCATGACTCAGATGGCCTGCGCCCCCCCGCGGTTCTTACTTTATAATATTGGAGGATAAACAATGACGGCTATATACTCTATTTAGCTGCCCCAGGAGCGATTTCACGATCTGGCATACAATCTGCGCCTCCCTTCTCCCCCACCACTCCCTACTTCGACATCCGGCAACATCCCGATCTTGAGCATTACGATGTTGATGAGCTGTCTATTCAGCCCACCAAGCTCGAGTCCGTTTCCAATGGGCGTACTAGCAGTATATATTTGGCCAACTTCCCTGACCACCACCATGGAAGAAAAAGCGGCACCTACATCGCGCTCCCATTTCACCCACAAATCCATGATCGCGCCCGGTTCCTTTGAGACACTGAGAATCTGCTCCAGCCTCCGCGCGTTTTCTGAGCGGATCTCCGGATAGCTGGGTTGTCCCTGCTGCGGGTCATAATCTACTAGTAGCTGTATCATCTCCTCCACATTCGAACCCATCGGCACCTCAAACCTGCGGGCCCTAGCGAAGTGCAGCAGCGCCGCGCTACCTCCCGCCGTAAACCCGCTGCTGCAGTCAGTCTCCTCGAGCAGGCGCCGCGCCAGCGCAAGGTCCCCGTGGTGCACCGCGCGGTACATGCATGACTTCTCGCTGTGGTTGTCGTAGCAGGAGTAAGCCGGCGTACGGCTGGGACCGATGCCGTGGCACAGGAGCACCCTCGCGGTCGAGACCATGGCGGGATCAGCGATAGTCAGGAGGAGGAGCTGTGAAAGCCGGTCCTGGAGGTGGGTGCGGAGGCGCTCCTGGTCGTCGGGGATGACGGAGGTGGGGGCGATGGCGATGGCAATGGCACGCTCGAGGGAAGCGGGCCGGCAGTTGGCAGACGCCCACTTGGCGATGTCCTCGATGCTGGCTGTGTATCTCTTGTTGAGCTGCAGGGCGAGGACGGTGTGGAGGGTGCGGCAGGCGCGGGAGAGGACGGAGAGCTCCCGGTTATCGGCGCATTCGGCGATGATTAGCATGAGCTCGAGCGGGAGTGAGGGGTTAGTGAAGGCCATGATTGATGGTGGGGGATTCAGTGGGGGTTGGTTTGGCGAGGGAGGGTTGAGTGAGTTGTTCAGGCGCGTGCCACACGAAAGCACCGCTGATTGGTGGCAGTCTGGCTGGCTGTCTAGGATATGCGATTGCCCTACCTTCGTTACGCGCACCCAATCATCTTCGAAACCACAACCTCTCTGCAATTCTACATCCAAGGAGCAGGAAATATGGGGACAGCATCATCTGCGGTGTTTAAATATTTTCCTGAGCCAATGTCAGTTCCACGCGCTAAGGCGCTTGTCAAAATCGCTGCAGATGTCAATGAGCGTGGAACACCGTTTAACGCAGCGGATATGAAAGAGCCATGAAGGTGCTGCATCCCTTATCTGCGGAGCACGTGCAGTGAGCCATTGACTGACGTACTTCTAGTTTCCTACCCTACCTTGCCAATGCCAGCTACACAGCTGCTTCCAGAGGTAAACAATGTCCCCTGGAAAAAGCCAGGTCCCCGAGCAAGGACTTGTTCTAGTGAAAGGCGAGAAAACCCTTGACCCACAAAGTCAGGTTTTAATCAACCAATCACGTGACTGGAGATCGGAAGGGGACTTGCTTAGTGTCGCCACCTTTTTGTGATATTGGCACAGGACGTTCTCAGGACTTGGTACTGTCACCATATGTAAATCTCTTTGGATTAATAATGGTCCATTATCAGGTTAATCTACTTTACCGGGGACTACTAAAAGTAAGAGCAAAGCTAAGACGTTCGAAGCAGACACCACTCAGCCTCTTTCTTCTCAATTGCATGTCTGGAGGGAACACTGGGCTGTTATCAGACATGGGGCTCAAAAGAGGCCCCTGGGCGTCGGGGCGGGCCGCAATGCTCACATCGAGATACCGGAAGAGGTTGATTTGCAGTCTTTGTCTTTACGCTCTCGTAGTCAAGAGACAGCGTGTGGCGTAGCCTTGTTGTAATCAGTCGTTTTGGTGGATGAGGAGCATACCCCATTCATGATGTTTTTCCCCTCGATATTCCTCGTTGCTTTACTCCTTCTCTTTGTGACCATATTGCAGTTTAGAATTACCGTGTCTATCCCTCTAGTAATCTTTAGTTAGTTAAGGGAGGCAAATATATATCAGAAGATAAGGCCTTGTGAGAATTATGTGGTTGTATGATAATGCGATACTCTCGATTATCTTGCTACCTTCATAGAAATCGGGTTCGGTATGAAACAAGTATTGAATAAGGCACACGCGGGTGTATGAGTTTGTGGTGTCGCGGTGATGTGTGGGCGTCATTGACAGATTACGATCTAGCAAGAGAGAGAGAGTAAGGAGGTTATATGGAACAAATGGTCTCCCAAGCGCACAGGTCCTGGGATCTTGCGTTTTTTTTCTTTATTACTTCACCAATAGAGACCCCGAGACTTCGTAGGATTGTAATTTATGAAAAAATAAAAAAAAAGAACAAAAGAGAGGGGACCCCGACGGGACTAGAACCCGCGACCACCCGGGTTTTAGAGTTGGGCGCGCTACCAACTGCGCTATGGAATCCGATTGTCAACCCTATATGACCGATTTATGAAGGTCAGGGAGTGTTTCGGAGGTATGCTAGAGTCTACGAACAGGGAGGAAAGATAAAGCGGCTAGGGCAGGCCCTAGAATTACATGTCTCGATAAACCCGGAAGGCTTGCTCGATTCTTGGACTTGCATTACTCAAAGCTGTGATTTTGGGTTGCGTTTGGTCGGCTAACACACTATAAGTTGTCTTTCTGTGCCCTCCTCGGTGCTTCTCGGGGACAAAGCAAAATAATAAGATTCACAACGATGATGGTATTTGATCTGCGGAGGATGGGCGGGATGACATGTATGTTATGAGAGCGAGAAGGAACATGACAGTTATCGTGCTAAACTATCCTTATTTCCAAGCTTCTTTTCGTCACTTGTAACTTCGTCTAGTGTTAACACGTGACCTTCTTAGGATGTAGGAATTAGGGCACAGCACCCCTAGCCCTGAGTCTCACCCCCAATGTCCACCATCGTTAACATATCACCCTTTTGCACCCCAGGACCAAACCCCAAAGAGATTTAACGATTTGGGTGAGGCTTTGTGACCTCTTAAGGTTTACCTTCTGAGGGACCTCAAAAGTGTGAAGGAAGGAAAGAAAAAAAAAAAAGGAGAGGGGACCCCGACGGGACTAGAACCCGCGACCACCCGGTTTTTGGTAGTGGGCGCGCCGCCAACTGCGCTATGGAATCCGATTGTCAATACAATCTGACTGGTTTATGAAGGCCAGGGAGTCCTCCGGGAGTGTGCGCTGTTTGTGGATAGAAAACAAAGAGGTTTGAGCAGGTTTAGGATTATTTGTCTCGATAGACTCGGAAGGTTTGATAGATTCTGGGACCGGCATCACGCAAAACCGCCATTTTGGACTAGTGCTGCTAGTTAACACGCTCTACGTAGCTTCCCTGTTCTCCCTTGGTGCTTCTCAACACAACGATGGTGGTATTCGGTCTGTGGTGGGTGAACAGGATGACATTTATGTTGAGAGCGGGAAAGGATATGATGGGAATGCCCAGCTCTCTTGCTAAACAACACCTTTTTTCCATGTTTCCTTTGGTCGATGTTGCTTCGTACCCTCTTTGCTTCATATTGACACGTGACCTTCTTCATAGCGTGAATGAGCCTACTTAGCCAATTAGGGTACGGCGCCCCTAGCACTTAGTATCACCCGCAACGCCAACCATCGTTAATATATTACCCTCTTGCGCTCACCGATTACATTTCAAAAGGATTATGTAATTGTGACCTCTTAATTTCTACTTTCTGAGTGGCGATAAGAGAGTAAAGGAAATTAAAAAAAGAAAAAAAAGAGAAAAATAGAGAGGGGACCCCGACGGGAATAGAACCCGCGACCACCCGGTTTTTGGTAGTGGGCGCGCCACCAACTGCGCTATGGAATCCGATTGTCAATGCTATTTGACCGCTTTATGAACGGGTTTGGCTCTTCCCGCGCTCTTGGTGTGATTCGGAAGTAGCATCCGGGGGGGGGGGGTCGAACGTGAGGTGCTAAGTAATTTCTTCCTCGTGGTCTGGGGTCCAGGAGGTGGAGGTTATTTCATTGTAATACAGAGCCGAACTAAACTTTAGCAATATCTTGATGTCCTGAGACTGTCGGAAAGAGCCTAGATGGCACTATGGGAATTTCGCTCACCATGAATAGCAGGAATAGAAATACGTGGGTGCTGGTTTCGAGAAATCTTTCCCCAAGAGGTCAGGTCATGAGGTTATGATACCTAAGTAACCTCCTCATCAAGTCTTCGTGCTCAAGTTTTGAAATGCAATACTCTCGGGGTGGTACATACACCAACCCTTTTACGTGTGAAGAGGAACCGAATTACGATCAACATTTAGCTTCTCCGGTACCACGACCATGCAAGACGCCTCGAGGATCTGGAGTGGATTTAGATACTTCGCATATAGAACTCTCAATTAATGATTGCAAGAACAATTTGGCGTGGATTTAAATATAGAGAACTCTCAATTCATGATTGCAAGAGAAATTTTTATTTGGAAACGGCAGAATGTAGGGTTTGACCTGAGAACCTCTCGACGGTGCCAAGCCAGTAGCAGCCAGGGTCATCCCAGTATCTCCGTGGCGTAAGCAACACAACAACACATGGCCTATGACAGCATTTGCCACCACAACAACCTTGTCGCGGAAAAAGAAAACAGCGAACCAGAAATTCCGTAGGAGTGACGCATGCTCGCCACCGCACTGGCTATGCCCCAGCCCTAAAAATTCAATTATAAGTATCCACGCGTGGGTGCTTTGCCATGAAAAGACGGGAAACGAAGCAATTTCTAATCCTGTCGCAGATCGGAGTAGACGTTAACTTTCCTCAACAGTGTCGCTGAATTTCGCCTTCTTGGAATAACGACCACCTCTAATGCTTTCCTCAACCATGAAGCGTCCTTTGTGTATGGTATACTAGGTATATACCTCGAAGAGTAGTCGAACACGTGCCCAATTGCGGCGAAAAAGATTAAATTATGCATTTGGAGCTGGTTCGGTGTTTAGCTACGTACCACCTGCTTGATTGGCTGCTTAATTCGCTACTTGATCCGCCGCTTGATTCGCTGATTAGCCCATGTTTTGATATTGATTGTGATGATGGAGATCATAGTTACTACCACCTATAGGTGACCATATTGTACCCTACCCACTATACTACCAGAGAATTATCGCGATAAATATCACCGTGCCTCATCACCATTGAAAACTCAGGGGAGGATATGCCAGGTGTATTATCGCGGGGCTGTGCTATCTGCACTTGTGGGTCTGGTTTCGTCTGCTTCACTCATCGCAGAGTCCGTCATTTAAAATTGATAATTCTCAATATCCTACCTCTGCTTTGAGATAGTCTCATATCAAACGCTGGAATACCCTGATATGGGGATATCGATCTGGTTGGAGTACGGCTCAAGAGCAGCTAGTCGCCGTTCCCAGTCCGTGGCCATAGCTCTCGGCAGGTCTGGCGCCAAATACATAGTAGGTTTGGCCTTTGGTTGCCTAACTATTGATATTTAGAGTGAGATCGCCACACATCAGTCAACCACTAAAGGTTGAATGGAGAAGGATCCGGGTCACATTGTTACATTGAAATACCAGGACTTCACGGTGCCCTTTGTATTCTTTCTCGAAGGCGACGCATTAGATTTAGAGAGTAGGGGACGAACCTTTTTACTACGTGGCCACCTGCCCATCCAAGATAAAACCCATGCTTCCCTGTCTTTTCACTCTTAGAACATCTTCAGCCCCACGTAAAAATATATCGTTTGAACCGCTGTCTTCGGGTTTGCAACTTTTTATTTATCAGGTATGTATCCCGGCGGTGGGCGCATGACATAACCCCCGCCGCCCACTCTAACAACATTGCTATTGCATACTAACCATCTCCATTTTGCTCAGAAAACAAACTCTCTAAATTCTCAATAACTTACATATTCAAAAACCTACCATCTTCGAATACAAGATCAATGCCTTGCCGCCACCACAACGCCAACCGGGGCCCACCGCACGAGGTGAGATGTCTCAACTGCAGGAAGAGATGCCGCGCACGCGAAGTCTGCTGTGGCATAGATGTAGGAGCACTGTGTAAATGCTGCGGGAAGCTGTGTGAGTGTGACGAGTTCTGTTGTGACACTCTTCCCGCTCCTCCGGTGTACTGTGATCGGTGCCTCGAGCAGAAGTTGCCGGGTGCCAGGTGTTGTGGGAGAATGTTGTATAGGTAGGAGAGGTATCGAGCTCGGGAGCTTGGGCATGCTGTTCTACCTTTTTGCTGCTAGTATGCGTAGAATACTGCTAAATAAATTCTGTTTATCCTACTTGTTTCGGACTGTGTCGCGAGAGATGATAACGTTAGATGGAGTCTTATACGATACCTCTAAATACTCTGTATGGCCCTTGGCTGCGGGATATCTCCCTGAGAAGATGTACCAATAACACATGGATATTGATCTCGCTGTGATATCTCCCTGCCCTGGTAATAGAGGCTGCAGCTTCCGACAACCCCCGTAACCCGAGACCCAAGGGAATATGCCGAAGGAAGACCAGTGGACTAGGGAATAAAGAGGTGGTTACTGGGTTTCACCTATAGAATGATGGTCCATTTCCATCTCCGTGCCTAGGTATTCTCGTCGAAACCTAGCGCTCGTCGCCACCTACTGTATGTTGTGACAGGCCGATCAGCACAGATAGAATATTTAGAGCGGCTAGATTGAATTCTTCTTCTTATATTGCTCCTTGCCAGCTGGTTGTTTATTCCCTCAACACGTTTGCCTATCCATTTGGATACATGGTACTGCTCCTGGAATACGTAGTGTGCCTTCTCCTGCTGTGTCTTGCATGCTTTTTCTTCATCTTTTTGTGAAGCCTAAGCATTCTCCGCCGATATTTGGTCATCATATGATTATGCTGCTTCTCCTAGGTTAGTAACCTCCCCACTTGTAAGATCCTTCGGTTGTGCTGTCCTTCATTTTCCGGTTCTATAACGGCGATGTCTCATTTCCGATTCCTTGGCCATGTTCCCTGTTAATACAGGGAGGAGCCTGTCTCGAGTGCTGAAAGAAGTAATCATGACCTATCAAGACGAGCAATAGATTCCATTGATTTGTTTCTAGTTTCTTTTGTCGGAGTTTCTCTTACTGCTTTCTACCCTCCTCCGGCGGAGAGGGAATCGAGCGATAGTTGGTGATTCGCATGGAGTGACCAGTCAACTACCCTTGTAAGACAAGAATACGAAGACGCTAGACCACTAGTGAGCGCTATTATGGTGATTGAGAAGGAAGCGTGGGCAGCCCAGGTCCTGAGTAGTTCGTATTTGTGCTGTAGGTAGAAAGGTTCCTCCTTTCATCCTTTCAACTCCAGACCTATTCACGGGCACGACTTTCAACAATAGCATGAGGAAGGTTACTGTATTCCATCTTTTCTAATCGCTTCAGACTTCGTTGCTTCGTGGGGGTGTATCGGTGGGGTAGCCCACTTCCGCTTGTGTAACACGAGGATCGAGTGATAATATATGACGCATATCCGATACCTGGATGTATTTGAAAAAGGTGAGGCCAACTATAGTTGGTGATAGTGTAACGAGAAATTTGAATGACGTATATCCTTCTGCCCACCTCCTCGGTGGGAGCTCGCGGAAGCCGTAAGCAATTGTCAAGATCGTGCCAAGCATGATGAGAATTCTAACATGACCCCTTACTGCGTAAGGAATGACAATAGTGACAAATTTCATGAGGGTAGCCGGAACAAGTCTGCGGGTTGAGGAAGCCTACGATGAACAGTTAGCCTCCAAAATCCGTTATATATTGAACCCCCCACCTCCCCTGGTCCTTCTGCTTCAGAGATGTACTGAGCACCTACACGCCGGAACACAATAGAACTCCAGATTTCTTCGCTGCTCCTATTGAAAGACTCCTTCATCTATCCACCGCTGTTTTACATACAATCATATACATCAAGCCAATATGAAAATCCACCCCGACACTGATCTCTCCCGAATATGTGAACGCATGGCCGACGTCTCAATGACTCCTCGACCGACGGGAGTAAACAAAAATCGTCTCACCTTAATACGAGGCCCGAAGATCACATCTCTCCGGCGTCGGAATGTGCTTGGCGGCTGGGGTGCTGCTTTCGGTAAGACCTCCGAAGGATTCCGGCGTTGGAATGTTTGTTAATTGGATCCCGTGTTGTAGGGGCAGTAGATATCGATGGAAAGATATTATTAAGTGCCAGAGATATAGAAAAATTTAATGTCTCGCCTGGCAAATATCGAACTGCAGTTCGGAGGTCACCACGGCTTAGTGGTGCTCTTGGGAAAATATCATTAGCTGAGTCAGCGCTTCGCGGGGGTAAGGGATATGAATACACCTACAATTCCGACAGTCCTCTCCGGGGTCGGATGGATGTGTTAGGACGGCAAAAGTACTCCACGGGTAGTGTTGGCGATCGACGTAGAGGTCTTAGAAGGGCAGGCAGAATTGGTGATTTGCGGAGGCGCGTGGATGGAGGTTTGACCACATTAGGTGCGGATGGAGTGGATCCTGTTCAAGGTGGTTCAGCTTGCATGACAAGAGATGTGGTGTGATCCTGTTGTGTCAGCAGTAGCACAAATAGGTTGGGAGTTAAGAGAGGGAGTGGTTGAAAAGAACAACGTGCATGAAAGCTAGACCTAATGAAGTTTGACACGTTCGGGAGTGCAGGTGACAACTGCAGAGTACTTTAGTGCACTGCAGTGAATGATTAATGAATTAATAAGCCTCTCAATGCGGAAATAACGATTTTAAAGAGTTCAGGGCTTCGCCGAAAGTGTAATTTGTGGAATACATGCAACCCTATCACTTCCCATACGATTAGTAATTTTTGTAATTTTTTGAGGAGCAATTTTGGCGGCTGATAAACGCACCACGCAGGAGACAATCATTCTCCGTCAACAATTTTATGCTCCGAGTTGAATATAGTTGGTCCACAGAGTGGATTATTAAATTTAACGGAAAAAGTCTAAAATGACACAGTCTTCGGTAGACGTGCTCTACAATAAGCCATAAAATGCAAGATGACATAGTTCGGGATAATCCAAAAGGAATACATCAATCAGTATACGTATTGGCAATATCGAAGGGTCAGGGGTCAAGTTCAATCTTCATCTTGTCACACTGCCAAGATAGCTCAACTATCACTCCGGGTACAGCATCCACTATAGGCGGGTGGTCTAGTGGATAGACTGCTCGTCAACACCGAGCGTACCCAGGATACAACCACACACACATAAGCTCCTGGGTTCAAACCAGCGGTGGGGGTAGCAGTCGCAAATGTCTAAATAAGTCGGTGCAGTACCTTTTATAGTTTTGTACCTTTGTAGTTTATAGAACGCTTTGTTCTTTTTTCTACTCTTTTTTTTTACTTGTAGTGACAGCGACCTGTGTCTTTTTGCAGCATGTGTTATGTCGGAGCATGTATACTGGGGGCTGTGTCATTTTAGGCCTTTTCCGTAAATTTAATTATTCTATTCGTGGTTGTATTGGTGAAAGACACAACGCAAAAGAGCGGCAGAAACATACCACCCACCATCATCAAGATCAGCGTTGAATCGAGAAAATATAGTGTTTTTAACAAAATTATATTGTCTTAGTTCTCTTCCCAGGTCAGGCTCCGCGGTATTTGTCGGACGTGCGCGGCTAGGATCTCCGGTGCCATTAAATGTGAAGCGGGTAAGCCTGAGGCTACTTAAACATCCCTATTTCATGACCATCCCTTCATCGATTTCAACCACTTCTCTTTCCTAAACTTCGACACCAGCTCCCCTGACTTCCCAATTCATCACAGGCACGAGAGTGCATAGGGCAGCTAGCTTGACTGCTTTGGCATCGTCAGCTGAGCAGTAATCATCTCCCATCCAGTCTTTGAAGAGGTAAGAACTTTATTATTCCATTAACCCAGGTACCCCACCATCTGACCCAAAACAGCATCAACCTCACAGCGGCTCCGGGAGCCTCCACGAGAAACCACTACATCCCACCACATACCCCACGTACCCCATTCTTCTAGAAATGGCCACACCCGCTCCCGCCCAGAACCCTACTATGAGCCCCTTCGTGGCCGCGGTCTCCACCCATCTCTCCCACGTCTTCATCATGGAAGTCTGGGACATCCACAACGTCTTCGCCGCCGACGGCTCCGTGAACCGCGGCTTCCGCGAGCGCACACGCCGCCCCCCAGCTGCCCCCACCTCACCCGCATGGACTCCACCCAACTACACGACTGGAGGCAGCGGTCTGCAACGCGGCACTCGTATGACCGATCACGAGCCTGCAATGGCCTTGCCGACTATCAGTGAGTGGTCGAACTCTAGTGCCCGCTCGACAACAGGGTCGACGCTGTCGGAGATGGCCAGGAGGAACATGGAGCTTGGAGAGATGCTGCAGCGTTCCAATAGGGACCCTGTGGCTAATGCTAGGCACCGACCTACTGAGCCTACTGTCCCAATCCCAATCGACATTGAGGCCCTTACTGGGCCCCGTCCCGCCCCGCAGTTCCAGCCCCTGTCGCTATATCCCTCCGCTATGGAGAGCTCGGCCGCAGTCTGTCAAACCTTGAGTCCGGCAATTGAACCTAGGCACAGAGGACATAGCGTCCAGTTCGGTGACAGGAAGAGGCACTTGCAGCCTACACGCGACAGACGCTCCTTGCCGCTTGTCTCACCGGAGTGGCTCACGAGGGAGCAGAATGATGCGCTGATTATTCTCCTAGAGGAGGAGGAGAATGAGAGTGGCACTGCACAGGGGTGTCGGTTTTGCGGAGGTACGTGTAACAGGGGCAGGGATATGTGTGCGTTTTGCATCTTGTCCTTTGAGGGAGATGGCCCGGAAAAAATTGGAAGATAACAGTTTGAGGGTTTTGTGTTTCGGGAAACTGTTCTCAACTGCGGGTTTCAGGGATATTGTGGTAAATATTTGCGTGAGGACTTAAGGGATGGTGGTGGAAGTAGGCACATATCTCTTCTGAAGTCTTTTGCAAAGCCATAGTCACCATATTGTCATTAACTTGCTGAATCCTGTACCCCTACATGCTGTGAGTGTATCAATGATGTTCGCATCTCGAACCAACTTGCTGTAAATGAAGTAAAGGAGGAAATGGAGGCATGTCTGTATTGAATATCTTCCTTCTCACAAAGACCTGGATAAGACCACATGTGGTAGTGTGTCATTATGGGCAATCCACCTTTCATAGCTCAGGTGAAATTGTGGTGTTCTGGATGACTTGCCTTCATTGTGAGAGATTTTATTTGTTCTTGCAGGTACTGATATCCTGTTTTTTAAATGCATCTACATACTGTGCAAACGTTATGGAGTCATCAAACTCTGTATTTACGGGATTTTCTAACTTTTTATTATTTCTGGTGAGGAATTTTATGAGACAGTCATGTTTTAATCAAAGTTACCTGACCACTGTGGACTGTAAATCTCCCCTTTTTATACGGTTTACTTGCTATTGGACTATGTCGTAATCATTCAAGTTGCTAATTGATTGAGTTCACACCTGTTGTCGTATAAATCGCTGCTGGAGGATGATACCCAGGGCCATACTTACAAGTAGAGCTGGAAGATGGCCAAGATTTTATTCAACCCAAGCCACTTTGGATATTGCGCTCTCACCTACTACAACAACACCACCTGTCACTATTTTCTACCGCAACTCACCAAAACCCACCGCCCAGTCATAATGAGTTGCCCGGGGACCCAACACAAGCGAGTAGGTTTTCGCGTTCCCACATGTTGCAGTATGATCATTTTACTAAGTAGTTCTGCAATCAAAAGGCAACCAGGGAACAGCGCATGAGAGACTTAGTCCAGGAGATCAAGGAGATCGAAGAGTTGAACCGACTCTTTCCTCCCATCCCAGTGACATCTCACGGTCCTGCTGAGCAGATCACGGACCATGAGGAGGCCACGAACGATCTTGCTTCCAGTTTACGCAGAGAACTGAAGGCGCTTACCCTGGACGATAATCATGATGCGGAGGACAATCTGAATTCCGTTTCTCCTCCACCCTACAGACAGGTAGTCCTGACAACAACTGCCCAAAGTCAAGCCATAATTATAATGCTTATTCTTAATTTAGGTCGCACCTCCCATGTACGAATGCGATGAACAGGGCCAAGAACCGAACTGTGCACCATCCTCCCCCGCTGAATCTATCCACCACGAAGAGCCCGCCACTCCACAGCACCCCGCATTTACCTCCCCATGGATGGACAGCCCCAGATTCTGTGGCGGGCCAGGCAAATGCAGCCAGTGCAATTTCGACCACAGGGCCTATGAGCTCATGTACTCCCAGCTCACCCGTGTCCAGCAAGAGTATCGCGGCCGTGACCCCGCTAATCTTCCGCCGAAATACATGCCTGGTGTGTGTGAGAGATGCACAGAGATGAGAGTGCCTGGACGCCGTGCATGTGTTTTTCATATCTTCGAGAACTACTTCAGGGCTACGCACCGCCTGAATATTGATGGAACTGACGCTCCTCCGCTGCAACGTCTCTGCTCCCGTTGCCTTCGTCCGCTGGTGAGCGGCGAGGTGCTAACCTGTCGTGATTGTTTCCATAGGTTTTTCACTCCTCGCGTCACGACGGAGCGTGGCTGGGTTTATGCAGGGCGGCATTTGGGCCCTCTTGAGCGCAAACCTGAGGAGGAAACTGAGGAGGCCACGTTTGTTCCTGTTAGAAGATTCCTGTAGATCACAACGTAGTGGAAAGTTAGGTCATGGTCTGCTGCTACTCACGGGCTCATCGTGAGGGAAATGAAAACAAAGTAGTTAGCATAATCTTTGTACTTCCGACAAACATATGACACAAAGAAAAATAAAATATCATACTCGAAGTCCGGTGACAGGCCTTTCCATCCCAAGAATCCTTTGTCCCAGGAATCTTTTGTCCAAACCCTCTCTTCAAGAATGCAAAAACCTGGAAATACCAAACTTTCCGAAATCCAGATGATCCTACAGGGATATTTTTTTAATAACACCTACTGATAGAATCTCCTTTGGCGCGGAGCGATCTCCTGTGCCTCTTGTTCAACTTGGTGTGTGTTCTAATTACGGCAGATAAGAGGTGACATCGAGTGATATTTCATGACTGCATGATGTGAGATAGTCTCTGCTTACCGACCCCTGCTCTGAATTAACAGGCACTTGCACTGTAGTTCCTTATCCAAAACACTCCTTAAATGAATTTTCCCGAGCCTTCCTGACGGAATATTCCTAATTGAGATGAAAGAAACATTAATCGGCCAAGATTGGTTGGCTGAACATTTTCCCACACTGTCGTCATTGTTGTTCTCTGTTGCCCACGCAACCACCACAACAAGACCTTCATCTTTTCACCCTGCTCTTCCACTTCCCCCTTCAAACCACATCTCCCATTCCCCATCACTATCACCATTATTCCAATATCCCAAAATCAATTACCCCTATCCCTGACCAAAGCATTTTCAACATGCCTGAGCCTAATATCCCTATCGCGGACCAAGTTGATGCCCCCATCTCAGTGTCACACCCCGGCGTCCCGGACGACGCCATTCACTATATGAAGTATTTCACCGCTCTTCCCGACTTCAATCATGTTTGCTTATTGCTAACCTTCCCCAGCACCACCTACCCCACTCTATCATCCTCATACTTGCCGTTCCAATTGCCCTCCCGAACGCGCCGGCATGATCCACAGAATGCAGTAGCACGCGTCCTCTCGGCTACGAGGGGGCCTACCGCAATGCATGTGGGTACCATGTTGGGACCAGGTTACCCCGCCCCACAACAACAAGGGCTTGGTGCGGTTGGCTCTGGATCTGTTGGATCACCGGTGGTGCAATCTCAACGTTCGAGAGATGAACATACCAACCCATTGGTAACTCCCTCCACGGCATTGTCCCAAGAAGGAGGCCGAGAAACCATTTATCAACAGATCCAGAGGGACCACGAGAGCATCGAACGAGCTCAACAGGAACAGGAGGAGGAGGCTACGAGGCGTGCCTTTATCGCACTCCTCTACGCAGACCCCGCGGAGCTGCCGGCACTGGAAATGGGCAGAAACAACATGTCTGAGTCAGTAAATTCTGTCCTTCGTCATTTAGAACTCGGTACACTTGCATCGAGGCGTATCAGGCCACGTGCCTTGCCTCCGCAACCTTCTGGTCAGTGGGTGCACAATATGCCGCCGCTGGGAACCCTCGAATCACAACAGTCTAGCCGCCCAGCTCACAGAGACCTGCAATACGGTGATATATCTGCCCTCCTCCGTTCACTCCCTACCCAAGCATCACCCACCCAGGCACACCCAGCTGCACCACTGGTGGAGCTATGGGCCAGGGAGCGAGCAGAACGTGATGCCCAGCAAGGTGCCCCAATCTTCACCATATTCACCATGCACTGCGCGGCTGCGCAAGAATCCACCGAACATACAAACGCTCTACATGATAGATCTCTCCTTTTCCCGAACATTTCACAGTTGCAAATGGAGATAGCACTGGAGAGAGCAGAGAGAGATATACACAGAGCTGCTGCTAATGCCGACATCGCTACAGCCGCCGAAGCCCAGAGAGTATCCGCACAAGCGCAACTAGAAAGGATTGCGACCATCACAGATGCCGTTGAAATTGCATATCGTGAGGAGCGTGAAGCTGCACAACGCGAGATGCATAGGATAGGAAGACAGGTGCTTGACGCGAATGAGCAGGAGCTGGACAGTTTCGAGCCTGTGAGGTCCGCAGCTCTTGCGGACCTTGTTCGCCAGGGCTATACGTTGCCGAGCAGCAACAACTTAGGGATACAGCAACCGTTGACACCTCGACGAGCTAGACGGAGGGGAGTATCTGAGGGACCGAACGCTGCCGACGGAGGACCTATGGAAATGGATATCGCAAGTGCAAACGACACAGCTTTGACGACATTGTCGCCTTTCATACCAGTCAACCTGGCGCCGTGGCGACTGGCAGTGCTGGCTAGGATGCGGGAGGACCGAGCGGCGTCCATTCATGCTTCGTCTGATGCAGAGGCTGCTAGAAGGGAGATACTTAGGATGATTACAGCACGTCTCGCAAGGCAGGAGGAGGCTAGGCTGGCTCAGGAAAGGGAGGAGAGTAGGCGGGCGGCGGCAGAGTTTCAAGAAGTAAGTAGTCCTATCGGACAGTAGAGGAAGAGGAAAAAGGACCGGACTGACGTTCGTTATTAGATGTGGGACGAGATTGACGGGTTAAAGAAATTTGAGTAAGTTATCCCACACCTTTCTTCCCTTCTGTGCTTCCAAAAGCCCACTATCAAAGCCCCAGACTAACCTTCCTCTTTCAGGTGCCTAATCTGCGAGGCCAAAATCCCCTTAAACACCACCTCCTGTGACGCCTGCCTGACCAACAACGAATTCTGGTCCCCTGCTCAGGTTATTCGCGCCCAGATGGCCAGGTCCAAGGGGTTACCATGGACTGAGTATCCGAGTCGTAATGGAGGCAGGTGTGTTAAGTGCGATAGCTACCTCATTTCTAAAGGGGAGGAGAAGTGCCGTTGTTGTTTGCATAGAACTATGGGCATCACTGCTGTTTGGAGGTTCATATGAAGAGGGATGGAGAAAACGAGGAGATGGATAAAATGGGGGATAGGATTGTTGGAGGTGTAGCGGATTCGGGGAATAAGAATGTGGTCGTCGATATTTTCTGTTCGAAGGTTGATATTTTATGGTAACACTGGAAAGTTAAAATATGGCACGATGGCAAAAAGAATAGAGACACGATTGCATGGAAAACATGGTACAGTGAAATATGAGCATATATAGAACGTTATGGTGGAATCTCTCCGGCTGTAGTAGATATATATTCTGCTTATAGTTTATATCATCTAGCACCCTTCTACAGTGTACCCTGGTAGAGGGGAGAACATCAAATATGCCCTCTGAGGAGGTTATGAAAGTCAAATACGATAGATATCGGCATAGCAAGGTGTTTCTAGTTACATATAAAAACAGATGACCCTACGTATGTTGAATACAATGCGTGAAGACTCGGTCATGATATATCACTCGGTATCTTACGTTGGATGGGTGAAGGTGAATATTTCTTTTTGTTTAATTCATTGAAGGGTGAATATAACAGCAGATTATTTTCTAATTTAAACTTATATAAGACCTCTCCCTACTAGTAAGTCTTGCCAAGAAGTGTACCCAAGACACGCCCACCCCCTATGCCTTCACCTCCGAACCCTGAGGAATAACACACTCAATGTGACATTTAACATCACATGAAATGTGAGGCAAGCAAGCGGAAATGGTTTCCGTCGCTATTTGGCATGTCTCAAATTTCCCCTCACACCTTTCACCTGAAAAACCCCCGTGAATGCTCGCAAAATTGCGGTTATTCTGATACCTCCAAATTTCCCGGCTTCTTCGTACAGCTTCGCACTAAATGCAGAGTAGATTTAGATTGAGCAAGTTGATTCCATTCTCTAACCAATAACATTTAGCAGTAGTTGGTATAGGTGAGAATTGTCTATACTATACCCATCTCCTCACACCGAATCTTGTGAAGGAGTGTCTTCTGCGCTTGAATTATAAATAAAAGATAGTATGTGCTCATAATTTAAACCTCAGAAGCCAGGGATAAGGGACCATAACACATACGGGAGTGTTCCATAAACGATTCCCGGTTACGGCCCTCTTGTACTATCATTTATTTTGGGCACCCGCTCTCTGAACGATGCCTCAGAGGGGAATGAGAGAAATAAATAGAACCCTCTCAAAACAGATCAATAAATCGTCAGGTTGTGGTACCTAACGCCTTCTTGATTTGGACACTGTGATGGTCAGATTATAGCTGGGAGGCACTGCATTCGGTGGGAATCCAGATCAGATCTACTGCCTCTTGGAACATCCCCGTCAGGAGCAAGGTAAGGTTTTTAATCTGTCAAGTGGAACACCAAGCCCCACGGATATTGAGAATATGAAGCTCCACTTGAAATGGAGTTTGCACTTTGTGGGCCGGTGTTATAGACATTGCCTAAACTGAAACTTACTGGTAGAGCTAGTTGCGATAGGTTAATAATAGCTCTATATAACATAGCAGCGAGGGGAATAGCCTATAAATACGGGTGATGTAGCTAGAGTCAGACCCTAGTACAGCACATGTGACATATGAGAAAGCTCCGGCGGCGTTTATCCTCATTTTCCATATTCCATGATGACACATAGAACACGTGTAAAGATCACTGTGAATACAGCCCTGACATCCCTTCCCTTCTCTAAACCAGTCCCCCTGGATTGTACATCAGCACCGGAGAGTACATTTCGCGCAGAGAAAAACCTGCACCATCTGTTTCGAGGGACAGCTCAGGAGAGGCTGTAGTTGGCAATACCAACAGTGACCAAGCATAGGGGGTATGGGATTGTAAGGAGATCGATGCCAAGCCAACTCTGCAGTATATTCTGTCGACAAGATCCTATAATACACCTCAAAGGTGCGAAAGAGTGCACACAGAGGTGCAGGCCGCCGTTAAACTCACCACCAGAGCCGGGACTCCAGCAGCGGTGATGAGGAGAGGATCGTTTGATTTGGTAACTTAGTGACTAAATAGTTGTCAGCGGGAGGCCTGAGGAGAGAAATGCGGAAAAACAAATGGCTTTAGAGGGGGAACCTGGAATAAATATGGGCAGGATTACAAACGATTGATGGATAGGTCAACAATGACAAGGACCTAGCTATTATTAAAGCAGGTTGCAAAAGACCAGGCTCACATAACCTTCACACCCATATAGTGTGATTCTTCGAACCTTGGAAAATAGAGTGCTAGAGAAATTCAGGCCTTCGGTTGTCAATTTGTTACCTGAGAAGGTGGTTTTCGTTGCCCGCATAGGATATCATTCGAGAATCGCACTTTGAGTAAGAAGTCAGGTGTATCTGGAAAAATAGGGGCTGTAATGTTCATAGCGCCTGGTCTGGAGAGCGAAAGAAGAAAAATTGAACAAGATGCAAGCTGAGTCTAGCTCATAAACCCCCCACCTCTTGAGCCAGATTGACAAATTTGCGGATCTTTGACTTAACTGCCAACCTTACAACACAGTAAAATTGATAAAGACCCTAGGGTGATAAAGAGAGTGACTACCCACACCATGACCAATTATTTTTGGTTGTTGTGGGCGTAGAGCTATCGAATTTCTAAATCTTGGGTCAACTGAATGTTGCACGTTTACCTCCCAGGCATCAGTTACCCCATTGGGTACAAAGCCCAGTCAACTGTATCTGTTGTGGGTTCGTGCCTAGCCTACGAACCTTGGCGCCAAGGGTTTTGGCTGGGCACGAGACAGCAGCAAGCTGCCACAGTACGTTACGTGCAGCACATCCTGTGGAAGCATGGAGGTAGACGGGTTGGGGACGAGCCTAGGTTTTCACTCATTGAACTTTGCTGCGTTTTGATCCCAATCAGACTAGCGCAACTTGCCTCGAGGTCCATACCCACCAAATTAGGACTAGAGCTATAGTCCTATTGCCATTCTCTGGGCGTGAGGTGTTTGAGGCTTGGCATTTATGCCAAGCAGCTACCTGATCTGTGTCAAGACCTGGACCAACTCCCGGCTGAAGCTGCGCAACCTAGCGTGCAACGCGTAAAGTGGAAAGAAAAGTAAACAAAAGCAAAAAAAGAAATGACGCGCTACAACGCGTGTTGCTACATATAGCACGTGAAATCGCGTGCCACCAACCATGGCTGCAGCATGCGAGTGAACGTAACACAGATATTAAGGAAATGATATAGTAGCGGAATATTTGATAGCTTCATGTTGTACGACTCAGCACTTATATCATGAGAATACGTTCAGCGACGTAAAATGGTGAAACGTTCAGTAAAGAAGGTGAAGTTCGGTGTGCTCGGGGGTGAAAATAGATACAGGAAGGTTCACCCAAGAACAGGATACTGTGATTTTAACTGTTTATGAAAGGACTTTTGGCTGGATAATGCGGACAAGAAGAATTGACTTGAATTACTGAGAGCGCTTGCCATTAACTCTTCTTCTCCGTCTAGAGCCCATAGAGATTCCTACCACCATGCCCAATGAATAAGGGTCACAATTGGAACTCCAATTCCGTTCCGCGCGGCCTGATGTCGTCGCAAACGCTGCTCTTTCTTTATCCTGGGACAGTGAGACATGCTACTCGGGACAGGTGGCCTGACTCCCTCCACGCCCCGCCAGTAAGAAAAGGATTGCACCGTCCTTCCTACTCCAGAGCAGCAGGGCCAGGGTTCAATTAGCTGTAACGGGTAAGAAAGAGGCCACTTACCTGAAAATCTCTGTCGACATTGCAACAGATCACGCCCACCCGCGTTGCAGCCCACATAATCGTATAAATACCCAGTACCTCCCACCTCCTCCCATCTTTTATCACACCACAAAAAACCTCCCTTTTTCACATCACAACCCCAATTAGCAATCCCACATTCCTCTCTTCTCTTAGTGATGGCTCCTCCCCGCCGCAATGGCTACGCAGCCAATTACGATCTCAAGTCTCGCAAGCCAGTTGTTCTTCAAGAGAATGTCACTGCTGTCACCTTGCTCCCTTCGAAGAGTGCAAGAGTGGAACTTCCTAGACAGACCCCTAGAGACCCACGCTACAGTGAGTCGGATGAAGACCTTGACTACAAGGGATACGACCCCAACGCGAAGGCCACCAAGAAGCGTTACTTGCATAATTTTAATGCTCCTGCTGCCAATGTAAGTAACCGTTATCCCCACACATTATATAGTAGAACCTGTACACTCCTGGGTTAGCTATGAAGCCTTTTCTTTTTTTCTCTCTCTTTCGCTTTTTTTCTCCCTTTTTGGGGGGGCGGCTTTTTGGGGAATCTTTCCTACCAATTTGTTTTTTCAACTTTCATGATGGCCAGAAACTAACACATCAACTTCCAATCAGGGATACGACCCACAGAATCAAAACAACTACTTCTTTGGCAGCAGTGATGGCACCCCGACCGTTGTTAAAGCCTGGGATGACGGTGATACCACTTCATCAAACTCCATTAAAAACATGCCCGCTGCCAATGGTCCCAATGATCATTGCGTCTCGAAGAGTCACCATCCCATCCCCAACCCCGGCATGCTTGCAGCCCAGGAAGCAGCAAAGCAAAGGATCAACAACCCAGCCATTGGTGAGAAAGAAGGAACCAGTGCTATCGCTCCCCAGATGCACAGGAATCTCAACACCTACAACGTAGCGAACGCACGAATCCCAGCTGGTGGTAGGGTCACTCCTTATGGTTCTCGTCCAGTTCCCCCGGCGGTCCGTCCTACTCGGAAAGTGTCAAGAGAGTTCGCCGCCAATAGTAGTGGGGGCATGGATGGTTATCCAGAACATGTGAAAGCAATCCTCAGTGCAAATATGAAGAAATTCGAGAGGGAAAGAAGAGGCGGGTCTGAAGTAGTCGAAATCATGCCTCCCCATTTGATGAGTCTGCCTGTAATCACCCCTGAACAGTTTTCCCTTGGATTGAAGGCCCTCGGAGACCCCGAAGAAGAGCTTCCCAAAATGCAGGCTGAGATCCCTTCGTCTATGCCTACCTTGAACGCATACGACAATGGTCTATCCAGTAACGGAGGTAACCGTAGTGTTCATTCGCCATATACGCCTCCTGGAACACCCCTCTTCGTGAATAGAACTTCTTATTACCAACCCAATGTGGCTTGCAGTGGGTCTGTTGCATCCTCTGTAATGTATGGTTACCTTCCAGGTTACGAGGCTCCACCGTCCTCCGAAATTAGTTCAGGCGATTCAGTTCGATCTGTGTCAGTCCAATCATCTGCCTATGGTAGCAACATCATTCAATACGCCCCTCCCACCTCCGAGGCCAGCTCAAGACACTCAGCTTTTTCCGAATCTCGAGTATCGTCGCTGCATGCTGCCACATTCCAGGATTACAGGTCTGAGGCCAGCTCAAGGCATTCAGCCAGAATCAATCACTATAGAGAGCGCTCTAGGTCACCTTCCAGGAGTGTTTATTCCCGCGCTTTCTCCGGTCGTAGCCCTTCGACGTCCCCTGTCAGGAGCCATTCCTCCCGCAGTTCTTCACTCCACTCGGCTTTCAGGTCCCCTGTGAGGGGCTATGCTGCTTACAGTTCCCCAATCCACTCTCCTTCGAGCAGCTCCCCTGTTAGGAGTCATGGGTCTGGTGTATCGTCAGCCCACCACGCAGTTAGTCGCCGCTCCCTCTCGCCGGATGTACTTTCTTTCCAGGCACGACACCGTTATCGTACACGTTCCCATTCAAATGCTGCCCTTGCTGCTGCCCTTGCTGCCGATCCTAGGGAGCTAGCTGCTCGTAGCTTGACTAGTAACGACACAGAGCTCGCACTTGGGAATGATCTGGGGGATAGTGACAGTGATGGTGAGATTGAGCTCGAGTGCTATGAACAGTCTCCTCAGGCCGACGGTTTGTTTGGCCGCCATGAGGGACGTGTGAGGCTTTAGTCATTGCTCAGCGCATATGCGCATTGAAACCCTTGCTCGCGATGATGACGTTCTATGAAGCGTAGTACTCGCAAGGTTGAAAGGTTTATGATTGACAGGAATTAGGTCAACAGTCCTCGAACACGAAAGAGATAAAGGAAAAGGGGGAATCGCTTGGAATGTGTTTTGAAAAGATACTCAGTTTTTGCTGAGGAATTGTGGATAATATTTCTTGGGGAAGATTTTATTATTGCTGATTATTTCTGTAGTTGAAAATTTTGTATCCTAGTTTAAACACAATTCAATACGTCTCCCACAAATTATTCTTTTAAACAGTAGTAAGAGCCTCATAGCCACTCTGTGGTGATCGTGCTACGTACCGTTAAAACTTGTGTTGGTGTCCGCTCTGATACATAAAGTGTGGATGACCTCCACAGTCTGCCAGAGTGAGGGAGGCATAGAGGGGTATTTAAGCGAATAAAAAAACGATAGGACAACAACACCATGTATCGTCGCTGGCCAAGGATGCCAGTGTATGCACTACGAGCCATTTTGCCTTGGCTGGCTGGTAGCCCATGGAAGCCACATTGTTGAAAATCTCTTACGGCTAGTGCTTTTCATTCCACAGACTTGGAGAATTTTCACGGGGGACGGCTAACCATGCATTAGCGCAGAATTCAAGTGGTGGCGGTCACGCCAACCAGTTGTGGCAGTTCTCACCCCTGGTTACACAAACCTGTGGCTACGTTGCTGCTGCTGGGGGCTACGATATGGCATACCGCATACGGTTGTCATAGAGAAGACTACACGTACCTCAAGAACAGAACAGAAGGAACAAACAGATGCAGCTAGACACCATAGCACCTCTATTGATACATGTATGGCTGGCCATGGACTTTGCGTACAACTATCCTATATGCCTGGCGTTTATATTTACCATATCCTCTTTCAAAATCACATTATAACGATATGTAGAGTGGAGTATTTCCTGTATTGGATAGAGATTATTATGCCACTCTTCAATTTCCGTTCGGAGGTCTAACGGATAGAACAAAACGTTCCATCACCTCCCAATGGGTTGATCAAGTCTTCCAGAGATTGCCTGTTTGTTGGTGATAGAGGGACCTCCAACCCCAAACAGAGATATTCTTAGATAGCTCCTCGCTAGTGTAGGTTCTACCTGCTTTGAGTTTTACTCCTGTTTTCTTTACGAGTTCTAACGCTGGTTTCATAGGGAAACACCAACCGATAAGCACATTCCAGCACGGGACCTGCGACTGGATAAAACAGAATGGCCATGTTTTTCTTACGGGGACTGCTTAATCTTGAGTGTCTTCTATCCGATCAATTATCAGGATTCCAGCGGTAGATACGTCATGTGGTCCAGGTCCGGCAACCTCTTGGGGTGTATCTTGAAGATGGGAAACATACGAAGTAACGGCACTCTGAAAACATTTGATGCGAAGTCGTTTCCCACCAGTTCAAATCGGGAGGAAAACGAAAGTCGGACCCAACACAAAACCCAGCAGGTACCAACTATTTATCTTTGTAATTTGAACCGCTTTAATCTAAACCGGAGTTCCATGTCTTTGCATATATATATAGCATGATCTGGTTTTACTAAATAGGTGTTCATTATCTTCTCAAAGAGGGTGCTCGACCTCAGGAACAGGGCTTGTATAAGCGGTTTAAGTAGTCCGTATAGCCGGCTGTGAAGTTTTTAAACCGTTTAATTAAACTTGCTATTTGAGAAGACAAAAGCCTTACCAGCTTTGAATCAAACAATTCAGTTCAATCAATTTTAGCAATATACTCGGAAAACTACTGGACACCCTGCCCAATACTCAAAACCTCAAATTAATGAATGTTAAAAAAAAAAAACTTAATAACCAGAGATTGATTAGATTCTATCCCGGACAGCGTTCCTCCAATCCAGTCAACGATGAAATAAGAATCATGTAGGCAGATATCATATTAAACAAGGTATAAATAAGTCTGAAACGCCATAAAAGTGGTTAATGTAGATTGTCCGCCATCTCCATTCGAAATTAGATATATTCTGGAAGGTTTCGTCGATGAGCGGGACACCAAGCTGTTCTCACTTTTAGTTCTCATGTGTGTAGAGGTTACATTCAAATTAGTCCAATAAAGGATACGTAACTCTCATCCATGCCAATAGCATTGTCTCAAGCCAGACTAAACCCTGGTCGTTTAATGACGGGACAGAGGCCTGTTATCGCCCAAAATCTGGTCTTGCAAAATTCCTTAAAAGTCTCAATATCAAGGAAACAAGTTAAGCTTTTATGGGCTTGTAGATCCGCTCATGATGTTATATAAAAATAATTTCATTATGGTTGACGATCATGTTTTTGAGCTATAGAATTCCGAGGGGCATGAGATTGGTTACTGTGCACCGGCATGTCTAAATTAAATAATTCCCCTGTCTATCAAATTGATCCAACAAAATCTCACAAAAACATATAGTGGTTTCTGACGTTATTTTTATGTTCAAATAATTTCTCCGGATTATTTGGGGGTGTTAAAGTGAGCATTTTTGCTGTTACTTGGCGGTTGTCTCGTTACCAAGCGACCCCGGGTTTACATTCCAAAGGCGCAGAGTGGCTAGGGTTAGGTAAGTTGTGCTAGCATATATAAAAAGTACCTAAGGGATGTGGACAGACGCCTTACACAGATAATAAAAAAAAGGATAAAAGATAAAGCCAACAAAATACAAAAATTGGCATGATGCGCGGTCCATTCGGTTCCAGACACATTACCGCTCTCCACTGCGCCGAGGTGTGTCGAACGCCCGACCCCGCGGTCGACATGGTGGCTCCGTTAGGCTGACTGCATACCCCTCGACCATTTAAACCATGCGTGTACTGATAACAGCCTGTGCACCCTCTTAAAGCTTATCAGTTGCCAAGTACACAAAACTCCCTGCTGCCGGTTTGGGAAGTGTCCTATCTCGGGACACACCCAACACCGCAAGCTGAAGAATTAAACCGTTCTGACATTTGACCTTGACTTCACTATTGCACACCAACAAAATCTATATCTGATTGCAAACACTCACCACCATACACAACTATATCCAGCCCGGGGGTGTATTGACATTCTAAAGAGGCCTAGCCAGTCTTCGCGTTGAAGATGGGCCATGTATGGCACGGCATTCGAATTGAATTCTTTCCCTCCCATGATGATGTTACTAAACGACCATAGGGCGAATGCCCCGACACCATGCCTCGTTTTTGTCACCTAGCAAACCCACAAAGTACTAATCAGCTGATTTAGACACCCCCGAGAAGCGTTTCCCGTAATGACCTCCTTACCCCAGAACACCGCACCCAAGCGCACTAGGAAGCCGCTCCCCCATCTTACCTCTGCTATCGACCACCTCGAGTCCCGCAGCCTCCAAATATCCACCCTCCTACACACTAGCCCGCTCACCCGCTCCATAATCCCCGACAACGACTACAGCCTCCTCAAGCTCACAAGGTCTCTCACACGCAGCATCTGCGCCACCCTCGACATATTTACTGGTGCACACACGCGCTGCTGGTCCGACGCCACCTTCCGCCAATGCGCACTGCGCTGTCTCCGCCTGCACCGTAGCTTGCAAGACCGCCAGTGTGAGATTGGTGAGATGTTCCATGAGTTTAGGGATTGGAGGTGCAGTGATGATGAGTTTGTGTATGAGAGGTGGCTGGAGGATATTGGGGGTGTGGAGGTGAGCGCGTGGATAGAGGCGAGGATGGTGGAGATTTTGTTGATTGGCTTTTTGGCGGAGATGGCGGAGGAGGACCGGAGATGGCTGGAGAGAAGATTTGGTGGGGTGGATGAGGTGGTGATGGAGCTATATTGTGGTAATGATGGGGGAAATAGCAGTCTGGGACCTCTGAATGTTCCAAGATTTGTGCCGCACACCTCCGGACTCCCACCGGGTTCGTGGTTGTGCTCGAGGTTTTGAACCCACCATAGGCAGAAGATAATATATCTAACGAATAGTTTACAATTGTCCGCAGAAATAAGTCCAGAAAGCATTTGGAATATATAGTAATCGGGAGTGCTTTGCTGCCGTTGAAAGATTAAATATTATGGACGTTCCCTAGAATGACCGATTTTTGAAACCATTTCAATTGACTTTATATTGAAGCTTAAGATAATAGAGGTATAAGAAATCACAGAAATCAAATCTCTTGTACTCTTTCCTTGTGGTTGTGGAAAAGGGCGACGTTGAAATTGAAAATTTGGTTGCAACAATGTTCGGATAATTTTGTCAGCCCCCAATATATATGCTTTCCGAGAGAGTGAACCTTTAAGCAGGGGATAAACTTTCCATCGAGGCACTACGGCTTCGGAAGTTTGTTCACAGTATTTAGAATGTGAACTTTGCTCTCGTGAAGGGAGTTACTCATTTCGAGTGATAAATGGTGATTGCCCACTCCAAGCGTCCGGCTCATTCCATGCCTTCGAGGTGATGTAGCTTCTGTCTCAGTTCAACCACGAAGTAGAAAAAGTGAAATTTTATCAATCCTCGCATGGTTATTAGGTTTAACTAGGTTTATATTAGTTCATCGGCGTATCGTTTCATTTGCCTACTGGGGTCAAAGATAGGAAGATATGTCAGTCAGGAAAAACGATAAAAATTGACATTTTCAAAATCGTTCCGGGAGAACCCTTTATGACCCAGGAAATCGGAAACTTCTCTATCTTTCGGAGGTGACTATTTACGCTAAGGGTCCACGAAAAGAAACTCCAACAAATGCACTATCCAACAAGTCATTACAACCATTAACTAGGCTCCGAAATCTCTACTTATTCGAGCAATCTGATCTATCATTCCCATTCTCCTTCGAGATACCAGCGGTTGTAGATGCCACGGATTTCTACAGGGTTAGGGTTTCCGATGTACATGGTTCTGTTATTAGAGTGCCTTGAAGACTAAGCGGATGAACACAAGCCAGTAATTTATCATCCACGATAACACCAATGGGTCCTATAGACCTGTGACACCGGAGTCCAGTCCTACCCCAATGACACATCCTGCCAACGCGTACCTAATGGACCCAAATGATTAACTCCGGAAGTACAATGTCTTTCGAGTGACTAATGGGTAACCTGGCCACGTATCCTATCAGAATACAGTAGCACAATTAGAATATCTCATGATCCAATCACATAGAAATATTCTAGATACTGAATGAGGAGTACCAAAAGGACAAGGGTGGTGATCATTCCCGGGCCAATTGAATTCTGAGGTATATTGACGATTCCTTAAATAGTTTGTATACGCCAAATGGGTTGTGAAGGACTCCACACCAGTATTTCTCCGTAGCTGTAGGAACTAGAAATACCTGAGGACACCCACCTTCCGTTCTCCCTCAAGAGTAATCAGTACCATCACAGCAAGCACCCAGTCAGTATAATCTTCAAGTAGGTTCCACAAGCTTTTACCCGTAGTATATTCTCCACGTTCCAGTACTAATCCACCCCCCAGGCAATATTCACAATGTCCGGATCCGGATCCTTCCGCCGCCTACTTCGCCGCTCCCCCCGCAGCCCGACCAACAACAGCCCACGGTCTCCACCTCTCGACCCCACCGAAGCCGACCTCGAGCGCCTCGCCGCCCGCAATGAATCCCTTGCCGCCCGTCAAGCCGCCGCCATCGCCGAGACCCACCAGCAGCAGCAAAACGAGATGCTGGAAGAATCATACCACTCGCGCCTGCGAGTCCACGAAGACAGCGACCCCCCGTCTGACACCCCCATGGAGAACCCGTGCCCGCTCTGTGAGCAGCGATCTGCGAATGTGAAGTTCGTGCTGTGCGGGCACCGGGTGTGCAAGACGTGCGCGAAGAGGGAGTATTGGGCGGGGATGCAGAGGCTCAGATGTCCCTTCTGCAGGGTCAATATCTTGAACCTGATGGATGTGACGAACGGTGCGGTAGAGGGGTTGCAGAGTTGGATGTTCCATAATAGCTCGACTTACCGTGCAAGAGGTGGGCGTCCCGGGTAGGGTTTGTTTTCCTTTTGTTTTTCGTTTTTGCTTCTAGCGCTGCCGGTGGTGATGCTATGGCAAGCACATCGAGGATGCTGTACTTCCTGATTAATAGTTTATTTTTTGATATCAATTATGTTAGTTACGTTTAATCTAAATCTTTAATGGGGGTTAGAACGATCCACGAGTAGTCTATATTCTCGATTAAACCAAAACAAACCTCAGAGTCTTGCCCACAACGAGAGAGGACGGATGTTGGGCAATTCGTATGACCCCTTCTTACATCGACGCTGTACGTACAGACAACTCACTCCTTCATGTCAAAGTGATAATTCGAATTAACGGACTCTGTGGACGATCAATGCGGGATCAAACTTAATGTCAACATGTCCTAGGGTTTCTGACAGGAAACGGCGTAGTCGTGATAATTTCGGTGGCATTCCCAAACATCAGCAGCCCATTTGCCTGTTCCTTCTTTTCCTGTTGTTCCAAGCCCAGAGCCCGTAGGCAGCGCCAATTTAACGATCCATCAGTGCAAAAGCCTTTTCCACTGCCACAATGCTGTTAGTGAAAAGTTATCTTACCCCGCTGAGACCCCAAACAGGTTGCAATTCCCCGACCTTTAAGTAGCGCTGCCTTCCCACCCTTTCTGTCCTATCAACCGACACTCCATTTTCTCCCATTACAACATAAAAATCACCGCCCGCTGGACGGTTACACAACCTCTGTAGCCGCAAAAATGGCCCCTGTTCGCACTAGGAAAAAGGGAAGCAAACCCCTGTATTCCTCCCCCTACAAGCGGAACATTGGCGTCATTCTCCGCCAGCGCCCTATTTTACCTTCTCTCAAGCCTTTCGTCCCCGCTCTTCTTACCATCCCCGCCGTCTCCGCCGCTGGGAAAGTGGGAATCCCACTCGAGAAATTCTTAGCATCCTTCTCTATCTCCTCTGTAGAGAAAATTCGCATCCCGTCAGCGGAGAAAACCCCCACCCCGTCCACCGAGAAAGATAGAACCTCGCCGCAAAGACTCGTCGCAACTGCTCCCACATCTGCACACAAATACAAATACGTCCCCGCCGAAATCAGCCCCACCACCGAAAAGGGCACACCCCAGCCGCAAGAAACCCCAACCTCGGCCTCCAGTGTCGTCGCCATCAGCAGTCCGCCGGCGGCCGCCAACGAGGCCATAACGACCTGCATTGCTGCTCGTGTTGGCCGCAAGCCCGTTGCCGCTCAATACACATTCAACGAGTCACCCGCTCTTTTTTCTCGCGGCTGGGGCAGAGCCAGGAAGAATGTTGGCGGGCCCATCCCCTTCAAGCTCTGTCAACGCCCTCCGGACAATGGTGGCATGCGGTTGCGCGAGGATCCGGTGAAGCTGAAGGGAACGTTGTTTAATGGCGGCATGTTTGCAGGTTTCTTGAAGGAGAGTGCTGAAAGAGAGAAAGGAAATGAAACAAGGGAGAGTGATCAAAGGGGTAGTCCAATGAGGCTGGATTCACCGATGAAGGATGAGGCACCGATGAAGGAGGACTCACCAATGACGGTGTATTCACCAATGAAATTGGATATGACAATGCAAGTCGATATGCCAGTGCATATCGATGTATCAGTGCATGAGATTTTCAACGCTCCGCTTGACAGTCCTAAATCACCATACGTCAAGCCTAAATTACCACAACTTTTCCAAAAACTCATACCTACTCTCACCGCAGACCAGAGTGGATCAAAGATGAGCAACGTCAACAGCAAACTCTCCCCCGCGGACGCCAACCATGAAGAGGAATCTGACGATGGGGAAGACTTCAACCAAATATCGCGCATGGACGCTCACACCCACGTCGGCCAGATGCCCTGGATCGCCAACCACACCTACGTCACGACCGCCACGCGCGGCGTTGTCCCCGTCAGCAGCCACGTCCCCTCGCTCCTCGCCGCCATTGAGCGTGGCAAGGGCCTGCTTGATCTCGAGAAGCCTCTACCAGTTCCCCAGGGTGCTGGCTGTACTGCGACTCCAAACTGCCGCCAAAGCCTAGCCTACAATGCTGTTGTCGAGTTCCTCACGCCGAAGGCTGAGACTAAGGATGCCACGCCAATGATCGAGAAGAAAGATGAGTTCGCGGCCTCGCCCGCGTTCAACTTGACGCAGAGGAGTGTCACGGAGAGGAGACTTGGGCCGATTAAAGGGGCTGTGCAGGAGTTGGGTGAGAGGAGTAGGGTTAGAGTGGTGACTGCGGCAGACTGGGTGAATGTGGTGGAGAGGTATGGGGTTAAGATGAGGAGGTTGTAAAGGGTTTAATGTGCTGAGCTGCTGGTAGTTAATCCAGCGGGGTACACAGGCGAATACGAGGCAATATAGGGTATAGCGTAGGAATATAATCCGTTGTTCTCTTGAAATATGTTGCTTGCAGGTGTTTTGTTGGTAATGATTGATGTGATATGTAAATATACCCTTCTGAGGTACTGGCAGATAGGTGGATGTTCTCTTGTGTTATACCTGCGGATATGTGATCTACTGTGGTCCGGTTCAATCTTATCAGTGCCATACACCTAAGACGTCTAATCAGATAATACCATGTTCAATCTTATAGGGTAGCTATGAATCCCAGGCAGTAGCACGGATAGGCTGCCGCTTCGCATCGGAGAGCATTTCAGCGATAGAACCAATTCACATTGCCACACCGGGTTCTTCCATATCATTTAACCCGAATAGATCATGAGGAAAGACCACCGGTTACTGTTTGGACGGATCATAAGTAGATGAGGACCCATCCAACGCGTATTTTATATTTATTGGTGGCGAGTGATAGTGACTGGTATCTAAAAGTGATAGGTATCGAAAGATGTGCTTCCCAAAACACATTACCCTCTATGACCATCTGTCGGTATTCGTATTATACCTGCCATGTTTATCACTGCATCATGTTCATAAAATGAAAATCTGAAGGGGAATTAAAGGAGGAAAGCATGAAGAACGAGTGGCAGAAGGATACTCTCTCAGAGCCTTTTTGCCTGTGAGTTTTGAACGGGTGACGTAGACCGTTTGGCATCAACCCAGACAAATCCGGTTAGGCATTCCCGGGAATCCGTCAACCTGGCGGGTTTCTGTATGTGGAATTCTTTCCTCAAGGCACAGGGGCAGCTTGTCTTCTAAAGGTGGCCAAATCCCTACGATTACACTTTTTCTTATGGCTTACTCACTGTCTTTATTCTCTAAATACTAGCTTCGATATCCCACGGAAGCATGTGTTTCTTTTCTTTCCCGGGAATGTAATGAAGGTCGATTTTTCTTGGTATTAACCAAGATGATTCGGCTGTTTTAAGCTCTGGTACCTAATCTTCGCCAGCATTGAAACTCATGTCTACCCATACGCGTCCATTCCGGTTTCATTTCATATCTAATAGTCGCATCGCACCCCCAGGAACTCATGTTCCAATTCACGAGATCACCATACTATTCAAAAGGTCATCACTAGCGCAGAGCGTTGATATCCAACGGACCTATTAGATCGCAGCATCTCAACCCAGAATTTACTACACCACACCCTCTCGCATAACATCCACCTACCTATACTCGTAGCGTTGTAGGACTAAACCTTAATGCTCGACCTTAACACATGGACTCATAGAAATGCCCGGGAATAGTCACCTGGCACCCTCATGGATGGCTGCTCTTGTACGATACTGAAGCCCAGAGGCCGGGGCTTCATATACGGCCTCCTTCCCAGGGCTTTGGAGAATTCTCTTCTCTTCACCTTAACACTCCTTTCACCGTTTTTCGTTGGAATACCATCTTCGTCCTGCCGGCCACCAGAGTTGTTCACGAAACTCTGCTTACTCGCCGTCACTCATACCCGCTGATATCTACACGATTTCTATTCTCCCATATCAGCGACTACTTACTATGGCCTCAAAGACAGAACTTGTGGCGCTCAGACGACGCATGAATAGGTCCGTAGCCCGGGTTCTGAATCTCCTCAGATCAAAAGATCTACAACCCACCACCATGCCTCTAAGCAGCTTCGAAGCGCGCATCGGTGCTCCGATGAAGGATCCGCTCGCCATAGAAAACAAGGACCCCGTTCCCGGGCCAAAGAAGCCACCCCCACCACCCCCAAACACCCCAACTGGGGACTCCAACAAGGCACCCCTAGAGGCGTTCGACGAGGCAGAGGCCATCCTCTCCAAGAAGCTCCAAGAGGCAAGTGAGATGGAGCTCTCTTACCGCTCCGGTGCGTCTTCCCCGACGCTACCTACATTTCTGGATCGTCTCCGGAGAGCCTGCGCGGAAGCCCACCTCCAACTCCGCCGCCCAGCCCCCCGCCCTCGCCCCGCGGGGCCGCTGGGTAGTTAAAGCCCCCCCGGAAATCCCTCCTGAACTGGAGGAGATCTTGGCAGACCCGAACCTTGAGGAAACGGAGACTGTCCGTGTTGTGGTGACGAGGCCGTTGGCGGGATGGCTCCTTGTCCCGACGCCGCCCCCGACTCCGTACCAGCCTTACGGGTATGATGGTGAGACTATGGTCTCGTACGGCGTTTTTGCCATCAGGTGGGGGTTTGTGGATTTGTGGTTCATTGGGGAGAGTGCGGGGGAGGATGTCGAGGTGGAGTACACGTTTGGTAGTGCCAGGCGTGAGGTCTAGGGCTCCTTGTTGAGGTTTGGCGTTTCGTCTTTGTTGGTTTAGCCTCTGGATTTGTGGAGTTTGGGTTTTCGGTTTTCTTCCTGTTTGTGGGTTTTTCGGTGGTGTTCGGTGTTTCCTTTTTCCTTTTGAGCGCGGGTTCCTGCGGGGTTTTTCGGTGATTTCTTCTGAGTTTCGGTTATTCTTTTGTCGGCCTCGGCCATTCAGAGGGAGTAATAGTTTCTATTTTTCCTCTTTCTCGGGGATGTCCCCGTTGGATGTTTCCTATTTCCTTTAGCAGTGTGTTATTTGGGTCTTTTCCGGGTATCGTCATTTCCTTTAGTTTCATTTTCCTTGTACCGTAATTTAAGGAGGAGGTTATTCCCTATTTCTCTGTTCCTGTTTGAGTAGTTTCTTTTCATATATGTCTCAGTATAACCTTTTTGCGGTTTCTGCTTTCTCTGGGTGTAACGGGCTTCCTCTTTCCGGTTCGTTTTTATGCGTGGTGTTAGGCACCTTCGATACTTTGTTTGTTTAACTTCAATTCATTTTTAACCAGAACGAGTTCTGCAGAGACGTGACATCGTGCGGAAATGATGTGTTCGGTTTACATACACCACAGTACCTCACGGCAATGTGCATATAGTTTCATGTATTATGACTAGAGAGATGAGAGCTCCCTAACTAACCTAATCTCATAACCGCTTTTTCTTGGATCTAAGGACAACCTCTCTATTTCTCCAGCACCTCCTCTGACGCTAACTAACCATCGAGCCCAGTATTCACTCTTTCCGGAGGTCTACACAGAGAACTTAGAATTGCCAGTGATCACAATGAATTCAACACCTTCACGCTATGGTGTCCCTCGGTATCAGTTAAAATCAGGCATTCAATTTCGAGGTGTTGGTTTGATGTATATATTCTGTACGAATTAATGAGCTTAATTAATAATGTTGCAGGTACACCATAAGAAAACAAAAGAATAAACGAGCGCAAATCAACGATTCCCTAAACCTTCACAGAGTCCCCCGCCCCCCCTTCCTCCCAACCGGCGTCCCGTCGTCTTCCATTCTCATGACCCCACCCCCTCACTCCACCAACGCCTACTGTCCATCCCACCCCTCTTCACTCCACCCCCCATCTCCACCCCCCTCTCCCGATAAATCATCAACAGCCTCCGCTTCGTCACCTCTATCTCTGCCAGCCACACTAACACATCTGGTGTGATTGACATTGTGAGCGCCTCATTCACAGTCTGCACCACAGGCGCCGGACACTCCCCCTGGTAGGCACGTAGGATCTCAAACGCCTTGTGAACGACCTCTCTGCTGCCGACGCTCTTGCGCGCAATCGCGAGGGCCTTGTGGTACTCCTGTAGGAGCCTGTGAAGGGTGTCGTGGTGGTGGAGGGTGCTTCTCTCGGTGATGTAGGCACCGCCGAGGAGGGTGTACCAGTCGTCGTGGATTTGGGTGATGAGGGAGGTGTGGGGTGCGACTTTTCGGTACAGGGCTGGGGAGGAGTCAGTCATTACTTCCAAGATTATGATAACGGTAACTGGAGAGTTTAGATACTCGAATCTGGGGTTCTCGGTACTTGCGGAGGCCTGCTTTGCAGCTGGAGGGATTGAGGTCTGTGCTCATTCTGCGTTAGGGGCCTCTTTCTTTTATCGACCAACGCTATACCGCGAGGAACTCAGCACAAGGGCGAGATGGGTTACCGGTGGAGGATAGAATGAGCGCTGGGTTCGGATTTGGGGAGTCAAGAAGAACGGTATAGGGCACTTTGTTCTAGGGTTTGTGAGTCACGTCATTGAAATAGGGCAAAGGCCTCAATGGGCCAGCCCGGGCTGAAAAACAGCGTCGGCCTGGCCCGGCCCATGCTATCAAAATGACGGCCTGGCCCAAACTAAATAGCCCGGGCTTCCGTGAACAGAGGTGTTCGTGGGGAAGAACTGGGTGTTCGTCCATGGGAACTCATCAACCTCTGTTAAATTTACTGTGTTTGTTGGCTGCAAATAGAATATATGGAATATGCTACAGCTCTCTCTGTGGTTTATGGTAAGAAATGTAGAGATGTCTTCGAACTCTCCTTTAAATAACTCAAATTGTATGGAAACCCGACGGCCCGGGCTTACCTATTTAGCCCGGGCCAAAAATTGACCTCCGCCTGGCCCGGCCCATCGAACAAAACCTATGGCCCGGCCTTGCCCGTCAGGAAACAGGCAGGGCCGCCCGTCCCAACTCACGACCCATTGAAGCCATTGAAACAGGGTGAGGAGTGATACTCCCGTCGCTGTTTTTCTTTTTAAAGGCCAGATCAGTGCAGATATAATTAATCTGCAGAAGTAGTCCAGACTCTGACCGGAATGCTGGTAAAACGCAATAAATACTTGGCCTGTTTCAGGGTGCGGTTCTCTCATTAGGATGATACTCTTTCATTCCAAAAGAGACGATAATCAACGTTATGATTCACAATAGGTTCAATTCTCATTATGGACAGAGACTGGATGGAACATATTCTTTTTATTTCTCTTGATACCCCCCCCTCCCCCTTTTTCCAAATCGAATCATTATAACGCCCTCTATATGTCGATGAAAAATAAAATAGAGGAAACTCAGGTATTCCAGACAGCTAATTAAAATTATGCTCAACAGACATCAAACATCCAACGCTCATCCTCTTTCCCCTCTTAGACAACACTCATCTATCATGTTTTCAAAATACAACAGTTCTCCAGGCCCCGAGACACTTCCATCTCTCGCTCCTTATAGACCATAAGGAGTACATGTCTCCTAACCTCGATCTCGGCATCTATCAATTGATCCTCCGCATTTATGGTATCGTTAATCAATCTGGCGCACCGCATTCGGCGGTCCGGGGGCTGGTTCGAGTCATGTCTAATCTCAACAGCTTTCCTGAATTCGTCCTCCCCTAGTGCGATATTCTCTGCTGTGTCGTTTGCTAGGTAATAGATGAATATTCGGACGTGTAGCTCCGATAAATGTTTCAGATCAGCGTGTTCCTTCATTATTTCCCAGTGAAGCATGTTGTGAAACGTACGTTCTATCTCGTCGACTACATTGGACAGTTTCTCCACCTTTTGACCTGAGAGTCGACACATCGTATTCTTGGAAGTGCAGCCCGTCATCCCGGCTTTTCGGGCGCTTATCCTTCGTTTTATAATCAATACTCCGTGATTAGAAATGTTTGTCAATGCTCACTAAAAGACAATAATGATTTGCTTTGATATGAGTCTAGTGAGGGATTTAGACTAAAAAGAATGGTATTTATTCCCAGTTGACAGGCTACATATTGATAGAATTACCCACAACCCTCAGTCACGTAACTCGGGTGTGCATTACGCTAACTAGTAGGTTTCCAGATCTCTAGACAATTCTAATTTCCGGTCTGTGTAGTTCCTTAAAAGAATGCTTTCTAAAGTCCGCTTCCGCCCGAGGAGAGACTTTGCAACCCTTTTAGAAAGGCAAATCGCCTTTGGAGCAGACCAGCGCTAAGCAGAATCCCCCCTAGGATGAACTAGTAGTTTTCCAGACTCTTCCGCATTTCGAGTTTCCGCTCCGCATAGATCATGAGGAGAACTTGTTTTCTCATGCGCGCTTCAGCCTCAATGCAATGCTTCACAAGAAATTTCGAGCGATCAAGTGACCTTATAGCAGCTCGACGTCGAGCTGGTGTCTCCATTGGATTATTTCTGATTGCAACAGCCTCCAGACGTCCAGCCTCATTAAGACCTCCTTCTTCGCTAAACCGCTCAATACATGTCTGGTATTGGTTTCTGTACATTTGTAGCCCTCGCAGCATATGAACAATCCAGTACTCTTCAAGATCCCACTCAAGCATACTGTCAAAGGTACGTTGTACCTGCTCAACCATTTCGGACCATTTTTCGACTTTACGTGTATCTGGAGGAGGGTTCGGCTGTGCATTAATCTGGCTGGAAGCTGTCATCTTGAATGTCTCAGAGTGAGGGATTGAAGATTCTTGAATATAGAAGGTGTTTTCTAGTGCTAGGACTGTGTGGATAAAACAGTACTGAGATGAATAGGCTTACGGAGCAGCAAGTACCTCCAAGGTTTATTTATTTGCAAGTACAGGGTTAAATACATATAGAAATGATAAGAATCCCCAATCAAGCCAATCACATGCAGCAATGCACTAGTAGTTTTCCAGGCCTCGACGCACTTCTAATTCCCGCTCCGCATAGATCATTCGGAGAATATGTTTTCGCATTTCCACCTCAGCTTCAATGATTAACCCTTCAAGAAACTTCGAGTAGTCTAGTGCCCTCGCAGCCTCGTTACGCCGAGCTAGGGTCTCCCTAGGATCATCTCTGATTTCAAGATTCTCCAAACGTTCAGCTTCATAAAGGCCATTCCTGTTGAACCGTTCGATTTCTGTCTGATAATCTCTTCCGTAGCTTTGCAGCGTTTGTAGCCTACTATCAGCCCAGTACTCTTCGACGTTCCAGTTAAGCATATAGTCAAAGGTACGTTCTACCTGCTCAACCATTTGGGACCATTTCTCGACCTTACGTGTAGCAGGACGGGGAGAGTTTGGCTTTATAGTAACCTGGGTGGAAAAGGTCATCTTGGGTGTTAAGAGTGCTAGATTGATGTTCCAGAGTCGTTGCTGGAGCTGAGGCTGATCTTTCATGTAGCAATACAGAGGAATATGAACATAGCCCAGGAAGTACCTACACAAGATATTTATTTAACACAAATATAGGGTTAAGTACATATAGAAATGATAGCTGTCCCTGATCAAGTTGATCACATGTACCAAGGTACTAGTGGTTTTCCAAACTTCGGCGCGCTTCTGATATATCCGCTGCCTATAGATCTATCGGAGAATCTGGTTCTCAAGTACATCTCACCGTTAAACGCATATTTCTCAAGATCTTTCGAGTCTTTAAGAGACTTCTTAGGGGACCGGCGTCGAGCTGGTGGCTCCCCCGGGGATTATTTCTAATTCCAACTATCTCCAGAAGTCTAGCTTCATCAAGTCCTTCCTCATTAAACCGCTGAACATCTTCCTGATAAAGTAATAAGTTAGCTCGGACCATTTCCAGCCCATGCAAAGTCCACATATCTTCGTTAACCCAACCAAAGTATATTGTCAGAGGTACGTTCTACCAGCAAAAGCGTATCTATGCATAGTGTATAATTGCTTATCCTGTCCCGCTACAGTTCATTAGATCCCCCTGTAAATCATTCTTAAATTTCACCTTCTCGTCGCTAATCTCGAGGTAAATTGCAACCGGATGATAATTCAAGAATAGGGACTTCACTCCTCTAATATTACTAAAATTGCTGTATCCCGAAGAACTGATAATGAAACATTAATAATGTGGAGTACCTCTAGATATCCCTGCTATTGATTGTAGAATCTTCATTTCGCCCTCCGTTCTTGGACCACCCTCCGGCCTCCACTAATGGTCCACCAAGTGTGTACACCCAACTGCATAACATTTCAGGTTTCTTATCATTTGTCTCTGCCTATCTGCATAGATCATGAAGAGGATATGTTTCCTAAGCTTTATTTCCCATTGTATCATCTGAATCTCATCCAACTTCCACCGGTACCAGTCCCTAACGCTCCATTTATCGCTAACAGTACGCCAATCGGCACCGTGCTCAATCTTGCCGTGTTCCTCGTTCCAATGTGAGTTGGCCATCCTGAGGATTTCGTAATACATTTCGTGGAGGAAGTGCAGGTGCCTGTAATGGGACTCGGTCCTCCACTCTTGGTCGTACTCCCAGTCCATCCAATCCTTCCACGGGCACTACATGAAGTTCGTTAGTTTGATATATCGCTTAACTTTGATTATTATTTGGGCAGTGTGCCTGAGGTACATACCAGCTTAGAGGAGCCGACCATTCCCGTGAGTTATATTTGTGAAGAATCAGAGGTTTGATGGGTTTTATTTCCTTGATTCAATGTGTTAATCTTATCAGTTTATAGTGTGGGGTAAGCGTTTTTATAGGCCGCCGGAAGTTCGCTGCTTAAATCCTCCGATACCCCAAGGCGGAGGAGATGCTTTATGGCTCAATATAGAGCCCTACCCAGGTCCAGGGGCCATAGAAGGTAAATAGCCACTGCCCACATACATCCCCACTTGAAATCACACCCACACAGATATGCCTAGGTTAACCGCGATTGATTCAATTGTATTTGCCAGGATCAAAACTTCATTTGCATTCTCCAAACTGTCCACATTTTATACCACTCCGAACACGTGCACTCAAACCCTATCTCTGACTCTACGGGCCATACCCTCTACAGCATCAACATACACCCCACCCTCCTCCATATCACCATCCTGCACCCCCGTATCCTCATAACTTGCGTACCCTAGCCCAACCCCGCCCTGCGCAATTTCATCTTGCTCAACCTGCCATAGATGCTCCACCCCGAGCTCACGGATATGCGAGTTCAGGCGGTTAATCTCCATATTGAGATCTCTAATCATCTTCACGACTTCCCAGTCTGCGTCGGTAAAGTTTTCACACTCCTTCCGTGGCGTCACCAGGACGTGTAGCTTGTCTTCAGTGGTCTTGAGCTGGTCCCGGAGGTGTTGCAGGTTGTGGCCCGAGGTGGGGGTGCCGTCGATGTGGTCGGCGTTGCCAGTTGTTGCTTGTGTACACATTTGTGCTAATGGGAAAGTTATTTTTCGCTATAATAGGTATTCGGAAAATGCTTGTGTGTTTAAACTTTCTGAAAGTATAAGCATCTTCATAGCTTAAATGCACCCATAGTGCAATAAACAAATTTAAAGGTGCGAAGGTCTGATAAATTGTGATAGGGTAGACACTTTCTAGTTTCGAAGATCGACGATTGCAGGTGCCTGATGAATAGAATCATATTACAACATCAAAAGCATGAGTGCCTTATGCATTTCTAGCGTTGATACCGCGACCCGGAGGCGAGGCCAAATTCGCCATCGCCATCGCTTAGGCGTTTGAGCATAACATAGTAGGTCATCCATAAATTCCTAGGCGCCAGTTGGATTCACGTTATAGATGTCTCCCATATGTCGGGATAACCAATCCTCTTGGCGCATAGCGTATCACTCGAGCTCGCGTAAATCATGGCTGATCACTCGATTTGTCATCGGCTGATAGACTATCACTCGATCGATGATCCTTGACAATATGTCACTCAAGGTTTGAGGAAATCTCATGGTGGGATTTCTTTCTCACGATATCGCTGTTAAACTCTTACAGGAAGGTAATAGCTGGCTACTGTCCTATTTCGACCTCATAACTAAGTTTAGGAGGTCTTCCAAGTAAAGACCTCCGGTCAACTGGACTAAACCGTTTTTGGCATTGGGATGGACGCGTGTTGTTCTATTCCAAAGAAGCTTTATTTAGCTACCGGATAACTAGTCACGAGGCACCCTCACACCGAAACCACTACTTTCCCTTATAAAAAGCTCCCACACCTTCTCCACCACCTCCCACTCATGAAACAACAGGTCATTCCACATCAGCACATACATATGCGTTACCCCCTCCAGCACTTCCTTCAACGGCCCAAACCCTCTCCTTATATCATTCCAAAATGTTAAAAACGCGTCTCTCACCTCGGCGTAAAACTGCCGCGGTTGTAATTTTACAACAGAGTTTCCCGTCCACCCGACGAGATGCGCCAGCCTCCATAGCAGCGACAGCAGCTCGGTGACGCGGCGGCGGAATGGAAGGATCTTGTAGGCCGCAAAGGGCGCTTTGCTGACCACCTGGTAGGATTGGAGCAGCGTGCATTGAATGTAGAGGAGGTCATCGAAGAGGCGCAGCGGGCCGGAGAAGAGCTCGAACTCGCCGATGAGACTGTAGACGCGGAGGTCGATGTGGTATAAGAGGCCGTGGAGTTCATCGATGAGATTCCCGCTGAGGATCTCATCTAGGGTTACGGGCGTCTCGCGCTGGAAGGCGGGGGGGATGACTGTGCTTTTGGCCATTGCTTAAGAGGGATTGAGAGAAATTTTGAGTTCGAACTTTGGGAAGATAGGGGTATATCAGTTTTAGATATCTGATCTTACCAGTTGGTCCGTGGATGAAATGCTTGCTCCCCCTCGTCCACCCTTAACCTAGATCTTTGACTGAAGGAACTGTGATTTATTCTATATTTCCTTGACCGTAGTTTCCTTCTGCGATAAGATCGACAGTCCAGTGAGCATTCTAAGAGATTAGCGCACAATATATATAGTAGTTGGAACGTCATGGAAGAAACTACTGCTTTTGGTTTGGCGTCGCCGCTAATGATAGAGGAGATAATATAGAATTCATTGATGAGACAACTAGATTCTCAAGGAAATGTCCTGGCCTCCATCACTTGAATAGAAGTTTTCGGAGCTTATCCATTTAACTGGTGAGAAATCGCTTGTGTCAAGCTCACGAAGGGGTGAGCATGAAGCCGTAACCCCAACCCTACTACCGTGTGCAACAGGACAGACAACCCCTCCAACCGAAACACTCTCAACCGACAACAACATCGACACTGAACGAAAGACGGTCATCACAAAAGGTCCCCCACCTGAATAGCGCAAGTTTCCTAGCCTGTCATCTCTACGCACACCGCCTAAAGCTAGCCCTTCGAAAATTACATATAGGGAAAGGAAATCATCGTGGGAGACTACCTTCAACTTACCGAATATGTGAAATCTGGTGACTATCGACGCTGTCTGTTGCTGCCGCATCGCAGACGAAAATCGTTTTACTTGACGGCTGTAACGTCTCGCGGTCGCCGTATTCTCGTTCAACCCCCGAAAAAAGGAAATAGGGCAAAACATACAGCACCGACAACCACCAGCAGCAGCAACAACGACACGAAAACACACACCCAACCACATCAACGGCCCCCCAAGGCTGCTTTACCCACCTTCCCTCACCTCACACCCGGCGCAACACAAGGTAAGCAAACCCCCAACCCCCTTCCCTCCCGATACCAACCTCTGGCTCTGCGGGCCTTGCAGCCACCCATCCAGCCCTCATCGCCGCACGGCACGGTCGATCCTCTAGCACGCCCGCTACTTAGTGGGCAGGCGTACATGCCGCTCTAATCGCAGGTGGCCATCTCGCCCACCTGTTTGACATTGGGGAGTGGGTTGGTATTGGCTTTTTGAATATTGTACTAATTTTGTATACTGTTTGCAGGTTCTGAAATATTGAGTTCGTCAAAATTACGTTCCGGAGGCAGGGAGCGCTCGGTGTTGCAGTTTCCAGAGCGAACAAAGTCTGTTCGGCGGTTCGGTTGGGCATGAGAGATACCGGGGAGGACAAAAGACAAAGGGCCTTCCCAGGTATCACGAGGCGGGCCCTGCCCTCGCCATCTTCTCACTCGGTTCTTCTACGCCACCGCTCGTTACCCCCGGAAATCATGTGAAGGAAGTACGGTAAGACAACGCCGGCGATGTATACATGTAATTCTATAGTATCAGATATAAAAAGTTTACCCTCCCGGTATATGAAAATACCGCTTCTATATTGGCGGGCAGAGAGGAAGAAAAGAATCCTTATTTCCGCATTCATGACAATGTCCCAGATTACACACCCGCAAATAAGTGTTGTTCAAGCACGTCACAATTAATTCCTGCAAATACCGAAGGGAGTCTCTGGACAGAATGAAACCTACAAGCTAAAAGAAAAGTGCACGAAAAATCATAGTTTTATACATGAAAGCACATTCGTATCCACTGTACGCAAAAAGAAGAAAAGGTAGCATTCATGGTCCAGCCATAAATACTACCCCCACCCCCGGGTTGAACCCTGGACCTTCTGCAATCAAAGGCAAGGCACAACCTCACGGTGTCCGTCCAGGGGGCGAGTTACCAATTAAGCCACTCGCCCATGAATGCTTTTCGCCCGGAGTGTGTTTTTAATGCTGAGGAGGGCCAAGGATGGAGGGCGAGAGGGCTAACCCGATTAGGCGTTACCTAGGTGTCATAAGTTGTCACTCGTAGCTCAGTAAAGTTGGCTTCTTGGTGGAAGTCAGGTGTTTGTGCGATCATAAAGCTTCTCTCGTTACAATGCTCGTCACCTACAAAGTCATGGTGAAGGTTCCCGTCTTGAGTCTTGACTCACTCTACCGGCCTACCACCCAGGCTGGTCATCATCTACGTTCAGAAAGGCTCATTGGTCCTCGCCATCCAATCTAATGCTTTGCGCACCCGTAGAATTGACACTATGATATAAAGTTATCGTATATAGGTGTTCTTGCTAAATCACACACTGATAACAGACAAGTAGATATAACCAGCCAAACACCCCGACCACTCTCCCAACACCTATCTTTCTAGTCGAAAATTAAACTAACCACGTGTCTTCAACACGAAGCCCCTACAAAGTCCACAATACCAAACCAACAACCCATAACCCCATCCAGAATGAAAATGCCCGCCTCCCTCATCCCCCTCACGCTCCACGCCTTCGCTATTTCCCACATCACAACCCGCCTTACCAGCCTCACCACGAAACTTCAAGATGCGTCCAGGCTGGTAACTTACTACAGCAGCCTCCCGCGCCGCTCCATCCCCCTCCCCACGCTCATCAGCATCTCCCGCGCCCTCCGCAACACCCAGCTGTCCCTCGGGCTGCACATCCTCGTCGATGACCTCCTCGAAAAGCTCTTGGTGCCTGACATCTTTAGTGCCGCGCAGCTTGCGCACCATCGTGTCGTGGTGCGGGACTACGAAACGGCGCTCGAGGGCATGAACCAAGTGCGAGATGCGTTGGTGGACCTGGCGGAGAGGGAAATTGGGGCGGTGGACGAAAAGGTTGTGGGTGACCCGGTGGACGTCGGGATGGGTACCCATGTGTTGAGTACGGCCTTGTATTGCGAGGAGAGGGAGGAGGATCAGGCGGATGTGGTGATGGGGTGGATGTGGGAGGCGAGGAAACTGTTCCTGGAGACCTTTGGGGCAGCAGAGGGACGGGGAGGTGTCGTTGTCGCATCTCTCGACATTGTGTGAAGAGTTATTTTGGGACTGTCGCCTGCCGAGTCGGGCAAGCTGGTTGGAGGTTAAACAGAAGCCGGGGTCGCCTTGCACCCAAGATGAAGAGATCTCCGTAATTATTCCTGAGGTGATGGTATAGCTCCTTTTATTATGCGTATGAACGCAGTATGATTGTTTTGCAGTTTCGTTTCCTTGAAGCACACTTTTGAGTGCTCTCTATTTCCAAGTGTTTAATGCCGTTTTTTTTATGGCTTGTGGAAGTTAAAGGTCAGATTTAATGGTAGGAGTTTGTGCTCACAGCCTTAAGTTAGGCTCAATCTCAATGAATTCATGATTTAGAAACACAGGTTCTCTCCGAATTAAAAATCGTAACGATAACCCTGGTTCTGTGATAAAGACCCTTATTCTTTAACTCGTGTGTAGATCAGGAGGGAATACCTGTCCATTCGAATACATAATCCAGCATGCCCCAAAGTCTTTTGCGGATAGATGTCGATAGTGTGGCGCCGGTATGAAAGGCCAGTCTCCACCTCTAATTCCCCCGCCCAACGAAGAGCAGCTCGGACACGACCTGGGCGCTTTACACTCCCGGATATCACCAAAAGTAGCGAGAGATTCCTATTATTCAATTTTGATTCCATACCTGGCGCCCCTCTGCGCTCACTCACCGATGATGAAAACAACCGATCTGGCCTGGTAGGCATCGATGTGATAGTCTGGAAAGTCGTCTTAAGGTGCCGGAGGTGGACACTCGGTAGGGGGTAAATGACCACCGAGCTAAATCCTGCAGACCAAGAGAGTTGAATGGATGCTTCTGATGAATTTCTTTGTTGATTTGATGCGATAAAAGCTGAATTGCATTTATTCCCAAATTCGTCCAAACTCTTGTGGTGTGAAGTTGAGAGTTTAGCCTAGGCGCTTGTAGCAGAGCCGCACCCTGCACACTAACTCGATGCGGGTTCAACAACCTATGGCGGGGCCGCTCACCACCTCTCATGCAACATCTTGTTACCACCAACGTCGCCTCATCACCAACATCGACAACCTTTGTACAGCACAGCCCGTGTACACCTGCCGAAACTGGAGATCCAGCTGCTCTATTCGGGTCGTCAAAGCAGAGGGATCATACCAAGCAAAGATTTTACTTTCTCAATCATTATTTGATCGATAATTTTATCTTCACCTTTAACCCAAGCTCAAGAATCTTGTGGTTCTTACGGCTTTTGCTATCACGATCTTCGCTACCCTATGGCCGGCAATGAGATCGAAGGTAAGTTTACTGCGCATGCCCTCATGCACTGCGTTCCCAAATATCCCCACTCGGGAGGCTACGTCAATAGAGAGCTAATAGATCTATCTAGCCTTCAAGGGATCGAATAAAACACTCGTCTTCCTCCCTCGTTTGTAACCTCGAATTTACAAACGATGCCTGCACCATTTCACTGCATTTCAGAGGTGGAAATTGCAAGGTTAAACGTCTATACATCCTACAGGTAACTCCACACTGGGATAAAATGATATTGCATATATCCCAGTGCCAATAGCTACAGGTCCTTAGAATCAGGTTCCCTACCATCCTAGCACCGGAGGCGGTGAACTTGGCAACCACGATCTGCGGTTCCACCACATCTTATCGGTCTACAGCGTTGTGGGACCAGCCTATCGTCAACGTCGCACTTAAGATATTCAAGGTTAAGTTTATCCCTATGTACCGGACTGGCAATTGTGTATATTTTGCATATGCCACATCTTCGATATGAGTTGAGGCACGAGGCTCATAGAATGTCCTTGTAGATGCCTGGGGGAGGGGTCTTTCATTCTAGAACAGCTAGAATACTCATACCGTCGCATGTTCAGGTCTGACCCTGATCATATTGATTGGTTCGCTACCTCAATATGGCGGTGGAGTAGTTTTCGACCAATCAGGATTCGCGAATTCTGGCGTTTGAAGTGATACAAACTGTTATTTGGAGCCCTCGCTCGATGCAACGCGCCGTATTCCCTTTTTTTCTTCTTTTTTTTTCCACAGTGTTCCGGATCCGCTACGGGCCTATAAAACACTGCAGGTCCCCCATCACTACTGAGAAGTACCTCTCAATCACTCTTCCACCTTCATTCCTCTCTACAAACATATTTCTCAAGCTCACCATGCCAGACCAACCCTACACATCGGACCTCCGGAGGCGCATAGCCGAGCGCGTCACCGGGTTCGTCCCCCCACGCCAGATATTCACCTCTCCCCGCCGGCGCATACCTCCTGAGCCTGTTCCTATTCCTACAACCCTCCGTCCCCCTGGGCCCAACCGTTATGACCAAGACTCGGAGCGATCTCAAGCCAGGTTGCAAGGCTCGCAAAATTCCGGGAGCCCGCCAAGTCGTGGTAACTCTCCACCACCTGATGTATTCGTTATTGATCTTACAATGTCTTCGGACGAAGAGTTCAACCCTGTCCCAAGGCTCCTGCTTCGAGTCCTGCAGACCAATCGACGCTCGCTACACCCTCTCGTGGCGGGACCAAAAGGGCTGCTGGACAATCCCCTGAGCTTGCTTCCGAGCGGGGTAGGAAAGCAGGCCGTGGAGCTCGCCTCGTGAGATTCGCTGATGACGAGGACGAATCCCCGCGCCCTCCTGGCCGGCGAAGAAGCAAAGCAAATCTGGAAACTTATGTCATGAGGTTCGCTATTGACGAAGGGCAGCGGTCTAACACCCCGCCACCTGCGCCCGTGCGCCCGTCCCGCGGCAGGGGACCACGAGGATCGATCAGCCGTGGTTCGCTATCCATGCCGGGGCGACGGGGACGACCAGCTACTCTCGGTCTTTTTGAGACACCTCCGGTGTTCCAGTCGTTGAAAATTAAAGATTATGATGTCTTTCAGGACTCAGATAATGAGTCGCTTCATTCCCCTACTGCAGGGAAGAAACCGCGCTTAGCACCCGCGGTTCTGAGGGGTAGCCGTGGCCGAAGGTCAACTACGGGAGGGAGGACAAAGACTCTTGTGCCGGCAAGTACTCGGGGAGGGAAGAATAAAGACGCCCAAGAGCTCCTTGGATGGGATAATGAGGAGCTTCAGGATCACCCCGTCTTAAAGCCCGAGACTCCACCACCCGCCAGTCCGGCCACATCCGAACAGCAAGATGAAATTACGGATGCAGCTTCTGTGACATCTGATGAAGGATATATCAGTCCCCTCAGGGGACTAGACGCGGTAGTCGCACTCGCACGGGCGCAAGCACATAACGCGATTGAGAGAGCTACCTATACGGAGCAGCAGAAAGCGTTGGACTCGCTGCGTGATGCTAGGGAGCGGCGAATGGAGGAGTTTAATAAGCTGGCCAAGCGGCAGGCAAAGAAACGGCTTGAGCTCCGGGGAAATAGAGCGATTGATGGAGCAGCGCCGACCAGCGCGGATGGTGGGAAGCCAGACCTGGTATGGGTGAAGGGGAGGCCATATATGAGGTCCCCCCCGCCCGCTGAGAAGGATCCCAAGGGCAGCAGGTAGGTTTGGTGGGAACTTGTGGGGCGTTCGTTTGAGCGGGTAGTTTTAGGGTATGGGGTGTATGACGGGGGTGTGAGGTAGCGGGTTCCAATTCTTGCCTAGTTGGGCTTCAGCACCGCAGCCGGGCGCTATTTTTTTCTTCGTACTTTTTTGTTTATGGACCACATGCGTATGATTATTCTTACCACAATGTTCAACCTTTTCCTGTAATGTACGTAGCTAATGAGATTTTCACTCATTCCTAATGAAAGCTATCATGATAAAACATCACTAGAATATCACCAGCGTGCTAAATCTTAACTAATTCTAGATTCGTGGTATCCAAACATCCTTGCGGTGGTTGCTGGTAGGCATGGAAGTGGGACTACGCGAGTGATATATTATGATTAAACCGAGTGATAATCTATGCTCCGCCTCCGGCACTTCATGGGTTATCACTCGGGATTAATAACATCCGAATATCCCCAGCTGAGCACTGAAAGGTATCGATTCGAGTGTATCTTGTCCTCCTACAGAGCATTACCACTGAATGAATACATAGTACCCTCGCAATATCCGGACAAAGAATAGCTTCTATGGTAGTGGATGAAGGCCGCTCAAGCCAACTCCTCGCAATAGAAAGAATGCTTTCACAGATAGTAAATGCTGGATAGTCTCATTAAAGTCTGGTGTAAGGGCAAGCAAGATGAAAAGAAACATAAATAGTCTTCAAATTTCCTTCATTCGTGTGGTAATAAAAATAATCCTCAGCATAGATTAATCTAACACTCCAATAACCCGTAGATTTATATGACCTGAATGACAATATGTCTAACCGCACAAACTATGAAGCTGATGATAGGCGGAGGCGTGCTCTTACCCCGTCCGTCCGAGATCGCTACTACGACCGCTGTTCTGCCTCACCCCCAGCCCCGGGACGAACTACATATCACGAACGGGACTCGGTGTCTAGGGAATCTACGCCTAGGGTAACTGCGCCACAGTCGCGTGGGGGCACGCTGGGGGAGCCTGTTGTCTGGGTTATGGCGCCGACTTGGTAGTGGCTTAACAGTATCACTCCCGAGGCGCGGGAGCGTGAGGAGGAGGACTTCCTGAGACGTATGTAGTCCTGTCGCTCTTAGGATGTCTAATATGGGTGTTTTCGGGTTTCTCGACAGCTGATTGGTCGAGAGCGAGGGACCCTAGCCCACATGGCAACCAACCCACGCCATGAATTGGAAGAGGGGGCCGAAGGCCCCCATTGAAGCCCCCAGAGTTTAGGTGGAGATGGATGGAGGTGGAAAGAGGTCGCCCGTTGACGCTTCCCGCATAATTAATTCAACTCGCGGTCGCGAGTGCGATGGACCCCCTAGTTGTTATGTGTGATATGATCATGTGTGTAGTGTCTGATACCTTCCTGGAGTCTGTTCAGAACCGAGACGCGCAGCGGGCGTTTGCAGACGGAAGAGCAGCGCTTGGGCGGATCAGTGCCCATGTAAGTGCCCTCCGAGAACGACATAATATAGTAGAGATGACGCAGAGGGGGTATGAGCAGGGACATGTTAACGGTTCTGATAGAACCGCGACCCAGCCGATTGTTATTACAGAGTTTGCTGGGTCCCCGGCGGACAATGTCTAGGCGGTCATTATTATGCTGGTGGAGTACGTAGAGAATGAGGAGAATAGCCTTCGGGAGTTTTTGGAGCCCTTTAGGGTGCAGGAGGAGGGGAGGGGGTAGAGCAGGTACGGTGAGGAGGTAAGGCGGAGGTGGGCAGTGAGGTGGGGGAGTGGATGGGGTTATTTGTGTGTATATATATATTTGGGTATGGTGTGGGGGGTTGTTTTTTGTCTTTTGTGCTGCGATTTGTGTATTTATTTAATGAGAAATTTAGTTATGAAACCTCTACGATAATCCCATCTGAGGTCTTGTTTTTCCCTGGCCGGGGGGGGGGGGTGCGCGTTGTATATATGTGGTCTTTCAGTTGTACCTGATCATAAAATATCACTCGGTTGGTAACAAACTCAAAATGATCGTGATTTCTGAATGGTTCCCCAGCTTACAGAAGGGCTTAGGACTAGGGTGTCAAACTAGTTAGTCTAATGGCTCCAGTTATCGACTCTGCTGAGCATTGGTGTCCCAAAATGATTTCAGGTTGCACCAAACGAACATTGCTCTCTTTGGTGATATCTGGTATTTTGGCGTCTTTGTTATCTGTTATTAACACTGTGTGAAGAGAACAAGGTAGACCTTCTTGATAATACGTGTTGTTTAATACATCCTTCCCCATAAATGAGCCATCCTCCGTTCTTGTTAAGCCTTGATCCTGTCATAATATAGGATTCTCTTGAGTTTCCTATAGGACCGCGACATGAATAACAACCTTTATGTTCATGAACCCACTGTCTCTTTCCGATTCAGCTCCCTTCACCCATGGTTGAAGTCACACAATTCAAGCTTCCTCATGAAGCTGCGATATCAAGTTTTCTCCATTGAATGGCGAAGGGATCCACCCCGCATAAGTGACGATTCCATGATGCATTTTCCGGACAGCTCTATCATAAACATCGAGATAGAAATCATCAGCCACTACATCATTTTCCCTACTCTAGTTCTTTGTGCTTCTATATAGAATAAAGCCTGTGATGTACATTCGTACCCAAAGAGTGGAGATACAGGGGCCACAAATTCCATTGTGTCTCCATAGAAAACCCTGAATATACGACAATATTCTAGGGTATGCTATTTCTTGTGGGCTATATCTATTTGAGTGCATGTCCACAGCCCTACAGTTTCTCTGAATCAAGCTAAACCATTTGTGTCTATCCATCATTACTCAGTACTACCACTGTCGGAATCACTCATCAAATCGCACATCCTACTCAACCTATATATAAAATGTTCATTCGACCATCATCCTCCCACGGCGACCGCCCTTCGCTGGATAGGTCCCCGTCCCAGGACCCCCGCTCACCCCGGAATTCAAGACGAGTCATATACAGCTTCTCTCCACTTGCCCAGCCGTTAGCATCAAACATTGAGCTCCTAGAGTCTACGCCAGTTGCCAGTCAAGCGCAGATCGAGGCATTGTACGAGGGTAAGATCTCACCTCCGGGATAAAATAATAATATACTGCCAGATATTAACTTGTGAATTATTCAGCATGCCGTATGCTCATAGTCGCTGTCAGCGGCGGCTACGCTCCTTCCGAGATCTCCTCCAGCCGGCAGTCTTTTATCGACGCCCGAAACGCCATGCGCTCCACCCCACCAGGTAGTAGCGAGAGCATCATTTCATGGCTCGAAGACCAATCTCCCGTCTCAGAACACTTTCTCCCGGTCATCTCACCGACTAGTACTTCTCGCTCCTCCGGCAGTATATCAGTGCATAGCATGGACAGTGGCGAGGAGATCATTTATAATGCCAGTGTGATCAGTGAGAGCGAGGCGGAGAGGATGCAGGCCGAGGAGAGGATCATCAGTGATAGGGATTGGGAGATGGTGGAGCAGCTTCCGGTGCCAATTGGGCATGCACAGATCATTTGGATGATGCGCTTGGACGAGTATGAGGATGAGATGGTGCTGCAGGGGATGAGGGGGCATGTCTTCGCTTTGCGAGGAGGGATACATAGGCGGCTAGATAAATTGGAGCGGTAAAACGTTCTGGTGTGCTGGAGAACCTAGGTCAGAGCATGTTGGGGGGTGGGGGAGTAGTAGTAGGTGGAAAGTGTTAGCTTATTAACTTCTGGTTATCTTATTTAATTTATTTGTAGCAGATAAAGGTTGGTGTCCGTATAAAGACTGACATACCTCGCAATAGTCAGGTTATTTACAGAGGGCTTGTATGCCGTGTTGAATATTTCCGAATGAAAATATGAAGTATTGGCTCTCTGTCTCTCCCTGCCTAATACGTTCGTCTGGGTTTATGTTTGGCTATTGTGATGCGGAGAGTGCCAAGTCGAAATGGTAGACCGAAGAACCAGGGCAAAGGAGCCGTCGTTTCACATGCGGGTCCCATGACGTAGAAGAGCTGCCCAATCGCATCTAAGAAATCAGCGACCGTACCAAGTGATCCGACCAATTGAATCCAGTCCCATAGAAAGAGAGGCTGTCCGTCTGTTATTATTAACAGCCTCGCTGAGGTCCATCCATACCCCACCAACCACCAAAATCTACCACCCTTATAGCATTCCGAAGGTTTTCAATCGTCAGAGAATATCAAACAATCTCCAAACACCGCAATCCTGTTCTTTCTACATATCATCAAAGCACACTCTCTCCTCTCTCCACTTCCAATGGCACCTACCCCACCCCCCACCAACGGACTCACTCCCACCAGGACTTACCCCCATTCCAGCCATCCCATTCACGCCACCCTTCGCACTTTCCCCACCCTCCCCATCGCTCCCACCCCCCTCCTCCACGCCCCCCCTCCACGCTTCCACCGCCAGCACTATATCACCCTCGGCGGGGAGTTCGAGAACGCACGCAACACCTCCCACCAGCAGGCAACCAGCACAAGCCCCTCCCACCAATACGCAAACCACACAGCCCACCACCAGTTCCCGCAAGCACTCGCAAATGTATCCACCACCCCGGAGCCACAGCCAACAAAAGAAAATGACCCCGAAGAGAGCTTTGGGCGCGCGGGCATGTTCCGCTATGGAAGAGCGCCGTATGCGAGGTCGCTCACTAGGAGGGGTGTGAGGGACTTCAGCGCTACACAGATCGAGCTTCAGGCGGCGGAAGCTTGTGTGGCTGCGCAGAACGGTGTGGCCCGACAGGATCAGCATAGATCACAGGAGGAGGAGGAGGGAGAGGAGGATGAGAGCTTTGAGGCGTGGTGCAAGGCCCATGGGCTTTTGTCTGAGGGGATGGAGGAGAAGGACGGGGTTTTTGATGATGATGAACGAGTACTATCGGGTATGTTGCTGGTTGTGGTTGGGGTGCTGTGGGTTCTGCTCTCGTCGTGGGGCTCTGTTTGCTTCAACATATGGGCGTTGAGGAGACATGTTGCGGTTGTGTTTTTGTTTTCTTACTTAGCCCTGTTGGGTGCAATATGTGGAATCAATGCGTACTTTTCTTTTGATTTGTGTTGTTTGGTGGTTTGGTTCTCTTCTTTACAATTTGTCCTTGCGTAGTTCGGCCTTCTTTTCGTTCTCTTTGTTGCCTCTCTCATTGCTCTTCTCGCTGTTTTCTTGTTGCCCCCCCCCCCCCCGGCTATTTCAATTTTTCATTCTCTCGTTTGTTCGTTGTTTTTAATGTTTCGTGTCTTCTCTAGCCCTTTGTCTCGTTGCCATTCCCGGAGGAGTGCTTAGCTTACTTCTTATCATTTTGCTGCAGCCTCGCAGATCGAAATTATAATAATTATAGCATTCCTCGTATCCTCCCGAGTGAAAAGTAATTGACACGGCCATCGCGCCGAAATCAAATCTTTTCCAGACAAGCTAGGCTTGAAATCGGAGGTGGAGAACTTATATCGTGTTTGCAGGATGATTCCCCTACACAAAGTCCTATAGACTGATGGTATCGCTCATAAATCTTTCTACCCTGGGATTAAGCCTGAAGCTAGATGTATTTTGGCCATGGAAGGTGTTTGTCCACCCAATCCCTTCCTCCGAAGGGAAGTCTATTACCACCTACCCAGTCCGCCCGTAGCCGAGCGCCATGATTTACCTAAACGAAGCGTGGCCCATCCACTCAGAGGACAACGAAACCATCCTAGTATCAAATCAAAACATATCTCGAAAACACAGAAAACAAACGAGATTACAATCATTCAAGCATAGTTACATAGGGTCCCCGAGCCTAAGCGAGCGCACCAACTCCTCATATTTGATTCTCCCCACACATTACGAACCACAAGCCATCGTAGCTTGAGCCTCAAGTAGATACAAGCGCATGTATGGATTAGCTGCAGCTGGAGTAACACACTGCAAGTTGCTCCTCCCCAATGCGTTTAGCGTTCTCGGTATTCTCCGTGAGGACAAAGATGCGCCTTGGCGCGAGTGATATTTCGTGCACGAGTGACATTCGATGACGGATTCCTACTCTCCTGAACGTAGTTGTATAAAGCGGGAACTACGAAGAAAGGTTGTATCGTATTCGTGGTGTAGACATTATGTAACCTGGTTAGAACGTTTTTCTTGTCATTCAGGTGACCGTGGGTACTCGGTTTTGGTGTCATGGTGGAGCATCTCAAATACATAATCAGGGGAATGGGAAGGGCTGGGAAATTTGTTGTGCGAACGAAGTATCCAGAACTTCTTTATGGGGTCGATTCTACACGTTTTGGTGGGGGCTGAGCTGGCTATCACCAACCCTCGGCTGTTCGATGGTCATAAGTCATATCTACCACCGTAGATGGATGGTGTAAAACAATCTCTAGGGGCAAGAATGGAGAAGAGAAGAATACGTTGAGACGCATGTTCGGCGGCAGGTTAAACAGAACAAAGAATAGCCAGGTACACGTCGAACAGATGGCAACGCTAGCACAGTTCCCACCCTCGACCCTCTTGTGGGTTACCCACGATCCACAAGTCCTGACGAGGGGGTAAAATATCACCCAAATAAGTATTCCACGTCACAAGCCCTAAGTGCAAAAGACCCACTCGCCAACCCCCCACGAAGGTCGTCGAACACGTTACCCTCCTCGCACAATAAACAATCCATAATCACCAACACCCCTTCCCCCATCTCTTCCTACCACAAGCCATCCTAACACTAACCATCCTCTCTACCATCTGTGTTTAATCGTGATCGACAGGATCCAGTATGGCACCAAAACGACCTCTTTATTCTCAGGGGACTTACGAGGCGTCTGTGGAATCCAGGGAGGATCCGCCACGTAGAAGCCGAGCCCTTCGCAGTCGCAGCCCGGGTCAGCCCATGCTGATCGATGTAGGCGACACCCCACCGCGTCCTTCAGATCAACAAGCACGCAACCGTAGAGTAGACAGGCGAGCAGAGGCTCCAGAAGAGAGAAACTCAAACTTCGTCGACTTAGAAGAAGCCAATGTCCGCGGAAGACGCCAGTCAAGGAACATGTCACCTCCAGCTCGGGAGCCGCGCGATGCCAATCAGGAGTATAGTGGTATGACTTATACCTCCGTACCAACTGCTGATCCTCTAGCCATCTGTCTCTTCTCATTCCTGTGTAAACTTGTACCTGACTAATGTTCTTCTTAGACTTCAACCATCTCAGGGAGTATCGCGAGCGCGATCCTAATCCGTGGCGTGTCAATAGTAATGAAGAGCGCCATGGCAGGCAAACCACGCCCTACCCCACCCATAATACAAGAACTCTGGCCGATCATGTTGTAAGGTCCTACCCCGACTGGACGAAACAGTCGGATATAGAAAAAGAATATACTGCTGTGGACAAAATGATCGAGCTATTCAGGAACGATCAACGGGCTCAACAGCCCACGTTGAATGATCGCAGTGGTACCACCTCGATGAGTAGACAGAGATATGAGGGTCGTTTGGATACTTGGCGTAATAGTAAAGGCTTCTATATAGCCTTCGATGTTTGTTATATGACCCAACGCTGACCTGAAATATTGCAGTGAATCCTCCTCCGAATATGAGTTCGCTCATCGAGGCAAATGCTAGGATGCGCGATCAGGCTGAGTTGCAGAGAAGCAGGCGAGACCCTGTCGGTAAGGAAGTAATCTGTTTCGAAGTAAAGTTCCTTCACTAACATCCACTTGTTCCAGGAAACAACCTTCCTCTTCCAAGGGAAAGGGCCGAAAAAATGATTAGTGCCGATATGCAGAACCCGCCTCCGGATCTCGCTCGTCGCTCAAGTTCGTAAACAAGATCCATGCATAAGACGTTTTCTAGCAAGAGACTAATATGAAGCAGGACACACTGGCCGCAGCGCTAGGCCGTTGACTCCGCCCCGAGCTGGGCCTTCCAACTATCGCAGTCAGCCCCCAGATTTGAGGAACTTCGTCGGCACAGGATCGCCGCCGGTTGCGAGGTCTGAGAATCCTGGTGGCGGAAGGGTGCTTATTGAACCCAACAGTAAGTCTGTAGATCCATGCTTTTGAACTGAATATTTTGGAGTGGTAAACTTACATATATCCTTTTTACAGTGGAATACTTTCTCCGTCACGGAAATAGTCCAGTCGCAGCCCACCAACCGCAAGCACAGAGACCCGCACCTAAACGCAACGAGGAGTTCCGGAATGTCCCGACTGCGCCTCGGAGTGTCCGTCCCTTCACCTTCGATCCTCAAAGGACTTATGGCCAGTCTCGACCCCCCTCACCCAGGGCACAGGCCACCGTTGAAGTGGCACCTTTTACCTTCCCTGCTCCAAGGCGTTTGCAGCAGGGGAGCAGAGACCTGCCAGATCAGCGTATTAGACCTTCTCCGGTCTTCGATTGTGACGAAGGCGAACTCCCAGACAGCCAAGACGCTTGATGATGGAGGAGACGTGCAGGAGGGTGGGTCGGGATTAGTGTCGGTAAAAGCGTGCGATATCCTTAGTTGACAAATAGTGAGAGAATTCGGGAAAGGTTATGGCGTGAAAGAATAAAATGACATTCTGCCATTCCATTAAGCTTGCCTTTTCTCTCTTTCGTAATCAAGGTGAGAAGTGATGGGAGTGAGGTGGCGTTAAGTTATTTTTGAGGATCGAAGAAACCATTTGCTTGTGTGTCCCTACATTTCTGAGCTGGGAGAGTGATTGATCGGAAGAGAACCTTTCAGTCAACGGAGCCATCAGAACCGTTGTAGTGTAACTTGTGGGCGGAATGGACAGGGAATGGACCAATCATCACTCTACTCTCAATCTATCCTTCGATTTGTGTCTAGATTTGAAGTTAGTAACACCGTGTCAACGCTAAATACACGTTATCTGCCTCACTGAATAGAAAGACACCCGAAAGGCGACAAATAGATCTCTCCTTAAGCTGTGCTGGTCGGGGGTACCTAGGAACCCTAACCCCATCCCACACAGATGCCAAATTGAACGCTCATAAAGAAGGTCAAGGAATAAAAAGCACAAAAAGTGAACTGACTAGATACAAGGCCGAGTGAGCTGGTGCGCTGTTCTCTCATCTTGGCAGGAACCCCATAAGGTGTTGGAGGCTAAGATGAGTTCTCGTACAGGGTGTTCACCATTTATACCCATTTGTAGTACATGTATTCCATGGGGGGGTACTTCTCTTCTCCTTACGATCCCATAAACATCTATCAGCTGACCTCAACTAAGTAGACAATGAAACAGGGCTGAAAGAAACTGCTTTGCCGGGGGTAATGTAAAACATATCCAGACCGATAAAACGACAAACCCCCCGAAAGCCTAGAAAATCATGGTCACTAAATTGGTACATACGATTCCACCTCGAGCTCTCCAGTGTGTGATTCCACTATTCCGGGCGAGAAGGGGAGACAGGCGAGGAAGGGAACTTTCCTACTGCGACCGAGCAAGAACTGAGCCTAGTCAAAATTTAACCTGGAGATCTGTCCCCCCTCCCAAAACCAAACCTGCAGAGCGTTGTGACGGGTTAAACGTTTATATATGGGAAGTAACGTTGATACCTCTTTAAATCAATACATGGATAGAGAATTCAAGCAATGTCATATGAGGAACCCTTCAGCTTGCATTGTATCCTGCTTCTGCTGTTCAAGCCTCCCATCTGGGTTTAATTAGACGTATTGGAAAGTCTTGATATGGTAGCCCATCTTATTTTTAAGGTTATAATTGAACATCTAGCTAGTTTACATTAAAAATTCGCAAACATGATCAGAGAATACATATAAAGAGCCAGCTAATCTATACCATCTCTCATTCAAGCTGAAGAATGATTCACAGGGTTTGCTGTTGTGGGAATATCTAGTAAGAAACTATGAGTGACTTTGTCGTTTCGTGCTAAATGATCAACCAAACAAGCAGCTGTTTGAAATCGTCATTTCTGTGACTCCACTTAATAAATAACAGAGGCATATAGAGGTAAATAAAATGATCTTATCTTTTCACCACCATCTTACTTTGGATTCATATGATTTACTTGAGCTACGGTATATCTCTGTCCCCCATCACCATACCGTATGTTTCTACCACCGGTATTAGTGATGGCTGTGTTAATTAGCACGGTAGATCTGACTTACCTTAGTATGTATCTGTGAAACTATTAATAGTAGTGATGATGATAGTAGTTGTGGTGATGACGATGATAGAGAAGAAGGACGATGATAGAGAAGGGCGCTCGTAGGGATGCATTGGCTTTATGACATACGGAAATCGGGTCGTTTAGTCGGTAGGAGGTGGTACGTTTTGATTGCGTCGTCTTTTGTACACGGGCTTGGCAAAGCAACCACAAAATACAAGACCGGGTACGAAGTCGGAAGGTCATTTAGCCACTCGTCATTTACCGGGTTCATTAAACGAAAAGGTCATTCAGAGTTGTCCTCCGGAGAATGTGCAATAGAGGGGCTTTCTGGCAGAGTTCTACGTGCTAATGTTATCCGATAACCTTTAACAGGGTGCACAGACACTTATCAGCACACGCATGGTTTAAATGGTCGAGGGGTATGCAGTCAGCCTAACGGAGCCACCATGTCGACCGCGGGGTCGGGCGTTCGACACACCTCGGCGCAGTGGAGAGCGGTAATGTGTCTGGAACCGAATGGACCGCGCATCATGCCATATTTTTTTATTTTGTCGCTTATCTTTTATTTTTATTTTTTTGTTCTTTTATAAAGCGTCCGTCCACATCCCCTGGGTAGATATACGTACATAGTCGACTGCTGTGGCTCTAGTAGAGTACAAATAACCTTTGTCATTTACTAGAGTCATTTATATGACCACCGTTGGTAAATGACAAAGTCATTTAGATCTATTATTCTAATACCGCTACTACTGCTACTGCTCCCACTCCCCCACTGCTTCTGCCTCTACTGCAACCCCGCTACTGCCAGCTGCTAGTATTGGCTTGTTTGTTACTATTACAATAATGTCCTACAGAATGGAGCCGCTTCGAATCTTGGGTTTGGACAGATATCGCAATATCGGTCTATAACCCTAACCCTGGTTCCGCAATTGTCAACACCCGGAATCGACAACGCCCGGAATCGACAACACTTGCTGGATAGTGATTTTCCGTTCAATTGATAAGGTTAGGCTACTTCGCAAGTGCGGTGTGTTGCTGTCCTCTGGGGCGTCTCTTTCAAGGTTCTTCCAGTACCCGTGTCTAGAACAAAATGGCGGAGGTGTTCTTATGTAAAAATAGGATCCGAGCATGTACTTGATATATGCTGGAATACTTGATATATGCTGGAGCGGTTGCCCCGACGGGAAAAGACGACTCGTCAGTCTATTTTTCAGTTTCTTTCATGCAGGAAATTGGATTAGTATTCCCTTGCGGAAATTCGGGATTTCTTTTTATCATTTCTTTTACTTGTTCAATTTTCTTTCCATTGTGCTTCATGTGTTCCAGTCATATTATGCAGTGTAAAAGTTCTTTGTATTTCGGGAATTTTCACAAAGGGCTATATATATTTCGGTTCTTAGAACTCTCTCTACAGTTCTACTAAAATCACTTCACGGCTATAAAAAGAGAACAAAGGAAGGAAATATTCAATAAAAATTTGTCTCGACACGCCCTTCACACGCACCCACCTAGACAATATGTACTTTTCTCTCTTTCATATCTGACTCTGACTTTCTCTCCCCAATAAAAACTGTGTTATAGTCGGTGTTAGCAGATACCGCCATAGCCAATATATAACTACTTGGAAGATCCCTATTCCCGGTATGGTTGGGTCCCTGTTCGATATAGATATATATAGTATAATGGTATTTACATGATTCTTATGTGAAACAGTCAATAGCTAGCCCTGCGCATCTTGAACCTTTTGTTTTCTATAGTTACATACATTATACATGGATAACATCACCGTATACCCATCATTCTGCATATGTCAACGAGGAACCATTATGATCTCATGTTCATCACTTACTTCCGTTGAATAGTAAGATTAACTCGTACCTTGCTACTATAACAGCTCTTTCATCCACCAATTGGCTCAAAGATAGCTGATATTAAAAGTGAACAATCTAGAGTTTTTCTTTATCAATCAGAACACGTTTCTGTACTGGTTGTATGCTTATATGATACTCTTTCAACTCTCCAGTCATTCGATCAACACCTTACCTTTGAATGTCATTTGAATACAATACTAAAGTGAGGTGACATCTATCTCTGGATATCCCACCAGCCTCGGACATCATGTATTAAGGGAACTTCAACATTTGACGGCACTGAAAATATCTCAATCATGAAATTCAACATATACTCCACATTATGTGACATAAAGCCTCTAATTCTCTATTCAGAGAAACTGATGTCATTCTCTAGATCCGATACCACGCTATCACCACACAAGTGGACATGGTTAAGACAGCCTAATCGGTCTCTCACATCCTGAGCCGGCTCGACTAGGCCACATCGTTTTTGTCCAATGAAGTGTGAACAAAGCACTACCTCTATAAAGGAAACTCTATTATCTTTACTTATAAAGAAAATATGATTACCAATTGCACCGAACTCTACGAGTTCAGGATAACGCCGCGGTATAGAGGGTGGCCGGGTAAAACAGCGTGCAAAGTTCATCGGCCTCAATAACCCGAACAATAAGGCGAGTTTGAAATACCAATTTCATTCCTTTGCCCTACCATACAACTCTCACCATCACGAAATAACGTTTCTTGTGCATTCACGAGACACTCAGTGGAAAAACAGAGATGGATGAACCAATCCGACCCAAAGTTGAGTCCCCGCCAGCCCCGGCAGGAAACTCCGCCGCCGAAGAGGATAACGGTATTTTCTACGCCCCAATCCCAAGAGATCGAGTCGTCCCCACATCTACTTGGGACACAGATGATTATACTCCTTCGCTGGTATATCCTCAAGGACCTATTTTCGGACCTTATGACCCCAAAACTAGTCCTAACTACCGTGAAGAACCCTCATGTATGTTCCCTTTTGATCACATTGTGGCCATCCCTGGCAGTAAGAGTGCATAAATAAATCTCTAACACAGATAAAACTAGTGTCCGATATCCGTTGCAGGACAATGATCGACGAAAACAAGTTCGCAGACACCGAGGGTAAGTTTAACGGCGGTATTAAAAAGGCTCTAATATGGGATGGAACTTGTCATCATGTCTGCCCCAGTATGTCTTCCTCACCACAGCCAATAATAAATACAGTGACCCGCTAACATCCCTTCAGCGTTGGAAGTTGATGGTCCGTAAAGGTCTGAATATAGGTTCGGGAAGCGTAAACTCCTGCCACCTACGGAAGGTATTCGCCCGTGTTTCCGTCTTTCCAGTATCCAAGGAGCGGAGTCAAGGCTGACTAGTTTTGCGCCGCAGTCAGCACCAAGGCCAAGTTTAAAACGGAGTTTGACGATGATTCTCGCGTCCGCATGAGTGACATTCCTCCGTATCCGGAAGGCCAGAGTGGTCGGTGTTATTGATAGTCCTTTTCTTGCGTTGGATATGTGGCTCATAAGGCGAATCAGATGGTCGATGCTGGGCCAGGTTTGTGGAGAATCAGGATCGGCGAGCTCCTATGAGCTTCCCAGAACCTGAGCAAGGGGAGAGGGCCCTTCAAACCAAGATAGAAGGTAGTAGTCGCCGCCATCGTATTGTTGTTTGAGACACAGATGCTAATGTGTCACAGGAGTCCATGCAATGGCGCTCGACGAAGGTGCCCCGGCCGTGAATAAAGGCAGAAGATACTAGGTTATTAGGCCAGAGTCAGCCCGCTCCCGTCAAGCCCGAGCTTTGGGGCAGATCCCCTCCTCACAGTCCAGATACTAATTCCACTATGGAAATCTAACACGACTCATTAGAAGCTCACGCGCTCAATCTATCCTATGCGCCCAATCATTTCCCCCGCCCTGGTGTGGAGGTGGGCAACCCTCCAGGGGCGAGCACGCGGGAATCTCCAAATCATGGTATGCCTCTCCACCACAGTTCGGATATCTACCTAGCCGCTGGTATGCTAAGTTGCTCTCACAGAAACCTCAAGCCCCGATCTTTCTAGAATTCCGCATCACGTCGAATACCAGGGTGTGCACACAACTGGTGCGTCCGAGGCTCGTAAGTTTATCCTTTATTGTTTCGTGTGTTGAGCTGGTTGCCGCCGGGAGAAGTAGGGGTCAAGCCCTTAAAGAGGAATTTAAGGGTAACAAGTGAGAGTTGGAACGAATGCTAAGACTAGAAAAGATTGGCTGACTATCTATTTCTTCCGTCTGAACCAGAACCGCGGCAGGATGACACACAAAAACAACGCCCAGCGAACATAAGAATCAAACGAGAAGCTACGTGGAATTACTACGAGTGACTAAGAAAACCTCGGGCTGACAAGCCAGAAGAGATTACGGACGAGAACACCGATCTGATGGAGAGAATAGATATTGGTGAGTTTTCCCTTCTTACAGTCTTTTTGAAAGTTTCTAATTAGCTATGTTTCAGATTCCGAACAACCCGTTCATGAGGGTATGCGCATTCATCGTTTTGCTTCTCCCAGAAAAAATCGCTGTCTTACTTACTAACCCCATGGTGCATTAGCCCCAGCAACCACCACTCTCCCGGAATGCGCTCCACTCGGCATTACCACCGAGGATGTTGTGCGGATGTTTAATGAGACTCAGGCCTCTGGCTTAGGTTTAGGCTCTTTCGTCGGTCACCTTGGGGGTAAGTAACTACATGTATCTTCAATTATACCTTGTACCACATTCTAACCCCCAGATCTACTACCCAGATCTACGTGACCAGCAAATATCCTCCGCAGGAAAGGCCCAAGACTCCGCTACGACCAAGACTCAGGAGGGCGCCCCCGATGCGACCAAGCCTGTTCAATGTAAGTTTTCTCCCATCCCAAGGCCAAACCTTCGAATAGGGTGGTTTTTAATATTCCTAGACCACTATCCACAACCGAAAACCGCGGGCCGACGCATTGCCCAGCCAAAGCCCACACCCAAATCTACACCAGCTAGTGCTGGAGCCGCCCGCACGGGAATACTCACCAACCGACGTCTCCGCCGGTCTGCAACTTCAGTGCTTGATCTCTTTGAGAAAGAGACTCAAACCGGGAAGTATGCCCCCGAAGGGGGCGTTCAGATGGATGCTGATTATGACAGCGTCGAAGGTTCCTCTCTCTCCCTCATGTCGTTCAGATCTCTGGTGCAGTGGGCTAATTTCATTCAGAGCAATCGGCCAAGAAGCACAAGCCTAACAAACGCCAGCGGAAGAGGGCCAAGGAGGCTGAAGAGACTGCCTCTGAGGCTGAACGTGTCTCTGATGCTGCGCAGGCTGAGGCAGATATGCAGCCTTTGTGCATGTGTTTTTATTTCACCTTTGCGTCCCTTCCCTTCTCCTCTCATAATTTGTGCTGACGTATACTGCTGTTCTCCAGACGCCTACGCCGGAATCGCTCCTGGCGAGTCCTCCTCCGAACTGAGTACGCCAAGCAAAAGCACTGAGTCGCTCGTAGATCTCAAGGATGCTCCGACTAGTATAATGCCCCTCTCCTCCCTTGCCCCCCCCCCCCCCCCCCCCACACCACACACACACTCTCTCTTTTGAATTTACTAACCTTAAACTATAGACACCAAGCCGACCTACAACCACCCTTCCCAGCGTCTCGTCATCCATGAGGCTGATCTGGTTCCGGATCTCGCGCTCTGCCGCGCCGGGGAAAGGATCACTGATGCTAGGGCTCGTCTCGGACTGCCACCAAGAGCGAAAAAGGAGAAGACACTCCCGCTCAGAGCGGAGTAGGAATTACATACAGCGGTAAGCACATAAGTAGTAGGATTAGGGACTCTCAGCTTATCCAAGAGTGTTGGAGTAGAATAAAGGACTTACTGCGATCGATTTGTGTCTTTCGTTGTCATTTTCTCCGGTCTATATCTTCTTTGGTGTCTTTTCTCTATATATCGTTTTACTTTAGTCTGTTTTTCTCCCTATATACTCCCTCTTTCTGTGTCTTTAAATAGGTTTATTGTAGATGTAGATTATATTATACTATGCTTGATACGTTGTGATGTCTTGTGTCACTGCGAGTGAAAAATGATGAAGCGGCACGTGACTTGTACGGTTAGGGTTGAACCCGCGCTGTTTACGATGGGGATCTGGGCATGAAGAGCGACTAACCTTATCTTCCACGTACAGGTCTAGAAATGGAATTCCGGGGTGTAAGACTGACTATAACCCGCTTTCTCGAATCTCGATCAGCAGGTTTGACCATTCAACTTAACATGTGGTCATCGGAGTAGAACAAGAGCATGTCCTAACGCAGGGATTAAATTTCTAGAGAAAAAATAATTTTGAAATTTTCAAACATAGGACACAAACTAGAATATCACATCATCCCCTTAAACTATCGCCACAAACGCTCATACCCGCCTCCAGATCCCGACAAAGCGCGCTAAACCTCCTCTCTACGCCCTCTGATCTCTCCGCGACTTCCTTCATCTCCTCCTGCAACTCCTCCTCACTTTGCTCACTGAGCAACTCCGCGCTACTCATCAAGTCCCAATACTTCACTCGCGACAGGCACCCGTCCACCGCTGCAACGCACTCCCTGATCTCCTTTCTATGTTCCCCAGTGGCGACCCTTTGGTCCTCGTTTTTTCTTCCTATTATCACCCTTGGCAGACTCTCTTCACGCCCAAAGTCAAACATCGGTTCGTCCTCTTCGGAAGAGACGTCCTCGGTGTCCTCTAGTGCGACCTTGAAATCTACCGCCATATCTTCAAGGTCATCAACAAGCTCATCTAGAATATCCACCTCCTCGCGGTAATGCACTAGTCGATGCTCTGATAACTTGAGCCAACCTTCCTCTTGCTCTTCAGCTTCATCCTTTCCCTCACCCGGGACAGTAAGCGCCTCGTCGTAGGTGGCCAAGAAGGGGTTAATCTCCACACACAACTGATGGTACTGCTGTTTGAGCGAAGTGGTGTCGGATAAATGGTTGTCAAGAGTGAGCTTCTCCGCGGCGTTCATATGTGGTATCGCTACCGCCTTGAGCGTCATCCAATGGTCGATGCTCGAGTAGAGGAGGTTGTTGATGAGGCCGGCACATGTGTGGATGGTGGTACGGATACGGGTTGTGTCGGAGCCTTTCGGGGTGAGCTTTGTTGTGGCTTTAGGAAGCTTTTCGAAATGACTGCTGAGTTCTCCCACTTTCTCGCTGAGGGCCGTAATGTCGGCCTGCAGGTATGAGTTATGGACTTGGCCTATTGTTAGTTGTGCCATCTTTGCGGGTGTGGGTGATTTTTGTTTTGTTTACGGTTTGGTAGATGCGTGGGGTGGGGGGTATAAATACCACATTTGATCTGGATGGAGTCTATTCTACACAGCCTTTCACCCGGCTTGATAGAAGGTGACATGGGGAAACGCCTTGCTGTAGAAAGTCTGACCAACTAGCTCGGGAAGTGAAAATTGTATTCCCCGAAAATCAACATCTTTGACGCACCTAGGGCTATGTATAGAACTGGTACCTGCTCCCTCCGGAGAAGGTTTTGTAATCGCACTAGTAGTACCCGGGTGCCTGCATATGTTTTGCAAGGCGTAACTTTATGCTATGGAGCTATGTGCTCCAGTGTACGACGCATGGAATGGATGATTTATTCCAGACTGAGGGATACGATGACCTGGAGTACGACAGGCGGGGTGACTGCGCTTATCTCGACCCGAATAAGAGAATTTGGGCAACAGTTACCTGTGAAGATTAGTGCTCATCTCGGAAGAAAACATTTTTTCTAAGGGCATTAATCGCTACAGTTCTGTCCATTGAGAAGATCAGCCCTCATGATTAGAACCTATCCTTGGTTAAGACAGTGGCAGTCCTTATCCTTCGGCCTTCCGTCCTAATAATTGTGTTCTTCCCCGAGTAGTAGACTAATGAAACCAGTACCTACCCACGCTAACCAGATACGTAGTTTTCAACTCGAAAGTCTCTTCGAATGGATACGCCTGTACCTCCCTCTACCACGTCCAGCAAGGCGCTGAGAAAGTATATTAATCATGCCGGACTACCGACCAGATACGTTCTCTTAGCCTTAACAAGGGAGACACCAACCAATTATAAAACGAACATTAATACCGGGTAAACGAGCACGCGAATCATATCTGATATTCCGATTAGCCGTTCCTATTGCTATTCAGAATCAGACCGACGGCATGAGGGGTCATAGTCGGATTCAATACCACCGAGAAGGCCACCTCCGAGGGGAAAGGAATCTTCCAAACTTCGGTCAAAGAGTTTTTATTACTCAAGTCAACTGATAAGATCAAATTATCTTGAGTCCGCCAATCCATGCTCATATCACCCTTGACTCTTCCGAAAGCGCGAATTCCAACGAGATTTCATGGTAACGAATCATCTCTTCAAGACGGTACTCCGTGTGTATAGCTCCATATTGCCGCATGTCCCCGAATGTCCATACCACGTAGACACTAAAAAAAGCATACCGCACATGCCGCTGAATGCGAGTGATAGGGTATGACGGAACTCCAATCCTCCATTCCAGAAAAATATCAGGACAGTGAAAACCATAACAGACACTATTCCAATGGTTATCAGCAGACCTTATCCCATCAGCGGTGGGGCGAGTTAATATTCCTAGTCTCAAACACCAGGTTTGACGTGAGTGGTGCCAAGACAGTTTAGTCATTCGCCCAGACAACGACAACCGCCAAGTCCCTGCGCACGTGGGCGGCGAAGACTGGGTGATTTTCTGTGATTTGAAAAATAGCGAAGATTTTCTTTTTGACGCAGCGGAGATTGGTGGGGGAGTTAGGTATGCCTAAAATCGGTGTTTCCGTACCTTGATTACCTTCTGGGCGCTCACTCTGAGGTGAAAATTTTCTAATCACGTGAATTTAACGCTATGACCTGATGATCTTATTTCTTGAAGGGTATCCCATGTTTATTGATTGTGCTAAAAATGTGGCAGTAGGCATCCCGATATCTCTGTTGCTCAAGACCGCAGAGAGGATTTGTCAACTGTTCAAACAAAGCCCGAAAGAAAGAGAGAAAAAACCAGGAATCGCACGCAACCAAAATATTTATCGATCTCCACCAGCCATGCATTTTCTAACTCCCCCCCCAAAAAGGTATCTAATCCCGCTCCAGAGGTGTCCGGTAGTCTCTTACCTCGGCATCATCTCTGAAATCTCCTCACAATAGTCATTTCCCAACTCCTGCTCCTCCTTGATGGTGTTGATGTTTTGATCCAACCTCGACTTAGTGCTTCTATCAAGGGTACCCCTGTACCTATGATAGTGCAATAACAGGTTCTGATTCCTCTCAAAGCCGTCATTGTGGAGCGATACAAACTCCCTAGCCTCCCTCCGGAATGAGGAGGTGTGGTAGTTACTCGAAGAGCAGGTAGAATAGCCCCTCAAATTCTCAGTCACTGCTCGGGTGATATCAAGAACGTCGGTGACGATTGCCCAGTTATTGCGGGCAAAGTCGGTAGAACTAAGGATGCTGAGGAGCCGTTGGGCGGCGGATATATGGGCACGTTGGAGCTCGTCCATGGCTTGCCGGGGGGTGCATGCTTGCTGTCGGAGACCTGTTGCGTATGCCATTGTTTGAGTGTTGTTGTTAATTTTGGGTTGCGGGTAGTTGTGTATTTCTGATATTGTGGTTTGGGGTGCAAGTGATATGAAGATGGTGTAAGCTTGTGTAGGTTAGCTTGAATGTTTCAGAGATATTGCAAGGGGAAGAGGGATTCAGCTCTTTTATACCTTTTTTTGCGAAGAATCGTCGATGTTCAATCCCCTATTAACTGAGGATAGTGTAACAGTAACCAATCAGACCGAATGCGACAAGAAACTAGCGTGGGGGAGGTCCCATTGGTGGTTGAAATAGTAGAATTGTATCCCGAGATCCTCGGCGAATCATATTTGAACGAATCTCCTAATGCGGGGGTGATGACTACTCACTCCAACTCCGCGGTCTGGACCATTTCCGTATCTCTTACGTTTGACATCAATAGCGGAAGACGTTGCTGGTTGACCATACTGATTTTTATTCTTATAGTGACATTCATAAGGGGAGTTGTCAAACACTTGAAGAGCTGCGGTGGCATCCTAAATTCTCCCTTTGTAAACCATTGTTGTGAATGTATTCTAGTTGGAAATGATATCCTGGTCGTGATTTGAGTAAGGCAAATCAATCTTGAGCATTCTATACGAATCACAGTAGCGTCTTTTCATCTCAACATGTTCATCCAATCCTAGTCTTGGTCATGGAATATCACTCGTATTTCAAGGTCGAAGTAAAAAACGCCCAACTAGCCACCTCACAATCGACAAGTACTAAAGATGTGTTCTGCTAGTTCATATCTCCCTCCTGACCTCCGGTGGCAAGGATTTCTTGCCCTGAATTCAATTTGCGTAACCGCAGAGTCCACCATTCTAGTGTGAAGAGGCTTCGGCGATACACCCCAAGCATAGGCGAGCGAACCAAAAGCCGGTAACCACAAGTATTAGCTCAAACCCAGAGAAAGAAGCATTGATACGCCGAAATCTGGGAGATAGATAGTATAGATGGGGATGTAAGCCCGGCTCCGGAAGAAAACAAGTCGGACACTGACTATGTTCAGCAGGTTCTGCAACTTGCAGCTAGTGTTTTCCACGACACCGTTCGAGGCGAGACTAAGGCCCAGTCCTGTCTCGTCTTGTGAAATCATGGTGCCAGTCTCGTCTCGTCTTGCCCGTCCCGAGACAGTCTTGAGAAAATCGAGTGAGTAGTTGTGAGTCAAGACTCAATAAAAGGTTTTGTGTTTATCTCTTCCTTGATGCCTCTCTTCAGATCTCACCTGTTTCCTAGTCTGGTGCTCAAACTCTACCCTATAAACGTGAGCGGGCGTGGTCGGGGGAGAACTAGACTATTTTGTCACTAGAATCTATATCTTGGCATATTTCAAGCCGGTCTCGAGACCAAAAATATTTGGTATCGAGCTGTTCGAGACAAGACTTCGAGGCGTCTCGCTTCATGGAGAACACTACTCGTAGCTACCCTTTGGTTTTGTAAATAGCGACCCGAGCTTTAATTACTGGATAGGGAGTCGTCTATGCTTTTCACGTAAGGCCCGAACCAACCTCAAAACGCCATGACCCGAAACTCGGGGGTCCATTTTCAGCACAGTATTTCACCAAACCACTGGCATTTACTTCCGTCCCGCGGCGATGTTAGAGTAGAATTATGTATGACTTTTAAGGAACAGTTTGCCTGCATGCGATCAATGAATTAGACAAAAAAAAAAAAGGAACAATTTACCTATATCCACGCCCAGACCCCCCAGGATACCTCTCCCCTCTCCCATCATCCTGGTATCAAACACCGGAGTTGATCGACGGGGAATGTACTACGCTAGACGAGATGATCAAAAAAGTTAAATGTTGGTCATCTAGGAGGGGAAGGAGGGGTGCATGAAGGTACGGTTGTGTGCATAATCAGAGTACATGACGGTAAACACCCTTCTAGCTCGAGGAAAGCCCGAGGAGTTGAGCCTTGAGCCTTTCACCTGCCGCACAAGCGTTCTCATTTCATCTCGAACTGGTTTGTGCCATATTCAAGGGATGGGCGGTGCTCGGGTGTGCCGGTGGGGTGGTGGTTATCGGTGGAGATGTTTCCTCCTAGTTGGTGAGCGGTGTACCTAAGAGAGATGTTTTGCAACATCGTGGCATTCTGAATCGAACATGTGACTCAAGTAATATTCTTCAACCTTCAACCTTTTCACAAAAAAAAAAAAAACGATAACAAAGAAGAAAAAAATCAGATAAAAATAGATTTCCCCCTCCGTTCTTGAAGATATCCCAAGAGTGGGAAACCTGTTCTCGTTTAGCTACAAGCATAGACCACTCTTGAACTTTTAGATTCTAGAAGAGACGGCCCACGATATAGACTCTGGGAACATGAAGGTTAATCAATTAAAATGTTTGGCACGTATACAAGTCATATGCACATATGTCTTAAGTATCTAGACGCTACAACAATACCCCAGAGTGGTAAATACGACTTTAAACCCTCGTGGTTCTTGGGGGGATCGTATTTGCACAGCACGTTCTGGCATGGGAAGCACAGCACATTGAAGCCGTAATGTATTGATTATACTCTACTCGTACCTACCCACGAAAGAAAAATAAGGAAAAAAAGCCTAAATCCTACACAAAACACCTCATCCCAAGAACCCACCACGAAATCCCCTTCCTAGCCCCCCTTCATGCACCCCATCCAAACCCCAACAAAAAGACACAACCCAAATAACCCACTCAAAAGCTCCGAACACGAAGAAACCGACCCCCTACTCATACTCATCCCTCTCATCCCCCATCAACCCCCTCAGCTCCACCCCCAACTCAAAGCACCTTCCCAGCAGCCCGTTCAGCTCGGACCCAACCTCCGCCTGAATCCCCGCCACTCTCAGCACAAACTCGCCACACTCATCATGGCACGCCCAGGCTGCACGACCGAGAGCGGCGGGCTTGCGCGCGGCCGCGGCGTCAAAGCCGGCATCCATAGGCTCGTCGAGATTATCGCTGAGCGCGGTGACGGCGGCCGAGTATTTGTCGAGGGCGGCCTTGAAAGACGTGTAGATGGTTTGGATTTCGTCCATTTTTATTGTGGTTGTGATTGTGGGGGCTGTTGTTATTGTTATTGTGGTATAGTGTGGATAGTTTGATGGGAGAGTCGGAGGGGTAAGGAGACAGACAGGCTCTTATACGAGACGTGGCTCGAGCGCAATGAGAAGTGCTTGCCGCGGAGAATTCTAGTGGGACTTTCTAACTGGCTCCGTGTATAGACAGATACCGATACCCCCACGTGTCTTGTACGTGTATTCAATTGGGCCTTTCTCTCGTGACCTTTTGGGCCGAGTATTTGGTTCTCACGTGAGGAAGCTACGTATTCAGGACACGAATACTATCGAGGGAAGGAAACGGGTATCACCACATGCATGGTAAACCTAACCCAGGTGACCCTTACTCCATTCTATGCGGGGGTGAACAGATGAATGCTCGTAGAGGTTCTGGCTTGGGAGGGGGTATCAGCTTGCAGGCCTATACACCTTACGTACCTGGGAAGATTAAGAATACAAGATCTTTGGCGAAAGTAGCAGCTCTGCTGGCGCTGATGGAGTCTTTTGCGTCGAGGTGGTCATAACCTGTAACGGAAAGATGAGGAGTCCAAAATATCTGGGTGTAGAAGGGTTGAGAAGAAATAAGCTCAATGGTGTGAATTCTTTGCCTCCGTTGCTGAGCGCACCTATACTTGCTATCTTCCAATATTCCGAGTGATAAGCTATGCCGCATACCCCGAGTGATAGCTCATGATGGCCTCATTGCATGCTGTTTCCCACATCCTGTCAGGTTAGTCACAACGCAATCGGAATAGATCTCTCCCTTATACAGTGATACTTGGACTGTCAGCCTCTCCAAAATCCTAAGCAGAGCCAGGCACTACGATACCTGGGCGCTCTCTGACACTCCAAGACCCACAAGCATATGAACCCTTCTTCCTCACCAGCCCCTGTAGAGAGCCAGGAAACACATCCTACTCACCTCTACTCCACCCCACTTCCACGGGCCCACCTCCCCACCACACCCCGCACCTCCCAGCCCTGCCGTACGCCGTTCCACCACCTCCCACTCGCCACGTTCTCGTCCTACCCGCTGCCGCCAAAGCATAAACATAAACTTTCTTATCGGCCACGCGCATACCACCTGCATGGCCTCATGAAAAATTTCCCCGGCTGCCATCGGATCGCCATGCACTCGGAACTTCCGAACTCGCCGCTTCGATCCCGTGATATCGAATGGCACCAGTCGACATTCGCCTTGGGAGGGCAATAAAAGAACGCAGCTCCCCTGATCTCTAGTTCTCTGCCCTTGTTGTTCTCCGCCAGTATACGTTTGGTACTTGCTATTCTTCATCATCGAGCATCTTCGCTCAACCTCTTGTCATCAGTCAGTCAACTAGTTCTCGAGTCTCGATCTCAAAACTCCATACTCACAAATAACGAGCCCCATTCACTATCAGCCCTACCTCACGATGTCCCGCAGACCTCCCAACTACATCCCCGCCACTCCCTTCCTCCTCCCGCTCACCGCCGACCGCGGCCACCTCAACGAGCGCACCATCGCCACCTGCGCCGCCATCATCCGCGCGCTCGAGGCCTCCAGCGCCGTCACGCCCAACAGACAGTTCCCGCCGTTCCCAGGCGAGTATGACAACGTCAAGCGCACGCTCCGCGAAGCGAGATTCTACCTTATGGACCTAATAACGTGGTGGAGCGCGGAGGAGTATCCGTTCTTCACAGAGAATGGCGCGGTGTCGGGGAGTGAGCTGACGGTGCGGGATATGGAGGAGTATTTTGAGAGCTGGTATGTCGGGTGTAGGTTGGGCGCGATTCCAACGCATTTGGAGCCGGTATTTGTGTAGAAGGCGGTGGTGGAGGTTTCCTCTGCGTTCTGGGTTGTTTTCGCGGCTGGGAGTTTGCAGGGAGTTGGGCTGGTTTATTTTCTGGCAGTGGGCTTATGGCTGTTTTCGTGCTGGGCGCAGGTTAGGCTTTCCTTTTTTCTCTTTTCTTTTTTTTTTTGCCATTCCGCATAGCGAAGGCGACGGATCTCAAATCATGGTTTTTCCAACGGACGGCGTCAACTTCATTTTCGGCATACAGTAGTTCTTTTATTTTTCTTGATTCTTAGCAATATATCCATTTCTTGTTATCCTGCATCTTTTTTGTAAGTTATTTTTGCAATATCAATTCGGGATTTCCAAGCAACGGTACAAAACGGTTTACTATGAGACTAAACCAGAAATCTCACTGACCACCTGAAGTCTCGACAAGGTCAAACTCTACCAACTCTACCAGCAGCGACTTATCTTGAACCGATGTAGCTATCTGAGTTGGCCATGGTTTTTTGGTGATGAGATTCCGCAAAATAGGAGTTCACGATCTTCTTGAACAGAGTGTTCGACTTCATTAACAGGGCTTGTATAAACTGCGCCTTTAAATCAGTGATCTAAGGGAACAAGGACTGCAGCAACTGTTAGCTCAAAGATTTCAGTTAAACCCGTTTGAAACCACATTACTGGCAAACGACTGGGAACCCTGAAGACCTTACTTTTATTTTCTGCAATGGTGAGGTTCGCGATCCGACTGACTTACATTCATGAACTGTATTGTTTAGAAGTGGTAACTGACCTTAGTGAACCGTTGTATGGCCTTCTGGCCAGAGCTAGGACTCAATAGGAGAGCGGTACATTTACAAGACAACACCAGACGCTCATGAACCTATCCATCTATCTCTCCCTTCACCGTTGTTATTTCCCGATTAGTTTGGTATGCTCTACCAGGCCCGATTAGATTATAAGCAGATATATCACAGAGACCTTACTCAGAGAGCATCAAAGGACAAGATTCCCCTTACTGTGTAATCGACTTCCCACCAGATTGGGCCTGGTAGGATAGGTCATATGAATCTCGCTAACCAAGGTCTAGAGAAGCTATGCTGCGGGTCTGCAGGTTCTGACGGAGCAAGCTGAGAATCATGAGAGTGTTGATGGATGAATTAAGTGGGTTTTCCGCATACTAATTTATAGGCGTTGATACTAACACCTATGGTCCATCAAGTCCGACCACATGGCCTTTGAAAAATATCTTAACACATATATTATTCTACTAACCTGCTCCACAACGACGAAACGGATTAGCAAATGCAGCTACGTTGAATGTTATCTTCGGCCTCTCTTTGCAGGTCGCACATCTTGAGTCCATAATGAATCGCCGCCCCCACACCACAAGGCACCAACGGGCATATCTCAGATGCCTATTGATTTCAGTCAAAGGTTCTTCTACAAAGTTGAATCTGCATTTCAGGCCATCAAATCCACCCTCATACATCACCCACCCTCCTAGCCCAGCTACCAGAACCCTAATCACAGAACAATCCGCTACAAGCGTCCATCAAAACACCTCTTAGGAGACAAAAACACACCCCACCAAATCCGACTACAAATGCGGATAATCTGTCTCCCCCGTCCCGCTCTCCCCCTCGCGCCGCCTCACAAAGGCATCCGCATACCTACGAAACACCACCGCAACCTGCGCGACGACCATGTCATACACAGCATGCTGGATCAGCCCGATAGAGCACAGGTAGGCGTCGGTGTCGGCAACGATCTTTCGTGTTGCTTCGCGTTGCGTGATGTGGAGATGACCGCCTTGGGAGGTGTAGGTGGTGAGTTGGGTAGTGAGGAGACGGATGTAGTGCTCCATTTGGGTGGGTTTTGGGTTGTGGTGCGTGTGGTTGGATAGGGAATTAGTGATAGCTGTTTGTGAGGAACTGAGATTAATGACAAAAGCAGATCTCTAGAGTGGACGGGCGAGGTGAATACAGACAGGAACAAGATGAGGGGTAAAAGAAGGAAGGTAAGAGCCTTAAGAATAAGAGAAACCTATACCGATATCAACCCAATGCATTGTGCAAAAAAACATTGCAGTTGTCGTTCTATTAGCTGATTTATTTGCTTTGCTACATACATGGACTATTGAATGTTCACCTACCTGTAGCTGGTCCTACTAGTTTCAGCATGAAAAATATTCTATAGACGTTTCATTAAGAAGGTTGTGACAGAACTACAACGAAAGGCTACGTACGTTTCTTTTCGACAGTACCCGGCTGTCCTCACTGATCGGTGAGGGCTTGGTAAGCGCCGCAAAGAGAGGAGATATTTTCATGACGGAATGGTAGCAATATCTCCCTGCAATAGGACCGTTGATATTCTGATATTAGTTTTCACATTCGGGATATAAAGTGTACCTCCGTATGTGGTTCTGGTGAGTCAAACAATTCTATTTCATAAGAGATATACAGTGAAAGCTTGCTATAACGGTACGCTCGGGACCAGCATTTGATACCGTTATAGAGAGATTACCCTTATATAGGAGGTGCTGGTGCTGAGAGCCAGCCAAAAAGGACCGAGAAGTTCTACCGTTATAGAGAGATTACCCTTATAGAAAGTACCGTTATAGCAAACTTTCGCTGTAGTATATAAAGAATTAATATAAACTATGCACAGCAAGGTACATATTGACAGGCTGGTGGGAATCAATAGATAAAGAAGACAAAACAACAAGATCCACAGTCCAAACTCCTCCCCAAAAGGTCAAAGCCTGTGCTCCAAACGGTCAGGTTCCAAAAACGATAACTAACTTAGATCTCCGATCCATCCATAGAACCACTAATGGGTCCGTCACCTCCAGCCAGAAGATTCCTCATCTTCGTATCACACTGCTCCAGAAGATCCTGCATCACCTGAAGCCCGCTCCACGCATCCTTACTCCTATACCTCGAATAATTCGGCAACGGCACCGGCTCCACCAGCGCCCTAAAACCCACCTCCAACCTCCTCACCTCCGTCGCCCTCTCCCTCACCCTCCCCACAATTTGCGCCATCTCTTCCGTCGTTCTCGACAACAAGCCCGCGGTTTCCACCTCACGTCTCAGGCCCTCATTCGTATCCCCAACGAGCGCAAACGCCCTCTCTATCAGCCCCACCCATAGCCCCATCTTCGATACCTCGCCCGTCCCTCGCTCCGGATAGAGCTGCTGCAACTCCACATCGGTGGCGTCATCGAACGCCCTGAAGCGCTGCCGGTACTCTTCCTCGATTACGGCGCGCTAGGCTTTGCGGATGCGTAGGCACGCGGTGGTGGCGTCGATGAGGTGGTCAAGGTGGGAGCTGGCCTGCAGCTTTTGGTCGGCGGTAAGGGGGAGGTCGAGGTCGCCGTCTTCGGTGTCGAGGATCTCGACGGAGGAGTAGGAGGCTTCGCTCATTGTGGACATGTTGGGTGGATTATTGTATTAGTTGGGAGGAATTATTAGAGAGAGGTTGATGGTTTTTGGTATAGTCATGCAATATTGGGAGACCTGGCCTCGATATTTATGGTCATATGGTCGCTATCCCCGTATTCAAGGCAATGCCAGAGCTGAGATTTGATAACTCCATTGATATCTCAATTGCCCCTTGAAACCCCAGATAGGATCGTGAGCGGTCAAGCGGGTGATTTATATTTGACGTTGACGCAAGGCGCACCAGAGCGTGTCGAACACCAGCGCACCTAAAACCTAAACCAGTTAGGCAATTCGTACTTCCTGGCAGTGAAATGGTACTAGGGATGAAAACAATTCTTTTGTTATGTTTCTATGAACCCAGGTCATATACGGCACTCCGCACTTTCTACCAATGACAGTACAGTAGAAATGGGGTTATGCATGCCCATGCCTATGGATGTGGCGAGCGGGGCGGGAGTGCATCACGGATTATCACTCGGATGCTAAGAACCGATCATCATGACGATCTTATCCATGCCTACTGAGATATCAGGGGTCAGCTTTGAGGTTTTCGTAAAGAATATTACCATGCACCGAGGGCAACGAGATACTGTGCGATCTAACTATAAGATTAATGATCTGATATCAGACCAATAAAAGGCACTACGTGATGGGCGCTGATTTGAAGTAGAACATGTACATGCCTACATACACTACCGCTGCCTCTGATTCTCTAAGCTCGCTATTAAATTTTACGACTCCTCGGTTTCCGCCACACGTCATGGTGCGGAAGTAGCACTACGATCACATGTATCTTGTTCTCTGTCTAGTCGTTCCGCCTTTGGCTATAGACATTCCTTACGCTATTTTTGAGAAAATGATATCGACTATAAAGAGATACTAATTGGTTTGCAAGAATCAAAAATGTGTCAGAACCGAATCCCGCATTTATTCCCTAACTCTAGTACAGTAGCCGAGCATGTTACGGCAGAGTTCTCACATATTCTAAAATGTTCGCCCACCATTCACTCGTACGATACATACGTCTGACCATTCCGTATACCTTGACATACCACACGTGCTTTTGAGGGGGAAAAAGGGAAGAAAAAAAGAATAGGAATAATCTAGGCAGAAAATCTATTGAGGGCTCCCAAATCCTAGCTTCCCCAAGCTAGTACTACAGTAGTCTCCACCCACACTCACAATTTCGTCCACCATCGTATGACGAGCACTATCGCCCTTGTTTATGAGACTCTTATTACAAGCCTGGACTGCTTGAAATGCCTTCATGAGCTGGTCTCTATTGCCGAAGAAGCCGCCATTGTTGGCTGGCTCTGAGGAATATTGGTCTAGAATAGCTCCAAGCTCGATGATGCGCGCGAGGGCTGTGTTGATTCTTTGGGATGTTTCCGAGCACGTGGGAGGTGTTGTGTCTTTGTACTTTGACTGGAGAGATTCTGCATCTGATTTGTAATTCGACATGGTTGGATAGGGTTATCTTGATTGTTGCTTAATCTAATCAAAAGGGGCTTTGAAAGGGTGTGGCGAAAAGCGAGGTGGTGGATGTGTTGGATTTTTGGTTGTGATGTCAAGGCGATACTGGGAGGCGAGGTGTTAACCTTTATAGACGTCTTGAAGCACACTTCTTCATATACTTAACGGTTGATGAGCTGAAATTGAAATCCCCATTCAAGTTGAAACACGTATATAGAAAATACATGCATAGTATACTACGGCTGTGGGGTAAGCCGTAGTATTGAACCAATTGATTGGCTTTTACTTAGACGTACTATATGACTTGATTGTAACAAAGAGAGGACAGACTGAAAGAAAGCAACAAATGTTCTTACCCACATTGAGATACACAGGCGTAAACTGTCGCGCATCATACTAGCGAACTGTACTAATATTAGCTGCAAGAGTGGCCTTTCGACCAAATGCGTTGAGTAGTCTTACCGAGCAAGCAATACCTTCTTCAGACAGAGATGGACTCACTACCTGTCCATAAGGCCTTCCCACTATATACTCAGATAGATCTATCGTTATCTAGATCTATATATCTAGATTTCACACCGGGACACCACCTCATTCCCCAAACCCCCCTCCGAAAGCTTTCTGAGTCACAAAAGATGTTTGAGTGACTGCTGCCTGTCCGTTATTCGATTCAACGCGGAGGTCTTTTAAGTAGATCAAGCTTCCCTAGGCAATAGATAACATGATAACATACAACCCCGGTTCTAGGGGAGACCATTTCTCCAGTCGTTTCAAGTGAAGTATACCGACGAAAACCTACCGGAATCATATGCACTCATCAGTTTCATTTTAGTGTTTGTCCTTTTCAACATGTAGACCACCTGGTGGTCCTCTCCCATGTTGAAACTAAGGATCATGTATGGTCAAGGTGGGAAATCATATACCGAGTGATATCCCGTGACTCTGTGACTGTCCGCGATCTAGTCGTTTATATATCCGTTGCACATGTTCTAAATTTATACATATTTATACTCCGTCGGTAGGATCTGGGTATTTACACCCCGAACTATATTTTGTCCTTCTAAGGGGAATTTTATATATCTGCTCGATCATTTCCTATCTGATAGAGCAAGTCCTTCCGAAGTTGTGGAAAGCCGGGACCAATACTCCATCTTTTATGCCACACTCATTATTCTGTAGAGCATCAGTTTCCAAATTTACCCTGATTTATGGGACACCCCGATTCTCGAAAGCGGGAACATACATAAGATACACAACCCCACGTTCAATACCGTCCTATTGCATGAGTAACGTTAGGCAGAAAGGCGAACGTCACATAGGCGGCCACGCTACTACACGTAGCGCTCAGCCTGTTGCTCCAATGTAATTTCCCGTTCAAGTTGGAACCTGGTTATTGTTGGATTGTATATAGAGCCTTCTAAACGTACCAGCACTTGAGGATTATAGTCTTATCCAGGTGTCGAGGAAGTCCCATCAACCGCCCCTGCGTCAGAACAACCGAGAATATATTCATATTATTATGATGGCGTATATTATTATGAGGTATCCTTCATGCAAGAAGCACGCCGGAACATCATCAGAGGCAAACCTAGGACGAACTCCACTGTTCGGGAGAGGTCAATCGGGAGGATAAGCATTAATTGGTATGTATGCATGAATCATGAATAGATTACAGTATACGATAGCTTATTTGTAGAATAGTTTTTCTATGCGTCTGATCTCCTATTTTTATCGCACGATTTACTTTAATTATAAACAGGGATCGATAAAGAAGGAATTACGTAGTATCTAAAAAGAGGCAAGGTGAGTTGCCATTGAACAGATCGGGTATAAACGTACTTATATCTCTAGATTTTACTTCTATCCCCGACAGAGTAAGTATCAATGATCTTTCCCTCAAGTAATCTGTTCTAACTGCCTTGGCGTCTCCCTGAACATCAAGCCAGCCTTCCCCGGCGGGGATCGGTGGGAAGCTATAATTTCGATATGCAGGTTACCTTAATAATCAGCCGATTAATATCAGTCTCATCGACCTACATTCTTTATTTAGTAACCCATAATGCCACAACCACGGATGCCTACAGTCATTGAACGTACCTTAACAGCGGCATCAAGCATGAACTAACTACACGCCCCATCAATTCATGTATGCTGTAATCCTCCGCATTTTTGAGCAACATGGGTATTGCCAAAAAAGTATACTCCATGCGAGCTATGCCCCGCAGAGCCCAAAGTGGAAAACACAGCTCTTTTGTACGAGGTGATCCCCGATTTCGGTATGGGATCACGTGATGATTTCTGGGTATCTCGGAAGCGAGTGAGATGTTATTATTGCCAATTAAAGACGTCTATAGCGACTATTTAGTAGTATTGCCTTACGATGATAGCCTAACACGCCGCCGCTCAGAAATGGGCCAGTGTATTCGAAACTGACGCAAATATCCAGTTTTTTTTCGCCCTATGTAAGCCTACTACTCTATCAAGAGAGATCCTATCAGCATATCCCCAAAATAGAATGAAGGTGCAAATTCATTTGAATTAGTCTATCAAGGTAGAGTACCTCAAGTCATAATAGTGTAGCTATGGGGAAACTATTTCAAGTCCAGTTTGGAAGCATACCGGATACAAGTGATACCTGGTGACTGCTCTTCTGATAGAACAACGTGCTTGAATTAATACTATAAGAGAATGTCAACATCACCTTTCCCTAAGCGTGTGTGAAAATATGTGTTCTCATAGAAAAAGACAAAATACACCCCCCATAGAAGATTCGGAAGTATTGGCCGTAGTCTAACGACATATTTAAAGTCTGTACGGAAGCCCTTCAATCCCATCCCCCACTAGCCAGACCGCGCCCCACAAAATCTACTTCATCTCGCAACCGGTACAATAGCCATGACGGAAACAACGTCCAGTACAGCTCTCAAATATGAGGACCGAGCGCTCGCAATCCTAGAAATTTTTCAGACCGCCGCCGAAGGACTGCCTGCTGATAATCCGCGCAAGCAGACTTATATCTTCGCAATGGGGTACCTTCTCGAAATTGCCAAGAGCATTGACAACTTCGAGCACGACATCAACGACCCCGAGTTCCGGGGAACAGGCCACCAGAAAATCAAATATCTCCGTTTCAACTATAATATGATCGATAGGGCAAGGCACGGCATCTTGTATGATATCCAAAGTGAAGAGATTGAGATGGGAGGGAAGGAGTTTCTTGCCCTAGAGGAGGAAATGGCGCCGAAGGTGAGGAGGATTCTCCTCGACAGCATGCCGAAGGCGCCGAACCCTTGGGAAACATATTCCCCGTTCTATTAGTATCTTTTGAGGCAGCTTTGTATGAGGATGTCGACATGGCGGAACGCTCAGACAAAAGTGTACGTGTATGGATAGGATCATCAGGCCACATGTACCTTGAGACAAAGGTGTCGGTGTATAGATAGTATCATCAAACTACTTTGTACATCAATCACCTTGTCCCATTCAGTGACGGAATGAGATTTGGATAAACCTATTATTTGGTAGGCATAGGCCAGAATATCAGATGTGAAAGCCATAACCTGAGCTGGTTCAGTTGTTCTTCCCCATAAAATGGTCATGGCACAGTTTCACCTTGAGGCAACTAGCTCTCATTCTGGCACTGCTCTTCGCACGGAGGTCACAAGATAGGTTGTTTCAAAGATTTCATTAATATTTACATATTCCGAGAGACCGTGAATAATACCACATCTTCTACCACTTATAACATTACTCTATTACCTTCCCCAGGACCTACCACTCGTCTATCAGCGTAGCATCACCTCAGCTTCACCCCGAACATTGGAGTATTCGAACCTCTCAGGACACCGCACGCTCACAGCAAAAACACGATGAACACCCAAGAAACCAGAATCGCACAAAAAGCCGGCCAAACTCGAGACACCAAGAAAGAACGCTCAAGAAGCCAGAAACTCTATTCCCTCTCTACCAAGCGCTAAGTAAAATCCTCGCCATTCAGCTCCACCGCCTTACTCCTCATCTGCATTCCCAAATCCAGCACCCTGCCCACCATGACCTCCTCAAAGTCCTGATCATCGTTCTTCATCACCACATTGCGCAGCGCATCGAAGCCTCTAACCCTGATGCGCAGCGTGTGCTTCTTGTCGCGCCTGCCTTCGCCGGGGTCGAAGGTGTCGAAGTTGTCGAGGAGACTGCCGATGGCGCGGAGACGGTCGAAGGCGGTTTCTATGCGCCTGGCGATGTCGGAGATGGAGATAGGGGCGCGGGTATAGTCGCGCTCGATGGCGGCGAGGCGCTGGACCCAGGTTTCGGGTATGTATTGAACGCCTGGGGATGACATTGTGGGTGATGGTTGGGGTGGGAGGAGGGGTGGGGGGTGATGTTGGTGAGCAGTGACGATGTTTCGATGTCGATGATGTATATAGTTCGACGTTCGGGAGCGGCTGATTGGTAGGGCCCGGCGTGCAAACATAGCTATTTAACACAAAGAGATAAAAAGATTTACATTGTAAAGCATTTTCCCGGACGTTGTATTGATGGTCGCTAACCAAGCCTTCATGTCCGCTCGAGTTGACTACCATACAAAAAGAAAAACTAAGTCATATCTTACTATGATCAAGCTCGGCGGGCGCTTTGAGAACCAGAGGAGCCTAATAGCGATTGATGTAAGGATGTTTTCAAAGCATTGATGTAGCCTCTTATTTCCTAGAAAATATAAAGTTTTAACCAACTCCGCGAAAGCACGAACCTACAAAAACTAGCCCGATAGGGTTTAGTCTTTACCTCTTTCGAATGGGTAAAACCGCTTTGAGGACATAGTATCCAAACGCTCATTCAAAAAACTTGAATTCCTAGTCTGCTAGCTGTGGAGTTTGACTTGCTACTTCTCGGGCAGCGGGATATCACGAAGATTCCATACAATAGAATACAACCTAAAACGCCCGTCATTTATGTTCTTCTTAGATGCAAGCCAGTCAGCAATAATTGTAATTAAACAGGGGTACTATAGAGTTAACCCTCGAAGAATCGAAACCAGTCAGAAAGCACTTTTTCAATGCATTCTCACGCAGTAGCTATTAAACCTTTCAAGCTGAAAGGATTTCGATGACCATGAGAGCGTCTAAATTATCCACTATCAAGAGACTACTTGAATGAATTCGCCATACGAGAAAGAGGCTAAGATGATGTCTTCTCGGAAAGCGCCCAAGCGCTCGTCCTCTACGAACAGAAGGGAAATATTATATTAAATTTCAAAAGCTATATATAAATACAAATGCAAAAAGTTCAGCGAGTGAGAGTTAGACGATAGGTAAGATACGAATATAGAATACCACAGCTCGAAAGCTGTTAAATATACGTGTTATAATCACACCCTACGTAACAGCTTTTAAGCTATCCTTTACACTTCACCGGTAATGCCATCAGAGTATAAGTTTCTCATAAAATTCAAAATGAGGGAACCTAGCCCCTGGCCTAACCTCGCTCTAGAGCGTGTAATTGGGCTAGTCTAGGATATAATCTTTGTGTTCTGGCGCTTTGGGTGCGTTAGGGTGCCAATCATCGCACGAAGTGCTCCAACAACCATTATCCCAGTGCCAAGGAACGGATAACGAGTGATACCTTGTGCACCTGTAACGACCACCACCACCTCTGTTACTCAACATCCACAAATTAGGATCGCTATGTTGTGAAATCTACTGAAACCTGGGATGCATTTTACTGTAGCAGTCGAACTACCCACTCGGAAACTCAAAGTCCCGCACCACCGTTTAGGTTCCTGGATGCGAAGTTACATCAAGCGGGTGTTCAACCCACGCGTTACGGTGGATATGATCATGCCACGTTCCTCCGAAAGTCGGGCAAACTTGTTGCGCGCGCGCACACGGGGCAAAGACTGGGGCACAAGAAAGCGAGCTACATGTGTTCTGTTGTCTTCCCTGTTATCATGGGCTAGGGTTATATCTCTCCTGGTATTGGATTTAGCGACGTCGTTGCACGAGCGTCAAAGAGAAACACTACACGCTGCCTGCTTGTCCTTCCCAATACCCCATCACCATCAGCATTAAATCAATAGATTGCATATCCAGATCTAATTAACCCCACGGCATGCCGGATAGATGCTTGCTCGGATTCGGGGTGCTTAGTTCCCGACCTCCGCTAAGTTCAGCACAGATAAGAAAATGAACCTTTGCAAAGGTATGGTACTCATCCCTCTCTCCTTACTTTACGGACAGCCCTCTAAGAATTCCTTGATCAACCCAGACTAACTCAGCCTCGTTTAGACTTCTAATCCTTCGGTACTAGCATGATCCTTTCGATTATAGAACGCTAGTCTGACAGTTCTTTCCTCTAGTGAACGAAGATCTGTCCTTTCACCATCATATTCGACCTTGGGTTCTGGAGACAGAACTCTACATGAGGTCAACTATACCACCCTTATAAGTCAATCCCATCTCTTCTAGTGGAAGAGCATTATTCTCTGGAAAAAGGAAGCAACAAAGTGTCTACCGAAGCGGGAAATGAAGAAATGCGTGCTTTCTTATCATCGCCTCTCTATTTGGACTCTTCCATCTTCCATACAGTTTCTACTGTTTGAAGAAGGAGAACGACCGGAAGCTAAAAAAGCTGCAGGAGAAAGTACCTAAAATAAAGAGGCGGGGTTAAAAGAGGAACATGGCATATTATGCCTAGTTTATAAAGAAAACTCACGCATGGCATCACCAACCAAAGCAATAGATAAACGTCACTCATCTCTTTACGAAACACCCGAGTCCCACATTCAATAATTTAACTGGATAAAGAGACTCATGTTTTTACTTGCCAAAACCACCCTATGAGGGAACTCTGGAAGAAGAAGGTCCTATGATACATCTAACCCTCACAGGACTAGAAGCCGTGCTTTATTGGGCTTTTATTGCCGAGGTATCCGGAACGCTTCTCTGCATGTTCTTTTTACCATCTAGACGCTAGGAAACAAAGATCTAGAAATGATAAATTTCTACGCTACAGATGACAAGGGGTTACTCTAAGAAAGCAACCACCAAACAACAAACCTAAAGGTATCAATCTACACACTAGTGCGGCAAAAGCGTCAAGCAGAAGATTACAAAAAATACCCTTGCTCGACAACATCAAAAACTGACAAAAGATAGAATAGCACAAAACCGAAAATCAACCTTCCCTCCCCAAAGCGCCCTCCACCCCCGTACACCACACTACAACCCATACTGCACCCCCCATCTCTCATCCCCCCTCCTTCCCCGGTCTCCTCTCATCTCCGCCGCAATCTCCTCCTCCGTCCACTCCTTCACCCTCCTCTCCCGCCACTCATTCTCCCTTACCAGTGCCCTCCTAAATCCCCAATACCCCACCCACGCTCCCATCACCAGTGCCAACGTCACCACAAACGAAAAATGATATGACGGGCCATACTCCGGCGCATACAGTTTCGACGACACCACGCCCGCTAGGTTGCCCCAGCCATTGATACCTAGGATGACGGCACGTTTGCCGGGTTCTACAGTGGATGAGTCAGTGGGGGTGTGCAGAGGGAAGAGAGGGGGGAGGTGGTACCGGAAATGTTACCGCTGAGCCACGCGACGGTTAGAGGGCTCGCAATGTAGGAGCCGGCGAGAAGGATGCACAGGGAGAGGTAGCGTGAAGCGAGCGCGTCCGCTGGGAGAAGGACGACGAGGAGGAGCCCGACAAGGTTAATGGCAAGGCCGATGAGGATGTATTTTATACGTTGGTGGGAGCGGTCGGAGAGATAGGTTATACCCCAGAGGGTGAAGGCGCCACAGAGGAAGGGCGGGATTGTGAGGAGATTGGCGGTGAGGGGTGGGTGACCCATACCCTGGGGGTGTTAGTGATGGATAAAAGAGGATGTGAGGAACGTCAGAGGGCATTGGATGTTGACGAAAAAAACAGATTTGGAGTAGAGATACCTTTATCACCAGCGGCAAAAACACCGAAAACGCCGCTCCCGGCACAGAGCTCGCAATGTTCAAAGCCAGAATCCACCAGATCTTCCAATCACGGAATGCCTCCTCCACATCCTTCCTCGTCAGCGCCCCCTCACCACCAACCGTACTCTTCGCAACAATTACATCCACCTCTTCCTCCTCGCCGTCTCTCAGCAGCTCTTCGCCCTCCTCCTCTTCACCTCCAGCCAGTCCCCTGCGGTGCTCACCATCTTGGTCCGCCCCCGCACGGTCCAAAAGTACCCTCTTCTCCGCCCACTCGCGATCGCTCTGCTGTAGCCACCACGCGCTCCTAGGCCCGAGCGGCAACCACCAAAAGGTCGTAATCGCGACCACGAGTGTCAGAAATCCTTCGAGGAGAAACATAACCTGGTACGCATACAGGCCACCACCATTGTTTCCGTTGCGCATCGCCTCTTCCTCTGACACCTAAGTCAGCACCCGTTACCCTCTATAACAAAACTACGGAAAAGAAAACTCACCGCCGCTAGGAAAAATCTTGAATACGGCCCAACTGACCAGTCCTCCAAACGCGCCCGCAACGGCATACTGCCCAAAAAACATACCCAGCCGCTGCGCAAACTCATACCGCGTATAGAACAGCCCCAAGTAGAACACTGTCGTCGGATAAAATCCCGCCTCAAGCGTACCAATCATCATTCGCAGCGTCAGCAGTTGCGCGCGGGTCCTTACGAACGCTGTGAGCGCTGTTAGGAATGCCCACCCGATCTAGGATCAGAGCCTCGGTTAGCCCTACACTACCACCAAGCACCTGGCCAGAGCATACCATAACGCCGCCGACCCATCTTGCCGCGCCGACCCGCTTCCCGAGCGCCGCGCCGACCGGCTGGAAGATGACGAAGAGCATGAAGAAGAGCGCGACAGAATCATTCAGGTCGCCGGGCTGCAAACCCGCATGGCGCGTGAACCCCGCGGTCTCGGCGTTGCCGATGTTGGAGCGGTCGAGGGAGTTGAGGAGAAAGAGGAGCGAGAGGAAAGGGAGAAGGTAACAGTCGGTGCGGTGGAGGATGCGCTGTGTTTGGGCGGCGCGCGACATTGCGTCTGGTGCGGAGGGCTCCTCGAGCAAGGGGGTGCTGGGGCCCGGGGAGTCCTGAGTGATGTTAGTGGGTGCAAGACGGGGGAGGGCGGGGGAGGGCGGGGGAGGAGGTACGGGTGGGGAAGCCAGTGTGCTGGTTGTGACGCGGTGTGGGGCCGCGGTGTGGGGTGATTGGAGGGTGGTGCGGTGCCGTAGGGCTGAAGGGATGCCGGATGGAATGGGGTTGCGATGTTTGGTTTGCTTTCGTTTGCTGGGGCTCTTCGGGGTTCTCCGCGTGCCTGTGCCAAGCGACAGGGTGCATTGACAGGGGTAGCTGCATGCAAGGATCTATTTATGGAGACTGTAAGCGTGAAGTGGTTGAAGAGCGATATAGATATCCGTCGTGGAGGAATTTGAAGAAGGTGAGATCGTATAAGTGGAGAACGCTAACGTTGCCCTTCAGCTCAGAATGCGGTACCATTGCCATTGCGAGGGTCTCAGTCAAAGTTATCCTACCTTTACGATCTTAGGTGAACCGGGAGCTCTCGAGGAGCGCTGTACAGAGGGGCTCACAGCTTAGGGTCGGGGATTTATGGACATTTGAGAACCCGCTTCAAAATTGTGTGATACAAATTTACTGTAGGTTATCACTGCGAGTGAGAACCGGTGATTGAGGTTCTCCTGTGACCGACGGGAGTCTGATTCACGGATATCCATCAGTTGAGTCATTATCTACCGCCCAGGAAGAACTCCTTGGTAGGCTGAATTTATTAGTGAAAGCAACTTCCGGCAGTAGACTTTCCAATAGCCAGCTTCCGGATCTGGTACCGGAGTACTGCTTCTTTTCAGGGTCGAAAATCAATGGAAAGAAAAGAGCACGTGTAACGTAGATAGCCATCTTTAAATTTCAAAAAGAATCGCATAGACACTTGTCCCTACAGTGATGTTTCTTCCACATCCGTAACCGAGTCCTTCGGTCCAGTGGAAAGAATTTCGCGATGAGAATGGAGGCAAATTATCCCTTCGTTTGTGGGTGATTTGAAGCTGTCCACTTTGGGATCTTGTGGTGCTACAAGCACATAAAACTTGAGTTAGATTTTCTCTTCCTTTACTCACCGCGCGCTAGCCACTGCCTGGATGCTGCACAAACTCCAGAGCAGAGGCGAAGTGTAGCTTGTGGTGTTAGCTCTGTAAAGTATGGTTGGTGTGTTGAGGCTCTGCGGGTGCGGCGCCGAGGGATGCTGGTGCAGGGATCGCTCGTGCATGAGGCGCTCTCAGGGCCCTGCCACACCCCACCAACCACTGCACAACTCAACCCTGTCACACGTGAATTTCAAAAAGTTTCACAAACTATCGCTGCTTGAGATCAAAGTGAGTAAATCTCTCGCCCCTCTTCATTCTCGCTCGTCTTTGGTTTTTGAGCTGTGCGAACTGCTGTGCTTCAGCATTTGTGGCCTCTGTGGCCTCTGGAGCCGAAGTCTTCTCTTGTCTGAGATGTGTCGGTTGAGATTCAGCCCATCCGACGCTGGAATGCCGCCTTTTCTGTTTTTCTTTTCGCGGATGCGGACGATAAAATGGGCGGACCAAAGGGGTCAAAATTCCGTCCATTGGCTATGGGGCCATAAGCTACAGCCCGTCCATCAATCGCAAGTTAGTTCATCCACGATTTTTTTTTTACTCACACACTGATGCTAACCTGATATTCTGTCGGTTGATTAAAGAGATGACTTCTCTTCGGCAGTTACTCTTGTTGGGTTGAGACTTTTCACCTTGAGAGGAACAAAGGCTGGAGGCCCGGGAAACGAGGGATTTCTCTTCATCTATTTTTCCTCGTCAAAATGATTGAGATTTGGCTGGCATAAACTGCGCTACGGCTTTAAATGCAATCCCCAGTACTTAGCGTAGTACCCGGATGTTGAGCCTGGGGTAATCGCAAGGCAATGCGGAAAAGAGCTCGGAATCAAGGGTGGAAGGAAAGGCATGTGGCATCTCACGCTTCACTTTATGGAGTTGCGTATCTGCTGCTAGGCTGGGAGGTCCAGCAAGCTATTCTTGGGGGTGATTCGAGAGTCGGAAGCTTTACCCTCTTCTCTCGGCGAACGCTGTGTGGCATTTTAGATCTCTCTTATCCGAGACTGTTCTCGTCTGGGGTTTGCGGCTAGGGGGAATATCGACAGAAGATATATGGTTGGAGGAATGACGAGAATGATACCTTCGAGGATTATTGGCTTACTCTGGCCTCATCCCCCCTGATTATCTGGCTTGATAGGCATATTGGACCTCCTCACCACTAGAACTCCGGCGGACCATTTTTCGCTCGTTGCCTGGCAGATATGCTTGGAGATGGATATAGCGAGGGACGGGCGGAATATGGGTGCCGGAGAGATAAAGCCTTCCACCAGGGACTGTTTTTGACCGGGACGTCAGTTTCGAGGTTATGTTCAGTCAAAGGCGGGAACGATGCAAGATGTATGGAATACGACGTGGTAATACCTACTTTAGAGCAGCTCAATATTACCACTGTTGCTATTGATACTAAGCTATGTTGGAACATAAACAATTATTTACCGGCGAGCCCATGGGATTCCTGGGATCAAAATGCTAGAGGGCGATCTGGTAGAAATTGGCAATCAGTGAAGAAATGTAGGTAGCCGAGTGGTGATCCTATTTTGTTCTGGAAGATGAAGTTCGTTACTCCCTGTACGTGGTTTCACTTAACTCACGTCACGACCTGAATATCACAGTCACGGTTTCCATTGCACAATATATTGTGGTAATGAATTTGTATTCGAAAATATCGGAACTAAACAGCAAAAATGACCTTCATTCATCCATTGGCAATCGAAACGATAATCATAACAAATCACTCGCAAACACAAAAACAAAAACAGTACAACCTCGCAACCATCACGCCTCAATACCGAGTCGGCGAAATAACCTGACCTCCATTGAGCTCAAACGCTTTCGTCTTCAACTGCATCGCCAGATCCAATATCATCATGACAATGTCGCCACCATTTACATCATCGTGATGCCTTTTCATCTCCTGCCTTATCCACTCAAGATCCTTCAACTTGTGGCGCAGTCTCTTCCTCTTACTCGCATCCAAATCCAATGCTAGGGGGGTCAACGTCTCGATGAGCTCGATAAGCGTCTCGAGTATTGGAATTGAATCTTCGATGCGCTTGCACATGTTGCGGTCCCTGATGTCGCACCCATAGGTACGGTAGTAACGCGTGATATCATTATATTTCTGACGGAAGGTTTGGTACACTGCGGGGCGGGACATGGTGAAAGGCCGCAAGTGCAGATTCTCAGTTCTAGGTTTCCTGGGATATTTACAGAGGGGGCAGCGCGGTATTTGTAGTGGGCAGTGCTAGCCCGCTGTTTTGAGTCATTTTAGAATTGTCCACCGTTTTGTAGTACGGTAATCTTCTGGAAGCTCTGGAGGAAGCGCAGCATGGCCTCCGACTGGTGACACAGCACCGGCTTGGTAGTTTTTGGCATCGTCCATTCTATTCTTGCGCTGGAGTTGTGCGTTCTACACAGCTGAGAAAGTATATTTTTTTCGGATATATATATGTGAGAGCCAGCCATACTCAAATCCAACATGCACATGCATACCGATACCGGAAACTCGCAACCAATACAACAAGAGCCAAATCACGCTACCAAACTATAATCAAAGGTTACACCGCCAACCCTAATACAGACCACCGACGTCAAACCCATAACCCGCCTAAACTCCCGTCAAACAAATGATGTCATCTGCCAAGGAATGCCCTACCAATGAATCCGCCGCGCCTCCGGAGCCCCAATCTTCCTTTGCCCGCGAGGCCGTTGAATCAGGCGTGATCACCTGTTGGTACTGTCTGGAGGAACGGGCAAGGGGGTCCGAATGCTGCGGATATCTTCTTGACTGCTGGTGCACCGTTTGTAAGATCAGCGGTGAGCTAGGGAAAGTCTGCGAGTACTGTAATGCGCAGCTGGAAATACATGTTTATGGGGCTTGAGGTTTGGGAATCCGAGGATGCTTCTATTATGAGAGGCAACGCCTTGTTAACTCAGATGCCGGTTTCAAGAATAGTGGAGGAACAGTTGCTTTGGACAGGTCATCGGGCGTTGGTTTAAATCAATTTTCCGTACACGGAGTCAAGTAGCTAGGTTACTAATATTCATGGAGATACTTGTTAAATTGCTGGAAAAAATTCACAGAATCATCTGGTCATTTTCATCTGAACTATCGCCTGGAAAGAGGAAATGCCGGCAACACGCTCCGCAGGCTCCCCCGCTCCCCGAAACGCGAACCGATTCTGTACACCGCCGGAGGAACTGCTACGTAAGCTAATAGTAGTAGAAGGAATAGGATATATCATCATTTAGCACTATTTGGAGAAGTTAAATATCACTCTTGCATAATATCGTCTTTGCATAAACAAAGCTAATACAAAATCGTGATTTATGATCAACGTATTTCTATTAGAGACATTAAAAAGCCAAATAGTTGAGTACCTGGTATGCATGCGCAAATAAAGATCCAATTTCCCCTTTCCAGCACTAGCTAACGGTTCCACAGCGCTAGCAAACCGACGGAATAGTCATATAACTCATTCCCCAACTCCTGCACCACCTGAACCCGGTCCCTCGTCCGCTGGGGCTCCATAGGCTGAGCCATGAGTTCTCTATTCAGCGCCCACATTGGCTTTAGTCTCCCCTCCAACCCTCTAGTCGCGTTCCCATCCGACATAATATACGCCGGGCACCACCTGTCCAAAAACTCCGCCAGCTCGAGCTGTCGTTGTAAGGTACTGAGAGTGTGATTATTTACGTCTCGGGCCTTTCTATAGAACGTCTCCGCCTGCCTCACCCTCGGCGTAAAATCCGCCGGCCGAATATCCGCCACCATATTCGCAAACCCGGCCCACATATCCAGGTAGAAGTTTATAATCCGCACCGAGATTGGGTCTGTTCGCGGGGCGGGGTTGAGCAGGTCGTATGCCTTTCTCGAGATACCCGACCGCACCCGTGCAACGATCACTTTCTTCGTTTCGGCGTCAACGTGCATGTTGCGGTGTAGCTGGAAGTCGAGAAAGGCGGCAGTTTGGACGGCGTGGTCAATGTTGTCGGAGACAACGCGGTCGAGGCCTGGCGGGGGATCGATGTTCTGGACTCTGCGAGCCCGGTAGTCCCTCCGAAGGACTGCTGCGCGGTCTGAGTAGTGTGTTGCCATTGTGAAAAGTGTGGTGAGATTTAGGTTTGAAGAGTGGAAATGATGTTTGGCAAAGTTATGAAGGAGACTATAAGTATATGCGGTCGTTCTTTTATTCTCCGCGGAGAGGATTGGACATTCTGGTTTTCAACTTGACATGCGCAGCTGGCTTCCACCCCCTCCTGTGGTGTTGAAACGGCGAGCAGTCATTGATGTCAGATTGAATTTCATGATTGGTCTTGAAATCATATCGGCGATAGGCGTTTAGCGGACGATATGGCCTGATAACAGCTCAGCCAATCTGTTTCGTTATATCACGAGGCCAGTTAAGATTGGGTACTTATTTCGACATATATATGGAGCATTTCGTAGGTCGGCACAGCGGTGGCAGCCCAGAGAGCGTAGCTATATACTTTCCGAGCGATCTCAGTGGTGTAGCAAGTAGCTACACGGTATACCTCATGATAGTGAGGCGGGGGTAAGCGTTGACGGATGTGCATCATGGTATATCACTCGAACCTCTCAAGACATGGGCTAAATTAGGTGAGTTCATAACTCGTGACATAAGAACAGTGATGGACACGTTAAGAGTCCAGAATATACTTGGTTAACTACAGGGCAGGTTTCGGGGTCCCCAGTACTCGAGCAGTTAATTGGCCGGAGTCTCTCGATTTAAAGCAAGTTATCAAAGCAACAGTAGGAAATTGGTAGTCTCTGAATATGTGGCCACCTTAATAATGGGGGTTAGGGAGGCGCCTCCAATCTCTACTGGGTAATCGACAAGAGATCGTTTCTATGTTACGGGGAACTTACGCGTCTAAGCTTTTGGCGCTGGTGTTTAGGTCTTCAGCTATCACTCGCACATCCGGAGATCCGACCTCCTCCCATGTACTATCATACTATACCTAGCCATCTTCATCCAGGTCACCAACACCACAGGAAAACATATCTAAGGGATCCTCCAAAACGCGAAATGAGGCACACAAACTGTACAACACATCCTATCTCGCCCTCTTTGATTTGGAAGGAACGGGCGCTTTTTCTCTGTCGAGTGTGTCCGAGCGTATCGAGTCAACACCTATTCCTGCATATAGTTGTATACAGCGGTGGAGAGAGTTGAAACCTTTTTGAGATATGAGACAATGTGACGCGGGGCTGGGCTGGGGGGGCTGTGGGGGAGCGTGGGACGGGGGTAATAACTACTCGAGGGATAACATGACTTCTGTCGAACCCATGGATACTTGTACTTTGTTTTGTGCACGAAGGAGACTTTGTGCTATGTGGCTTTCAATGTGGATAGTCTCGAAGGAACTTCCGTGATGGCCATTCTTCCATTCGATTTTCAGATGTGATACATATTTTCGTGGGAGGAGTGGGTGGAGTATTCCGGTATTGCATCAAAACTAGGTTGCGGGGAGACCTAGACCTAAATTAGTAATTCTGGTACGATATATGAGAGTCTCGGTGAAGCCTTGAATTTGATTATGAATTTTGAACGACCCGTTTTGTAATCATTGACGATGATCCAGATCATTAGGTTGCTGTGCATGTGCAACGTCTTTTAGTTAGACTGTAGAAGCCATTTATCAGAGCATCCAGGTGCTCCTCCGGCCTCCGGGATATGAGGTTAAGAGCGGATAGAATGATTTCCAGTTCCATACGTCTCATGGGAATTTGCATTCGAAGGCGGGTTTATTTTAGTACACAAAACAGGGCAAGGGTCCTTCTATTCAGGCGTCCGAAAATTCGGTTTATTTCGTCACCTTATAACACACGACGCTACACTCTTTTGTTACCCACAGCTATCCCAATTCCCACAAAACCCACAGTATCCCAAGATCCACCACAACTCACCACACACAACACTCAAACACACACCCAAACCAAACTGACCATGGTCTACCTCACAACCTCTCCCGCCACCCTCACTTCCTACGCACACTCATGCCGCGCCTACCTCAACACCCATCGCTCCGGCGTCGTTCATATCATCAACGAGCTCAGCGCCGTATGTACAGAACTTGAAAAGCTTGCCGCCGAGATCGACCAACACAGCTTGCGTCTTTCATACGGGAACTGCTCCCATCGATACTAATGAGCTCCTTCGGCCTCGGTGTAGTAGACAAGCTACCCGCCATCGACGTCAAGGTAACAAAAGCGGTGAACATGGTTTCTAGGGGCGCGCATGGGTCAATGAATGTTACGGGTGCGGTAAAAGAGTGTTTTGAGCTCTTGAAGGCAAGAGCGCGGGAATATGAAAGTGCGTTGGCGGCGGCGTTGACGCGCAATCCAAATCAAGCGTGGGGGTATGAAGCGAAAGCAAAGTTTCTACCTAAGCGTTAATGTAGTAGGGGATGGAGTCTAGATGGTTAGTTCCTGTTTTAGAGCATCACGAAGTATGGTAAATAAAATATCAGCTTCCTTTTGATATGTTCACCCATTGTGTTTGGCGATGTGTAATCTAGATCAAATCACTAATAACGAGCCTACCTCCCCTTCTTGAATTGCTTTCATGCCCGTATATACTGGGAGCTCAAAATAGAACAATACTGTTATCGCACGCGCTGCCAGCTCCGTGACTGATATCTTGTTTTTCGGTACCTCCTGTGGAGGTGGTCCGGCTGCCTCTCAATCTATCGATATATATGAACGGCAGTCAACCGAATTTCACAGTCCCCCGACTACCAGGGCTTGACTTCATACAGTCATGATTATCGCAGGAGATGAATTGTGTTACCAAAGGCTGGAGATAGCCGGAAATGACTGAACGGTTAACCAGATACAATCTGTATCACCCAAAATGTTAAATCTTCCTGATCTGTCGGTCGAATCAAGATTCAGCACTGCTCTATGGAAGTAAATAGTATCCTAGATTGAAATCTTTCTATGCTAGGAACTGCTTATAAATGAGCGCTACCCAGTTCTGTTTCCTTTCTCACCCACACACCAGATCCACATCCTAAATATTATCAGAACACAAACAACTTCTCTAACATCAAATATAATAGCAAACATCAAGATGGCTGACGAACCTACCAACTGGGAAAACTACAAAGCCTACACCGACCATGCCCATGCCAAATTTAGCCGGCATGCCGCCCGCATTGACATTCCGCGCCGCCGCGAGCTCAAGCTCGACGCTATCGCCGACCGTCTTGTTCGCCTCGGCGTCCGCGCCGACGAATACAACCTTAAGCTCGCCCACGGCAGCCTCTCCGCCACCCTCCTACAACCCGACTTCGAGCGCCATGTGGGTAGCAAGTACGACAAGCTAGCGAAAGACGTGGCGGACCTGGTTGTATACTCGTCTGCGCGAGAGAAGGAGAATGAGGGCGTCAAGGCAATTCTGGATTGTGCGGCAGGGATACTGACGCATGTTAACCAGATGAGAGACGACCTGTATCGGCAGTTGGAGTCCTCAAGTAGGGATTTGAGGTGGGGGTTGAATCCAGTTCCGAGGACACTGCGAAATAGGAGGCAGATGATTGATATGCCGATAAATACGTTGGTTGTGGAGGAGGCACGGAGGCCAACTAGACGGTAGATGGAGAACTACAGGGACTGAGGCTTTCGAGGGCTTTAGGTTGGGAGAGATTGAAGTTTGAGTTTTTTGTTTCTGAGTTCCTGGAGGATTTTTAGTTAAGGAGTAATTCGATGAAGGGGTATTTACCTTACGGAATCAATGAAGAATACGTTCAAGCAAAGACCAGGCTCATAGCTTATAGACCAATATTGAATGTGATTTTTTATGTGCAACTGATAAATAATGCTGAGAACACCGCATCGATATACCGATAATTCAAGGGCATTTCAAGCTTTATAGCAGCATAGACGGGAGAATGCACCAGGGCCCTAAGCCTGGAAAGCTCAATCTCTTGTACTATGCTTGGCTGAGGTATCAAGCTCTGTATTGTTTATCGTCTCACAGGATCCGACCGATGAACAACTGCCCACAACCACCTGTGCCGTGTTTGGAATCTGCACAGGTTCATATATTCATCTCTGTAGTTCATTCAAAACAAGATGTAACCTTGAAATATTACACCAGGCGAGGATCGATCCATCTGTGCGAGGAGTCATCGTATAACGCTTTTGATTGGTCGAGTATCCACTGCACATGATAGATCTATACAGAGTCGGTGTTAGTAACACATAGGATGACCAACATGAGCACCTGTATAAGTATCCCCCATACCTCGGGGTATCTTTTTCCACTCACAGTCCCTCAATCTATCTTCGAGCACACACTCACCCGCTGCCCACTGCCGTTTATCACAGGCTCATTCAGTCATCCCCCTCTCCCACATCACTAAACATCTTCTGCTAGCCCTATCCCCTGCTCTCATAAACTCCAAATCTTTCCACTGCCCCTCTAAGCTTTTAACATGTGCGACTGCAAACACATCAGCTTCTGGCACTGCGGCCACTACCACCTCTACCTTGTCACCCGCTGCTACCAAGCACTCCACGACGTCTCAAACCGCTGCGTTGGCCCCCCCAACGTCGTGCAGTACCTCACGCAGAACAGCCTCTGCACAGACTGCGAGGCGGAAAGAAATCAGAATCTGGAACAGTAGGAGCAGCAACAGTGATGGGTTTCGGCGTGCACCTGCGGACGTGGCGTTTTTTCGTTGTTTCCTTTTGTTGTTTTTGTTGGAAGTAAAGTTATGTATTGTGATGGGTTTGTTATGCACGGATCGGACGGAGAAGGCTGGTAGGCTTGGGACGTTGTGATGATGGTGGGCTGTTCCTTTTTCTGGCGTTTTGTGGTGGGTTTTCTGGTATTTTCGGTTGTGGGTGTGGTTGACCTTCTTCCGTTTCTTGCTGGGTGGGGTGTTTGTGGAGGTGATGTGGTCCCAACCATGTAGGTACTGCAATTTAAGTTTGCCTTTATAACACGGTTACCGCAATTTCGGAACAATTTTTACTACTTATATCAAATCATTACACCAGTCCAAGATCACACTTTAAGAAGCCCGAAGGTTATGACATAACGGCCATGCCTCTAATAGGCCATGTGTGAACGATGTGATGGAAACCCAACCCACAACCTGAGGAATCCAAAGCTCAAGGGTACCAAAAACCACTAGCCTAAGAATCGCAACTGTTGAAGAAAAACGGGCCGCTAAGACACTCGATGGATAGATGGATAGAGCGAGTATTCGCAAAACATGAGCATGCTAGGATGGGTGCATAACAAACCCCTTGAGATGACTATATATCTCCATTTAGCGGTAACAGTTCATGAGCAAGACCTAGGTAAACAGTTTATTCTTTCTAAATATAATTCCTTAAATGATATTGGATAGATAATATACACATACACAAGCGAGCGGAAAAACAAACAGAAAAACATATATTCAATTAACCAAGGCAAGTCTTAATATCATCAGAAAGGACCCTACAGTCCGGCCATTGGAGGATTACTAGAACCAAGATATCAGCTGCTAATGATATAACTCAAGGAAACGATATCACAGCTCGAATCCCATTGTATTCAGCACATGCAAATATGGCGGGAGCTGAATGTTATTAATGGACAAAATAAGCTCCAGAAACTCTTCACAGTCAAACTCCCTCTCCCTCAGAGCGCTCGGCCCACCCAGCGATTCCACCGCCTTCCTATCCCCCTCCGTGGGCTTCTCCAACGCCCTCTTTCTCACCTTCTCAAAGACATTCACGCTCTTCACAAACGCCTGCGTCAGCTTAACCCAACCCACAACAAGTTTATTCTTTGCATGCATATCATTCATATCCGCCGTTTCGTCCTCCAGAAGCTTCTTGAACTTTGTGATGGCACGGTCACACCTGATCTTGTAGTCAATGAGTACCTGGTTGTATAGCTCCAGCTCGGGGGCCCACCAGAGGACCGCCGAGTCGTTTTCTTCAGTGAGGCCTTTTGTGGGTAGGTGGTCTCTTATCTCCTTTGTGTAGTCTTTCATCTCGGCTGAGATGGTGTCGATGAACTCGGTGGCCCAGAGGTAGTCTACGGGGTGGGTGGTTGCCGTTCGGGCTGAGTCGCTGTTTTCGTACATGGCTTGGAGACGTTTGGATTTATGAGAGTATTATGGTTAGTAAGGTCACGGATGTATAAGAGATCTAGTTTATAGTGATTGATCTACGAGCTTTGAGGGGCATTTATGCGGCCCAAAATGATCCTCATGCGGTCCAATACACGGTAAATAACCTTGCTTTAAATTCCCAAATGAAGAGAGGCGGAGTTCTATGTGTAACTATCCATAGTTTCTGTATGTTTTGGCCTTTTTCTATGAAATTCTCCAGAGACCAGATTCTCTGGGCCCATTGCTACCAGAAGCAGAGGTCAAAATACCAACTTCGAAACCTGTATCACGCAAACCAAAGATGGATATCTCAGGTAAGATAAGACGGGTAAAAAGATTTGGTATTCGATTACTAGATTATTCCTTAATTAATAAATTGCAAATTAACATAAACTAATACCATCTGAACATAAGAGATATCATCCCGAGCCATTATCTCAGATATCTTGGTATTCTGATATTATCAATCTCCTCCCCAAAGTCTGCAAATTCCTTCGTATCAAACCACTTCGGCTCCAACGAATCCGGCCCGCCCATCGCCTCCGTCACAACCTTATCCGCCGCCCTCGGCCTCCTCCTTGCTCTTTTCTGGATATTATCAAACAGCTCCGCCCTCGACGTAAAGGACCTCACGAGCTCCTTCCACACCCTCACCAGCCTATTCTTGTCATCAATAGTCTGGTACGTCGCCTCCTTATTGTCCAATAGCTGCGTGTATCTCTTGATCGCGCGCTCAATCTTGACCATCTGCTCGCTGAGGCACAAGTTGTAGCACTCCATATCAGGGCCCCAAAAGAGGACCGACGAGTCGTTGTCTCTTGTCAAGACACTTTTGTTGAGGTTGTGGCACATCTCGTGACGGATGTCCTTGGTGTCTTTGATCATGACGTCGATGATCTCTTTGGTCCAGAGGAATGGCACGGGGTGCTGTGTGGCGGTGCGTTCTGAATCGCTGTTTTCGAACATTGTGGAGAGTTGGAAGTGGTTGTGAAGGTTCGCACGGTGTAGGATGTAGTCCTGAGGGTGTGGAGTGTGTAGAATGCGGTTTTGGTTGTTTGTAGAAATTGGGTCAGGCGGATTTGGTAGCTTTTAAACCGCTTTTAGAGATAACGAGGGATACTATCAAGACACTTTAACCTCATAGAATATCAGCGGGCTTTTCGTATATTTGTTTCAATTCAGACGCCTGAGCCTATACACGGCCTCTCACGATATCTTTCCCTGGTGAGGAGGAGAGATTCATGAGCGTTCGTTGGTGGACCGAACATATAGCTATTATCAAGCGTGCACAAACATGCCTGTGTTGGTAGCTCAATTAGCGGATTCTGTCGGTCTTACAGTAGGTGTCGTGGCCAAACGCCACGTTAGGTCACTGGCGACGTTTCCTTAATTAACTCGGGTGGATGTGGAAGTCCTTAGTTGAGCGGAGGGAAGTATACAGCGCACCCAGAATATGCTGAGTCTTGTAATTTATCAGTGAAATAAGGTTTCTCGCCAAGGGAAGTTTGTATCTTGTGCTATTATAAGATGTGTTTGTACGTGCGGTGCGCCGACTGACATGTGGGAATTTTACTATCTACTGGATGGCCAGACAAAAATTTGTTGGTACAAAAAAGTGCAAACTCGAGTGAGCGCCTATGATACAAATTTTGCGATCCGAACGCCCGTCCTCACGAGCAGCAAAAAAACCTGTTTACCTAAGCGGCAGCTCACAGGGAAAAACCGGTCAAGTCCTATGTAGGTACGCATACGCTATTACCTCTTGACCATTTTTATTTGTGGGTGAAAGTGAATTCCCTTCGTCCCATATGAGGGGGTGTTAATTGCTAGGTAATTGCGTGTCATAGGTTTCTTGGATTGGTTAGAGCGGGTTGTATTTTAAGTAAAAAAGAGGTGGCCTCTGCACAGCGGCGATCTGACGTACTCGCTAGAGAATTATGTTTCATAATCAACGATAGAAATAGCCAGATCTTACATAACCAAATGAATCCCGGCGGAGATAACACTACCAATGTCCGGCTCCCTTATAGTACTACCTGCAGATGGCGCTCAGAAGTATAATATAGGCCAATGCCAGGCTCTACCATCCCGCTCACCTGAAATTGCCCCAATATTTCCAACAATTCATTCACTTCAATGTTACTCCGGAACCTCTTAGCAAAAAGAGCTAATTTGGTTGTTGTCCCCTCACCGTTTTGTATGTCTGGTTATAAATTCAGGAACACATTAGGCCTTGTAAGACCCTCACTCTGAGAACGTTTGAGATACACTTTGTGTTATAGGGTTTATTTGAGCTCAGCCTTGGATGAAATAAGAACCGGTTACTACTATTAGAAACACGGGGGAGTCGTCCTGATCAGCATAGTAGAGCTATTGGACAAAAAGGAACCAATGTATTTCTCTAGTTACCGGTATGCCTCACACTATTTATGACGTATCAATCAATCAATTCCCCTTCTTGCACATGCATCGAGACCTCTAAGTGTGGTGCCAAAGCCTACCCGCCAGTAAGTGAATGTATAATCACTTGCTTTTCTTAAGCATCTATGGGTCCAGTACAAGGGAGATATGTTTTCAGAATGGATTCAGATTTGATTCCTAAGGTTATGTATAAATAAATTGCGAAGAAAGGAATAGAAAGAACGTGATATTCTATGACCGTACTAGTGCGAAGGAAGAAACATAGTACAAATTAAAAAAAGATACCTTATTGAGCCCCACATGTCCTCCTGTCACCGGTATTGATAAAGATATAAAACCAGGAAACTCATCAAACCAGCCTGATTGCCGCCAGGATAACCTCATAATCCTGGATCTTGAACTCTTGCGGCTTCGGCACGAACTCCAGCGTGCTCAACACTCTCAAATCCTCATCCGTCGGCCTCTCCACAGCTCTTCTACATACCATATTATAGAGGTTTGCTCTATTAGTGAACAGAATCACCAGCATTGCCCAGGCATCCGCCAGGTCAGTGCGCAGCTCTGGGTCACCCCTGGATAGCCTACCCCTATCGGATAACGTCCGGTAGCATTTAGCTGCCTTTTTAACCTTCTTTGCTAGTTGGCCGACTTTATAATCCCAGCAGGTTATGTCATCATACCAGCGAAGGGCCTGTGAGTCGTGGTCGTGAACCGCCTCTGGGTAGTTAGCTTCCAGAGCCGTAACTGTGTTGGTCAGTTCGAGTATGACGTGCGAAATTGCAACCGGGTTCCATCGCAGTCGTCTGGGCGATTGTGTGATCGTTGAATCGGAGTCTGACATAGTGGAAAATGTATCGATTTGTGTATTTGTATCTGTGGGGTGGTGAACGTATAGGATATGGTTGAGTGAGCTAAGTCAGGTGGGTTTCAAAAGAGCTTTACGGTTGACTGCTTACTTTGATAATTGGGCAACGTACACCCGCGGGTATTCAATGAGCAAGTACCCTTTTTTGAAAGCCGTGAAAAGTCTCTTTATAGGCTAGGGATCAATGAAGCAGTCGATCAAAATTATAATTAATGATCACCATGAAAAACGCTTGGATTCTAGTCTGCGTCTTCATACAGGTGGACTAGCTCCAGACCACACATTTCCGCCCAATTCTATTATTTCTTAACAGATAATTCTGTTGTGACACCCCCGCCCTGGAGAAACCGTCTGGGATAAGTTTTACTTGGTACAGAAGCTTCATGTTCCTTGTCGACCTTCTAATTCAATTGGTTAGCGCTTGGCAAACGAAAAGACTCCAAAGTTTTGAAAGACTACAGGAAAGCGTATTAACCTTTGAGCGCATTGCTAGGTGTCGGAACAAAATTCATCTAGACGGCATAAAGAAATATGCGGGACAAGAAAAACAAAAGCTAATAAAGAGATATAGGCCTATGGGCTGGATAGATCGCCGAGGAAGATAGAGAAACCAACCAGGGAGGCTGAATGCTCACAAAGTGCCTGAGAAGCTGTAAGAACCGAAGGGGTATCGTTACTCTCCGGTCATAGGTGAGAGGACCTGCATGATGATGCAAATCGACCTGTCACAGATCAAAAGTAGGCGTTCCAAAGAGAACTTATGTAATACTCTTATCGCGGTTTTCGTGGTCGTCAGTTCGGCTTGCCACTCCCGATTTGACATCCAACAGGCAAATCTTCGGCGTTCATGATGGTGTTTCGAGGCATAAAGGAGAGGAGGTGATGACAGATACTAGATTATCAGAATTGACGGGGAAATAATATGACCACAGACTTTGGAGTTTGCGTCAAACCAATGGTGAGTGGCTATAATGTGGAGGGAAAGGCTAAATCATGCATGCGCGCATATGCCTCTCCAAGGATGAACGACTAAGAGGGGTAGCTGTAATTGGTTTGTAGGGTGTACTCCGGGGGTATGTAGGCTTATGTATTGGAGTTGCTGTACGTTGAAGAGAAGAGTAAGAATTGGATTCACCACCTGGTTAAGAAGAAAGGTACAAATGAGATACATAACTATAAGCTCGGCAGAGGGTGTTAGAGGGAGTATTACCAATGTTGTGGCACCGTAACGGCCAGTGCTGTATCGAACTACGTGTAGCCCCTAACACCACATGTCATCCACTAGCGCTACTGGACCGCTCTTTATGCCTTAAATAAAGCTAATTTCAATTACGTGTGCCCACTTTATCTGTCCTGTCACTCTAGTTCGCAAGGGGGTGGCCAGTCGGTTCGTAGTAGATTGTGACTGCAGGGTTAGGTTTCCCTCTGGCCTGCTTTGCCCTCACTTCCTTAAATATTACTTCCGGCGCATTAAGTTATGTGTGGGCGAGGTGTGGTCTAAGGGTAGACACCTCGTTCGGGGATGATACACTACACCGTAGCGGTTGTTCCCATGTCCATCGTTAGGCCATGGGTTCGATACAGGGGTGGGAGGGGTACCTGATAGGGATGGTATAATAACTCGACATTCAATACCTATATGTTGAAAAAGGCCATACGCACGCAGCGAGACTTTTTGTTCTTTCTCTTTTCGAATTTTTTTGTCTATTCTTGGCATTTCTGGAGCTTGTTAGCTCGAACATGCTTGCGAGCCTCGAGCGTTGAACATTCATGAACCACACGCACTAAGGTACCGAACAAAAAAAAAAAAAGAAAACAGAACACATGGAGAGAACCCAAACTAAACACCATATCTCTCTATTTTTTTTGTCTTGTCAAATAATTCTCATTCCGGCGCACAAGATCACTCAACTCCCAGAAAATTTCGGAGTCGTTTCTCACCCCCCACACCGGCTTTAATTCCACCGCATCCTCATCCGTCGACCCGGAGTCATCTTCGGAATCATCCTCACAATCATCCTCAGACTCGTCTTCAGTCTCAACGTCATCCGCGGAATCATTCGTATCATCTGAATCATCCGAATACTCATCTATGGGCTCACGTACAACACCTCCCTCTTTCGCCTTGCTTCTTTGCTTCAAAGCATACTCAACGATAGACTTTGAACGCGCCGAAGTATCTCCGTATGGAACGAAATAGCCCAGCGTTGTACCTTCCTCATTTTTGGCGTTGCTATCGAACTTGATCGTTCGTTCCGACTCCGGTTTGGCGGCAAGTTGTGTTTTGAGGCCGATATTAGACATTGTAGGTTGCTGATTATGTATGCTTCTGAGGAAGTTCGGATTCAAGCTGACGATAGTATACCACCACAACTAGTAAAGCAACTGGTGAAGCAACGGCCTGGATGTTATAAGCGTCTAAAGCTTAAGGACTCCAATTCTACGGGAGTTAGGAATCTCCGGGGCTGGCCCCAGGGGTACGCCCCATTCAACATGGGCATCTTCACCTGTTGCGGTAGTAGTTCCCACTTTTATCCCATAATCAGCGACTTTGCTGCTGTTTATAGCGATTATGTCATGCGTACCTGGGTGAGACTCATCATCACCCCATGGCATCCGACTCATATTTCACAATTACAACCTAATAACACGCGAGAAAAACACTTGGAACTTCATTGGCATTGCATGATGATATTTTATGCAACTCTAACTAATAGAATACCGCATATTGCTATGAGCAACAGAAAGAGAAAAAAAAGAAAAAAAAAGCCCGCCTGCTCCGACATAAAGCGAATATTCTCCCGCTGCACAGCAGCCGGTTCATCTGCGATGCTCTATATCAGCGTTGCGTGCGCTGAATATACACATATATGCATGGAGTTTATCTTGGAGGATATCATCGATGATGGTGGCTTCGCCCAGCCTTATGTGTCTTATGCTTGGTTTCACGCTCCTTCTCGGATTTTCGCAACCCATCTGCGGCATCCTTCGGCACTGTGTATCCACCCTTAGAGCTACCATCGTAAGCCTTTGAACTCGTGTCAAAGTGCACTGAACGCTGCTTCTGAGGCTTGGGAATGGCTGCTTGTCGGTTACTCATCGTGAAAGTAAGTGTCGATAGTTGATGGAATAAGTTCGGGAATCTGATATTGTGTGATAAGAGTTGAGATAGATCGATGAAGACTTAGGCGCTGATGGTTACATATACTAACTGGTCGGATCGGTATGTGATTCTATGTGAGCTCTAAGCTTGTGGTTTGATTAAGGTCAGGTGTCGCGGGGATGCGCCGTTGTTTTCAAGAATGCTCGCTGACCTAATAGTAATTGACGTGATACTAGGAAGTGCTATATCATCAATTCCTCACTACACTCTTTCTCGTTTCCAGGCGTATACACATATATGTTGCTTTCCACGACAAGGATATTTTCGCGCATAACATCAACGAATCAAGGATCCGGTACATCATATCTCACTCGGCATGTGCGCCAAGATCTGGATCAGGGTCGCCTAGCCGAGGAGGACGACATGTCAATGATCAAAGATAACCGAAGAACATGACACCATCCACGTACCATTCCAGAATCTTATAACAACGCGAGATTTACCTCCTAAAGTGGCTCGTGTTGCTTCAACTTTGTTTCTCGGTAAAGAAGCTAAGAGACCCGTACCAAGGCCAGGGCAAGGGTTCCGGTGAGAGCTGTCTCACCGGCATGAACATTAACGTTTCAGCGTATTGACCTCGTCGTTTATATAGAATAAAACCCTTGTTCAACTGGGATAAAGGTTTTGCCGCAAAGCCGAGATCAAGGTTTAGCCCTCGGCTACCGAACGACAGTGGCCGATAAGGCATATGGTCTCACTCCGGCCGCAGATATATAAGATAAATTCAATCTATCTGAGGATGAAGAGGAAGGGACGGACCAGCTTCCGCAACACCGGATATGCATCACCTTTCGCTAATGTACGAAACTCACTTTGGCGTTGGATGGTGCAATGTATTATTACGCTCTGTACCGGGGGAGGGGATCACTGGTTGGTAGATCTTGCGCTCGGCTCGATCCCGGTGATCTGAGACATGTTGTTATATGAACCACAGTCAGGTCGCTCGCTGAGACGAGGTGCAAGTGCAACTTTGGATTGGAACTTCGATGGCGCTGCGCGTTTACACTCTTTTCTTTTTTCTTTTCTTTTTCAATATTTTATGAAGGTTAGCAATTGGTGATTCCTATGTTCACTCTTGGTCGGATGATCAGTCCTTGGCATTTATTTGTATTCGCAGGTGTAATGAATTACGACTCTTGAAGCTAATAGTATGATTCATATAGTTTCAATCCGCAAGCTATTTATAACCTACAACACGGATTCCATATCTGTTGCTCTTCATACACTCATTTGACTTGCTCAATCACCCCAACGTTCTTTACTTGTACGACATTACGCAAAATTCTAATTCCCCCCTATCGAAGGATACCACCCAACATGCAACTCTACCAACTTCTCCTACTCCTCCCCTTCACCCTCACTGCAGCCTCCCCGCTCCACTCCCGCGCCACAAAACCCGGCCTCGCATATTCCCCCTATAACGCAGATGGCAGCTGCAAAAAGCCAGAGCAAGTCACCGCCGACCTCAACAAACTCAAAGGCTTCCCGCTCATCCGCTCCTACGGCACCTCCTGCGACCAAGTCAAGACCATCATCGCCGCCGCCAAGCCAATCGGCATGAAGGTCATGCTCGGCATCTACGAGCTCGGCGATGTCTCTAAGGAAATATCAAAAATCATTGCCGACGTTGGCGGGAACTGGGGTAGTATTGACTCTATCTCAATTGGCAACGAGCACATCCACAACGGCGCCATCTCTCCAGGAGACCTCGTTGCCAAGATTTCCGCCGCGCGCAAACAACTCAAGGACGCAAAGATCAACACCAAGGTCGTGGCGACAGATACATTCGACGCAATCATCAAGTACCCGGGCGTGTGCCAGGCATCCGACTTTGCGAGCGTCAATATCCACCCCTGGTTCGACCCCAACACTGCGGCGAGCACCGCAGGGCAGTTCATGAAGAACCAGATTGCACGCGTTGAGAAGGCCTGTCCAGGGAAGACTATTGTCGTTGCGGAGACCGGCTGGCCGTGGAAGGGGGATACGCATGGCAAGGCTGTCGCTGGGAGACAGCAGCAGGAGACAGCGCTGAAGGAGATCGTCAAAGTGACTGGGTCGACCGGAATATTTTTGGGGCCCTTTGACGATACCTGGAAGAAGGATAACCCTGGCAGTTTCAATGCGGAGAAGTGGTGGGGTATTGCGAATCTGGGGGTTTTCTAGATGGGGGGCGCCATAGGTGGCACTTTTCTGTTCTATAGCTTTTTTTTCTTTTCTTTTTCTTTGGGAGAGAGAGTGTGAGAAGGGGTGTTTATAGAACTAGGGGGTGCCGAAATGTGAGATTTCGGAGAAATTAATTCTAATGTCATTTGAGATGATAAATGCAGTCATCTGGAATGATTAAACCATGTTTCTTTCTTCCTATTCTTCTTCTTCTCTTTACGCTTCTTGTGTTTTTGGCGTGGAAGGCGGCGGTGTTTAGTTTATAGACGGCTTCTTTTCTTTCTTTTCTGTGCTTCTCTTCCACTTTTATATATAACTTCGATCTAGGGTACTAAATCTATCTGTATATAACAAACAATATTCCGAACTAATCTAGGATTTTGAGTAGCGGTGTCTCACTATCCACTATCATCAAGAAATTTTGCAATTGGCGGGTGACGATATGCGCCCAAGAATCAAGAGCCTATGATAACCCTACACCTAAACCCCCTATCTCTTTCTTTACCTGTCTGTATAGAACGTTGAGTGTGCGGTACTGCACTGGAATATACACGTCGTAACAGCCCCCGAAAAATGACCGCTCCGCCTGCTCCTCCCACTCCGCCCGGGATGGTACATGTACTTCCATAGGCCAAATGCTCCGGGCCGACAGAGTAGCTAGCTAGCAGGGAAATGAGTAACATAAGGCTTTATTTCCTTCCCCGATTAGCCAACCTGGTTTGGATTGAAAGTATAAATTGAGTTATATAGGGCATCATGAAACAATTCCGGTTATTAACGAACGAGAATCTCTCTGAGATAATACTTTAAACTAGTCCCTCTGAGCTTGCATAAAGTACACTAGAGATTTCACGATCACATGGCATACTAGAGCTCATGTGGTCACCAGCACAAATCCTTACAGTTCAACTAACACGATCCAATCCTGATTCATATTAGTGTTAAAGAGGGACACGTACCACTGCCCCCAGTCAACCTGCACAGACCCCCCCATGGGAAACCCGAGTGATAGTTTATGACTACGCTTAAACCCAATCCTCTCCGGGGGCGACCGAGTGATATATCATGACACAAAGGATTGTAGAGTCATTACTTCCCCATGATCTTTTTCGTTTGGAAGCGATTTAAAGTCTGCTATAGAACTAGAAGTTACAGTTGTAAAGAAGCCATTAAGAAAACAAGTCAAAGACCCCGACACCGCCGGGGAGGACAGTCAACAAAACAAAAGCCGAGCAAAAGTAAAAGTAAAAGAAAAGTCCGAATTCCATGAGTGGAGAAGATAGAGGAGACACTAGAAACTACAAACTAATGACTAACACTAGGAATTACCTGTACAGACGACCCCCTTCACTAACACTCAAGCAGCAACCCCCATGATCCAGTGGCCCCCAATTCTTCCCAACACCCACCCAGCACCCACATACAGCGCCACCAACTCCCTACGCAAGTTAATGACGCCATACCTCCTCTCCAACATTCGCTCTTTGTGCCTAAAGTAGTTGAACACACCGACCTCCAGGAACCGCCACAACACCACCAGACACGTCCTGTTGAACCCACGCAGGACCACCTCCCCCGTGGCGAGCTGCTCATTAAACAACGCCACGAGCTCGGCCACAACCTCGACCGCGTGGTCCCCGTCGCGGATGAGCTCCGCCATTGCGTTGTCGTCGTCGACACGGTTGGTGCGCCTGCGAACAATATAGAACAGCGACTGGGTCACACGCTTCAGCGTGTCTTCGGTCACCTTGGTCGTTGATTGCATCAGCTTGATGAGGAAGACTATACGTCTGGTAGGACTGTGCGCGACGGCTTGGTAGAATATTGGGATGCGGGGATTAAGCGGGCTCCGTCTAAAGCGGCGCATGAGGCGCGACAAGGTTAGTTGGGGGGTGCGAGAGAGTAGCATCTGGTCGAGGTCTGTGGACCAGAGCTCGCGGGTCTCGTCGTGAAAGTGGGCATCGGGGGGAAGGTGATCGCGTGGATTCAGCACGGGATCGGCGGGTCTGATGATAGGGGAGCCTGGTTGCTGTGGTGGTTGGTTTTCAGGAGCAGGCATCACTGATTCAACCGCGTGGGGAGCTGTCTCAACATGTGGTTGCCCGGGGGGATCCGCTCTGGGGGTTGCGGGAGTGGAGCATGTAGCAGACGAAGTTGCCATTGTGGTAGGTATTTGATGTGGAGATAGTTGGATAAGTATAGATTCAGGAGGCTGAGCAGTAGGTGTAAGAAGATTATATAGGTATTGGGACTGGTGTGGACGGTCCTTGTCAGATCCTGGTGATAATTTATTAAATTACAGAGACCTACCAGGGCTATATATCCTTTTCACAGTTTTTTATGGACAATATGTCACCTCTGATTGGAGCAATCCTATCTTGCTATTGAGCACTTTGACAGCGGAACGTATCAGCGTGCAAACATAAAACTCGAGCATTTAGGTGTCACCTACCTTTACCGGGAAAGATATCAGAGTATATCCCTACTCTGCTCGTTTTAGATTTATAGCAGTGATTTGATCGATTGATACTATAGACAGATACAACGTATTGTGGTGACGATATATATCCTAAGGTCAAGAAGGAAGAAGGTAAGATGGAGAAGAGGTTGAGGTGAAGAATGTTCGATCTAATTTGTAGGGTCCGCTAACGGGAAAAAGGGGGGTTAATTATTGGTAGCCACTTCAGGAAGTGCACCCTGCAGTGAGCACGTCATGATGAAGTATACTGTTTCAAGGCGTACCAACCTTAGACATCTACGTGCACCACATCCTTCGAGAAGTACTAAGCAGCTACACCAACAACTTTCCCTTCTCCATGTCGTGAAATGATCATGGAGGCACCTATAATAACATTTATCGTCTGTCATAGACCAACCGGTGATCAACATCCACCCTATAATGGTGACTCCTCACCCCATCAAGATCCTCCGATGCTTTCTTGAGATAATGTTGATTTTTAGAAGCAGGGCGGCGTTGAGAGCTAGCTCTTGTCTACGGACATCGAATACTTAATTACAACTACTAAGACTGAGAAGTAAACGGCGATGGTTGATCAAGCTACTTATACTTCATTCTATGCGCCATATCTTTCCTAATCGTGTTAAACACGTTGTTTCCATTCACAGAACAGTCGCCAGCTGGCCAACAGCATGTATGTCCGGAAATAACCCAGAATACCCCACTTATTTTTGGTTATCTTATCTTATCTTATCGTATCAGGAATCAGGTTGATGTGTACTCCAAACATTCGCATACTTGTCCTCTAGACTCTAGCCCGCCATGTCGCCTGCCCACTTAGGCTGGGATTTTAATGTTGAGGGAGTGCTCTTCATCCCCCAGCCTCACCTTTTCCGACTTGTCTTGGTGTCATCTATCAAGTACAGGCTGGCCCTAGTTGGCCTCTCTGCATCCCCGGTGGTTCTCTCCACCATGCGAATGACCAGGTTCCGTCCACCATCTTGTAAGGAAACTCCGTCTACACTATTTTCCCAGAGCGAGGACATTTTTAAAACACCACTTTCATAGAATCACTACCCCAGCTAATCATAGGAGGCGGCAATGAGTGAGAACATAACTCTAATTCTCTGTATATGAATACTCACTTATACTTAGGCTCTGATCTTGCTACATGTGCTAGATCTGGTTGCTCTCCTAGGAAGGGAGAATCCTTTCTTGTTGTTCTGCTCACATGGGGAACTAGGCCAGGGTTTCTAACGGTGCAAACAGGTTCTAGATTCAGAAAAAGACGTACCAGCCGCTACATCAGGACAGTCAAACCGGAGCAACTATACCAGCTGTTGAAGTGGAGGGTTTCATGAACCGGTTTAGCCACCCAAGCTGCATGCGCAGCCCCACGCCCCCGCGTGTGGGTGTCCGCGTAATGGCTGGAATTGGGGGTTCGAGCCCAAGAACTACCCTCTCCAGCTGACCAAGTGCGGCATTCAAGCTCAAGAACAGGCAGCTTATAAACGGTTTAAACTGTCAGTATCATCAGTTTTGAAGATTCATGAATAGTTTAACCGTTTATTTAAGGAGATAGGTACTCTACCAGCTATTCGGTTAAACGTTTGATTACAAATAGTTTAAATTACATCACTCGCAAACCACTGGAGGCCCCGTAGTACGCGTCCTAAGACACACACAGTCGATATCGAGTGATAATGCATGATCCAGGTTCGAACTTCCTGGTCAATATGAGATGGGAGTGGGGCGTGAAGTCGACGTAGCTCCAATTAGGATGTGCTATTTGAATAAGGCCATACACCCCTGGTCTATGGGGCGCAATAATAATAGTAGGAGCCACAGCACCACCATCGATATCTCCTTGATGCATCGCACACACCCCACCAGTAACACTGCAGCTGGTGATCTGATGACTAAAGCTACCGGTCAAGGTACACAATCACAAAGGCAAGGGAGGAGCCTCACAGCCTGAGATACTGAACTGCAGAGAAGCCCTTAATATCTGAACTTGTTGTGCATAGAATGAGAGACGCCGAGACTGGTATTCTTAAGTATCCAAAGCACACTACACTTCCTCATTCCTTCACCTTCTTACTTCTACAGACCACTATTAACCGTATCAAAGAGCCCTATACACCCATACCATCCTCACATACACCACCACCGCAACCATGGTTTTCCAATACCCACTCGAGCTTCTAGACACCTACTTACACCCGAAACCCGCTCTCACCGCGGAGGAGTCTACCCCGCAGGCCGCGACCCCTGCCCCCGCCATGTCTACAGTCTCCAGAGCCCCGTCTCAAATGGGCTCAAGCCACAGGACCTCCACCGCGAGACCAGGAACGGCCACTTCTCAACTACGGCCCCATCTGAAATAAGTCGCGCAGGCTACTTCTCCAACTCAGCAACACCCCGCGGCGAGGTACGCAGCAGGACGAAAGTAGTCACCAGCCAGGAATCCGAGCACACCGTATACGATACCAAATCGCCCAGAGGCCCTGGCCCCCACGGATCCAGGCTCTCCAGCGACGCCGGATCACGCCCTACCCATATCCAGGCTTATACCGCCGCGGACATCGCGGCAGGCCTGTGCCCGAACCCACCTCCCCGCCCAAACACTCCATCCCGCCCGAACCCGCCGCCCCGGGCGAGCATCCCTGGTGCCCCACGTCGCGAAGGTACTAAAGGGTCCACAAGCAACGTACCCAGCCTCGCCTCCACCGCTGATGGTGACACATCGTCCGAGCGTCGCGAGCGCACCAGAAACTGGGTAAGCTATGCCCCTAGCCAAAGCTCTACTACCAATGGCGTGCTAGGTCTCGGGCGTCGCCCGTCCATCGGTTCTATGAGGGGGCCTGTCTTTCAAAACCCAGGCTTGGGTGCTACTCCGCGTAGGACCTCGCAGCGACAGAGAGCTTCGGACCCGCGTGCGCGACAGAGCGCTTCGGACCTGCATGCGCGACAGAGCCTTTCGGACCAGCGTGCGCGACAGAGCCTTTCGGATCTGCATGCGCGACAGAGTTCTTCGGACCTGCGTGCGCGACAGGGCTCTTCGGATCCGCGCGCTGCGGCGGCACCGTCTATGGTGTACGGTGGGGCGGGGGAGGCACCAGGAAGGAGGGGAGAGCCGTCGTTGCCCCGCCGCTCAGGTGGTGGTGAATCTGGGAGGACGCTGAAGTCGGCCATGAAGGGAGTTGGGACGGGAGAGAGGGGGAAGTCGGTGAAGTTTGCGAAGGAGAAGAGTACGAAGTATTATCATGGGGCTGGGAATTAGGTTCCATAGTCGCTGGGATGGTGTTTAGGATCCTGGGATGTCTTCTGAGATTTGGTAGACTTGTTGGGTTTTGTGTGTTTGCTCAACCCTCGGTTTGGGAGTGGTAATGGCTGTTTGTCGAGGTAGTGCTGCGATGGGTATCTGGATTTTAGAGTAAAGGGATGTTTAATGACACTTCATGAGATTGTGCCATTTTTTATATCGTTAGAGCTACATTTATTTATCTCCCCACCTACACCATTCATGTCCTTATAGGTAGTAATTGTGAGCAGTCTTGAACAATTACGGGAGGTGAACTGTAGCAGGTTGACCAGCCTGACCTATCTCTAGCACCAATTGCATCAAGTCGTTTTTCCTTCGCCTCGATCTTGGGATGGAGATTTATAGCTCAGAGCAGGTGTTTCCTGCGTAGAAACAAATGATTAAAATGATTTAAAATGATATAGTTTTGGGTATGCGTGCTCTGCAATAACACAAGATGCAAGATGGCACAGTTCCCTCCTACGTTCAGAATAGAAAGTCACACCCCCCACACCCTTTCAAACCTTTCATCCCCTCAAAACACTGAAAATTAAAATAGCCTCCTAATATATCTCGCTACAAAAGTCGGGAACAGAAGACGAGTCGACTTAATTGTGCCAAGGTGGAGTGGAAACCCTAACCGTTCTTATGCAATTTGGTACCAAACGTTAAACGGTGCCATCTTGTCTCATGTGTTATTCGGTGCAGGATAGACACGATTCAGCTGCTACGTGGCTGACTGAGCTGGTCGAGCAGATTGAACACCTGTACGAAACCGGGTTTATTTGGCACCATAGCAATCATTCGTCTTCAACACTCCTCGACACTCCTGCTTGAGCATAACCGACAATACTTGTCGCGGTCATCCAAGAGCCAGCAGTAGTATTCTAATGATTTCTATACATTGTAATTCTTGGGGCTTTGTCGCTAACATAGGTCGTTTGGTCACAGTTAATAGGAATACCTCTCGCGAATATGGTGGACAGTGTAGTTCTTGATAGCGAAGTACTTCGTGCCCCTCCTCGAAGCAAACACCTCGAGGTGACACGAGATACCCTTCTACTAGCCCAATGTACCTCGATACATGGTATATTGTTCGACTCGAATTGACTCGAGTCAACCCAATATGTACTCTCCGGACTGCTGGAATGCAGGTACCCGTATAATATACATCCCAGATGATCGAACCAGGTAAGAACTACTGAAGATCCACTGGAAAGTCTTTCCCCGAGTAACATCGACACAACTCGAGGTATAGGTCTATATGGCTCGAGGCAGCCTAACTGATCTCCTCAGAGGAACAGGTGACTCGATACACCCCGTCCTCCTCGTCTCCATGCGCTTCGTGGATCACATTGATTGTATTCTTTCGATTTGGGCCTACCTGCGGCATTTGTCGCTTCTTGGATAGGCAACGACGATACATAGTTAATCCGGGAGTGATTGAGAGTCCATGACCGTGTGATTATCTATGGCAGGCCGGATATCCTGCGCATTCACCAATTTAGATTATGAGAATCAATATCAATGGGTGTGAAATAACTACATAAATAAAGCTAGTGAGTCAGAATTCTATGCAGGCAGCCATGATACGTTCTTCACAGCATCCTGAGTATGTCAACCACCGATAGAATCCGTCTTGGTCCCCCATCAACATTTTGGATCGGACGAATGGCCAATAACCAGACTATTGGCCAAAATAGTATTCCGTGAGAGGGTCAAAGAGGCAATGTAATTTAAGTATTCCTGCCCTCTCTGTCCCCCTGTTCTACAAAGCTACACGCACCATTCGTCTTTCGTAGCAAGCACCAAGCGCACAGCTCGTGCAAAGACATCTCTATATCTCCTTTCCAAATAACCAAGTACCTGGATACCGATCTCTCACGTACACCAAGCGCCACGCACCGGAAGCACATATGTCATCATTCTCAAACCCCCACGATCGCTCCGAACTCACGGGCACAAACCGACTTCCGCCAGTACAAGAGACCCGCGGTGCAACAGTCACCAAAACATCAACCCGGGAGCGCACCGTCATCTCCACATTTACAAGCTTTGCCGCGCTCCCCCAACCAACAGATGCCTCCGAAGGCGATTTCCAGCCGCCACCGGTCCAGCCCATCACGACGGTGTCTCTAACACCGCCGCCAACGGCTACGGCTACGGAGGTTGTAGTGGTAGTCTCTGTCCCCCCAGTTGAGCCGACACAAGCGACGACCAGTATCTTCATGAGACCGGCGGGTACTACGTTCTCCATGCCAAGTACCCTGAGAGTAAGTACCTCGACTAGCAACACGCGGACTTCCTCTTATTCGATCCCGAAAGCATCAAGTACAGATATTGGGCTCCAAGTCGTCTCTACAACACCCAGCCCCAGCCCCGCAGGCAAGGGTGGTGGGGGAACCACGCTCTCCCCCGCCCTCATCGCCGGCATCAGCGCCGGCGCTGCGGTGGCCATCGTTGCCGCAATCCTTACCGCTCTGTTCTTCCACCTGCGTCGGCGAAATAAGTATGCGGTGGACAAAAAAACAATGCTAAAACGGGAGATCGGAAGGCCGGTTCCTATATCTACTTCCAATGAGGGAGGAGGGTCTGCGGATGCTTTCTTCAGGGCAGGCGGCGAGAAGCCAATGCTGTCGCCACATGAGAGCGAGGCAATGCTCTTGCCGCGTAACACCAGCCCCACGACACAGTCATCGGGATACGGGTATGGACGTCCTACTTCATACACAGCTGCTGCTGACAATAACGCTGCCATCTCCTCCGCACCCCAGACGCCGATAACCCCTGGCGCCCCATCCCCAACCTCTGCTGCCGGCCGTGGCTACTACGGCACCATCCCCGTCATCGTGGAGCCACCCGCCCGCGCAGTGCCAAAACGGCCTGCGCGGCCCGCATCCTCCTTCTACCCCACTAACAGTGATGAACTAGAACCATACGCCGCCCAGCGCCTAGAGAATCCCTTCACTAACATCTTCGCCCCCTCTGCCTATGCCGACGCTGGGAACCCATATGCCGTGAGGTCGGTGACTCAGAGGACTCTGAACGTCCCCAAGAGTAGTCATGTGAGTGACCGCGAACCGAGTGTGTTGTCGGGGGCAGGAGGAGGCGCACTTGAAATGCCAGATTCTGCGAGTTACTACTCGGTGGGCTATACGAACGAGTATCTCAAGGGTGGCGTGCGCGGGTCGAGGATGACGACTCTGAGTGAGGATGAGCCGAATGGGGCGCTAATGGGGTCGATCTTGGAGCAGTGTGAGTCTAGCCCCCGCCCGCATCCGCGCCTAGGAGAGGAGGCAGAAGAGCGATGGTATGGCGCGGGGGCAAGTGGTGGTGGGAGGAACTTGATAGGGAGGGGGGGTGGGGGTAGGTGAATCGTTGAGGTGGGGGGTTGGTTTGGTCGGGTTTTTTTCTGTCGGTGTTTGGGTGGTTGTTGTGTTTATTCGGGGTATTTGTGAGAGGTTGGGGTTATTTTTGTGGTTAGCATGCAAGCAACAGAATTCTTTGCGTAGTCTGTAAATTTTTATAGAATTACCTGCTTCGGTAGGTGATATGCATTATTCTCTTGTATCTCCGTAGTTTTGTTTGAAGAAATGGCGGTGAAGTGAAGATGGATGGATCAAGAAGGGAATAAAGATCACTGTTCTACTGTGTTCAGCTGCATTCGAGCAAGGTTTGCATTATCTCGGGGTTTGAATTTCAATGTGTATTATGAGGCCATATTATACTCGTACGCAACTGCTTTCCTAATTCTGTATAAGTGAAAAAAGATGATACATCAAGTATAAAATAGGGATAACAGAATTTAATATAAATAAACATCCTCTCTTAATACCCAAGAGTATACAGGTCAAAACAGAGCACGCCAAGATACGAGTGATACCCCATGATCCCACCCTGCCGATCCGTTCTACATGCAAGCCATCTCCTGCCCCATGCTAACCTCTAACTTCAACCTTCATCATCCGGTTTCAACCTCTCCATCTCAGTCTCTCCACCTGAGCCTGCACTGTCACACTCTCCATCTCGGGGAAATAGAAATCCGCACCCACACCACACCGAATGTCACTGTAACTGGAAGGAGCTACATGCTACGCGATCTTCTCTTCCGCCTGCATAGAATATGACGATTTGCACTTATTCTAAGGCGTTGTCTAACTTCAGAGGTTAGATATCACGGAGCACGGGTGATACTGTTATGTTAGCCTGTTGGCTTGATCGATGAAAGCAATCTCAGACCTGGTGCGTCAGGTACCTATGGGGATGAGGGGAAGCTGCTTTATGTCAACTCTGTAGGTACATTGAGGGGTACGTTAACTCTGAACGGTGCGTTGATCAACCCACTTCTGATGAGCCTAATTATCATTGACCAGCGATTTAGATTTTCTGCTGTGGAAGGCTTTGATTACCTTCCTTTGTTTTATCAAAGGCACCAACTCACCAGCGGCGGGGCAGTTATTTCCGGTTACTTCGGCAGCACGCATGCGGGGACTTCAAGCCATATTTAAACACAAAGATACAGAGAGACTCTCGCATATTCTTCAACCTCGAAAACATAATTCATTTGCATATTCTAAATCGCATAATTCATAACGTTAACCTAACTCTACACAATACCACACCACACTAACCCCACTACAAAGCTCACCACGCCCCAGAACGACACCTCCAACGCCACGGCCACACCAGTCACGATCAAAAACAAGGCCAGATACTTACAAAAGCCTGTTATACGCCTCCCCCCCATTTTGGTCCTTCTTCTACCCACCACCTCCGTGCTTAGAACGCACACGTCCTCCATCTCCTCCTCTTCCGGGATACTCTGCAGGCGAGGCAAAAACCTCAGAAATCTCCCATTTGCGCGCCGCTTCCGGTACTGGTGGCGGAGACCGATGGTGCGCCCTTCGGAGTTCTCCGTGATCGTCCAGCAGGTCTTGGTGTAGAGGATCAGGTGTGAGCGACAGCTCGGGAGTATTCTTCGGTAGGGGCGGTAAGTGCGGTGCGCCTTAGAGCGTGGTAGCTGTTGTACCTGTGAAGGGCGGGCACTAGGAAGTGCGGTAATGCATGGGCGAGGTTCGTGGTGATCCATCGTTGGGTGATGGACTCTGGCGCTGGAGGTTAGGGGTGCGTGTACGCGTAGGGTCATGTCCTGGAGGGTGAGAGGTGCTTGGTCTAGGGTGGTTAATATAGCTGTTGATCTTAATGTTCTATGCCATAGATCTTGTTATCCTTCCTGGGGTGTGTCACAGAAGGATGCACCAATAGCAAGCTGGGATTCATTTGGAACTCTGTGGTTGGATAGCAGATGTACGTTTCCCCCTCTTTGATGTACTCGACGACTGTCAATCCGGCGTCTTGATGGTAATTTGGTGCGCTAGATACCTTAATTTATTCCCTCTTAAGCTCGATCAAGCTTTCGGTACACTCGTTCCGCTATATCATATCATCCGAACCAACCTTTTAATATCCCACCGCAAGGTCAGGACCGTATCGTTAAACGCGCCTAAGCATACGCAAAATCAATCAATACTCGAGGCACGAAAACAGCAGTACCCTCTCCCTCTCAACATAACCACACCACCCCGCATCTCTACTTCTTTGCCTTCTTCGTCTTTGGTCTCTGAAACCACTCCTTCGTTAACTTCCTCGCAACTGCAATCACATCACCATCAAGCTCCATCATCTCAAGCTCGTCCTCTGTCTCTTCCCAGATTGTTGGTAGCCGCGGATAGAACCGTAGCCTATTAAACGGCAGTGTCGGGATGCCCCACATATCCGGAGGGCCGCTGAGATTATTGTTCGACATTTTAAAGTTTGGGGGTATTTAATCTAGTTACTTTAGTGGTGGAGAGCTCAGAGAGACTCTTGCGGGGGTTTTATACTCGTCGGAAGAAGGGTTTGAATTTATTCTATGCGTTTGGGCGCGGTATGGTCATCGGTCCTGCTGTGGAGGCAGGTGGAGCCTACTACGGCCTAGGCCGCATTATAGACGCTATTCGACTTTCCTTATATATCACTGGAAAGACCTTGAGTCGATGATCGCAGAACTAATGACCGGAGCTGTCCTGTAAGGAAACCCGCCCAGGTTTTACACTATCCCGGCCTACTCCCACCCCCGACTGTAGAGGAATTCTAATTTTTTGTTCGAGCAAAACATACGCCCTCTCTATCCTTATCGCAAGACGAGACGATATATACGAGTCTTGTCAGTGTTCCGGTTTCGACACGCCACCCATGTCGGAGCAAGAGAGAATCATGCTAAGTCATGAGATCTCACTCGCACTCCTTGGAGCTGCAAAACCTCTTATTCCACGTCGTGCCAATTTGGCCTAATCCGCGCTCAAATCCTGGATATATTGAGTACCCTAAAGAAGACTGGCGCAGTTATTTGTAGGTCTAATCTTGAAGTAACCTACCCCTCTCCTAGCTTTCCCGATAGCGCACCTCGCACGGTACTAGTTTGTAGGAGAGAGGAGGTACGGGTAGGTCAAGCTTGTTTGTCGCTGTTAGTACTCTATCAAGATCCAGCGAAAGCTGGCCACAATTGATCTCTCGATATGAACGTCCTTTTACCCTAACCTTGCAAGGGCACCGCGTGTGCCGGGTTCCAGAGGAGGGACCCGCGGGACGCGGTCATGAGTTTGAATATGCTTAGCCTGGCTACCTGATATAAGATTTCGGATCAAAGATATGTTTCTGTGTGGGGTTTGAAACACTCTGATCTGTGGGTGGCGTGTTTTGCACCTGGCACGTGCCATGACTGTCAATGATCTACCTGATCGCTGCGATGTGCCAAGCCAAGCCTAAGGACCGAGTGAGATTCTATGTCCATAGCAACACGGCGTCTCATAAGCCTAACTCTGTAACTTTAGAGGAACTTGCTTGACACCTTTCAGGTTCCATCTAAAGGTCCCGGAGTATTGTACGAGAAGAAATGAATCTGACCACCGACCATAGTTCTCCTGGCTCCGACAATAGCACCTGGCCTATTCCGCCCCATCCATATAGCTATAGGTCAGAACTCACCACCTTTGAAAGAAAACTCAACTAACTATTTCATCACAAAATTAGATAATGGTTAATAGTTTGGACAACATCTAGGGCTACTCGGTAAACCTAAATATAGACTTCGATTGATCCGGAGGTCCTAGTACTAGACTGCGATATAATGGTGCTCACAAATTAGCACTACACTACGTGGCCAAATTCTAATCCCCACTTATGGCTTTATATACTGGTAATTCTATGTTGAATATATTCCGGTACATTCTATACATTTTATTGGGAATATAGCAATGACCTCCCATTGAAACCACATGAGTTGGCATGTGCTCTTTAAAGCGGGGGCAATGCACTACGGACATCCCCAAAAGCACACCGGAAATAGTTTCCAAACACGCCTGCCACCTTTATTACAAATCACTTTACCATCAAAAATGAGTGCATCTGGATGGAATCTAGGAAGGCAAGCTACCTTCCAAAGTCGCTTAGACGAAATTTGGGGTTCGCTGCCCAATCATCGCACCCCTGAGCTCAGGGACATCATTTCAGGAATTTTACCGAGAATTACTACTATTGCCTCCGACATTGATCATGGGCGGCATCTCAATGCTCGTACCAGAGACAATGCAGTGAGAGCGAAAGTCCTTCTGAGCAGCTTAGAGGACCTCCAACCCCACACACATTTAGAACTGCCTAGAGGAAGCCAGTCTTGTCAGAATACACTAGATCTCTTGAATGATCTACTTGCAGAAATCTACAGTACTGTACCGGTTGGAAGGTACTTCCACCATGGCCTAAGGGCCAAGATCCTCCAAGCTCAGAATAAAGAGTACTGCAGACCAAGAGCACGGGACCGCGAATTGCGAAGGGCGCTATATACGGCTTGTGACAGCTTGGTTGATCTTGCATTTTATGTCGAGCATTATGATCATTTGGAATTCAACGAAGCTATAAAGTCACAACTACTGGAGGAGAAGGCAAGATTATTGTTTGATAGTCATTTCAAACTGAGCGATAGGTACAACGACATTGGTGGCCGGGGGCATATCATTCGTCAAAGTGTGTTAGCCCTGGGACATGACTTGGGTTGGAATATTGTATTCAACATATTACAACCAGACGCTCGCGTGAGACTTGGACTAGTAGCGGGTACTCGAGTCAGTGATGATCTATATCTTTACGGATAACTAAGAAAGCGTAGGCCCTTCGCTAGTATTATGAAGGGACATCAACTTTCTTCGATACCTTTGCATCCACAGAATGTTGATAATTCAAATTTTTTCTTTTGTGCCGATACTATTAATTTCTCTTGAGGTTTATGAAGACTTATTTACCCATCCTGTATTCTAAACTGATCAATAACACGTTATTATATTATTATTACCTCTCTATTATCTTATTAATGATCTCACGCACTCCTTGACCCGAAAGTCATCATATAGGAATAGTCCTGCTTCCATATTCTACCACCCTGGAGAGGCGTCCCGTGAGGTAATCTACATATCCAGGGCGTAGCGAGTAATTTATTATGTAGCTCCATCATTCCACCCTTCCGTCATACGATCACCATCCCCCTCATCCTAACTCCTATCAACCCTACGCCACTAACCTGCCAGAACAATCACCTACTTTCAATCCATTATCACGGCATAGGAGAACCCTATATTTAAAGATGGGAACTATTCTCACCCTTCTTCACGTGGTCTTCACCCCCTGGGCCCGCGTGCCGTTCCCTATATTCCGAGCCAATCCCCCGCAGGCCGAGATTAAACCCCATATTACCAACAAGCAGTGCCACGAGAAAGGAGAAGACGGTATGGCCCGCGAAGTTGACACCAAGGAATATAGGCAAACCGATAAACTTGGGTGGTCCACCTACCTTGAAGCTGCGAGGAAAAGCGAGTTGTATGGCCCAGAATTGTGATATGATACACCACACAATTCTAGCTACACGCGTATTGGGTTTTTCTCGGAGGAGATTCAAGTAGCTATGGCTATGTAGGTCTTTCGGAGGTGATGGGTATGTAGCAATATGAATAAATTACGGAGCCCCCGTCGTAAAACTATCACTCGCTCTCTTTGAGAGATTCACTCAAAAATAGCTCGAAACAGAATTAAGCAAACCACTGTTCCTCTTATTGTGAAAGAGGTATGCTAGAAATCCGCATACAGAGCGTGTGATAGAGTATATTCCTTAGCTGATCGTTTTTATACTCTGATTAGCGGTTCCGGTCTTCACTCCATTCTTTACCTCACCGTCACATGGCAGTACGTTCTCTATATATCGCTATAACCACAGATCTAGTGCAAAACGATTAGTACCAGGCTTTGTAAGAGCACCGTATATATCAGCTTCGGTAGCATAAAGAGACTTGAGCCGCAACCCATACTCCATCGACGGCATACGGTAAAAGATGGTTAGATATGCCATTAATTTCATTGAAAACCAAACGTTGCCTTTTATATAGCAAATCCCTACACTAGCGCCGCAACGTGGCCCGTGCGCTCAAGCCTCACGAGTGATGTTCTGTGACTCATTGCCAAGGCGAGTGATCATCCATGAAGCGCGCTTGCCGGATTCATATAAGGGCGAAGCTCCTAGCATTTCGAAAATCTCACATCACTCTCATATTAAAATCAAGCTGATCTGAAAAATTAAATTCACTATCATAATGTGTAGGAGAACGTCACTTCGTTCCATGTCATAAAAATCCCAGTCATAAATAATCCTCCGTTAATGCCCATAAAGAAATTAAAACCGCGGCATAATAGCGCGCAAGAAAAACTAACGTAAAACACGTACCAAGAGAATACCCACAGTCTGAAAACAAAGGCCAGAAACGTCAACCTGAACAATCCCCAGATTCCAGATCCATGTTAGGAAGTTCTCGGAGGTAAAAAAGGATTGGAACACTACCTGCCCAGTGCAAGTACTTACGAAAGACCCGAAAAAAAAAGATTAGCCATCCCTAGTCAGGAAAATAAAGAAAGTCTCATCCTGTAAGAAATCAGCAAACACCAAGGAAACCCCAGAAAACCCGAAAACGTATACGCGGGAACCCTAAACCGTCAAAAAAAACCTAAAAGAAAACCCCCCCAAAGGCCAAACCCGTCAACCAAAACCACGGAAACGAACTCCCCAAACTCACATAAAAATATTAGAAACTCAGAACAAATACCTACCCTCTCCTAGCCCTCCTCTCCTCCCTCCTAGCATCATCCCGCCTACTCCTCTGTCTATCCTCATCCCGCCACGCACTCGACATACTGTCCTCAGGGCGGAGCGTACTGTTGGTACTCCCCGCACCCCTGGAGCCACCACCCAAACTATCCGAAGTAAACTGACAGTTGATGTTTACCTCCTGCACACCACCACCTCGGGCACCTGATGCCCTACTCCGACTCCCCGCACTTGCAGCAGGGGGCGGGCTTCGTATCGTGCGCGAGTCGCTCCTCGCACCCGGGGGTGCACTTCTCCTACCTGCAATCGCACTATGTTCTGGGACTCTCACGGAGCGCGAGTCACTCCCGCGCGAGGTCCCCGAGCTCGAGTGATGGGAGTGTCTCGACACATGCGATGGCGCTTCTGGAGCGGCAGGCGGACGACTCGGTCCCCTTGTGACTACCGTTGCCGGGCGCTGGATGTAGTCGGTCCTTCGCGAGAGCGAAGGCGCCTGATATCCGGATGGGGAAGGGGCAATCATACCGATGGGAGGCCTAGCTGATACCTCATAACGTGGCGATTGGCCCATATGCCCAGCGTGAGATCCGCCATGACTTACCCTGGTTGTGCTGCTGCGGTGCGATGCGTGGCTAGGAGCATGGCTGCCAGAGATGGGCTGAAGGCTCATTTGACTGTGCCGTGAAGAGGAAGAATGTGTATTGCTACGCGATGGTGCTGAGCTCCTAGCCACACTCTGGGCGCTCTGCGCATATGAATGTGATTGACTATGCGGAGCAGAGGTGATTGCACGGCTACGCGACGAACCTGAAGCCGGGGTCGCGCTGTATGGAGGCGCGGGGGCCCTGCTTGAATGTTTGGAGCATAATTAATTGTTACATTATATGTGGGCGGTGGAGAGGGCTGCGGCGGGCTCGCTACGGGAGGAGTGGCCACTACACCTGTCCCGACATAAAACCAGGATGGCCTTGCACCCCGATCAACAATGTATGCTGCGGGAGGTATCATTGGCGGTTCTGGGAGGGTATCCGTTAGCGCCGGCGGCGGGGGGATAGTGCCGTAGGGCATATAGGCACCGTTAGGGATGTTGGCTATTGTTGGAGAAGCGGGGGTTCCGAAGGTACCAGGGACCCGGAGGTCTGGGTTACTGCACCAGTTAATGTGTTCCATAGTAGCGGTTGTGATGAAGTCTTTCAAGGTAAGCTAATTCGTAGGGTTGAACTGGGTTAAGGAAGTTAGAAGAAGTGTTGATCTACTGTTGATATCGATAGGGGACTTGAAGGTGTAGACGGCGCTGACTATAGCGGCATCAGAGAAAGATGGTAAATTCTATTCCAGGGGAGGGGGACAAGGGACCTTTTATATTCCCAAAGGCTGCTACCACCCTGACAATATATATCTGAGTGACACCAACAGAAGATATCCAGGGCCCCAAGGTGACTCCCAATTGAAATGGAAAGCTATGAAACTCCAAATCCCAACAAAACCAATTCTCCCAGACCTTCAGTTTACCATAGGCTTTTAACGATGGTTATTCTGGTTTGGGGCGTATCTTTGGTTCCTTGTAATGTATTTTTGAGCCACAAATACCTTAACAAGTAACAAAGCTTATTGAGCCCTCGTTCTCGGCAGCCAGTAGCAGTCGAGATACGCCTTTCCATAATATGATTCTACCTGTAGAGTATTACCTTGCTACCTAACGGAAGGCTCTTGAGTAATACAACATGCGCAGAAACTGTCCAATAGAATTTTACCTCTTTGATATCGAAGTAGCATAAAAACGTCTCCACTTGATTTCTACTCAGAAAGTTAAAAATCAGTAACACATCTCAAACCATTTTATTACAACCAAAAACTATCACCCAAAACATATTTTAACACCCCAGAAACTATGTGCCAGTACGACATAACCATGTATCCCTTCTGCGGGCAGGGAAAGGAAATCAACTGCAGCCTTGCTGCCACTTGTGAGCCACTCTTAGTTTCCTCCTCTTACAGAAGGCACCTTGCCAGGACTAACATCATAAAATAGCCGATAACACATGCCGCCGCTACCCTTTCGAGGGATGTAGGGAGTTCCATGCCACTGGAATTCCATGCCTAAAATTCAGAGATTTCCACTCCGAGGCCGCGTTCTGCAGGGCAGTCGAGGCTCAAAGAGACACTATCGTGCGAGTCTCGTTCGAGGATTGTAACCTTGGCTGTAAGCCCTGTCCCTCCTTCATATATCTCTCTTTGAAACATGAAACTAACATATGTGGGATAGGTCATGGCGCACTTAGTTGCAAAATGGGGATGAAGAAGCGAGCCACGGATCGGTTCAATAGGCCTGTGGGTCCACCACCAGAGAGAAGGAGGGTGCGAACACACGAGAAGTCAGCGATGAAGAGATGGTTGAGTACCGTTCAGAGGGGCTCACTTGACCTTACGTCGAGACAGATGTATGAGAGTGATGGTGGCAGCCCGGAGGAGTATACCTGTGCTACACCTTAGTTGTCAGTACATTCTGTTGTTTAATGGGGGGATTTTAGTATAGATTAGGTGCTGGCCACTAAGCGTTTTTATTTCTTTTAGGTTTTATAGCTGAGGTGGATTTTTAAATACCATGGATAATCGAATTGATGGTTTTTAATGGATTGAAGTCTAGTCATTCATCTGGTACTGAGTTCCTTTGGTTGTTTTTCCCTCATGGACGGTACTATTGGGAGTTGTTTCAGGAGAGTATCTCCGTTACTTCATCAGTTGAACTACCACAATCTATAACTTAACGTTCTATCTCTCTCGTGAAGATTCCCAGTCTTTGATTCCGCCACCCCGGATTATTACGTAGCTTTCAACCTCATGTCAGGCAACTTGTTCTCAGTGACGTGGCACTATATGATCTCTTAGAGTTGCGTCCTAAACACTCACACACCAGATCAACCAAAACATCTTGGTTTATTACAATGGTAAAGCTTGTATTCCTTTTATATTGCCATTCTCGATTCGGTATGTACTGAATTTTTAATCAGTGCATATGTACCGTTTCAAGAGCGGCTAGCTAGAGGTTGGTGCGCTCGAACTATTCTTTCGCGCTTACTAGCATCACTCAATTAGGATTCGAACAATCTTTGAAACCTAGTCTACCCATCAAAATCAGTTTCATGAGAGATGGTCGTTGCGGGTGGTCAGCCATTCACAAGGAAAGAGACATATTTAAGATTACTCTGGCATGCCAGACACCCAGGCCCTACATCTTAGTCTCCCAAATGGAGCAAACTCACGACGGATCTTGGGCCTTGTTACGGAACAAAATATAGTTCCCTTTCATGCTTTCCGGAAATAGGTAAATATATCAATTAATTATTGAAGAAGGCAACCTGACGCAAAAATCACACAAAGAAACCTCGATCACGGCAAGGTTGACAAGTCAGCCTACATGCCATCCCGCATCCCTGACGGCCAACCCAGCATAAAAGTAAAAAACGAAAATCACGCCATACATAATACTCCTACGCAGCTGCTCCCGCCCTAGGTATTTCTCTCCCAACTCTTATCATACCTATACTGCTTATCCTCATACCCCCTCTGAACCCTCCTATTCGGCCCCGTAAATATCCCGCCACTGATAGTCCTAGTCGCGGGCCTCCCAAACCTATCCGTCTCCCTCTTCGGGGTCCCAGCCTTACATCCGAGAGAATCTATTGACCCCCAAACTATTAGCCATGCAGCCCTCAAGGCGACAACTGCCTCCGGAAACATTTCAAACTTACTACTTTCCAGATCACAGTCATTATAATCCACCTTCACCACCGTATCCGGCAGTTCCATCAGTGCACACCGATACTCTGTCTCATCGTTATTATAGGTGACACAGGGCCCGCTCATGCCTTCTTTGGCGCGCTCGCAGAAGGCGATATTGTACCGGCGGCAGACGCCGTTGCCGTAGTTCGTATCCGCGTTGCGGGCATACTTTGGGGCAACCTCCTTGTATGGGTGCCCGCAGAAGGGGTACATGATGATCGTGAACTTGCACATATTTTGATGTTGATATCGCTAAGGTGGTTATTGGATAGAGCAGTGTTGATATTGGAATCTAATCGGACAGGGGGAATCCGGGGGTGGGGCAAAGCTTAAGAATCTGAGCATCTGGATATGGGTATTCTATTTTGAGCTCTTAGGTATTCCTTTGAGACACGAGGTAGATGGTGGGCTGAATGAGGATATAAAAATATTATTGGTCAGTATGCAACCCCCCTAACAGCGATTTCAATCTCCCTCGTTGTGCTAAAACGACGATAACAGCCTCTGGTTGACGAATACTTAACCAATCATATTCGATGGTTTAGAACTCATTACAGCATAATGCGGCTAACAATATAACCAATAGAAACTGGCCCCCTAGGCAGCGTATTTAGAACCCTAATATTTTCCGCGAACCCTAACCCACTTGAGTGATACATCATGACCCTAGCTCTTATGCTCAGAACCCCGGAACTACATCCAACGACGAGAGGAACAGTAGGATTGGGGCTTGATACTTGAGAAATATGGTTTGAATACCTGTGAGCCCTCCCCATGGCGATCCCGCGAGGGTAATCTGAGTGTAGCACATCGCATTTCTCTTATACAAAGTTGCAACTTGGGCACCAAAGGCCGTCTTGGTGACATATTAAATGGTTCTATGTCTTTCCGAGCCATATGAACTTGCGGATTTATGCTATGCTTAGCTTCACACATATTTCAACTATCCAAAAGCGAGTGATATTATATGATGTCACACACCATACACAGATGTGTGAAAGGGCACCCCCGAGCAATTTCGAGCCCTCTGTTACTGGCATAGTATACTCTTTAATAACTTTCATTTAACATTCTTTCATGGTGGAAATACCAGCGCTGACTTGTAGTCCAGGGCTTGAATCGACCATTAAGCCCAGTCAGAAGACCTCCGAAAGAAACTGAGAGCAAATATCTCGAGTTATTCCTAAGCACCGGATGGTATAAATTGAAATCCCATACAGAAGATTATAACTGTTGATTCTGGTTCGATACTCGGGCTGTGTGGTCCGCGGGTACTACTGATCATGACACCACGTTTGACCACAAGGCTAGCCTCGGGGATGCCACCCAATCACATGGTCCCTGCTGGATTATTCGTATTGCAAAACCTAATATCTGAAATGATTGGTCGCGTGCTCATGGCATATCAGGGCTCCTATAGGTCTCATAGTAGTTAACTCTGTAGAATGTAGGGAACGTGAAAACCATAAAAGCCCTAGTCCCAAGCGACCTTATACCAAGCCACAAATCTCCACTTCACTCACTAGTACCTCATCTTGAGAAGTATTATTTCATACCATTCCGATCTGCGATCCAGTTCCCATCACTAATCCAAAAAGCACCACCGCCATTATGTGTATCTACACGATCAACGAATACCCCTTCTGCAGCGACCCAAATATCTACGTCGGCCCCGAGGACGCCACAATGTGCGGTTAGTTGTTCCAGCTTTCCCTGTAACATCACCAGCTATTCTCTATCTCTAGCTAACATCATAGACAGAGGGCAACGGCAACCAGATGTGCCGCAAGTACAGCTTCACGGCCTGCGCTAATTTCACGCGGACTGGCCATCCATGCGTGAACCACAGGAGCGAGAGGAAGTACCGCCACGCAATCGAGGCTCGCGAGGACACAATTATTAGGGTGCACCTCACGGACTGTAATATGAGGGGTATGTTGATTTCCTGATTTGCGTATGGGCTTGGGACCCCCGGGTTTTGTTTATTGGAAGGCAGACAGGGGCAAACTAAAATAGTTAATCTGATAATACACTCCGCATTCCTATCTTTGTCTTCCGGGAAGACAGGCTTTGGAGCCCAAGAACCGCCCTTCACTTTTTAAATGTTTCAAGCTAACATGATGTCAGTGGATATAAACATGGGCTGCAAAGTTGGCAACGGCAAACGCAGCACCGACCACTTCAACAACCCGATTACAGTTGATGGGGTCCCAAATATCGGGCCTCAGCGTTGCCCCATAGATGGTGTTGATGGACAGATACTCATGCAGCTGATCCGAGAGAGAGAGAGGAACTAACCTCTAATCGCAGGCCTATGTTTTGTGAGATATTTCTTGTTTGGATTTCCTTTTTGCGTTTTTGCGATGAGTTTGGGTATTTGGTTTGGTCGGCTAGTGTTGGGGTGTTTATGGTAAACTCTGGTTGGAGTAATGGTTAGGGGTGGATTAGGCTCGCCCCCAGCCCATCTGCTTCCGTGCTTTCAGTGGACGGGCTGGTGCTATATCTTTCCCATTTGAGTGAGATCTTTTTGTATGTGGTGTTGGGCTGTCGGGTGACTGTTGGGCTCAATTTATATACAAAAAAATAAAGTTTTTTTAGCTTCCGACATTAAAATTAAGTTCTATTCTGCCCCAATATCACAAGTCGGCCTTCTATATCGTACTGTCGGCTCTTATATCACATTCTCGGTCGACACTTGTCAGGAAGATAATGTTCTAGACCCTACTGGCGAGAGTAGCTTGCTACTAAGTAGGGGATGAGTACGAGACTAATATAATCCCTACGTGCCTGGCAGTAAAGAGGCACAGCATCTTCGGCAGGAGTATATATCTGCAAATAAAGGCGAGATACGTGTTTATAGTGGGTGTTCCTAGCACGAACGTAAACATTTTAGCGCCGGCCAAGCTAGTGGATGTTACGTCTACGTGTGTGTTTAAAATCATTCCCAGCAGTCAGTCCTCCAGGTTCTGTTAGCATAGTGGTATATGCCTCCGGTTTAGGAAACTTATGACGACAGCGGATACCGGGTTCGAATCCCGCTTAGTAATTCCACTTTCAAACAGAACACTTTTTTTTTTCTCTTTTCAAAACTCCAGACCTCCTGCTTCCAGCGCTTGGCTCTCCCCATGATTAGTATAGCTGGCCTCTTATCAATGAACTTGGGCAGAATCACCACCCCGGAAATAACACCATGTTTCACTGACAATAGCAACCATTATGAGCAACAGCTTTGGTCATCCAGCTTCTGATAAGCAACAAACACTTCAATCGCGTTTTTACCGCTCCCATGCTTATAGGGTATTACCTTTCTCAAAAGATCTCTTCACAGGAAGGGATGTGAAGATTACATCTTTAACTACACCTTTGTATGGGAGTGGAAGAGATTGAGCTCCAGGGGGGGACTCGACAAGAACTCAGTCTGCTAAGGGAAAAGAGCCCTTAGAGCTTTTAACTATAGGCACCTATACATACCTACGTGAAGAACTCTTCCTTCTTCTGATATTATCAGAAATCACACATTTTATCGGCATTCCTACAACTTAAACCTACATTCACACAGGGGCTCGCAAGAGACAACATCTAGCAACTAGGCTAGTCAAGGAACATTTTAAACCTCGACAAATACCAATCACCGGGGAGCTAACAGTGCAATAAACAGTCAATTCCGTTTGTTTCCGCGCCGCGTAGCTTATGGAATGACTAGTCCAAAATCATGACTCGAACAGATACTATCAAATCAGCATGGCACAAAATTGCCTGTCACCGATTTATACTTTCCTTCACGGGGCACGACTCTTTAATCTGCCTCTGTGTGGGGTGAAGGCTAGCTACGGCCTCAGATTCTATAACCTCTGACACTCCCAATTGTGATACAAGAGCAGTGTTTTAAATGTGAAGGAAGGCATTCGAACTAGATGCTCGCCCATGGTTTCGATACTCCTGGCGATATAAGCTACACCATAGGCGTTGAGAAATACAGAAGGTACCAGAATCTTTATACAGATTCTTAGCTCCCAAAAGCGAGAGAGATTCGATATACACTCTAGTTTTAAAGTCTCCATAACATAAATCAAGATGTGCATCTACCAGATTAAAGACTTCTACTTCTGTGGCTGCCGCAGAACGTTACTCGATGCAGACGACGCCATATTCATGAGTAAGTTGATCCTTATAACAATATTATTCCATAGCTATATTCTAATAGACCATAGTCAAGGGCTATTTCAGCACTGATATAGTGTGCACTAGCTACACCTTCTATCCCTGCAACCTGATGCAGATCAACGGTACTCCCTGCGTAGAGTGGACGGGAGATGAACATGGGTATCGTAAGAAGCTGGAGAAGCGCTATAACACCATCATCCTTGTTTCCTTGGACGACTGTAATCTAGATCGTAAGTCCCTATGGCCCGACTCTCTGCTATCAGTTCAAACACTAACACACGAACACAGCCAATGACGACTCTAGGGGTTGTAAACTAAGGCGACACCGAAGAGAAACCGGCCGCTTCAGCGAGCCAGTTGTACCAGAGGTCCCACGCAGGGTAAAGCCAGGCGGAGAACAGGAGTTTGAGGAACTTATCTGGTCAAGGGAGAGAAATAGGCACCTGCTGGATAACGTTAGCCTCTTTGGCGCTGGCGAGCGTTGTCGGTTTTCTAATTAGCCCATATCCAACTCTTCACCTACTACTACTACTTCCTTATCTAAGTGCCTAATAGTATTATCCTATTTTAGCCTCCTGTTTTATGAGTACCTCAGCTACTTGGTCTTTCTATATATGTATTCGTATACATTACTTTACTTTCTATATCCACGCAATGAAATCAAAACCTCATTCTAAACCATCTGTCTCCTGCCATATTTAAAGTATAGCGCACAAAGGCTAGCGCCACACAAGTGGCTACACTGCCCCCTCATCCGTGGCAACCCCAATTAAGACCATCATATGTACCCTGCTATACAACATGGTATACATCATAATGCGTAGATGTAGAATTGTCATATAATAATCAGTGAAAGCGGCAGCTATACACGCCCGAGGCGGGGGGGCGGGGTGGATTGGTGGTGGAGAGGTGCGTACTAAGGTGCGTAAGGGGGAGCCAGCTGCGAATTGCAGATTAGCATCGGAGTGGCTGTTTAGGCGACAGATATTTTTTTTGGTAGAGGTTTATTCTTTAGATAGTCCCTATTTTTGCTTTCTGCCGCGCCATTTTGTGAATTTTAGTTGCTTTTTTTTGTGGTGTGTGGGATAGCACCTATTCAGGTTGAAGCTGTTCGCACTCCAATTTTACGTGACAAGCATCATTGACACTTTTCAATATTCAACTGCAACAATTCCACGATCAAGTTGCTCCAACCGGAATTCGGCTTATAATGGCAAACCCCAACTCACGCTCTCTCATTAACATCAACCCAAGAAAACCATAAACAGCAATAAATAGTACCCGCCAAGCCCTGCGGCCAGTATAAAAGCACAGGCACAGCACACCCCAGCCACAAAATCTGCAACAACCTGATAACTCAGCATCACGGAATCGAAGGTCGACAAAAAAAGATGTGTATCCACCTAGTTAAGAAACACTATTTCTGCTCGTGTGACGAGACGGAGGTGACGCCGGAGGATGCCTGGTTACTTTGTGAGTATTAAGACCAAATACCACTTCACCCCACCTCTTCCCCTTCTTCTTAAGCGTCTTCCCCCTTACGAAATGAGATTAATCTTCTAACAATCCTCTTCTCTCCAGCTGCCACGGACGATAAACGCCACTGCCGCACCTTCACCTTCTACCCCTGCACCCACACGCTCAGCACAGGCGTCTACTGTACTCCGTACACCTCCGGCAGCATGGACAAGTTCTACACACTCATCGAATCCTTACCCAACACTATCGTCCTCGTACTGCTGTCCGACTGCAACAGCGACGACTGTCAGAACTCGCGCCCGCGCGATAAGACAGATCGATTCAGTGTGCCGAATGTGCAGAAGGTGGTGCGGACGGTGAAGAAGGGCGCGGAGGAGGAGATGCAGAGTACACTGTGGGTGAGGGAGAGGAATAGGGCGTTGTTGGAGAAGGTGGGGTTGGTGCAGGGGGTAAAGGGGGAGGAGGTGGGGTGTGTGATTGGGGCGCGGGGGTGTTGGTGGAGTGTTAGACTGTTAGGGAGGATGCCGCCTACGCAGAGGGCGCCAGTAGGGGGGCAAGGACAAGTTCTGGGTGATTTTCTGCGCTGGTTGCGGCATCTTAGCTGTTTCCAGTCTCCTCCGCATCGTAGTTTAAGGCGTAGAGCTGAACAGATTCACATATCTCACTAAGGTTTCCTATTTTCATTTTGTACATTTACCTCTCTCTCAATCTCCACTATTATAAACAGTTTCCACCTCATACTTCGCCCTCAAGCTCACCCAAAATACCCACAGCAAGATCACTCATGCTCTATCACTCGCCCTCGCCGCGTCACAGAACATCACTCGTTCTTTTCTCTACCGGTCCTGACGACGGATTATTGTCTGTATGTAGAGTAGAGGCCAGCAAGAACCAAAACTCTTTTAATCCTCTATCACCAAACTACAACACGGCAACCCAATCTAGTAAATACAATAGAGTCATAGAATATCCCCACTAATACACCTCCCCCATATCAAGCACCCCCCTGAACAAAAATTCCAGCGACAGCCCTAGCATAACCCTGTCCTATCACCCCATAGGACCGACTAACTACATAATACTGGAGCGCTATCGAGATACATATTCTATTCGCAAAAGTTGTAGATTTGGCATTCTACATGATAGTAGGGTTAGGGTTTCGTATATCTTGGCGCTAGTGCACTTAAACACTTCATATCCTGACTTTTTACTGATTACTGCAAAAGAGTTCTTTAGCTACTCCTCATACTGGTAGGCATAAAACGCCGGCCTTTACTTCCATATGAGCTCTCGTTAGACGCAGGTCTCATGAAGCTGGCAATCAATTAATACTCGTCACTACAAATCCGGCCATTGACCTCGGAGCTCTTCTTTCCCTACCTGTTGGAGAATGATGAAAAACAACCGTCTCCCCGGCCTACTTGGTCTCCCCAAACCCGACCACGTTCTCCGCATTAGAGTCTTTCAGTGCAACCCGTTCTTCATTTCAAAGCGAAACGGAAACTCCTGCAGCCAAGCATGCGCTACCATTGCAGCTGACATGTCACTTTATCAGAAATACACAGTGCAGAATCTTCAGTCCTCAAGTATTTCTCAGCCTACAGCTTCAAGGCCTTCCTCTATGCCTTCTTCGTCAATAGCTTCATTGCTTCTTGGCTGCATGAATTTCCCTTTCACTTTGAAAATGGGTTACAGGGTTGCACTGAAAGACTCTATTAAGTATTTTTTTAAAAATCACTAAAACAAAACCCTAACCCCTACCCTCTATCAATTACACCTAATCCTGATATCTATTCTCCCCTAACCCTGCACCGCTCCCCTAACCCTGTGATCACACCCCTAACCCTGTAGCCACCCCCCCTAACCCTGTAACTATTCCGAAAACCACAACAATGACACGGGAACACATAAGCCCACTAGTTGGGCTCTTATAGAAAAACCATGTTAGCAAATATCACCTCCACTGATTATCCTGCTAGGGCCATTTGACACCGCTGTTTTGTGTGGTCCTCGAGTATTGGCCGTCGGCCTTGATGCTCCGTGGTATGGCCTACGGACTTGTTATTCTCATAGGGATGGTACATAGACCCTTTCTGGATACGGTTGATCAAAGATTTCTAGATATCTATTTTCTTCACGGATTATCACTCGAACCACCCTTCCTACTGAAAACGTCTCTTCCGTAATTCCACTTCAAAAGATACACAAGATCACAGAAATATCTAACGGCTGCTGGCGTCATGTTTTTCCCAATTTGATTAAAATTTAGCTATTTGTATGCTTGCTAGATATATGAAATTAGAATCTCCTAACACCTACTCATCTCCCTCCCTAAGGTAAAATAGAACTGAATGAAACTTCGTTTTATGTACCTACCAAGGGGGCACGCATCAACGAAGAGACCATGGAGATTGTGGCCCTTGAGTATCACACCAACGTGCTCGTGCTCGCGGCAGTCGCATTCGCCACATAAACCCCAATCCTCCCCGCACCCCCACAATACGCAAACGCATCGCCACCACACAGCATCCCACACTGTGAGTCCGCCACCTTCGCTGCCGTTGCCGCAATCGCCGCACCGCAATAACACTACCGCCATGCATCAGTTACCAATTTTTGCGAGAATAGATTCGAACTACATACCTCAGTAGAGTACTCGACACCAGCGTACCTATATCCACCCGCTTTACAGAAACCGACGCAGACGGTCACGTTCATCCCCGAACTTGCAGTCATCGACCCTGCCAGTGCACGTTCATTGACGCCCTCACTACCGCCGCCATCGACATCAGCACCACCCCACGCAAGAAATCAAATAAAAAAACAAAACGGAGAAAAAAAAGGACATACCTATAACACCCCTGCGACACATACCCATCCACGCCCTCGACAATCTTCGGCGCTCTCGACAGCACAATCGCCGTATTATTCCACACCGACAGAGCACTGGGACCACCACAGACCAAGTCCGGATTTCCACCGCATGCCATAACGCACTGTGTTGACCCGCCGATCGTGGACCCGTTCTCTAGGGTGGTGCTACAGTAGCATTCAGTGGAGTATTCGGCGCCCGAGAGGGGGTAGCCTTTAGTTGTGCAGTAGTCCTGGCATAGCGTGGGGGTCATGGTGCTGTTTGCGAAGCTGGCTTTGGAGAGGGCTCGGCCGCCGGAGGGTTCGTTTGCACAGCCGAGGTATTTGAACTCTGGCCTTGCGGTGGGGATTGAAGATGTTGAAGACGTTGGAGATGTAGTTGTAGCAGAGGTTTTCTGACTGGTAATTGAAGCACTGGACGATGTCAAACTAGAAACTTGCCTCGAAATAATCATCGAAGAGCTCGAAGGAATAACCGAAGAACTGGACACAGCTGAAGAGCTCGACGCCGCCAAAGTGGTCGATGAAGTCGGTAGCATCACCGACGAACTCGACACCGCATCCGCCACATACACATTCAGACTCCCAGCCCCGCCACAAAACGCATACTTATCCCCGCCACACACCATCCCACATCTCTCCACCCCCAACTTCACTGCCGTCGCCGCCAGCCCCGCTCCACAATAACACTCCGTCGCATACTCAACACCCGCATACCTATACTTCCCCTCTTTACAGAACGCCACACACGCCTCCACCGTCATCCCACTCGCCGCCGTCGCCGTCCCCGCAAGCGCCCTCTCGCCCACGCCCTCTGCCCAGCACCCCGCCGACACATACCCACCCGCACCCGCCACCACCGCCGGCTCCCTCACCGCCCCAATGTCCGTATTGTTGTAAACGCTCAGCGCGCTAGGCCCGCCACAGATTGCGGCCGCGTTGCCGGCGCAGGGCATTGTGCATGCGGAGGAGCCGAGAGTGGAGCCGTTCTCGAGATGTGCGCCGCAGAAGCATTCACTAGCGTATTCGACGCCCGACAGGGCGTGGCCGAGGGTCGTGCAGTAGTCTTGGCAGTGCTCGAGCGTCATGGTTGAGTTTGCGAAGCTGGCGAGGGCGAGGGCGCGGCCGGTGGTGCCTTCGGTTGTGCAGCCGACGTATTTGAAGTTAGGTCTTATTGTTGCGCTTGGAGTTGCGATAGAGGAGGTTACTGTTGGTGTTGATGAAGTGGTTGGGGAGACGGTAATGATTGTTGAACTGGTGGAGTTGCTGGCGGTCATGTCGCGGTAGATGTTGAGTCTCCCGGCGCTTCCGCAGTACGCATATGCATCGCCGCCGCACAACATGTTGCAATCCCCATCATTGACCTTTGCCGCCGTCGCAGCAATTGCGGAGCCACAGTAACACTCAATACCGTACTCCAGCCCCGCATATCGAAAACCTGCAGCTTTACAGTACCCAACGCACCCCGCAACTGTCATATTATTCGCCGCCGTCGCGCCCCCGGCAAGAGCCCGCTCATTCAAGCCTTCGGTGTAGCATCCTTGACTGAGATACGTATTCACACTCGGCACAACAGCCGGCGTTCTTGGAGCACCCAATAGTGTGTTGTTGTACACCGACAGAGCTCCCGGACCACCGCATATCTGCGCAGGATCCCCGCCGCAGGCCATGATGCACTGGGTTGTGCCGCCGATTATGGAGCCGTTCTCGAGAGTGAGGCCGCAATAGCACTCGGTGGAGTACTCCATTCCGGAGAGAGGATAGCCTTTACCGGTGCAATACTCTTGGCATTTCTGAATAGTTAATGTTGAGCTCGCGGTGGCATCTTTGGAAAGGGCTCGGCCATTTGTCCCTTCGTTTGCGCAGCCCAAATATTGGTAGCTGCCTGTAGGGACCGCGGACGGAAGTGTGGTGGACGATGAGATGACAGAGGTGGATGAGATTGTTGGAATAGTAAGAGTTGTTGAAAGGTTACTCGACATTGTTGAAGACGAAATGATAATAGTAGACGAAATATTGCCAGAAGGCATAGAAGAAGGAATCATAGTCGTGGATGAAGCAATGCTCGAAGATGAAGACGAGATGGTTGTATTCCCGGGAGTGTACTGGCGCCTGTCTGCAAACAGACTCATGTACGCACCATCCCCTCCACAATACTCTTGGAAATTACCTTTACAAAGATACTGGCAATACGTATCAGCCACCTTCACGAGTGGCGCCTTGGTCCCACACCAACCTATAAAATATATCAAATCAGCAAAATGAAACACATCAGTTGATATCATGGGAAAGACTTACATTCACCCTCATACTGCGTCGCCGCAAATGGGAACATCTGCGGTTTTTGGAAACAGTCCGTTTGGCATATCCCATTCGTATTATTCACACTATAATACAACAGCTCCTCCAGGTTTCTCGCAGGATTCGCATCCTTAAAGCATCCCAGGTACCGATACCATGCCTGTCCATTCGAATCCAGCGGGCCAACCTGAGTCGAAGCGCCATTGCAGACAAAATCAATCTCATGCTTCCCAAATGTCGGATCATTATTATTCATTGTCCACACCGCCTTCAGGGTAGTCGGATCCTCATTCACCTGGCTTTTCGGCGGCGAACAAATCAACGAAGCCTCCTCATATGCTCCCGGTGCAATCTGGGAGCCTTCGGCGATGGAGCCAAGCGCATTTACGGCGGCGAGAGCTC